GCCTTGGCTCACGGGGGCCGCCGATGTTAGGCATAAGCCTAGTCAACGACGTGAGCGCACCCTGCGCTTTGACCGCCGCGGCTTTGGCGTGCTGCTTGAAGTTAAGCTTGCGGTCGACTAGCATTCCAAGATAGTTGATCGTCTCTCCCAGCTTAACTTCTACCCCGTTCAGGAAGATACGCGGATCGCTAACCTTGTACCTGCGCCTGATCATCACCGCTTCCGTCTTCTCGACGGCGAGTTGGAGATCCAGCTCCCGGAACTTTGCTGCCACCGCACACAGAGCTCGGTTTGTCCTATCTTCCACCTCCTCGACCGTCTTGCCGGAGGCGATGATCAACGTGTCGTCCGCGAAACCGATGACCGTCGCCTGGTCCGGTAGATCGGCTCGCAGCACCGCGTCATACGTAAGGTTCCACAAGGTCGGACCGACCACCGAACCCTGTGGAACGCCGCAGGATACCTCGATGGTGACTTCTCCACCGTCAGCTGTTGGGCACGCGACCCTGGCTGCTCGCTCCGAGAAATAGGACCGGAAGATGCGCTGCAGGTACAGCGGCACTTCCCATTCCTGTAGGGCCCGCATGATGTGGCGCCAGCCGATCGAATTAAACGCGTTCTTCACGTCCAAGCTGACAGCCACACATACTTTGCGTGCGTTTATCGCTGCCTGGGCCTCATCCCGGAGCAAACGCACTGCGTCGTCCGTCGATCTTCCCTTCCGAAAGCCGAACTGCCGGTCGGAGAGTCCACCTCTCTCCTCGAGGTGTTTCTCCAGTCGACGAACTAGTAAGAGCTCCATCAACTTCCCCACGTCGTTCAGGAGACACAAAGGGCGGTACGATGATGGCTCACCGGCCGGCTTTTGGCCCTTACGAAGCAGCACCAGTCGGGCCTGCTTCCAACGGGTGGGGAAGCTTCCTGCTTTGAGACAGGCGTTGAGGGTGTCGGCTACAAAGTCGGGGTCTGCCTTGTAGACCGACGCCAGGATCGCATTGCTGATACAGTCTGGTCCCGGGGCCTTCCTTCTGCCCTTTACGCGTGCCACCGCTGCTCCTATTTCTCCCCGTGAGAATTCCGGAGCCTCCGGTGCTAGTGGCGTTAAGACAGGGTCGAGTGTCACTGCCCTGTTGTCCGAGAACAGGCCTCTCGTCACCTTCTCTAACGTGGCGGCTTCCATGCGGTCCGTATCTGGGGCCCTCTTAAGCTTTCTCATCACGAGCCTGTATGGATTGCCCTAAGGATTGCGGTCCACCGACTGTACCAGCTCGTTCCAACAGTTTCTTTTGCTGCGTTGAACGGCTCTCTTTAAATTTTTCCTGGCGTCTTTGAGGGCCGAAAGGGCTGCTGCGAAGATGTCGCTGGCATCCGTTTCGCCTCCAGTTCTTCTGGCCGCTTCGCGTGTGGAAGCACGCTTGACGGCTCTTCTGGCCCTTGTGCAATCTGCACGCAGGCCAGCTATCTCCTCTGTCCACCAGTGGGCAGGCGGTTTTAAACTAGAAAAATTGAAATACTAGAAAAAATAGAAAATCCTGAAAAACTAGAAAAACTAGAAAAATTAGAAAAAATTGAAAAACTAGAAAAACCTGAATAACTAGAAAAACTAGAAAAATCTAAAACTAGAAAAAATAGAAAATCCCGAAAAACAAGTAAAACTAGAAAAACTTGAAAAATTAGAAAAACCTAAAAAACCAGATACTAGAAAAACCTGAAAAACTAGAAAAACTAGAAAAACTAGAAAAATAGAAAATCCTGAAAACTAGAAACTAGAAAAACCTGAATAACTAGAAAAACTAGAAAAACTAGAAAAACCTGAAAAACTAGTAAAACTAGAAAAACTTGAAAAATTAGAAAAACCTAAAAAATCAGAAACTAGAAAAACCTGAAAAACTAGAAAAACTAGAAAAATTAGTTAAAAAGTTTTTCTAGTTTTTTAATTTTTTCTTGTTTTTCTAGTTTTTCAATTTTTTCAATTTTTTCTAGTTTTTCTTGTTTTTTTAGTTTTTCAATTTTTTCTAGTTTTTCTAGTTGTTCTAATTTTCTAGAAACTAGAAAAACCTGAAAAACTAGAAAAACTAGAAAAAAATTTTCTAGTTAAAAATTTTTTCTAGTTTTTCAATTTTTTCTAGGATTTCAATTTTTTCAATTTTTTCTAGTTTTTCTAGTTTTTTTTAGTTTTTCTTGTTTTTTTAGTTTTTCAATTTTTTCTAGTTTTTCTAGTTTTTCTAGTTTTTCAGTTTTTTCTAGTTTTTCTAGGTTTTCTAGTTTTACAGGTTTTTCTAGTTTTTTTAGTTTTTCAGTTTTTTCTAGTTTTTCTAGTTTTTCTAGTTTTACAGGTTTTTCTAGTTATTTTAGTGTTTCTAGAAAAACTAGAAAAACAAAAAAAACTAGAAAAACTAGAAAAACTAGAAAAAATTGAAAAACTTGAAAATTTAGAAAAACCTAAAAACTAGAAACTAGAAATACCTGAAAAACTAGAAAAAATTAAAAAACTAGAAAAACCCGAAAAACCTGAAAAACTAGAAAAACTAGAAAAAAATTTCTAGTTAGTTTTTCTAGTTTTTCAATTTTTTCTCTTTTTTTTAGTTTTTCAATTATTTCTAGTTTTTTTAGTTTTTCAAGTTTTTCTTATTTTTCTAGTTTTTCAATTTTTTCTAGTTTTTCTAGTTTTTCTAGTTTTTTAATTTTTTCTAGTTTTTCTAGTTTTTCAATTTTTTCTAGTTTTTCTAGTTTTATCTAGTTTTTCTAGTATTTCAAGTTTTTTAGTTTTTCTAGTTTTTCTAGTTTTACAGGTTTTTCTAGTTTTTCTAGAAACACTAGAACTAGAAAAACCTGTAAAACTAGAAAAACTAGAAAAACAAGAAAAGATAGAAAAGTTTTTCTAGTTTTCCTAGTTTTTCTAGCTTTTTTAGTTTTACTAGTTTTTAGAAAAAAAGCGTTACGCTGTTACGCTATTACGCGCCGCAGAACCAAAAATCATTCGACAATTTAAAGACAATTAACGGAAAGACCATTTCGGCTCCATTTCGAATGTTAATCTGTTACGCTGTTATTTGATATGAGATAAGAGATATGTTGTACGTTCAACGTTTAAGTTAGAACTAAAAAGTTTTTCAGCCGAGTGTGCAACCACGAAAGAGCATTTCCGTGTCTCGTGAAATACATAATAAATTACCGAATTAAAACCAAATTAAAACCGAATTAGTTGTGGAATTATAATTTAAAAAAAAAAAAATTACACGGAGCTTCCAGTTACAGCATAAGCCAAGGAGATTAAAAATTATATACAATCCAGTTTCTGGCTAAAATTGTAGTGTTTATTATCTGCCCAAAAGTAACTTTACATAGAGAATTAAACTATTTTTAATTTATTATTTAGTTCTAATTTGAACGTTGAAAGTAGGTAGAAATAGGGATAGGAGACAGGGGTAGGAGATAAGGGGTGGGGGTGGGATAGGGCTGGGGTTGGGGAGAGGATACAGGGGTGAGTGATAGAGAAAGGAGATAGTGGGTAGGGGATAGGCGTAAGATAAAGAAGATAAGAGATATGTTGTACGCTCAACCTTCTTTCTAGTTTTTCTAGTTATTTTAGTTTTTATAGTTAATCTATCTTTTCTAGTTTTCCTATCTTTTCTAGTTTTTCTAGTTTTTCTATCTTTTCTAGAAAATTCTAGAAAAACTAGAAAAACTAGAAAAACTAGAAAAACCTGAAAAACTAGAAAAACTAGAAAAGATAGAAAAGTTTTTCTAGTTTATTAGTTTTTCAGGTTTTTCTATCTTTTCTAGTTTTTATAGTTTTTTTTAGTTTTTCTAGTTTTTCTTGTTTTTCTAGTTTTTCTAGAAAATTCAGTTTTTTTGAAATTTTTGAGCTAGGTCAAAGTTTTGGTTTTTTGTAAATTTTGAAAGTTTAAATCATAAAAATGGGCAATTTGACCGGGTATTCTGATTGCTGACAAAATTCTCTTGAGTTTGGTCTAGGTTTGAGCGGATTTAGTGCCAAAATTTAGAATTTAAGTAGGTTTTAGTGTGTTAGTGTGTTGGACATACCTTGGGTAAACCTAGTTTATTCTTCCTATTTTAAAATGTTTGTACAATCAACACATATGTATGGGTTAAAAGGCAACCTGAGACATTTGTGAATCTTTTAAGCCACAGTAAAGCCATATTGGTGTGGTATTTTTGGAAAAAATTTCATATTTTTGAAAATGTTGAGCTAGGTCAAAGTTTTGGTTTTTTGTAAATTTTGAAAGTTTAAATCATAAAAATGGGCAATTTGACCGGGTATTCTGATTGCTGACAAATTTCTCTTGAGTTTGGTCTAGGTTTGAGCGGATTTAGTGCCAAAATTTAGAATTTAAGTAGGTTTTAGTGTGTTAGTGTGTTGGACATACCTTGGGTAAACCTAGTTTATTCTTCCTATTTAAAAATGTTTGTACAATCAACACATATGTATGGGTTAAAAGGCAACCTGAGACATTTGTGAATCTTTTAAGCCACAATACAGCCCTATTAATGGGATATTTTTGGAAAAAATTTCATATTTTTAAAAATTTTGAGCTAGGTCGAAGTTTTGGTATTTTGTAAATTTTGAAGGTTTAAATCATAAAAATGGGCAATTTGAAAAACTAGAAAAACTAGTTTTTTTGAAATTTTTTAGCTAGGTCGGAATTTTGGTTTTTTGTAAATTTTGACAATTTAAATCACACAAACGGGCAACTTTACCGGATATTCTGATTGCAGACAAAATTCTCTTGACTTTGATTTAGGTTTGAGCGGATTTAGTACCAAAATTTAGAATTTAATTAGGTTTTAGTGTGTTGAACGATAATTAGAATATATTTTAATTAATTAAGTCGATATCGTATAATAATAATCGTCGGTGTATGGGGATATATGGACTGCCCCTTAGAATAATAAGTGTATTGGCAACATAACATACACCAACGCCATGACACTTTTTGTTATCAAATATTGCTGGCTCGTTTATAACTAACCACGGTTGTAGACAACCGTGTGGCTGACTTCCACTCGTAATATAATATTGTAAATTATTATTGTAGTAAAATTTAATTACGTGTTATTATTTCTTTAGAATGAGTAATATTTACATACAAGAACCTCCAACTTCAGGCAAAGTATATAATATTTCTACATTTTATGAAGAATCGAAATTGCATAATGAAATAACTAATAAAGGTTAAATTAATTTAATAAAAATTAGGTTGTTCTCAAAACATCGTTTGGAGATATCGAAGTAGAATTATGGTCAAGAGAAGCTCCAAAGGCATGTAGAAACTTCGTTCAACTTTGTCTAGAAGGATATTATGATGGTGTTTTGTTTCACCGTATTGTCAAGGACTTTATTGCTCAAGGAGGGGATCCAACTGGTACTGGAGCTGGTGGTGAATCAATTTATGGTCAACCATTTAAAGTAATAATCTTCATATTACTTTTATTATAAGTTCAGTAAAAAGATTAAACCGTATGACCAAATGTGACTTTTTATTTTGCAATGATTGAAGTATTGAAAACGTCATAATATTGTTTTACCTACAAATATGTCTTTGACTTATAGTTCTGACTACCAAATAATACATAATGTAGTCAATAATCTGTTATTTTCAAAATATATTTTTCATATTTCCTTAAACTAAATAAAAAAAAAAAAAAATTGTATTTTTCAAACAAATTTCACAAATATACTTAAGCCATTCTTCTTCTTTTAGTGTCATATTCTCAATGGACATTAGTTTTAATTATTTTCCAATCTTTTCTGTCTTGTACTTTACGAAAACAGTTCAACCATTGTTAACTCAGTTCATTCTCTAATGTCTGAAGGCCATTTGTAGATTTCACAACAAATTTTAGACATGCTAAACTCAATTAAGACCAGATTCGGATTTAATGAAAGAAATCTTGAGTAATTTTTTTTTTTTACTAGTATGAAAAACTTGAATCACAAATGTTTTTAGCCTTCTACAGAGGAAACAAACTCAACAGATTACTTATATTGGTTGTCACTGAAAAGTATCAGTCACCATAATGCTTTTTCCGTCTTAAAAAAAGTGTAACGCAAAATTTTAACTCCTCTCCCAAACTCCCTTCTTCTGATCCCTCCCCTAACTAAAAAAATATTGATGTTTAAACTATTCTTCAGTTATTGTTGCAAAACCTTTCTTGTACAGTGCTACCGATATACTTTTAAATAATAGCATATGGAAGTTTATATCGTATTTGAGCCAAATTTGCAATTTATTATTTAATAATAATGTTTTAGGATGAAATACATTCACGGTTGCGATTTAATCGCCGTGGATTGGTGGCTATGGCAAATGCTGGCAAAGATGACAATGGATCTCAATTTTTTTTCACCTTGGGTTCTTCCCCGGAACTTCAGTCTAAACATACTATATTTGGAAAAGTTGCCGGAGATACCATTTATAATTTAACTAAATTAAACGAAGTTCTTGTGGATAAGGTAGATATTTTTATTTTATTTTAGTCGAAAATCTGAAATTAATCAAATTAATAAACTAATTTATTTTATTAAAATTATATATATATATATATTATTATTGGTAATAGGAAGAAAGACCTATTTATGAGCAGAAAATATTAAAAACTGTTGTACTCAATAATCCTTTTCCGGATATTGTTCCTAGAATTGAAAAAAAAATTGACAAATCTGAAAAAGGAACCAAAAAAAAAGAAAAAAATAGTGGTGTTAAGTAAGTATAACATATAATGTCGTATCATTGGGGATCATAGATTTCGAAAAAACCTTGACAGATTAATCTTAAGTGAAAAATAAAAGACTCGTATGTTGCCAGTTTTTGCTTGTTGATCTGATCATTGAGTTGCACTCGCTTTATTACTCTATATAATATACCTGGCCTTATAAACATTCTTTAGTGACTCCCACACTACTATAATTAAGAATACTCTAAGCCAGCCTATAAATTGTTTATATTTTTTACTATAACTAACAATCGGTATTGAATTTTTTCTAAAAATTTAAAAGTAATTGGTAATATAAGCAATTACTCTTCTTATCATCTTATTTGTTAGAATTTCCTTATTTCGTAAAAATTCCTTTTACAGTATAATCAATTATAATAGAATGGGCTAAGTATATAATATGTTAAAAAAATTCAATGTATTTTAGAAATTTTAAGCTATTATCATTTGGCGAAGAGGCAGAAGAAGATGAAGAAGAATTAGTTGAAGTAGTTAAAGAATTTAGTGGTCGTCCAAAGTCAACTCATGACGTTCTTAAAGACCCTCAACTTAGTGCCGAGCCTGCTGTACCAGATAGTTCATTGAAAGAAGATTTAAAAGATCTATCTGAAGATAACTCTACTAAGTATATTCATAAATATTGTTTATCATATATTTTTTAATTTAATAAGATAATGTTTTTTAGGATAAATATAGATGACATTCGATCAAAATTATCGTCTAATAAAAAGAAAAAATCAAATATTTCAATTCTAGTAGATCCGCCAAAAGAAGATGAAATTGATGACTATGAATTTGGAAAAGAACTAAATGATGAAAAGAAAAAAAAAGCGTAATTATTAACTACTTACATACATATCAACATAGATTAAATATAGTATAGAACACCCATCTAAGTTTGGCACTTCTTTTTTTTTTTTTTTTATAATAGTTTTACATAGTGAAATCAAAAAATGTAGTGTTGCCAGTTGTTACATTAGAGTTACCTAACTAAAGTATATTTAATCTATGTTAGGTTAGGTTACATGTAGATATATGCTCCCTTTTATGAATATTAACTGATTTATATTTTAAGTTCAAATAGTGAATTACGAATTTCTTAGTTTAGTTTTGTCGTTTGACTATAACTATGGTTATACAAATTTAATATGTAAATACAAAATAACAATTGCAGAGAAGAAATTCGTCGAGAAATTAAAGAACTCAAAGGACAATTATCAAAAAAAAAGAAAGGTGATAAAACAGAAAAAGACCTAAATGAGAAACCAAATATTAATGAATTGGAACCATCAACAAATCCTCTAAAACAAGATTATTTAGATACTATAAAATTATATTCATCTAAAAAAGAAAAAATACCAAAAAAAGGTAATATATTAATTCAATGTCACATCACATCAGGTTATATTATTCATAGTAAACAAATAAAAAATTGTGTTTACTTTTGTTTTTGCTTCTTGACAATTATGGTTTTTTAATTTTTTTCCTGTTTTGTAAATAACTAAAATTTAAAAAAAAAAAAGCATTTCTATTTGAAGCATATAATAGGTTAATAGTAATAATTGTCTAGTATTGACAAAAATATCTTATCTTAAATATTAAATAATTCAAATTTTGTGTATACAGGTACAAGTAGTAGAGAGGAATTAACTCTTAATCTATTGAATCAGTTTAAAGATAAATTACACAGTATTAAAAAATCTACAGATAAAGAGGATCATACCAAAGATACAAAACACAATGACGATGATAATTGGTAAACACTGAATTAAGATTTACTATTTTTTTAAATTATTAATAATTATATTATTTTACTCTAATATACAATGATAATTTATAGGTTAGGCCATACACTTCATTGTGAAGAAAAAAATCCTGTATTAGCCAAAGACGCTAATAAGAAAGATGATGATTGGTTTGAAATATATGATCCAAGAAGTGCACTTAATAAAAGAAAACGAGATGTAAGTAAAAAAGATTCAAAAACTGATAAAGATAAAAAAATTAAGCATTAGTGCATTGTAATGTGTTTTTTTATGACATAAATACATAGTCATGGTCTCTTTTTCTTAACATTTATAAACTGTAGATATTTGTATAAATAATTAATAAAATATTTTAAATTACTTCTTGATTCTGATTTCTATTTTTCAACAGTGCAGTTTTTTTTAACCAATGTTTCTCTCTTTAAGTAATTTTTATCTCCAGCTCAAAACAGATTTTGTTGGTCTGTTTTTGAAGTTATAACGTCAAGCAAACATAAATGCCCAATATCCTATGACGTGTACTTCCCTCTCACGTATTCTTGGTGATTTTTTTAATAAATCACAAAACAAATAACTATCACATTATGTAAGTTTTGTTAATACATATGATTTCCAAAAAACTAAATTAAAAAAACATATTTAACTTTATCCAGAGTCCATTACTTACTTAAATCAGTTGAATAACTACTTGATATTTAATTGATCAAGTAACAGTTATCAGTACCAACTTGATAAAGATAAGGTTACGAAGAAATTTTAAAAATTTTTTACATAACAAAAAAAGTACACACTACTATCCTTTTATAGTTATTTTAATCAAAATAATTAATAAAAGAGAAGTTGTTTATTGCGAAAGTATGTAAAATATTAATCATTTTGATTAATATTTGACAAATGATCTGGGAAACCAAGTCGGTGCTTACCCCAAATCCAAAGTCCTGAATTGCATTATAATATATATATAGTATACTGAACTTCTTGCCTTTTATAGACATTGCGCGTTTAAAATATTTACTTCAGAGGGCTGTTGAAAGCTGACAAGTTTTTTTTGGGTTCTACTCATAGTAGAATTACAAAACTTTTTACAGTACACAGAGAACAATGACTGTGTACGGTGTCGTAGTGTTTTTATTTTATTTTGATAACTAAACACAGTCCAAGTTATTCAATCGTAAATATAGTTTTTTTTTAATTTGTTTATTAAAAGTTAGTGAGTATTAATATAAAAAAAAAAAAGTTATTTAAAATGATGGGAGGTAAAGTGCGGTAGAGCAATGCTTGCAGATAAAAATAACTCGACGCTCATTACTCTACTGCACTCCACCTCCCGTCTTAAATTTTAACCTTTAATAGTCTAAAAAGTAATTTTCCAAAACTGGTTATCGACTTGTCAAAATTCTCAGCAATTTATTCTTAATAATAGGCTATCTTGAATTTAAAAAAAAACATTTTACAAAACAAATAATTTAAAAAAGTAAAACAGTTAGGTGCAATAAAGACGGGGTGTTTATAGCGCAAATGAGTATACATTAATTTTAAAATCTTAAAAATATTCACTAGAACAAGAGTTTAATTTAATTTGTTAAATCTCTGTGGGACATCAGTAACCTATAAACAGCGAAGCTATAGTCACTATAGTCTATAGTATAGTGTATCTAGAGTAGATAGCGCCAAACCTTGATTCTGTACAGATATACATAGGTTCACATGTAACACAATAAGTGTTTTTTTTTTTTATCTGAACATGAATACCTACCTATTTTTAACACATCATTTCACGAAGTTTAAGTACGTAAAATATGTATAAACTATACTGATTGAAGTGTTTGTCCCCATTTGAGTATAGGTGTACTTTAATAGTTTAATTAGACATAATTAGTAAAATGAGAATAATTAATGTAGAACCTATACCCGCTACCCACTTTTGTAATTATTTCATGAAGTTGAATACTATTTAGTATTTTTACTCGTTAATAAGCGACGAAGTAATCTATTTAAAATTCATGGAAAGTCAAATAACAGTCTAATAAAACATACATTATCACAAGCCACTAGTGCATAATTTAATTTTTTATTTTCTAACTACACTTAAAATGGTAAAACGAATCTAATCCAATAAATACACAGATTACACGGTATCTAGACGGATGTTATCGCATTGTTCGCAAACAAGCAGCTAAATTGTAGTATTATTGTACTAATTTACGACAATCGTCTAGCACAATTACTACGTATAGTGTATACCTGCTTTTGTTAGTTGAGTTTAAATACTGTCGACAATGGCTCGTTGGACGAATAGTCAAATTACGGTTTGCTCTGAAGACTCTTTTGTCAGTAAGTAGTACTTATACTTACATAATTGTATTTTATAGTTTTATTACCATTTATTTGTTATGTTATAGTTAAGTAGTTTTTATAAAAAATATGTTAGTACACGACATTTGTTTTATGGGTTGGGACCTGCATACCAAATTAACGTGTAGACATTTAAAACGATCTAGTATAATATTATTAGGTATAACATAATACTAATTAATTTAAAACGGTTAATTCTGAAAATGCATTTAGTATTTTAAGCTTACAGTCACAACAGTATTAGTTGTCTACTTTAAATATTAAACACCGATCATTAGGTTAGAGAGGGGGAACCTACTTTTATAAAGATAATTAAGGCTACCTAGATGAGAATTATCCTTATTGAAGTTAGTTATTTTTACAATATTACTTCATGACTTAGCGACTACTGATTTAATTTCGATGCAACTGCACAAAGACATTGTCTATTAATTTGTATACAAATGTTATTATAACATTATATTTAAACAGCTAGATTATTAAATTTAATTCTTCTACATGGCTTTTGGCTTAGCACGAATAATAACACTTACAATTAGTAGATACCTTAAATAAAAAAAACATCCAACTTAAAATATTTCTAAACAAAATTATTGAACTTCAATCCACGATAATAAATAGTTTTAAAAAATGTCCTGTTCACAATAATATTATAGTCCAAAGTACATTAACACCTAGTAATAATATTATATAGTTCCAATAAATTGAATTGTTTATCTGCAGACATACAGGGTGATCAATTTAACGTAGGACACTCATTTTACAGAAAATAATTACAGTTTTATAGTTTTCGTTTATAAAAAACATTTTTATTTATTAAAATACCAAATATTTACCTTTTTTAACTTTCCCCAGCGCGCTATTATTTTTTGAAACTTTAATGGTAACGTACATATTTAATTAACTTTATAAAATAGAAATTATTTGCCGAAAATGTTGAATCGTCGATAACGAGTTTTTAATTATTAACTTTAAAGTCATTAGAGTTTAAAATTAAAAACAAGGGGTGAAATGCTATTGAGTAATGCGCGCAGATAAAAAAAAACACTTCACTCCATCCTTCCATTCTCATGCAAATAAAAATTTTAATGTTTGGTTATTTCATAACATGCTACAATAACACAAATATAAATCAGCGGGGGTTTTCAACGTTCAAGAATCCATCTTTTCACTGAGTTATAATTCCCATCCCACTCTATTATTGACATTTTTATAGTAAAATAATTCGAGCTTTCCATCTATCTGCTTTTCAAAATGATCAAAATGGCCGCAAGAGCCGAAAATGACAAAAATATTTTTCAAATTGATTTTTTAGTGGTAAAAAATGGTTTGAGTAATTGCAAATATTTTTAAGTAAAATAAGGAACTCGTTCTTCAATCCTACGCGACCACTTTTTATTTGTGTAAAAATTAAAAGAAAACGGGCGGACAAGAATAAAATTAAACTTTCGAAACTCATGGACTTTCAACATGATTTTTGTTGAATATATCATATACAGGGTGATTTTTTTATCTTAGGCCACTCGATATCTCACTGGGTTTAATTAGTAATTATTTTTTTTTATATAATGTGATCTCAATTTCCCACAAATTTTTATATTCCTCCCATGTTAGTTTTTTCGATAGGAACTTTTGAAACTAAATGGTAACGTATATATTTTATTAACTTTTTAAATTAATAGAATATTTTACTAAAAATGTTGACTGATTAATAACCAGTTTTGAACAACTATTTTTGAAGTTATAAGAGTTTAAAAGTTAGGACGGGAGAGGAAGTGCATGCAGATAAAAATAATACTACACTCCACTTTTCTTCCTGCCCTAAACTTAAAACTTCAATAACTTCAAAAATAGTTATCCAAAACTGGTTATCTAGCAGTCAAAATGCTTAGTACTTTATTCTCAATTTAGAAAGTTAATGAAATGTGTGTATTAATATTTAGTTTAAGTTTCAAAAGTTGATATAAAAATAATTAGTTTAGGATGGAACATAAAAATGTGTGAGAAATTAAGATCACATTATATAAAAAAAAAAATTGAATTATTAATTAAACCCAGTATGAAGTTCAGTGGATAAGATAAATAAATTACTCTGTATAATTTATATTTATACACAGGCAGTCATCCTTAATTTTTAAAATAGCTCTGAAAAAATAAACGAATGCCTTTTTCAAAATTGTATTGATACCATCTTATTTTACATTTAAAAGCATTTAATGTTGATTAATGTAGAATTAATAATTTTTACAAGTTATGAAAATTGTTCACTTTTTGAAAATAATATCGGTAAGATGTCGTCCTTCGCGATTGGGCTTCTTCCCACAGTACTTTTCATGCTTTTAACATTCGCGAGAGCACGCACTGTTTTCGACTTACCACATCTCCCGTTTGTCTTCGAACCAGTGCTTTCGAAGTTTTCAACCCACAATCTAATTGAATTAATGTAAGACACTGGGTCATTACGATTAATATTAAAATGAGTACTGAAACGATATTTAGCGGGCTGCATAGCTCCCCTAGTATGATAAAACGCTTTCACGGCGAAAGCTCATTGTTGTGTTGAGTGTTGACTAGACCACAGCTGTTTCATGATAACTAAAAGGCGGACGGAGGGATGAAACTCTGAAAGCTACTTTATTTATGAAAGGATACAATTCAAAAAACATGAGAAAATTATGGATTCCAAAAATATATTTTTACTTCAATAATTATTTGAAAAAACTTACATTAGAAATTTGTAACTTTATCATTTTTCAATTTGAGCACATATAAATAACAACCAATTTATATTCTCAGCTTTGGATAGAAGCTTCAAAAACAAGTAGGTAAAAGTCATACAAAAATGTATGATTAATGTGAACAGACGTAAAATTAGTCATAGATTAATTACTCATACTTTGGTAACTTTATTTTAAACTTGTTTGTTGGTAATTTAACCAGTTTGTAATTCCAACCCGTCAAATTAATATTACCGTAACTGCGTTAACACCGAACAGTACTGATTTAATTTCTATCGGCAAATACTATGACATAATGGCTCTTAATCGATAAACAACAAATAGATATGTTTACTTAATAATTATGGTTTAATATTTCCACATTTTTATGAATTATCTTAGTCATTTTTATATGTAATATAAATGTACTTAAAACATTCTTTTAAAATTTAATATTATAACACTTACGAACCATAAATTTGTATATATTATTATAAATGACATACCATACATTCTATAGAGGTATATTTATTTTGCAAAAAGGTATAGATGATTTTTAATACTAATTTAACATATTGTTTTTAAAAACTTAAATAGAAAATATACTGAATCGTATAAAGATTATCTTACATACTATAAATGTAATTATATATTATATTATATACTGAATATACGATAATTAAATACATAAATAAAGTACTAACTAATTATTTTAACAGTTAATATTGCCAATAGAGTGCGTATTATTACAAGAACATACAAAGTACTAGGCCAATGAAATTCGTTAGTAGCACCGTTGATTTATATATCAGTATGTACGTTGTGTTCCGTATGTTAAGTTGTGGTTTTTTTTTTATATGTGTTTAATAGATTCGTACTACCGTCTATCGCGTCCTTTAACTATATAAATAACAGTAGGTATTTTGCGAAAAATATATTTTATTTGAAAACTCTAATAATTTACATTTAAATAGTGTTAAATTCCGAATTAATAATTATAGTTTCTAGTTAAGTTAACAAATAATTTAAACTCTACCTTTTGGATACACAAAATAACATAATTGTTCACGCATGTTAAAATGATTTTATGTAAAAAGAGACAAGGTAAGTACTAAATCAATAATTTTAATAGAATAATAATTAATATATAATTTTAATATTAGATTTATTAACTATTTGTGATCACTCATCAGTTACTCAAAGTCGGTTGTCAAACATATTTTTTCTCTACATCAAAATTATTATTAAATGACTAGGTATTTTTAAAAAAAAATGTTATCGTTTAGTATTGAAATGCATACTACAAATGATTATGAAATACACTACACTTAATACTTATAATAAACGATGTTACAGAATAATTAAGTATTAAATTGCATATTACAAATAATTATAAATTATACTATATTTTTAATCAATAATACATACTACATTAATAGTATATTTAATAAAAAGAAAACTACATATGATTGCGAACTACAAAGAAAAACCTTAAAATTGTAATATTCACCAATGATTTAATTTTTAATAATTATTATCGACTTGGATTCATTTGGTTAAAATGTAATTAATAATACTATTTCAATGGACTATGTACTAATGTACGAACAATAAGTAGATATTACAAATTTAGTAACGTACAATAGGTACTACCAAATTTTTTTTCGTTAAGGCTCGTTATCATAGGTACACAATACAGTTTGCAATATGCCTACAAAGAGTACTAAAATTACCTACACAAAGGCGAATCAAGAGTTCTAGAGATAAAGAATATGGGTGTTTTTTTAATCCGAAACTAGCCATTCAACAAATTTAATAATTCTTTTTAACTTTAAAACTAATTATATTTACACTAAGTCTAACTTATCTTAATACATTAACATTGTAGCAACCCCCTCTCTTCCGATAAGTCATCGTACCTACTCAAATCCGTCTACTAGTTGATAACTATTAACTATATACGTAAGCAGCCTATTGATATATAAACGCAATAATAATAAATTAAATATAAAATCTCTCCTCTTTGAAACTCAGAAGTAGTTAAAAATTGACCCTTTAATTATGTAATTTAAACTAAAAAAAAAAACATTTATTAACGTATATGTTTATACACGTATAATATAAATGTCAAAATATTGGTCTATATAAAAAACAAAACTCATTACTTAAAACTAGACAAATAATAATTTAATTCCGTCATTCGAATAACATTGTACCTTAGGGTTTAAATGACTTAACGACAGTTATAGTACTCAAATTCCGAATGGGCAAGAATATACTTTTAAGTAAGCTATACAAGGCGAAAATTAAAACCCCAATTTTGTATTGCCTTAACACATCCACAATAAAACAATTTGGTGCGGGCAATTATACCAAATCGGTCCGTACACTAGAAACACCATTGAAAACAGCAATCTTAATTCTTAAAATGCGATAGAGCTAGAAATTTGCGAATTATTTATCCACAGTAAAAATGTAGAATGAAAGATATAGTATATATAACATAATATATTATTTGTTAACTAAGATTGGTCTTTATTTTGCTTGAATTATAATAACTCACTTATGTAATTCAGTTCTTTAATTACGGGTACTCGCTTATTTCATGCAATTGTTAAATTACATAAAAAAAAGAAACAGAAATTTGTTACAATAGAACGTTCTATACATACCTATTCCGCTGTACCATAATTATGCAATAAATGTGATATATTATTATAATTTATAAGTGAAGATAGAAGTAATAAAAGTATTTAAGTAACCATAGAATTAGAATAGCATTTGAAAAAAATGTACTGTGTTCGACCTCAATGTATTTATTTTATGCGTGATCATTTATCAGTGGAATTACAAGCGATGTGCTAGTTTGGCGTGTATTGTTAAGACTCCATTGACCGACAAATTGTTTTTACATTGAATCACATTAACATGTGCAGTAAACTATTATCAATAGAAAAACATATTAACAGATGGTTAATCTTGAAAATTAAAAAACAGAATATGATTATTAACTTAAACATATTACAAAATACCTAGCTACATAACTAGTGGCGTAAATATAAAAATTCGGTCGCGATGTGAAAAACCAAATGGATCTCTTTTGTATTCAGTTTAATTTTAGGCACAATTAGGTACATGCCTTTAATAGAATATTTTTAATGGGGTTTTTATTCTACTTTATATGTATATATAATATACATATAATTATATACTATTATATAATAGTACTATAATATAATAATAAATATCATTAATCATATAAAACATAAAACAATTAAAGTTTGAAAGGCACCCAGGACAATAGGGCCCCAATGCAGCTACATTGCCTGCATTCCCGTATTTACGCTACTGCCAACAGAAATGAAAAAAGCAAAATCTTTTTTGTTACCTAAGAAAAAAATTGATTAAAAATGAACGTCTATACGAATTTTACGATACCAAAATGACTTCTGTTTTTTCCCGGTACCCTTTAAATAAATAATTAATTAAATTACCGAATACATATCTATGGGCTATGTATAATTATGTTGCATACGTGCATCACATTAGTTACCACTGCAACAAAATGATTAGTTTTATTTTTATCAATAATTACTACAACAAACAAATACCTTACATTTATAGATTAGGATGATTAGATATGTATTTATCCACACTTCTAATTTCTAAGATTTATTAATATCGTGTTAGGCAATATCGCAATAGAATACTACAGTCCACTAGGTTAACATGGAACAAAATTAAATTAAATAAACTAAAATAATTTTTATGTATAATACATATTATAGAATAGTGTAAACGAAAAAGTTATTGGTAACTTCTTTATTGCGTTGGTCTCCACTTTCCAAATTGTCATTATACAGTTGTTTGACCAATGACCAGTACTAGGCCAAGTCTATAGCGTTCTGGTTTGCTTCTATAATGTCCATTTAAAAGATAATATTTTTTATCTTTTATGCTGGTATGCACCAATTGACCAATGCACAATATTAATGCAGATCACGATACAGAATATCATTAATAGTACAATATTACTAACCAAAAGACTCATATCCTTACAGATAATACAATATATAGTAATGACTAATGCTTATATTTGACAATAAGGAAAATGTACCTAACATATAAATATTTAAATTATTTATTATTTATTTTAGTTTTAGTGCAAAGCTAGAAAAAAAACATTTTATTATTTTTGAAAACAATCGATGCTATTTTAAAAGTTCGATTAATTACTAGATGAAGATAAAATAGGTACAACAAATATGGTTATTAATAATAAAAATATAATTAAATTTCACATTCGATGAAAATAACTAATCTAATATGTAGACTTTATATTTTATGAAATGGAATATAAAATTATAATTGGGTATAGCACAATGGATAGGAATAAAATGTATATTCGTTATATATTATGATTATAATAATTATTTCCATTAGCTGTTAGCAATATCCAATATCCAAGGTTTAAAAGACGAATTAATAAAAACAATTTAAATAGCCACTATTTTAAATAAAATGTATGTTTTAGTCATGTTTTAGACATTTTAGTATGGTAGTTTAATAACTAAACTACCAACTAAACTTTATGTGGTACAACCGGCTGTCAGACATATCATTTTTTTTTCACTTTAGATTCCTCCCTTAAAAAAGTTAAAGTTATAACGCATAAACTTATTGTTTGAATTAGAATCAACAAAATACATATAATTTTGAAAATGCGTATGTAGTACCTACCAAATATATTTTGTTCTGTGTTTTTTTAATAAATGATACTTGAAAAACTTGATTATACATAGTTTAATAACCTATCAATGCATATGTCCATGAATGTGACAAGCACTTTATTATGATTATTTTTAAATCTTCTACACTACGTAAAATTTAATAGTTTCAATAATATTCATAAAGTTTACTTTTATTATTTATACATATTAAAAAAAACTTTATATAGATAAAATATTTTTAGAATATTTCTTTTTAACTTTTTACTATCTGAAAAAAACATTTTTAGCAATTATATTAACTAAACTAATTTATAGTGTTTTGGTTATTTTAGAATTTTTTCCTATTTAATAATAGTTAGTATTTATTTTAAGTGTTATTCCTATGCTTTGTATTGATATTTTGTGTTTCAAAAATCGCCATGTTAGCACATTTAGTACAAGCCGATAGCATATTTTTTCACCTTACTTTGTTCTATATTTCACAACAACTATATAATTATAATTATATAATTATTATATACAATGAAGGTTAGCTTATAAAAGTAACTCTTTCAAATTGTGTTGTGCTATGCTTCGAAATGACTGACCTGGAAGAGATACATCATTTACTGTAGCAGCTTCTTAAATACTAACATTCATATGGACTGTATTTAAAAAAAAGTTAGTTGTTAGTTCCAAAAAATATCGTGGTTGTAAATGCAACAATTGTATTTATAGTTATTAGTTACGGACTTAAATGTTATAAAAACGATTTATGCGTGCACCGCATTGATTGATTTTTTGATGGTATATATATTGTTCTGACATCGTTTTATCACGTGTTCAAAATTTTAATCAGTAAATCTTATTTTGTTTTACGTGAAACTAAACAATAAGTATAAAATGAATTTAAAAAACGACAATCACGACTATTTGTAGTCCACTGTTTTATTAGTACGACCTTCTGAAAGGTTAAAATAAATTATTATGCTTCAACCGACCTTGCTGACATTTATTTATTTATTTATTACTATTATTTTGTTATTGGGTGTTCTTAATATTTACTCGTCACATGAAATTTAAAATACCAATATATACCTTATATTATTGCTCTTTGTTGTATTCAACGTGCCATAGACAAATAATACAGACGAATTCAATTAAATATAAATATGTATAGTAATGTCTTAAGAAAATTTAAGTATTTGATTTGTGTGATTTGAATAATCATAAAATATCACTTTATATTTTATCTGTATATTGCATTTCAAATATATGTTATATAGATTGGTACCTACAGTCATTAGAAATTCCTATCTAAACACTTGAATTATTTTAATCTAATATTTAAACACAAAACAATTAGTATGGTCATCAGTAATAAATGAGCCTAAAGGTACTAACTATTTGCTCGATTTATTTATTTACAACAATAATAATTCTATTGATAACGATTATTGATTATAATGATTATGTAACATAGGGACCATGATGTGGAGAATGTATTTTTATTTTAATGAATAATTCAAAAAGTTTTTGTAGTTTTTAATTATTAAATAAAATATTTCAATATATTTTTAAAACAATAAAACATAATAATTTTATAAGAATACAGTTCTTTACTCAAGACAGATTCATAATTTCCTGATAAGTACCAACATATTTGTGAAATGGCTTGTCATTAAAAGTTACACATTCAATATTCATAAGTATTATTATGAAACACGTGAAAAAATATGTCATCAATTAGGCTTTTTCATACTATAGAAACAGATAAAATACACAATAGTCACTTTATACAAAATATGTATATACATAGTTTTCACAAGCAGTAATGTGTTGATAACGTTTAGCAACACAATATTTATTAAAAGTTATACATATATAAATTATGCATTTTTTATACTTATAAATTATCAATATCAATTATAGTTAATAATACTTATATTTCGCTTAATTATACTTGACAAACATGTCTAATCAATAATAATTATTACTTCGTTAACTATTTAAGTCTTAAGTATACTTATATTTATTAATGTTAATATATTAAAAATGAAATTTTAGGTGGTGTGTATAATAGAAAAGACAGCCCCAATAGTCTTAGAGGACCTATGAAAGCGGCTAGACTCTGTATTTTAAGTTTACTCATACCTGGAATTTTAGTCATAGCTCCTCTATACATTCGTTACCATGTTTATTCAGATCAAAAATATCCTTTGGCAGCTACTGACATGAGAATAATAGATCAGAGCATATCAACATTTTGGTGTCAGGTAAATGTTAATAATTGTTACCTATTATTACAATAGTTACAGCGTTATGCAATACTTGTACTACAACAATACGATAGTAAATATTGTTTTTTTATTAATAATTTTAGCGTCAAGTCCTAATTACAAATGCAACCTTTAATGCGTTTTTGATGCCAGAAAAACCAAAAACAGCATCCAAAACAGAGTTTGTTGAAATGGAAAGGCATATAACATTAGAAGATGATATCAAAGAATATTGGGGATTTTATTTACTTAAAGATTCTGTCGTAAAAGTTTCAACATGTTCAAGGTAACCCGTAATATTTGGTAATAAATGCACCGTAATTTTGTTTTTTTATTCTTTAAATTTAACATTCATCAATTTGTTATGTACTTATGACTATATAAACAATTTTATATGTAATCATACATAATTGTTCGAAATATTTTAGAAAAAAATGTTTAGATCCCAAGTCCAAAAACTACCCTTCAAAAAAGCGAATTAAAAAAAGTTTCCACTCCTATTAAAACTTAAATCCTTCTTGGGGACGTGTGATATTCTGTTTACTGTGTGTCTGAAGTGCTATATCTAATATCAAATAATCAAATCAGTATATACGAATGTCCGGATAATTTATATTTTCCCTATTACTTATCAAAGTAGTTTTTGGTAACTTCAGTGTTTTGTAAACTTTTCTTTTGTATCAACAGATGGCCAGGGGCAAGTTTGATAGTAATTAAAGGACATAAACATTTAAGAGAATGTGCGTACATAGGAGATAATTCCAGTGAAGAGCTTGACGAAATCGAATCATCCGAAGAGGGTAATGATACACATATTCCAAATTTCATGAGGAAACTTACTGCCGGCATGACCGTTCCAGACATGGCACCCGATGTAGTGTATGTAACCTCGAACATGAGTGATAATAACGGAAACCGTAAATATATCAAGCAATCTAGTAAAACGGTCAATCACCATTTAGACTTTGCAGAAGACTTATATCAAAAAGAACTGAAAGAAAGAATTGAGAATGAAGATTACGTGGTACAAAATAAAAAACAAAAACACGTTTACAATGGAGAGGCAATAAAAAACATACCTCGATCAAAAGAACTAATAGAAGAATCACTAAGGAAACTGGGTACTCAAGGTAAAGACGGAGCTGCGCTTCTACAAAAATTAAAAGAAGTCCTTGAAAATAATTTAAATGGTACGGTCAACAATACGGAAGACTCAACTGACCGGTTACGCCAAATTATTGCAAACGCAATGGCCGATGACAACACATCTTGGCGAGGACCTAGGTTAAGGCATTACCGCAACCGATTTAAAAGATCTACAGCAAACAATGACCAACTAAAAGAAGACCTTTTTAAACACGATAAGGAAAATGACGCAGCCACCGAAGAGGTACTTACATTTTTATAAATATGCAAATTTAAGGTTATAAAATATATACTATAGACGGAAAGGGATACCCCTCCACCCCTTAATATAATTTTAGCCCCACCAACTGTTTCATGTTCGTCTGTATCAATGAATTAAATATGGAGATTGTTTTTGTGCACGAAAAAAGTAAATACTTCTTCTTCTTCTTTATCTTCTCGTTACACTCCAAACTACAGGGGGTTGGCCACCCTAGTCCTACTACTCCATAGAGCTTGAACTTCTACATCTCCGTTCTTAAATATCTTCGTTTTACTCCTACTAATCCTCAGTCCTTTCCCTTCAAGCGCTTCTCCCACTCTTCAAGTCTCTCGCCCAATTCTTCCAGACTTTCCCCACTAACACTACGTCATCCACAAACATCATACACCTCCCCTTGTTTATATTTCGTAAACTCATCCATTACTAAAGAGAACAAGTAAGGACTCAATGCTGAACTTTGATGCACACCTACTCTTACACTAAAATCTTCCGTTTCTCCACAAACTCTTCACTCTTGTACTTGCCCCTTCATACATTTCCTCTATTACTTTCCCATACACCCTCGGCACTCCTTTCTTGCTTAACGCCCACCTCAAAACCTCTCTGGGAACACAATCTAAATCTATAAATACCATACACAGTTTTATTTTTTTCTTCCTTTTTTTCACAATTTGCCTCATACTAAATATTGGTTCCATAGTCGATTTCCTTGGCATAAACCCAAACTGATATTGTAGTCTCACTTCGTATTCTCTTAATACGTTTAATGTCCGTTATTCCCATCGATCGGGGCTTAAACGGATTAAATTTGGCATTTTTGGGCTTATCGACTTAACGCCAAGAGAGAGGTAGCCATTTCTCTCTCCACCTCCTCCACAGTTGCCCACCCGGAGAAACAAACTGCCAGTGGCCGAGAATCGGCGACCATGCGTGTTGGTACACTGCCGCCTTATCTCACTCCGCCATGCGCCTGTCCCTTTAAGAATTCAGAGTATAATAATGAATTGTTTATATGTTAAGGTTGACGCAATATCACCCGACGGGATTGCACAAGTTCGCGGCAAGGTACTAGAAAACGGAACACGTATGATCAAAGATCGTAGTCACAGTGAGTTTTGGTCGTCGTTTTCCAGTAGTGAAGAAATACTATTGGAGTGTGAGGGCTTACTATTGAGTCTGCCTTTAGCGCCACATTCGAAATGTTTACCACCTAACAAGCAACCGGATTATGAAGCAGCCAGCTATTCGAATTCAGTCACTTACAAGTAAGTTGGTTTAATGACAATTCTACACCCACGTTTTCCAAAAATAATCTGCGTTTTCTTACATTTAATCGATTACATTTTGAATTATGATTTTTTTTTTTTAGAGTTCCGAGTGATGGTTATTATTTTTTTGTTTTCAATAGTGAAAACGAAATCCAAGACAATTTTATACGTATCCATTTTGCTATAAACAAAACGGTGTATGACGTATCCCAGTCAATTGTTTCTTGTATTAATACCACTGGAGAATGTCAATTACCATTAAGCTTTTGGTCAAGTCAAACAGCTGTTTTAGAAATGTTAAGACCCGGACCGAAAAGTGATTCTGATGACGAATTCATAGCTATTTCCGTATGCCATCCTAGGTCTGCTATTTATGCTATTTGTCTGATAACAGCGCCCATTATGTTTGTATTATTTTCCTTCCATTAACAATGTGTCACGGTGTCTAGAATGTAGCAATAATACAGATGTACACAGGTCACAGTACACTATAAAGTTAATTGCAAAAACAAACCCAACACGTACAATAAATAAATAAAAAGTATAATACACAAAAAGCTAATATGTATTTAAGAATTTAGAACAAATTAATACTTAATATTTCTAGTTACATGCCAATGTTTAAAAACTGATTATAATCATAATTCATAAAGTAAAGATTTGGAGTTACTCATACGTTTATATTTACGATTCTTGTTTTATAAAGGACTGACTTAATCATTTATGAAAATATTTTATATCTAATGTGTAATTATAGTTAAAGAGACTTGATAATTTTTTTTATAAAAGAAACTAAATTAGTAAATTATTATTAAACGTCTTTGAAATTTATAATATATTCATAATTTTCATTTCTTAAGACTGAATCCCTTTATTATACGTAATTTTTAATTATCTGTGATCAGACATTCTAGTTATTTATCATTAATAGCGTTGACATGCAATTCTATATTTTCAATCGGCTGTTTTTGATAAAAGTATTTATATTTTTTCTAAATATGAATTTATGTTAGGTTTTAAGACAATGTGAAATGTGTTGCTTGTATATTATATTTACTTCAAGTATAGATTCGTAATTATTATGTTGAACTATAAAATTACACATGTCAAATTACTCTTTATGGTCCTACTTAGAAATGTTTGTTAAAAGTTTAAACAAAATTGATAGAACTGGATAATAAAATACCTAAAAATATTGAAATCCAGACAAACATATTTAAATCTAAATAATATTGATAGAGTTAGGTTATTTTCATCATACAAATATATTTAAATTAAATAATATGTATAAAATAAATGTATTTCTTCAGTATAAATAACGAACAACTATAACTATTAATTATTATAGTTAATATTTTTCGTAAAATGTATGTGATATATAAAAATATTTATTTAACTGTAAATTGTATGTATTTATGTTATTACTTACATCATATATTAGGTTTTATTATAGGTCAACATTATTGTTTTTCTTTATGTTGTTAGTTGTTACTGTTATTATACATTTTTAACTATTGTTTTATTTGTGTATTGTTATTTTTATGTTATAAATTATACTATATCAATATCAGAATAAATGTTAAAAGTCACTGAGTTACCAATATGATGTGTCATTTTATTTGACTGTTGTCAATTGTTAATTTTATTTTTTAAAGTAGTAAAATACATTTTTTTAAATTTTATGTTACAAAATTTTTGACTTAGAGCTATTTTAACTATTCTAATTCGTGAAAAAATGTGTTTACACGCTAAACAATCTTTATTTAAAAAGCAAACTGTAGTTTTAAGGAGAATTTATGGGTAAACACAGTGAGATATAAAGAAATTCAATCCTCATAATAAAACAAACTTAACAGTTAAAAACCAAACACGTAATGGGTCGTATTTGCATGTTTCTCCTTAGGACACATAGTACACTAACAATTAGACATTTGAAAGATATTAATCGCATAAAAAAATATGAAATTAGTGTAACCACTCATGGAATGGGTTCACCGTACATCATTGTTTATGTTATAGTAATATTGAGTAGTTTTTAGACAGAAGCTCAATTTTATTTTAAAGAAAAAATTAACTCTCAGGCGTTATTACTGGTTTTTGTAAAATTACAAGAAATGCACTGTATATAGTACATAATACAATTTCAATGCACCCATCAATGATCAATTGTTTTGTGTATATATATATATATATATATATATTTTTTTTTTTAAATCTGATCGTGTGAAAAGAAACCAAAAAGAATCAATTACGATTAATCTAATTATAATGGACATGTGCCCAGTAGCTTAGTCCCTTTGAATTCTATTGTTAGATTAAAAAAAAAATAGTAATACTCAATGACTTATATTAGCTGGCCACAAATCCCGCCTATCGTCGGGTAACACTTACACGCGTCGTAAACTCAACAGGACACGTGCCATTAGTAGTTATCGTGTATCAACAGGCGCTAGCCTTTCGCTATGATTTAAAAGTCAAGCGATCATAGGATAGGAGGAAATCACTGGTGAATTAACAATTAAATCTAAATATACCCTTCGAAATAAATTAATCGCTTTATCGCCAAAACTTGTACTAAACGCTTTTACGTTATTGATGGTGCTTAAAAAAATTTCATTTCATCATAAATCAAATAACAATTTGACGAAAATGTGATTTGAAATGTTTAAACAATAATTTGTTGTTGCGCTTTTTTATGGCTGAACGCGGGTTAATCGCATATTTGCATCGAGCAATATTATATTATACATTTAAAAAACTCTTTTACATGACAAAACGCTGTACAGTATGTGTTAACAGTGAATGTGAAGGGAATTTTTCAATATGTTTTATTACTTTACATTGTATTACTCCACAAGCTTGCTAAGCGTTTTTCTAGATTAAAAGAAATCGGCTAACATAAATTCAAACGTAAAATCTTATGCTTATAAATAACAACGATTTTTTTTTTATAATACATGACTACCATAATATTGTCTCGCATTAAATATATCTAAAATGCATACAATCCCGTTTGCTGAACATAATAAAATTGTTAAAATTAGCATGCACTTAGTCATAATTTCGATCGTCGTAAAATGCAATACGATTTTAAGATATCCACTTATTAACGCCTTACGCCTACCATCGAATAGGTTCAAACAATTTGACTGGTACAATTGGCCACGCGCACGTAATAAATACTGGGCAGCTTTATCGTATACACAATGTGCTATTTAACATATAAAATATACACACATTAGTATTTTGCTATGAGAAATTGATTTGGCGACACGCGGCCACCAAACGCAGCCATGTACCGTACGAGTTGACCCCTGCACCGGCTTGGATTATCGTTCTAGGAGATCCCTGCCGTGGCACTCAATGCGAATATTATTATTGGCTTAATCCAATGGTCGACGCTCGTGTTGCGTGTGCGCCCCTTTACTGTTATCGTTAGACGCTGAAATGTAGCGCGTGGCCAGTGCACGTGCGCGAGTTTACCCTGTTCAACCCTCGCTGCAATCACTCGTTTACCCCTTATTTCCTTTTGCACACACACACACACACACAACTGAAGTTATTATATAGGTATAACCTGGGCACCGTGAACTAAAAGATTTTTTGGTTCCAAGTCACATCCTAACAAAGTTAATTAGATCTAAATAGTGTCAAAATATAGTATATACCTACATAACACAACATTAGACACTTAGTTGCACTTTTCTGGGCAACTGAACAATTTCGGAGCATATTTATTAATAAATAAATTACAAAACCAAGACTATATTTATATTTACGGTTAGGCTTTTGAAGCAAAACTTTTTATCTTTTACCGAGGAACCCTAAAAAAGGTCACGTAAACAAGTAGATAAACTCTTGATATTTTTATTTATTCATAGGTAATTGGTAAATATGCCCTTAAAAACGCTCATGCTTGATATTCATACTATTTTATACTAATTTTAGCTTTAGTTTTATCGAAAAATGTTCTATACTCTACTCGTAATATATGTGGTTTGACGCCTTATTATGGACCCTGGACGTGGCTATTTATTGGAGTATGTACTATGTACACTGGTTGATTAAAATAGTAGTATACAAATTATAATAAGTTATACTATACAATTATTATTTTAGATAAAATATTATATAATAAATAATAAAATATATATTTTCTAAATGGGGGGGGGGCTTTAATAATTACTGCGAAATATTGCCAAATTGAGTCGATAATTTTATGGAACTTAGCTAGATATGCCCTTTTACAACAACCATCCAAAAAGGGAAAATAGAAACCCTATGAAAATCACTAAAAACTTTTAACCTCCAAGTGCTCTTTAATTACGAAAATTCAATAGTAGTGTAAACAAGAGGATTTTTAAGATGCGACTGTTTGGAGATTAACTGTTACAATGGTGGTACAATAATAGAACGCTTCCACGTAGTGTACCCCGGTCCTTCTTTAGACGGCTTAAGTTCTATCACCCCTCTGGCAGAAAATGCCATACGAATAAATAAAAACTGTTAAGATATGGATTTTATATGTAATTATTTTTCGACATCTATAGATGTTTAACAAGGTGATATATAAGTAGAATGATACTATTTTGTAGACGAAAACAATTTCATTATCACACGTGGAGATTAAACATTATTAAGAATTAAGATAAATGAAAATTTAAACTGAAGTACCACGTACAATGTATACCTACTAACCTACCTAATAACTTAAATGTTTCTATAACTCAATTATCAAATATTCTATGTTTTATATTTTATGCTCGTATGTATAGTATTGTAAATTAAATAACCATTAGAATACTTATAATCAGACTTTTATAAATAGTATTAGTACTTTGAAAATCCCATGAAATTACAGATGATTATAACTAATAATGCTATATTAATAATTACTTATAATGCAAACGACAAAAGTTAATTCCTACAATACCTACTACCTACTAATATAGAATAGCACTACTCTAGTATAAAATTTAAATACAAATATTTACCTTTACTAATTGAAATTTGAAAATCATGTAAAATACATCCCATACAAGTACAGACTTAATCAATTGTAATGTATGTATTTTTTTTTTTTAATCGACTGTGTTGTATGCGTTGCACCGTTTACTGGGAATATATAATTTAAAAATAGGGATTATTTAAGTACTATTTTTCTTTATAAAATAAATTATATCATTAATAATGTCTGAGTGGAAGCATTAATGGTGGCGCAGTAAAATTGCTAAGGGTGGGTCGTAATCAGACGCAAGTGTAAGTGTTAAACAGCTGGTTGGTTGTCAGGGTAAAAATGGGCGGTCGCTGCTCACCCTTTTGTACCTTTTAAAATCTTTATTACCACCCTCAGGGATCGAAACTTGTGATTATAGATTATACAATTTTTTAGTCACTTTTACTTTAAGTGTTCATCGTCCAACTTGTGTTTATAATATTTGAGAAATCAAGTAGGTAAGTTTATATTTTTACAGTTGTATGTTATTATTGTAAATATATATACGTGTGTCGTGCGGTTTGCAAAATTGTTAACTAAATTTAGGTACTACAACATCAGTCGTTGTGTTTAAAACAACTGATACATTTGAATAAACGCAGCAAATTTTGCTCAACTATACATTTCCTTTAAAAACAAAACAAGCATCAAATATCTTTCTTTTGCATTTTCTCAGCTTCTTTTTAATATACTTATGTGACAAATTAAATTGTTTAGAGAACATATAGAAGCTAATAAAAAGTTAAGACCAAATATGGTTTGTATAAAAAAATATTTTCTTCCATTAAGTAATTGTTTTTTTCATAGTTGTACATTTCATAATTTACACTAAAATTATAGTAACAATTTACCAGTAGATATAGCAAGCTGTATTCGTAATTAAAATAATAATTTTCCTCTATTTTGTTTGATTTTAAATATTTTATAAAAAATCATATAGTCCATATATTAATTTTAAAGACAAAACTTTTAAAATTTTCATTTGAATACATTAGAACACAATAAAATAATCAACATTATAGCCATAACAATTTAGCTTGGATATTTTTAAAATATAAATAATCCATAATAAATGATACAATAAAATAGATTAGATTTTTACTAAATTAGACTTCAGATGAAATTCCTAAATTGAATGAAGACTTGCTAAATTAGATTTAACGATTGTAAATCGTTAAATGTTACCATAATATTATAATATCTTAAAGTATATTTACTTATATCTTTAGGATTTGGTGAAAAGTACCTTGGTAAATATGCTGAAGAGTCAACTTATACAGCAGCAACTATCAAATGAATCAAGAGACGAGTCATCGTCGTCCCGAGTAGCTGCTCTGTTTGGGTCTGACGAAGAATGCGAGTTGACATCAGATGAATTGACTTCTGGAGACGAAGACCCATCGTCGGGTAGTCAATCGACCAGTAACCGGCGGTTTCCTATTATAGATTCCCGGAAGCCCTGCACCGTTACTAATTCCCGAGAACGCTGGCGACAACACAATGTCACAGGCGCCTTCGCTGAACTCCGAAAGCTCGTGCCAACTCATCCACATGACAAGAAACTATCGAAAAACGAAATTTTAAGAATGGCAATTAAGTAAGAACTAAATGACAATCGAAACAAATGTTGACTAGCGAATGACGCACGTAGTATAAGCAAATATTCTATTTAATTAGCTTCCATATAAAACAAGTTGAAACGTCTTTATAAAAATAGTAACGGAAAAAACTACTTATTAAAGTTCACTGCTCAAAAGCTATCCAGAAATGTAGACTATTGTATTTAAAATAAATAACCCTTAAAATGTAGTTAATTTTATCATGTAATTTGAGTTAAACGATCTTAAGGACGTAAAAAATTGTCTAATTCGAAGACTTTTAATGTAAAGTATAATAGAGATATTATCTTGACCACTGTCCGACGCAATGGTCATGCGTTAGTATGACAGTTTATACTTAAAGTTTATCTATGGAACAATTAAAAAAAACCTATAGTATGATCCTAATTTTTAGTACCTGGCCACTTAATAGCATTTTCTACTAGCTAGTAGTTAATACTTTGGAATTGTAGCCATAGGTATAGTTATTTGCAAAAAAAATATTGTGTCCGCCCACCAGAAATTTTTTTTTGCTGGCTTTGGCTTACGCCTTATCGAATACCATTATTAATGATGGCCTCTAATTCCTACTTTAACATCACAATCTAAATAATTAAAAGTTAATTTATTAATCTTTTTTCTAGGTATATTCGCCTTTTAAGTGGTGTACTCGAATGGCAAGAGAGCCAACAAGATATCAGCAACAATAACGAGGATTGCGTTGATAATAACATTTACAGATTGCCGCAAAAAAAATAATACTCAACAAAGTAAAATCAAATTTCATTAAGCTAATTATTAAAAACTGAAAAAAAATCCTGTACATAATGATAATGTTAACTAATATTATAATTACGATATTCCTGTCAGGATCGAAAAGATTTTCTCAAAAATCTATAGTCAAATTTCTAAAAATGTTTTATTAAGGAACACCCCAAAAAAAGGGAAAATTTAGCCTTTGGCCGTAGTAAATTTCCAGGTAACTATGTGTGAGTGAATCAACAGACAACAGATAATGAACATACTTTTATTTTATTGTAGGATACATAGGTAAATTATAATTCGCTTTGATCTTTCTTGCAATGATATTTTGCGCATCATTACTTTAATATAAGCTTTCTGAACACAACACGCAGCACTACATAGGTGATTCGTTAGTCGAAGTTTAATTTGTATGCTCTATACTACCAACTTATTAAAATATATATACTTAGCATTTAAATAATTTGTATTCATTGTAAACATATTATATTTACGTTTGCGATAATTGACTTCATAAAATAAATAGATAAATCGTTGCTTGGTTTTACAAATGTTGATTGTTATTTATTAAGAATTACAAAAAAAAAAATCTAAAAACAGTTACCTAATATAAAAAGTCGACCAATGTTGAATTATAGTATTAGTAGAGCCAACATGGTTTACCTTAACCATTATTTATTACCATTGTGATTTAAATTAAAAATGTATCAATGATGCATGCATGATACAAATAATAGGAATAATATATGAACTATAATATAGCTTTGGGCTCTTTTTATATATTTTTTTAATAACAAAAATTTAGCCTATCCGCCTCTGTTTTAGAGTATTATTTTTTTAAATAGTTTATTACAGTAGGTACTCATAATAATGTTATAAAATATGTTCTAATCCATTTGGAGCTACATAGACTCGTTTTAGAGCAATAAAGTCCAATTTCTAATATAAAGAATATAATACTTATTATTCAAGGATGTAGTTAGTTGATTTATGATAAATCAAGTTTTTCAATAGTTTATTAACGAAAACCTAATTTTTAAATACGTTCAGATGGCTGAAACTTGACTACTAAATTAATTATACATTTTTACTTGGTAAGTCTATAAAACATATATGCGCGACCATTATTTTACATTATAATATGTGTATCAATCAAATGAATTTAGTGATTCCTTAAATATCATATAGTTGTTTGATAAATTTGGTTTTAATAGCCAATCAATTTGTACATTTTTAGTCATTATTAAGACTGATTTGTTGACTTAACAAATTGTTGCTATTTATAATAGAATGTTAGTACTTTTTGTTGTACGCATACATAGCGAAGAAAATATATACAAATTTTTTGTAAAGCTTTATTTATGAAGTTTGGTTTATATTAAAACTAAATACTCTAATCAAATTGTAGTGATCATAAAAGTTTTTGGGGATCATTGATCTGTAAATTCAGGAGGGAGAAAATTACAAAATAATAATGATTTTAGGTAAAAGTAATAATTTTTTATAGCAGTTATTTTATTACATACAACTACAATATCATACATAATATGTATTTCATGAATGAACAATTAAGATTTAAAAAATTATCGTCAAAAAATAACTAAACAAAAGAAATGATTATTCTGTCTTAAAATACTGACAACACATAAAAAATCGCCAAAAAATTAATTCTAGTATATTAAGAAGTAAATAAAAGTAATAATTCATTTAAACAGGTATAAAAAAAACTAATGTTTACGTAAGTATTCACTGTATCTTATAGGTGTATTCCAAACAGCACTTGAAGTTCGTTGACGATCACGAATATTCCAGCCTTTAAACATTTCTTTAAGACTAAATTGCTTAGGGCAGTCAAAAAATAGATCTCTACTTTTAGAGTCAATGTGATACTGAAGTTCAAGTACAACTTTTCTATTTCCACCTAAAATACATTTTAAGTAAAAGGTATTAACTATTTTACATTTTTTTTTATTATTATTACAATTACATACGTTTTGCCCAATCTGGAACTGGTTTTTTAGGTCCAGATTCATCTTCAGAAGAATCACGAGCAGATATATCATTTAAACCATAATCATCACTGGTTACAAGCTTTTTAATCTTAAATTAAAAAAAAAAAATGAATAATGTAAAATTTTAACAATAGAATCACACATAGAAATTAGATATTTAATAACTGGAGGTAAATTCACTGTATAAGAAGTCTATTTCTTAAAAAAACATTTTGCTGCTAACATGTTTGAGCAAAAAATGTATTGATTCTGGAAAAACTTAATTTTTTTAAATTTATGTATTGTTAAAATGGTACACTCACTTGGTTTATTTTGGATTTTAAAGGTACTGTTGGTTTAATAGGTAGTGGTTTAGGCAAATTGGATTGTGTAGTTTTTAATGATATTGGAATAAATTTTTCAATTCTATAAATAATTATTTAAATTATCTTAAATTAATTATTTAGTCACAAATTATGTTAGAATACAACAGTAGTTAAACTTACTTCTTAGTTTCATTTTCTTTAATTTTAGCTAAACGTTCCGCTTCTGCTTTTTGCTGCTGGAAATATTCATAATAATTAAATACAATAAATATTATGATAAACGAATAAATTAAAAATATTTTGAATAGTTACCAATTTCATCAGTTTCAATTCTTCAGCTTGTTTACGTTTAGCATTAATTTCTGCCAATCGAAGCTCTGCTTGCTTTTGCTTTTGTAATGCTCTTTCTTTTATCAATAACTCTTTTTCACGTTGTTTTTCTTCCTTTATCTTTTTATCTTCAGCTGCTTTTTTCAATTTTTCTTCTATACGTTTAAATTGCTCTTCTCGTTGTTTAGCAACTTTTAAGTGTTGCTCATCAAATTTCCTACATTTGAATTTACAATAAAATAATAAAAAGTTCTTATATCAAATTATTACTTTTTTTTTGGTAAACTACATTGCTATAATGACAAAGACAAGAAATATCTCCAGAAATTCTTGGATGATTGCAACAGTGACAATAAACAATTTGTTTCTAACCCTTTTGACAGTTATACATGAAGTTTTTATATAAAATTGTCAAAACCGTAAAAACACTTTGTGCTATTTAAAGAAGACTGTCCATCATAAAAATTAAAAAACAAAATGTAAGTACAGTAATAATTTTTACCTATATTTATACATTTTACTAATTATAAATAGTTACATTTTAAATTTATACATACGTTTGATCGGCTTTGCTCTTGAGATACTTTTCTTTTCTTTTTTCAGCTTCATTTACTTTATCGTGAATAGTTGGTTGAGCGACTTCAATTGGTTTTGCTAAAAGTGTAACTTGCTTTTCCAAAGGCACTCGTATAACATTTACTGTATTTTGTTCTTCTTTCTCAATTTTTCGTTTTTTTGTTCTAGTCATATGAAGTGAGGTTGTTTCTTCAACATTACTGTTGTTATCTTCACTTTTTTCTTTCGATGAAGATGTTTGATTGCTAAGATATAACCATAAATAAATAGTATTAATTAAATTTGTATAGTAAACATCATTATTATCTACACATAATTTATAATTGTGTACTTAAATGCAAATAGGAAAAAGCTAACATAAATTAAAAGCTTTCAAGTATAATATTAGTATCCCAAAAACCCAAGTTTTTTAAGTAGATATTACCTTTCACTTATACTTTCAACATTTATCGCTGAATCTGATGATGAGCGTTTCTTAGAACTTTTTTTTTTAGATACAGCACTTTTTTTTTTGGTAGTCTGTTTAATTTCTTTAGTTGTTGTTGTATTACTGTTTTCATTTGTAAGTTTATATGTTTCATTTGGATTACTTGGCTTAATATAAGTCTCATTTTGATTCTCGGGAGAGAACAACTGCGGAGACAAACACTCTTCAATATTATCATTACATTTTTTGCTTGCAACAAATGTTGAATTAGCTTTAGGGAAATCCATTGTAGTTATATCCATTAACGTAGATATTGCTCTAGCTCTACTAGCTCCTATACAAATAGGACAAAATTTAAAAATAACTTCTAATCAAATAAAATAATATAAGTATTACTTGTTGATGAACTAATTCCCGAAGATTTTCTCAAACTTTTCATTTTACCTGCAGCAGCCTAAAACAAAGATATGTTAAAATACACATAAAAGTGTTAACTTAATTATTTTTTATTATAAAATTATTTAGTGCAATTATCTTTAAATTTAAAACATACAATAGACGCCTGTCTTTTAGTTCTACGAACAGGTGGAATTGCTGGTGGTTGAAAACTTGGTTCACAAAATAGATCTCCAATATTTGATTTTTTTGCTTCTAAAAACATTGATTTAAAATATAATTACTAAAATGTAACAATTAATAATCTACAGTATGAGATTATTTCCATAGAATAAAACGAATTACAAAAGAATGATATAGTATAAATAGACGGAGTCCCTTGTTTTGGTTATAAGTTATAACTTATAACCAAAAAATAATAGAGCAGAAGAAATGAGAAAAATACTTGGGTTATAAGTGTACAACATTCTTGTTTATCTAGTCCTGTTTTGCTCAATTTAGTATACATGCATACTATAGCAGAACGTTAACTTAACAATAATATTAATCTCGTTTTAAGAATTTTTAGTTTTTTTTTTACCAAGTATATTTACTCACTAGATTGTCTTTTTGATGTTTTGATTTCAGGAGCATACAATGTTGGATCTTTTTGCACAGATGTTAAGAAGTCATTATATACGACGTCTAATTTTAAAGTCTGTTGCTAAATTCATTAAATAAAACATAGAAATAAAGGTGTTATATTCTCAGTCAATAACAATTAAGGCCTAATTTTACTAACATTTGAATCGTAGATTATTGTAATTTAGCCAATTTTGCCCGATTAAACCACTAATAAAAACATTAGGGAAATCGGGCCTTATTAATCTAATTAAAACCTTGTTTATACTTACCTCAAAACAATTTTGAATATCTTTAAAGCAATTCTGAGTTAATTGTGCCAAGTCTTTCCAAATAGCCAACATATTCATAGATTGCTCCATTGTTAGTTTTTCTATTCTAAAAAATGATATTCATATAAAACATAAAATAATAATTTACACAACAAAATGTTTACAACAAACTGAATTAAATTGATTAGAAATTTGAATTATCATACAATGGATTGATATTAAATTTAAGAAAATGAAATACAATAACTTACCAAAGTGTAAATTAATTAAAATGTAATAAAATCTGGTATTATTAAAAAGAATGATATACTTGAAACTTAATAATAAAACCTAGAATTATTTAATAGATTAGTAAACAGTATAATAATTCTTAATATTTGAATTTAAAATATATTGTAAAGAATTCTTTAATAATTTGTATTTATAATTTAAGAATAACGATTTTACTTATAATCTTAAACTTCATCAAACACAACATATTATAACGTTCGTCGTACTGTGTAGTGTGTACATAGTACAATATACTACATAATGCATTTTTCCGTTAAAAAATTTCTGGATTAATGCGCTGTGCACACTGCGCAGGCATAAGCGTACAGACTATTCTGTGCTATGCTCAACAAGGCAATATAATAGGTATGTCACCATCACATCATATCAATTCTTACAATATGGCAGGTAGACGTGTTCACCTATAGGAATACACAACCGCCGGAGAATACTAGCGCCATTTTGCGCTTATCAGAAGTTGATAACATACCGGGTTTTTTTACCTAACGCACTTTAATACTCCTTGGAAAATATGTATTTACCGAATACTTGTGGTTTGCTCGTTTTGGCAAAAAGTGTACACTTTTTCACAACAAGTGTACACCATGGCTTTCATTTTTAAAATAGTGTAGTCGTACACGCTGTTTGTTTTAAAAAAATTGTTGTATCAGTGTACACTTTTTTCACACCGACCTCTAAGTATGTGTGGGACCTAATTTTCGGTGATAGTCGTTATCATATTTCTTATCAACTAATATCAACTAATTTTTATAATAAATTCTACTATCAATAGAAAAAAATTATCAGTTGATTAATCTACATTCTAGTATTCTACACCAAAAACGTTTGTTTTGAAATACCACTAACCACACCTGATCAATCCTCTTACACTTAGACTTGTGACTTGTCCCAGGCTGCAGGCACTACACTAATAATTAGAGTACACTTTTTTTCAAAACGAACTAGGCTATTATGTGACATTTTTGTTATCTTTTGTACATTGATATAAGGTGCCAGTCAAAAATTGGCACCAAAATTTAAACATAATTTTTGAAATTTACGTCTAATATAATTATTAAATAAAATGTTAGTAATTAAACTATAAAAACAACTGTATAACCAACAGTAATTACGTTTTTGATTACATTCAAAATTAATGGATTGATATTTGATTTTCTGACAAAACATGATTTTAAAATACATTTGAAGGACTCAATGCACGCAAAACGAGTTCTCCGTAGCTAATTTTAAGTTAGAATAATATTTAAAATTTAAAAACGCTATCTCGCCTCGGTGATAATCTGATAAAAAAATATTTTTTGCTACAGAATACTCATTGCTGTACTAATAAATATACACTGTAGTTTTAGGTTAAAACTAAGGTTTTTCGAAAAACTGCCTTTATAATTTTACTTATTTCTATAGATAATTTTTAACTAAATTTAAAAAAAAACCTTTTTAAGCTGTCGGAAAGTAATCTAGATTATCGGTCATAATTGACGAGCGTTCTCTACAAGAATCGAAATTAGAATTTGAGATTTTCGATAAGTAGTTGAAGTAGGTAAATGTATAGCGAACATAAAAAAGGAAGAAAGATTATCAAAGCGATAGCCAAGAAAGAAGAAAAGGAAACCGTAATGTTACAGAAGAAAAACAGTCGGTTGTCGAGTAACAAACCCTTTGAGTCGACGTTTACTTATTATAGCCATTACTACTAAGGATTTAGTAGTCAGCACTCAGCTGCTGCCAGTTGTCAAGATTCTAAATTACATTGACATTTGTGATTCATGACTGGTAATTTGCAATTGTAATATAAAATTCATGGAAGAATACCGTTACAAACATATTTATCTTCCATTGGCCGCTGAGTGTTGCCAACCTTTAAATAATAGTTTCAGCCAATAAGAAATCGCCAACAGCAAAATAGTCATAAAAGCAAAAAACACGTCTCCAAATTACTATACAAATAAGAACAAGAAGTGTCTTCTATTCATCAAACACCGGTTGTCTGGACTATTTATCGGTCCGATCAAATTTTGTACGTTTATTTCGGTTATAATTCACTAGAATATTAAGTGTATGCCACACGTTTACTTGAATTAATATTTTTGAAATTATTACATCTTCATAATGAAGCTCATACGTGGACTAGTAGTATTTTCTGGATTTTTATTAAATTCTATATTAGCTGATTCCGTTGTTGATCTTTCCGACTCCGATTTTGAATCTTCTGTAGCACAATATGACACATCTTTGGTCATGTTTTATGCCCCATGGTAAGAAAGCTTACATGTCTCATTTATGCTTGTTCAACATTTTTTATATATTATATTTTCTCTTAGGTGTGGTCATTGTAAAAAACTCAAACCCGAGTTCGAAAAAGCAGCTAAAAGTTTACTGAAAGAAGATCCTCCAGTTACATTAGCTAAGGTAAAACATGTTACTTTTGATTTTAAAACTTAAATAATCTAATTTTTTAAAGTATTAATTTGATAAAAAAACATTTGTTTACTTGCTATAGATTATCGTCTAATTTCTGTGTGTAAGTGATTTTTTATTTTATGTCTCCTCTTCACATATTATATTACTACAGGTACTATTACTCTTAAAAAACTTATAATGAAATTATATTTAGTTCTATTTTTGACCTAAAAACATGCATTATGGGAAAATCTCACATAGAGCACTCGTATAGTGATTTGATTTGAATTGTTTTTATTCTAAAGAGGGAGAAGAATTGTTACAGAACGCATTGGCCTCTGATTTTTAAACATTTTTTTCCTGTAATATATTTTATTACTACATAGTTAATACACATCTCAATTTTTGTAATTTTTTAATAATAATTATAATTTGGGGTTAATATTCCCTGTAAAAAGTGTTCTTTTTTTAAACAAAACCGGATCACTATAAGGTGCATGGCTTTTTCTTGTAAAGTAATTTTTGCTTACCAAAATAGCTGTAACTTAAATAATTATTTGTTTAAAAGTAAACCTTAACTAAAAAATAAATTGATCTAGTAGATAAAAAAAAAGTGGTTCGACATGGTTAAAATTTAAATATTATACTTCATAATTTTCTAGGGAAAATTTTTTTTATATAACCCCTTTATTAAATAACTTTCTTAATAATTACTATAAACCAGAAAGAACGGAAGATTTACATTGATCAACTACTTAAATTTTTTACATCATATTTTTCCTAGGCAGTTGTTATAATATAAATTATTTAATTTTTATTAAAAATAATAGATAGGCTATAATTATGTATTAATCCAATCAGGAGCATTTAGTAAGCGCCATTTTACAAATTTATTAACAGTTTATATATTTTTGTTGTTTATGAAAAATGAGAAAACCTTGATAAACTAAACTATACTTGTTGTATCGTTATCACATATCCGGTTCTGCTCATTCAAAGTGTCTTTGTGTTGATTATTATTATTGACCTTTTCTGTAGAAAGTTAATTTTTGTAAAAGTGTCGCTCACACCAATTAGCCTCCCAACAGTTAAACTACTAAAATTCAAACCAATGTTTGAACATGTCTTCCTACCAAGTATAGATTATATTGGCACCAGTTTTGACAAATCAATTTACTCAAAAGTTAAAATGATCTGGTTTTTATCTTTATTCATATATCAAATTTTCATGATTCAACCTCTCAATTGTCTCCAAATGACAAAAAGAATACTGGTAAGTCATGACAGTGAACGTACAAATTCATGTTTACTATGTTCACTGATATGACTTACACTTATCATTGATACAGTGTAGTTATTTTACCAGCATTTATTTAAAATCATTTAGAGACAATTGGGAGGTGGAGACCACAAAAATTTGAAATAGACTAAAATAAGGCGCACTTTATTAGATAAATATATATCTAATAGTCTATATATGACAAAATACTACTAAAAATTGGTTAGAACAACTGAAATTTTAGGTGATGTAAAATAAATTACACTTAATAGAATATTATATTAATATATAAATATGAAATTGGGTTACTTTTGCTGTAGGTGGATTGTACTGAAGCTGGAAAAGAAACTTGCAACAAATTTGGTGTCTCTGGATATCCTACACTTAAAATATTCCGAAATGGAGAAATTTCTAAAGAATATAGTGGTCCTAGAGATGCCGGTAAAAAAATAATTATATACCACGTCTTAGTATTTATAAGAAAATTATTAGTATATTTAAAATATATTAATATACATTTTTATGATGCTACCAGAGCCGTAGTGAGTTGGAGGGCAAATACCCACCGAGTCGCTTCTGTTCCAGAACATAATGCTAATATGTAACAATAGTCATGTCTTGAGGTTTTTAATAAATCAAAAAAGCAATTTTACAGTAATCATGAGCTTTCTTTAAATTTTCTTACCTGGCCAAGGTTGGCCCAGTCTGGCCTAGGATGATAATAACTTATTTATTTTTAATTTTCGGAATTATGGGATTATATAAAGTGTGTTGCATCTTTTGCACTTAAGTTTTTTTCTCCTTAGTTCTCTTTTTACTTTTCATCTTGAAATTGTATTAGTCATTGATTGGGCTATTATTTAACCAATAACCTTTGTACCTAATTCTTGGAAATTTTAATTTGAAAATTCCAAAAAAAAAAAAATTTGTGTTATTTCTTTTCTGGTCAATTTAAGAACATTAAAAAAATGACGTAGGAAGTTATTATTTTTTTTTTAATAATCATTATTTATTTTATTTATAGGTGGTATTGTTAAGTACATGAAATCACAAGTAGGACCAAGCTCAAGGGATCTTGCCACATTGGAATCAGTCGAGCTGTTCAAATCTAAGGATGATGTTGTTGTTATTGGATTCTTCCAAACTGAAACTGATCTCAAAGGAAAATTCATACAATTAGCTAACAAGTTACGCGAAAAGGTCAACTTTGGGCATACCACATCTGAATCAGTGTTGGATAAATTCAACTATAAGTAAGTTAAAAAAAACGGAAACTATTTCTAAAAATAACATAATATTTTATGTTTTATTTAAAAGTATCTTAATAATTTAAGAATTTTAATAACTGTTAGAGAAGTACTATAAATGGTAAATATTTAAAAGTTGTATCAAATTTTATAAAAAAAAAAATAGTCTATTAAATTAGAAAACTTTTTGATTACATTCTACGGAAACAAAAAACATTAAACTTTTTGTGAAAACAAGAATAAAAAACTTAAGACTCATTATTAATAAAATCATAAACGATAAGTAATAATATTAGTTAACTATTGCAAACCAATACAAATACTTATTAAATGTTTTTGTAATCTGTGCTAAAATCAGTTTTCAAATACCTTACTTATTTTGGTCGGTTAGTAAAAAGATATATAAATTGCAACACTATCTTAAATATGTTTTAAATGTATCACTTTTTTTTTAGGAACAACATTGTACTCTTCAGACCTAAACATTTGAGTAATAAATTTGAAGATGATTTTGTTGTTTACGATGGGGAAGAATCAGCATCTGCATTGGAATCGTGGATTACTTCCAACTAGTAAGTCGGTCAAATGGAATTAAATGCTATTTTGATTTCTGTACTAAATGTGACATTTAATTTAAGTCATGGCTTGGTTGGTTACCGTCAAAAAGAAAATATTGAAGCATTTAAACCACCATATGTTGGCGTATACTATGCTGTTGACTACTTGAAGAATCCAAAAGGAACTAATTATTGGCGTAACAGAGTTTTGAAAGTTGCAAAATCAGTTAAAGGCGTAACCTTTGCTATAAATAACAAAGATGATTTCCAACACGAAATAAACGAATATGGCTTAGATTTTGTATCTGATAACAAGCCCATAGTTTTGGCTCGTTCTCTCGATAACAAGAAGTTTATCATGAAAGATGAATTTTCGTACGTATTAAAGTTATTATGAAAAATGTATCCTTATTAAATATTTTATATGTATTATTATGGTTTTTTATTTTTTAAATAAATAAACTTGTTGCAGCTGAGGTTATATTGAGTGTATAAATAAATGTGTATACAGATGTATTTTGTTTATTATGTTTGATTTTTATTTTATTATCATACAGGGTTGAAAATCTTGAGAAATTTGTAAAAGATTTCCAAAATGGTGACTTGGAACCATATATTAAATCGGAACCAATTCCAGAAGATAATAGTACACCAGTAAAAGTTGCCGTTGCCAAAAACTTTGACGATTTAGTTATTAATAATGGAGTTGATACACTTGTTGAATTTTATGCTCCGTGGTGTGGTCATTGCAAAAGCTTAGCTCCAGTTTATGAACAAGTTGCAGAAAAAGTAAAGACAATAAAACTAGACAATAACACAAATTAGAAAAATGACTAATTATGTATTGTTTATGTCATATTATAGTTAAAAGACGAAGCTGTGTCTTTAGTAAAAATAGATGCGACTGCGAATGATGTTCCTTCTTCGTTTGATGTTCGAGGATTTCCCACTTTGTACTGGCTACCTAAAGACAACAAGGCCAAGCCTATTCGTTACGAGGTATAATTAACTACTGGTGTTGTTTTTTATTACATTTGTATTATGCATTATTTTATATGCAATATAATTTTATAGGGAGGCCGCGATGTAAATGATTTCATAAAATACATAGCGTCCAAGGCTACAAACGAACTCAATGGTTTTGACAGGTCAGGAAATCCTAAGGATGGTAAAGATGAATTATAAACTATCGGTTCAAAGATAAACACAAGGCTGATTTAATATTATTTGAATTAGGCTACCCACCATTGTTAATTTAATATGTATAGAATATTTTTGAAATACTTCTATTCCTAAAAAAAAAAAAACAAAATGCTACTACTTTTGAATATTTATTCTTAGTTAAAAATATTACTTATTATATTATATACAGTTTTATAAAATTTTAATTTAACAATATGTAGTGGTTCTATTTGATTTTTAATAAGCAATAAGTTTATTGTTTTGTGATGAAGGTATATTATGTAAACTACAAAGATCAATTTTAATAAACCTGTTGTGATTTTCTATAAATAATTTTTATTTGATTGTTAAATTATTAATGTTGAATAACAATTTTAATGTCATATCAATACTTTGAAATTGCTGATAAACTAAATAAATTGATTTTGGTTAAAATATTTTCCTCTCCCTGCTTACAAGTAAATTTTTATATCTCTTATAAAAACCAATACATTTACTGTTTTTCCCGCCAATTATTAACAGGTTTGCTTTTTTACTAACAAAATCTAACACTATTTAATTGTGTTAGTTTTTATAAGGAGTGATTGCAGGTGTATTTTTAACTATTTTATAGTAGAAATCTTTTTATTTCTTTACTTGCAATAATGTAATGGAATGATAACATTAATTGTACTTTTCAATCAACAGCACTGTACAATTAATATATCGCGGTTTTTAGAAAAATTCCAAATTTGATTTTGGCACAGCTAGTTTTTTAAACCCCCATTTTTAATACAATAATAAAAAAACCATAGACATTATTTTTGTACTTTTTTTACTAATATCACTGGAACTTTCATCTAGGAGGTCTAAGGTAGTTTTGTGTATTTACTATTAACTATTTAAAAAAAAAAATTTGTACATAGATGTACGTATATTTAATTTTAGTCAAAATTGTAACAAATGCAGGATAACTGATTCATCAGTACCCTTTCAAAACGCAGGCAAAAAATGTTTGCTATCAACTAAGACTTAATTAATTAAAAAATACGTCTAAAATAACAAACTTTAAACAAAAATTTGGATAATTGGAAATTTAAGTTGTACAATTAATGAAGCAATGTATTATCATACCTCAGCATAATATTTAAGCTAAATAAATTTAGTCTTACTTTCTAAGTTTTAGTTATTTACTTTTTACGTGCAGTCTTTTATTATTGATGGACGAAAAACATAAAATAGCCTTAGAAAAAATATACTACTTAGGTTACTATATATATAAATATATTTATTCGTCTAATAATCAAAAAATACTAAAATATATTTTTTAACTATAGTACAAAATCCCAAATAAATATTTACATGTAATTTATGTAATCATAATAAATAAAATATCAATTGTAAAGATTGCCTATACTTACTAAGCTTAAAATATTCACAAAGTATTAACCACATAATAGTTTTATATACATATAAATATATTTTGGTCGGGCAATTTTCATGTCAAACATACCCAATTTATGTATATTAATAAGATTATTATTATGAATGATTACAAACAGAATGATTATGTATATATAATTTTTATTTTTTATACACTAATATACATACAATATTTTTAAGTTATATAAGAATATATAATAATGTGTATACCTAAAAGACTTTAAAACCAAATCCTTCTCCTTGATTCGATATCACAGCCTTTGAAAAATTAAGTGAAAAATATTTATGGAAAACAGCAGAAAAATCAATTTGAAGCAAGCACAACGACCAACCCAACATTACCAATTGAGTGATGCTATACTAATAGTATCATTATAATACAACAGTCAACAACCACCCCCAATCTCAGGAAAACCCAATCCTGATTTTTTAAATATATATGTATATAATATATATAAAATTACAATTCTACAAAAAAAAAAAATGTACAGTTAAAAATAATAAAAGTTACAAAAAATATAATAAATAATAATTATAATTTTATAAAATAATGATTAGCTAAAAATTAAGGTAAACAATCATTATCTTTGATCAAACTCGTCTATATAGATGTATTATGTTTCCATTTCAAAGAATACAAAATTTGAAATATGAGTACAAATATAGAATTAAATGTTGTAGCCACTTTGTAGTTGGACAACTAAAATGCTCAAATCGGCATAGTTTCTATATATTTTTTTTAAGTCTTGATACAATTTTAAATGTAAGAGGAAGCGCATGTTAATTATATTTTAATTAGTATGATCATCTAAAAATTGTCATTATACTATACTAAAACTATCAATACGCCAATTTGTACTTTATGAGCAAAAATATAAATTGGCAATCAAAGCCAAATAAATAAATAAATTATGCAAGAAGTTTTGGTCAGATAAATAATAGCCAGTTTAATCGATTTATTAAAGAGTTATAAAATAACAATAATATCCTATAACATCCATTAAAATCCTTATAAGAATGAAATTAGTCGTTAACTATGTCCCGGGAGATCAATTATATTGAAATAATAAAAATTGATACGTCGATAACTAATCGATAATTTGGGGCACTAGTCACACGCACAATTATTATAAAGGCTTACCAGTGTAAGGAGCTGGATACAATGGGTATCCAAGACCTACGTGTGTATGATGATGAGTATGTACATGCCTTTGGGGAGGAGGTGAACGGCAATCTTTAGGATCCCCCGTCGACCCTGGTTTACTAGAAGGCTGGTTTACTGAAGGCGGTCCAACAGAAGTAGAACGTTCCGTAGCAGATGGAGTAATTCCAGTTGTTGCTAATGATGGTGATTGTCGTGTTCCGGGAGAGGGAGCTGGCGGAAGACCTGGTTGGGCATTCGTTTTCGGTGTAGGCGACTTTATGGCACGTTCTTGTAATTCGTGTATTTTATGGGAAGAATAATATTGACTAGCATGATGGTGTAAGAGATCGAGCGCTTTTGGCCCAGATGGAGACTGTGTAGGAGTGGAGGACTGAGTCGAAACTGGTGGTCGAGAGAGATCTTCAGGAGCATGATACCGCTGCATCTGTGCATGTATCTGAGGGTGTAAGTAAGGAGGTGGCGGTGTATTGCCGTAAGGTCCCGGCACCAACATTGGATTCATTGCACTCCTATACATCGGATCAAATGCTAAAGCGCCAGGAAAATGAGACGCCTGCATGAAACCTGGATGGATATAGGCATATGATGAAGTGGGTGGAGGCGGAGGACCTTGTGTTTCCATTGTAGGCTTAACACCTTCAGACATATGAGAAGAAGATTTACTCAATTTTTCATCTTTTTTATCATCGTGCTTTTCTTTATGTTTGTGTACCATATTTGATGGCATCGAGTGTTTAGTTGGGGTAGTTTGTGTATTTGATTTAGCATGTGGATGATCACTAGATCCATGCTCCTTGCGCCTTTGATCCGGATAACCGTAATAACGTCTTACATCTTCCTGTTGTTGTTGCTGCTGCTGCAGTTGTTGTTGCTGCTGCTGTTGTTGTTGCTGATGTTGCTGTTGTTGTTGTTGCTGCTGTTGTTGTTGCTGCTGCTGTTGTTGCTGCTGCTGACGTGAAAACATGTATGCAGAATTCATTTGAGACTTCATTTCAATACTTTCTTTCATAATTTGATGGTTTTCATTTTGATGTAAAGATTTATCTTTTGGAATAACCGGTTCAGACTTAATTTTGTTGGACTGAGAAACATTTAATGGACCAACCATTGATGACTGATGATTTTTATCATCTTTATTCAAATCTTTGTCTTGAACCATTGACATTGGATATCCAGGCCCCATATTATATGGATAATTCTGAACGAAAGCATCATAAGTAAAATATTGTTGCAATAGCTTTTGCTGTTGGTAATCAGTTGCTTGATTAGGTACATCTTTCTTACTATCTTTATCTCCGGTAACTGATGGCATTTTTAAATCTTGTGAATGTGGATTTGATTTATCCCCTTCTTTTGTTTGTTTAGATACATCGGCCGGCTGTAATGAAGGAATTAAATAAGGAGGTTGACCATAGTATGATGGATACATGTTATAAGGTTGTATTGAATGAGGTGAATGAGCAGTGTTCTGGTCAGATTTCTTATCTGTAGAGATTAATTTTTGTTTGTTTGCACTGTCGCCCATTTCAACTTCAAGAATTGGGGCAGTATCATCCGATATATCTGAATATGCTGGACTTTGAACATCTTCACGACCACAGTTAGCATTATCAAACTGGGGCTGGTCAACTGAAAAAGGCCGTGGACTACTAGCTGGCGACTTGCGATTTTTCTTTTTATGAGAAGAGGGAATTTTATTTTTACTATCTTTATTCCCTTTAGTATTGTCTTCAGCCGGCATTAAAGCAGATGCAGGTTTAACTTTAAATTGTGGTACTTTTTGAACTTGAGGTTGATTTAATGCTAAAGGTTGTACTTGGGGTGGTAACGGTAGTTGTTGTGGTGCTGGATTCTGTACATGTAGAACAGGCGGTTGAGGTTGTGGTGATTGAGAAGTAGGAACAACGGTTTGTAATGGTGTTGTTGCTGGCTGTAATAATGGTGGTGGTGTAGGGGCTGATTGAACAACGGGAACTGAAAGAACTGTTATAGGAGTAGTTGATGTAGGTGGTATTCCACTGATCTCTTCACTACCCGCAAGTCCAAAGCGTAGTACACTCGGCTTAGAAACTAAAAGTGGAGGAGACGCCAACGGTACTGGAGGATCAGATTCAGTAACAGGTGGAGTAGTCGAGGGTGGAGGCTGTTCAAGACTATTAGAGGTTGTTTGCTCATCTTTTGGGATATCTTGAGCAGCCGAGTTATTTACTGAAGCCGGACTCGTATCATCTTCATTTTCAGATGTACTTGCTCCGCCAGATTCTTTGGTGTCACCATCTTCGTCATCCAAAGCAGCCCCATGAGCATGAGATTGGTGATATCTTAAACCATTTGCGTTTTTATATTTTTTAGAACAATTAGGGTCTGGACATTCTAACATTGTCGGTGACATAGGAGGTGGACTAGCTGGCTCAGCTTTAATCTTTTTTCCAGAAGTTTCATCTTCAGAGCCGGGAGGTTTCTTTCTTTTATTAGAACTCGTAGACTCTGAGCGTGGTGGTACAAAAGAAGTGGGTGTTGGGGATGATGTACCCCTTCGATTTGAACTGTTGTTTGTACTACATTTATTTGTTCCATTACTTCTAAGTTTACTATGAACAGAAGATCTAGTTTCAGTAAAATTAACCAAATCATTACTGGGACTAGCTGTTAAACTAGCACGACCTCTTTTTCCTCTCCCTTTCTGGGGTAACCTACATTCTGGTTCTCCAGCCGATGCTTCAGAAAATCTATTTTAAAACAATATTTGACAATTGTTATTAATAAACAATGAACAATTTAGTTTTAAAATATTACCTGGGCGGAGCCCAATCATGTCTTGTACAGTCTAATAATGTTCCTATGTAAGTTTTTCCTCGCCATGTAACATTAACAACGAGTACACCTAAAACATAATTTGTTTTATATTAATATTTTTAGTATTAATATATTCTTACGATCCATATGAGGTAGTTATTAACAAGATAAGCAAATGTAAATTGGTTTTGAACTATAAATAAACAACCAAAATTGTGATATTTATTTAGATTTTGGAAAACACGATACATGTTTAAAGTTGTTATTAAATTTTGTAAAAATAAAAATGTTTTTATATTAGCTTATTTTTGTTTACATCTTCTACCTGATACTCAATATGTAATATAGTAATGTGGTTTACTTAGGAAAGTGACAAAATAAATATTATCTCAATCGGATACGTCTACTACTTAAATTGATTTACTATTATAAGCTTGTTTTTTTTTTTTTAGTTTTAACTAAACTATCCAAAGAACACATGCTTTACAATTTAAATACTAAATATTTAATTTTTATACCTTCAATTTCATTCCAAACAATTCCTTCTAAATTAACATGAGTTCCAGGCTCACATGGTCCAAAACAGTCTGGTTCCGTAACAGTTCCAACGCTGATACTAGTACCAACACAAGCATCTGCAGTTTCCTTAAATTAAAAACAATATTTATTAACAATTGCTAGGAATGTAGAATTAACAATACATGTCATTATTAAACTTAAGTTCAAAACGTTGATAACATGTTTTTCAAATAGAATTTTTTATATATGACTTAGGTTTTATTTTATTACTGGGCTAGTAAATAATCACACTATGAATGTGAGAATCCTTAAAAAATTGCTGTTAACACATTTAAAAACCTTTGAAATGTAATTTTTTAAAGAACATAAGTACTTAAAAAAAATTATCTGGTCAAAATGTTCTATGTCTAAAAATGTAGACATATTTTTGTTCCTATTAATTTAAATTTTGGTTTTATGTATGACTTTTAAACCAAGTTGGCCTCTGGCTTTAATTCCTAACTACCAAAGAAGAGTTCAAGTCCTAAATAATTTAAAATGGTATACTATATACCTTTTGTTCCATTACATTAGCTGACGTTGAACTATTGGCAGTCTTTACTACGTTTGCTGGAGGTGGCGAAGTAGATTGTATTGGTTTTACAGGAGGTACAACTGTAGAGGTCTTTATAATAGGCGAGACATTATCTGAAGGAACAACTGGAGATGGTAAGTTTTGTTCAGGCCCATTAGCCACACTTGGAGAAGTAGATGTCCCCGTGTCTCCTACTTGTGGTCCCGAACCAGATACATTAGATGATGGTGTATTACTTGTCAAGGCTGGGAATGTGTTAGTTCTTGAAGCAGCTTGATTAATAGGGCTTCGGCCATTTAGTTCGGATGGTAAACTGGAATTTACTTTATGGCATTTTTCAACACTTGTGGATGTACCGTGTTGTTTGTCCTTGGTTTTATCCCTACGGTGACTGCTAGATCCACGTTTTACTGAGCTTGCAGTTGACGGTGGAGTACTGTTTGTAGGAGTAGAACAGCTTGCATTGGATGTACTTGTATGTTTACCTAGACACGTGTTAAAAATTAATAAATTAGTTTAATGCAAATAAAACCTAGATCCAATTACTCATAAATAATCGTCTAATGCAATTAAATATCATACAAACTGTTAGACTATAGTTATATCATTACTACATACAAGTCGTACGTACTCTACTAAATTACCAATTTTATAACAAAACTCCTTTGACGAGTTGAAATTATAGATCAAACAAGTTTATTTGATTATCAATATACACGTCTATCTAGGCACAAACAAAACTTACCGGTTTGTTTAGACTCTACAGATGACCCAGAAGAATCATTTGAAGATGCACTGCCACTTGACTGGGATTGGCCAGAAGCTACAGACCCATTTTGTTCACCAGGCTTGACAATTTCATGTTTAGCTTCAAAGCTCTTAGTTCCTGTTTTTGTTCGTTTAATTTTCATTTTTAGTCCTTTATCAACAGTTGCTGAATGTTCAACAGCAGTCTTGTTGCTGCCAGCTGTGTTGGCTGTAGGTGCAGTGGCAGCTGCTCCTGACATGGCTCCACCACCAGCCGATAAGCCGACTGTCGTCGTCCCACTATTGCTAACACTTTGTGTGTCACCTGTTGTAGCTGCTGATGATGATGACCCTGTTTTTTCTATATCCGCGTCTAAGTCGATAATTAAATCGCCTATACCAATATCCCACTCGTTATCGTCATATTCAAAATTTGCATTACTGCTTGTATTGTTATTGTTGCCATTGCCACTTCCAACACTGTCTGTGGACGCCGCCACCGCCCCACCCAGCTCCTCTCTCATTGGGGCCGCCATCCGTGCCCAGGACCGCGAGCCCCGACCACTAACACCATTTTATCCTGTCCTGCAAATAATTTTAATTTCATTATAGCTGTTATATTAACAAGTATTAAAGTTAAGGGCATTGCATGTGGTCTGTTCTTAAGGAGTTTTGTATAGGCAATATTTAAAAAAAAAAAGTATTTTTAATAAATTTTGACCATCTCAATTAATTTACCGATTAATTTATATAAGCTTCAAGGTATTATTTTTTATTTAAATAATTGTTTCTATAAGTGAAAGCCATTTTGGTTTATTTTAGACCAAAAAGCTAAACTAAATTTTGACTAAATAGGATGGTCCAATTTCAATTCTTTAAAGAAATTACGAACTCTTTGGCTCCTTTACTATGTTGAGTAGGAAGCCGATTTTCATTTAAAAATTTCAGTTTCTTGTAATTAAATAAATTAAATTTGTAATCTTTCAATATAAGGACCCAATTTGTTTACACAAAAAAATCAAAAATCAGTTTCCTACATAATCTAGTGAAGTTTCCACAAAACTAGTATATCTTTACAGAATTGAAATCGGACCATCTTAAGTAGTCAAAATTTTGCCTGGCTTTTTAGTCTAAAATGTCAATTAAACAGACCGCATGCAATCCCCTTAAAAAATAATATCTACAATTTTGTTGAAAAACAACATCTAAAATCCTATTTATTTTACAATGGTTTTTTTTTATACAGTTTTATGTAGAATTGTTATACTTAAAAATAGCTTATTTGTGTTAGATCATATTATTATAATTATCACCTTTAACTTTATTTATTTTTATTGTTTGAAGTTGTTATACTACAAATATGATTGATATTTTATAGTATTTTTGGAACAATTTTCTTTTTCACAGAATCAATACAATATGTCAATTTAACCATCCTAATTATTTTCCTCTTCTTCCCAGTTATCACTTCTTTGTTCGTATAACACATTTTATGTATGTTTAAATACCTACTTTCTTAACAATTTATTTTTTCAACATGCCTAAATAATCTTGATCTGTTTTCACTGTGCTCAGCTTAATTTTAATTAGTTTACTTTACATTAACTATTTCTTATAAATCTCATTCAATCATGTATCGAATCATATCTGGAATTATCGAGTTAATCGAGTAAAATTATTAAGTACTGGAAGACAAAAGTTTTACATTTTAATAAAAATTTAAGATTATACTAATAATTTAAGTTATTATTTAATGAAAATGAATACTTTAAAAAATGACATAATACCAAAATGATTATAAAAGAAAAAAGTAAATATGGGCCCATACAAAAATTAACAATTTTTCTATAATTAGAATACAAATTGTATTTGAAGATCTGTAATAATGAAGTTATTATTTTAAAACCCAAAATATAAGTATGAAGATATGGAGTTATGAAATTTACTAAGAGATAAATATTTATAGGTCTAAGGTTCCTTGGATGTGTAAGGCAGAATATTTTGAAAATAATATCTTATTTTATTTTATTTATTATATTTATTAGAAAAAAAAAAAACTAACAGTTAACATACATTTCTAAGCTGTTTAATACAGCTGTTCAATAACAACATAACCAAATTATCACTAACATTTATAACAATGAGAGTAGGTATACATTACCTAGTGAAATTGGAATAGGTATAGTAGTAAGATATTAAACAACAGTAAATTATTACCTATCCAATGAATAAGAAAATATAATATTTTAAAATCTTAATCAATATTTTATATGTTAATGATTCGATGTAAATGAAAAAAAACCATTAAAATATCTAGCAATTATTAATAAAAATAATAATATTTTAAATAAAAATAAACATTTTACGCAAGATGACAACGGCCGTCGAAGGTAATCTCAATGGAAACATTTATTATTTCTGTCGGTAACATTAAACGCGAGTACACGATCACTACACGAACAAGGCATGTTCATAATATGTGATTCTGATGGCATTTCGGGTGAATTAGTTAGCCTAGCTAAGGGGCAACTCGTGTGTCCGAGCTGTTCGGACACGAGTCGTACGACCCCTTACGACCAATTGTTATTACACGGTACTCACTCACAAGTTATGTAATCCCGACGTAGAGGATTGTATTTCCGGTGTAGTACATCAAGATTGCTTTGGCTGTGAGCGGAATTTGCGAGTTTCCTCGTTAACTCGACGGCCAAAAGATGTTAACACAAACAAAATGGCTGATGCGCTCAAGCAGATCGTAAAACCGTGGTACGCGCGAAGCCGTGTGACATTTTGTAGATGGGTTATACGGCGTGTGCGATCACTTCGACGACCTGGTCGACTTTAGCGTACAAATGGCGACAATTTTACAACGCACACTCAAAACAAACCGACGAAATATCTGTAATTCGACGTCGTCAACATACGCCCGGCCTGACGAAAAAACGATAGCTGCTAAACGGTAAACAACACCCTTCGGTGATATGTTTTTTTTTCACATTTTCCAGTCCGTACACCTTGGACACGTTCTTTGTTTGTATTAATATTTAGTGCGCAGTTAAACCGGCAGAGTGAGCCAGCTGAAAGGGCGGCGGCCGCACGCACGTTCAACGCGTTTTCGGTCGAGTCCGAACACGAGACTAAAACGATAGGTATATTGGCAACTCGTGATAATCGCAAAATGGCTGCCGGCGTTCATGTTGTGACATTGATAACACAAGTTGTTGACATACCTACATGTTGGTTTTGTTATGAGATGGTCATTGGTGAAAAAATCCCCAACCAAATATCTAATACTAATTATTAATAGTCTTTACGGTTTTCAGAAGTAGGAGGTATTATATTTTGGTTTTATATACACTGATTAGTGATTACTGAAAGACCTCTATGAAATTTAAAAAGCCAGCTCAAAAATATACTCCATATTGCAAGGTCGCTCTTTAACATAATCCTCATTTAAAAATTTCCCATATTATTTATGTAAAGTTAATATTAGCATTATATTATTTAGGTATGAATCATGCCGACCACATATATATATGTAACAATATATATATATATATATACATATATGTTATATAATTTACTAAATGTATTATTTACATTATTACCTATAGTTATTACTATATGTATAATACTTTACTATAGCTATAGTAACTAATTAATAATGTTTATCATTTATTTATTTAATTACTATACTATTAGTTTTAGTAATAAGAAAAGGTTTACTGATATTTTCAGTCCCGCCCTCGGAGTTTTCAATGAATTCCGGCATATGATCTACGTTTTGCGGTGTAACCTAATATTGTCGTTTAATAATTTTACAAAGCATACTTTAGATATTTTACAACCGAATACGTAGGCAACAATCTACCTATGATTGGTAGATAGTATTGGAAATTGGAATCTTGTTTTATTATTTCATTCTTAACTCTAGTACCGACGCCGGACATGGGAGATACCTTGAAACTTGTAATAATTCGTCTGGAATATCAGTTTTCTACAGCCGTCACTCATTATGACATGTGTTTAAAATAAAGTACAAATTTTTAAAATATCTTTGGTATTTCACAAAAAATTCATATCCAAGGAGTCAACAGTTATGGATTCCCGCTTTTTTATTACTGATAAAAGATAATAATATTTTTGTTAATATTGCAGGTTGCTGTTATTCAGTATTCTGTGTTCAACAATTTAACATAATAATGTAATACCGAAAACAAATATATTAATTTTTTAATATTTATTATTAATTTCAACGTACTATTAGTTATTTAGAATTTGTTACTACTCACTTAAGATTATGTACTGTGATAGAGTAATTGAGTTGCTTAAAGAGCTAGAACGTTCTCGGGAAGATACTATACCTCCATATAATGTACAAATTATTCGTTTGCATAAATTTAAAAATAAAAGTTTTTTAATTATTAACAAATTTTTAGTGTTTGTGTTAATTGGATTGATTTAAATACATTTGTTTTGTATTGCAGAATGACAGTGTGAATCAAGTACTTTCTGAAATGAAAGCATTAGATGATGAAATTTTAGACATCATGTAAGTACCCATTTAGAATAAAATAATTTGATTTTAATTTAAATAGTATAAGGCGTGAAACTTGATAGCATAAGTACAGGGTTCGATTTCTTGCACTACTAAAATATACAATGTCTGTTCTATCCACCTGTGAGCACTGTTTATTTGGGAGAACTCTTAGAAATTTAAATGTGTATCCGCGTGGGAATAAACTGCTAACTATTCATACAAATGGATAATATATATATATATATATTGACAAATTGTAGGGTGTCACATCACTGTTTTATTTAATTATAAAGTTCTATGTTTGGATACTTAATTATAATAATTTATGAAAAATGTTCTCAATACTAAAACTATAACCAAATTTTTTATTTATTTTGTAATCACTATAAATTACTATGTTTTTAGTCGTAATAATCCCAGAGACCACGTGCCTATGGATGCTGTACTTTTACGCCGTGCTGCCATTGAGAGAAACAAAAGATGTTTAATGACATACATGTAATATTTATAGTTAATTTTAAGAAATTTAAGTTACAAACAAGAAGTGATTAATCCTTACCATTAAATTGCACCTTGGCGTACAAAAACTGTGTAACTGTGATTAGATGAAAAGAACATTTATTTTTTTACACCTTGTTTGATTACTACTATTTAGCTTTCAGTCAACAAGCATTTATTTTTAAAAAAATATACAATTTTTATTGATATATATTACATAGTAAAATTACGTTTTGTAAAAACTGTGTTATAATTTTTAAGTTTTGGCTGAAATCTGAATTTTTTATTTTTTTTATTTTAAAATGTTGTACTAACCACCTTTTCATTCTACGATACATCTATTTGGCTGTCTTTGTCAAAAAATTTGTCTCATGTAAACTACTTCGATTTAGGGTACTTAAAAGAAATTATATATTTTAAAATGCTTTCTTTCTTCCTGTATTGGCAAAAGAAGTATTTCCTTCTCCCATAAAATTTAGATTTTGTGACTTAAGATGTTTCTCAAATGACTGATTCATTTGCATCAAGCTTTTTTATCTTTGTTTGTCTATAAAAAAAAAAATACACATTTTTTTTTTTAAATTTCCTTTTATTAAATGTATGTTAAATGGATTTTTTAGTTGGACTCGTTTACAACGATTAAAAGAAATGCGTTGGGAGATAGGCGCCATTTTACCAACTGATGTTAGACAAAGTCTTTCACAGTCTGAGGTTTGGTGAAAAATATTATTCTTTATTAATTTTTTTTTTAATTCTATAATATATTTTCAGATAGAATGGTTTAATAGTTATTGTAAGTCGTTAGTTGCGTATATGAAATCCATTGGACCTGACACTGGCTTAAATCTTATTCAAGACATGAAACCTCCAAAATCACTTTACACTGAAGTAAGATATAATTTTAGAGTATTTAATATAGACCTTAAGGCGAGGGAGAGCAAGCTGTGCCTTTGCCCATTGCTTTGCACCTATGTGTACCTACATTATGGGCTTTGCAAAATCTAAGAAAAGTGATCGCTTCAATACATGTATATCATTGACGTGACTGATGCATAGTTAACATTTTCATATATTTTTATTTTGCTAAGGTGAGAAGTTTAGTTGATGCTGGAAAACTAGAATTAGAAAGTGGAGAAGTTTTAATTTTAAGAAAAAATAGTCAGTATATGCTGTCAAGATCACAGGCTGAACCTCTTATTCGTCAAGGAATTTTAGAACAAGTCAGACATTAAATTGTGATAATCAAAAAATTGATCTATATCCTATGGCCAAGTATCAGTTACCTTCAAGTCTAAAATCATCAAACTTCAAATTAACCTATTTGTTAAAAAAAATAAGTTAGGCTTTGTATAAAATTAAAAAAATAATTTGTATACATTTTTTGTTTTCTTACAGCTAGTTTAGTTTTAATTAAATACTATCATGTTTATATAATTTTTGTTTTTTAATGATTAAATATAAGTGAAAATGAAGAGAAGTTAAATCATTTCTGTTTGGCTGTTTGCATTTTAAACTTTTAAAATTATTACACAATCTTTTTCTGACATGTTAGTGTTAAAAAATAATTTTTATAATGAAAACTGTTTATGCGAATAAATTATTTTTAAACTATTAATGGATTTAATATACAAACAAATAAAAGTATGTCTCTCTACGGGGTGTTTACAATTTATTTAATTATTGTAATTAACGTTTGCTTTTTGCCTCGCACAAGTTACAGTATGTATTATAGCAAGTATGTATTCAAAATTATTTTCGTCGTTGGTACCACTGTAAAGTGTGTATGTATTTATTGACAATAAAATATGGCTATTATGTTTATAGTATTGTCACAGATCATATAATCTATGGTATTGTAAAACAACCGATACTATATTTTATCATAATAATATTACGTTATTCAAAAATTACCCATTGTGTTTATCAGTATCAGTTATCACTCCTAAACCATTATCATTTGTAAAGGTTTATAGATAATATAAACTGATCATTTGTGACAGTTCAACATTATTATTTACTAATTATTAATTTATATGTAAGCACTACTTGCAGTTTACTTTACTATTTTACTCATTTAAATATAATTCCATATTGGATCGCATAGTAAGTTAGGTACCAAAAATATATTCATGTGGACTGTGTATTTATTGTTTTATTCGTAAAATGTAAAATGGCTATAGAAACATGTTCTGTGAAAAAATTATTGCTTCTCATTATATTTATCGGAGGGTAATTATTTTTTATTTATTTACATTCCATATACTTAGTATTAAAAACAAAATATTTTTAAGTTAATTTATAGAGTAACATTAATCATTTTTGGAATTAGAAAAGACAAATTGACAATTATTGAAAACTTTTTGAGTACAATTTTATTTCCTTTTTGTTTTTAGTGTGAAAAATTTAACAATTCTACACAGTGTTCTCGTAATATTATATTTCTATTTATACTCCGCGCACTTTAAGAAGATACCTGCGCGTCGAACCAAAATTTGTTAGTCGCCTCCTATGTTGTATCTGTATGCACAGTTGGCGGTACCAAACTATGATGATGTTGCAGGGTGGAAACCCGTCGCTGCCAACTCAACGAGGTATCTTCTTAGAGTGAGCGGAGTATAGGTATAGTTTACCAAGACAAATTGAAAACTTATCCATTATCTATCTGAATTCTGATTTGAACATTTTCTTTTTTCCAAGGACTTCAATTAAATCAAACCTTTTCGCTAAATAGAGAAATAATGAAATTTCAAAGAACTTTATTTTGATCGGTCACCACAACTGTCCAATACTTTAAATAATCCAGAAACCCCATCTTAAGCAGTGCCATATGTTGGCAAAGGCACTAGGGTGACAAATCCCCTGAATTATTTTTTTTAATAATATATGTGGTTAAACATGTAAACTGTAGACTAGTATTTACTACCTTTTGGACCAAAACAGATATATTGCCCCCACCTTAAAAAAAAATGTCTAGCTACAGTATTAATCTAAGATTATTTTAAAGAAAATGAGGGAGAGTTTTAAAAAAAAGCTTCGTCTGTCTTTCTTTGCCTCTAAGAAAGCAAAACATTTAATTATCAATACAGTTGATGTTATTATTATGAGTTGTATGTCTGATTAATGTAATATAGGTACAAAAAAATTTGTGTAAAAGAATTTGCAAGTTATATTCTAGTGGTTATTGTATGTTTTTTCAGATTAACTTTATTAATATTTATAAAAATTATTTCCTCAACCGTTTCATCTGGCATTAGCATAACTGTTGCGCCCAGCAGCTCATTTTCTATTACAAGTTACCCAAAAAACTCAACTAGTGAATGCTGGTTAAAAGAAGAAAGTACTATTTTAGAAAAATGTCATATATGCTTAGGCAGACCAGAGTGTACTAATTCAAGTTTTGTTGAGATCATCAATTGCAAATATTCTGGAATTACATATAAAAGGTAAGTAAAAAAATAATTAATTTTTAATGTAACCCCAATCTTTGTTGTTTGATGCGCCTTACAAAAAACTGGACTTTAGTCAAGCTGATGTATTGTTTTTAGAGAGCAAAATGTAACATTCCACTTTTGTAAAAGAAGTTTTTTTATGTCAATGATATTTTATGTTTAAACTTAATTTACAGTTGCAATTCATCTGACCTAGATACATCGGAATCAGATTTTTGGATCTTTCAGAGTTCTCAAATTTTATTTGCTCTTTTTAGTTTGTGTGTGATTCGTTATAAGAAGAAACAGTTCCATAGAAAATTGATGAAAAAACTCCAAAAGCAGTTAGACTCCGTCGTATAATGTATGTATTTTAATTTTTTTAAAGTATTTATTCAAGTTAGAACTTATATACTTTTCTTATTATAATGTAAATCTTTTTTTTGTTTTAATCAATCTTAATTAGAATGTGGAAATAAAATGAAATTGTCTTAAAATTTGGTTTCTTTACATACATTTTTTTTTATTTAAACCTATTCTATAAAAATTAAAATATTATTTTCTTTTGTTATTATATTCCTATGACAAAACTTAAAAATGTCCTGTTTATTTTTTTTTTTTTTGGATTTGCTAAAGTATTTTTAAAAAATTGCATTATGTAAAAAAGTATTTGTCAAAATATTATATTTGCTGTAAACAAACTATATTTAATACATTTGTTATGATTTCTAATCAATGAATTGTTGTTTTTTAGAGTACAATGTCTTTTTCATTATACGTTAATATAGTTGATTTGGACAAAGCTAACAACTATGTGACTTGCTCATTACGATCTGCAATCGTTCTTTTTGTTTGTCAGTATGTGAACTCTCCAATCACTCTTGTTATAGTCGAAAACATCGAAAAAGACCATCCTAATTTTAGGTTTTCTCTAAACGGTTTACCTTATTCAGTTATACTTAGAGAAAATTTATCCAGACCAGCTGCTGACTGTTTATTACCTGTATTTCAAAATGACAATGAACCATATTGCACTGCAGGATTTTGCTCTTCTCTGCGAATGGTGACTAAATTTATTTAATATTTTACATGGTTGTTAATATTGTATAAATTATATGTTATATTTTTGTTTTTAATAGCTCATAAAAAGTGTTGGTGAACATTTTACATGGTTACTTGGCTTTCGACAGAGTTGTTTATCAGCATGTGCTGAAGTTTCATCGTGGACTAAATTTTGTGAAGTAGAAATTCAAGCAACAGTGGAATCTTTTTTTAAATATAAATTAACCGATTTAAATATTTTGTTTCAAATACCGACACAGTTAGCTCGATTTGAATGTCATCTATCTCAGCCCCTGCAAATACATAATATAAACAAAAGGTTGAATGAAAAATCATTTCATCCGACTCAGAGATTCGCCGATGAAGATAATCCAACTTTATCAGATATACTTATAATACCAAACATTCATATAGCATGTAGATTATTAGGAGAAACTGCTGTTGTTCAGTTTTTGCCGTTAACTTGGAAATGGTACACATCAGTTATCGAACGTCTCAATATTATTAATTATTTGAATAATATACATTTTGAAACTGTGCAATTGCCATCTCAACTTGTTTTACCCGAAGTTCCAATTCATTCTTTGTACAAGTGTGATTTGCGTAGATATAATCCTCGGTCAAAAATATATGTTAGACAAAATGTTCAAGACATAATTCAGTCGTTTAATACTATAAATATTGATTTATCCATAAATACTTTTGATTTAAAATCAATTAATTGGGCCGAGTTACCATGTGAAGCTCTTCCAGCTGGTGGTGACATACCTGTTAAACGATTAGAACGGAAAACACAACAGTTGGAAAATTTAATTCAAGCGACATTAAAAGTAATAAGTCGCCAAATTCATGTTTTAAAATTATTTATAAAATATTTATTATAGGTTGCAAAAGAAGGTGATACTGTAGTTGATTTTTGTTGCGGTAGTGGGCATTTAGGGATTGTCATAGCTTATCTCGTTCCGAGTTTAACAGTGATATTGGTTGACAATAAAGAAGAGTCATTAAGACGAGCCAAGGAACGTATAAAAAAATTGAAGCTAAAAAATATCATGATAGTACATTCAAATTTAGATTATTTCAATGCTGATTTTCAGGTAAAAATGTCTTTGGTACCTGCTGCTACGTATACAAAAAGTTCATCATACTTATTTCATTATTTATTAATACATAATATTCATATTTATAAATACAATTACAGTAATTTTGTGACATATTGCATGTATATTAATATTCTATATATCTTTTAGGTTGGCGTATGTCTTCATGGGTGTGGTGTAGCCACAGATTTAGTATTGGAAAAATGTATATTACAAAATGCATCATTTGTTGTTTGCCCATGTTGTTATGGAGGCATTCAAGTATGTACAACTATATGTTAGTTTTCAAAAATAGAATAACCTTTTTTTATTACAGGATAATCACATTTTGGAATATCCTCGAAGTCAAGCCTTAAAGCAGGCACATTTTACTTTTAAAGATTATTTAGTTTTATGTCATTGTGCCGATCAAACTCATTTTGACCCTAACTGTACAAAAACACAACAAGGCTATACATGTATGGCTGCAGTTGACAAAGATCGTGCAACAAGAGCCATAGAAGCTGGTTACGCTGTCACACTTTATAAACTAAAACCTCCTACTTGTACACCAAAAAATAATATGCTCATTGGAATTCCATTGTAAATTATTAAAATATTATTAAATAAAAAAATACGTGAAAGTAATATTGCATACAGTGGTATAGTCAAAGACATTAAAGAGAGCTATTAAAGTAAATAAATATATTTTAATTAGTGATCCACTAATTCACTGTATATCTGTAGTTAAAATAAAAATTGTGTACCTGTGGATATGAGTACACGCACACATAACAAGGAGGAAGGAGTGTACACACATTGTATACCCTTATTATAATACATGAATTATAATAATCAATAACTTTATATTTTACTTGTGTAACTTTTTATACAATTATGTTGGAATAGTTGTCTAGAAGCAGACTGTCCAGGTGTACAAAGGGAAAATATTACCTCCAGGTACAAAGTTAAAGAGATAATAGCTGGCGATATTTTGGTAAAGATTCCAATGAAAATTGGTATTAATGCCTAATCCTATTTCTAGTGGAAGGCTACCTCTGTAATTGGCTAAGATACATAATATTGTAGCTCGTAAGGAAAGTCGATTAGCAACAAAATTTACAATTATTGGAGATTTCAGTAAGGGTTTTAAACCAAAAATACCAATCACCCATATTTTTGCAATAACACCTAATCCAAAGTACTTTTAGAAAACGATACATTATGAAAAATTTTAAATATCTGTAATTGTCAACCTTCATAAATCTGGAAAAAAATGAAAATCTGAAAAAACAAATTTGGTTTTAAACCCTGATTTTGATATTCTTGAATTAAGGACAAAATGATCTTTATTATTAAAATAATCTCACTGTACTAAGTGAAATAGTGCCCAGTGAAAAGGTGTCGCCATACTTCCTCTACAGTCTCTTACAGTTCCGTCTTGAAATATATATATGTAACGGTTAAGAAACATTAGGCAGTAATTTAACTAAAAAAAAATATAGGAACCTATACTCCCATTGCTGAGAGTAATATGGTTGCGCAGAATTTATTCGTAATTTTTAGTATACCTATATTAATGAATATATTAAAAATAAATAACAATGAAATTTTTATCCGTTCACAAATAAATCTTATTTTTAAAGCTTATAATTTATAGTTTATATTTTATACAATAAGTTATAATTTAGAATGAGGTTTAGTGATAAATGGTACAATATGTCCATATTTTGGTACGTAATTACTAACTACCAATTTTTTTGGTAAAAATGTTTTACTGAAGTATAATCGATGCATTATGTGTGCATCAAAATGTTTAATATATTTGTCTGTTGAGTGAATTTTCATACCACCATTAAAATTGTCATATACACCGTCTCCTACAATATAACATACAAATTAAAAATTATTTGGTTACTTGGTGACTGCAAAGTAAGGTATTACCAAAAATTGATTATTAAATTAAAAAATGTTTGTTTAAAAGTAACTTATAAAAATAGTTTACCAGGAAGTAAACTGAGTATTCCATCTTTAGTAACGACAATCTTTGGTATCATTTGTTCGCATTCATGACCATTTCTTGTAGTTACAAAATTGGTTAATTCCTCAAAGGAAATAAAATTTTTTAATCTTGAGAGTTCATAGAACTGAGGAGTAACTAGTATTTCGTTGCCAGATTCAAACCTAGACAATATTTCGTCTGGAGTATTCCACTAGATAAAGATAAATGTAATTGAAATTACAACATGATATTACAATTCAATAGTACTCACTTCTATTTTTGATATTTCAGTACCATCAGGAGTGCTATTTACTGGTGAATCAATAATGGCGACAAAAAATTTTGTATCAAAACTGGATTTAGATATTGGCGGAGATAACCAATTGCTCCATATTTGCAAGGCTTTTACATTTGGATAACAATTATTTTTATTGCATAAATCTATAAAATTTGACGAGTTTTTTTGTACTAGTTTTCTCCAATTATCGATGCTTTCGATTTCTAAATGACTGCATAAAACACAATCAGTGTCAGCACTATCTGTGCTAACTTTTTTACATAATAAGATGCCGCTTTCTTCGAATGTTTCTCTAATAGCAGTTATACGTAACGACAGCTCTTTAGAAATTGAACCAGCTTCATTATCTTTTACAAACTTAATCGCAGAATTACCTAAAGAAAAGTAAATATAAACTTACAGTTTTAACAAAAATGTCATTTAAATGTGATTTTATACCATTATAACCCACTATATTCAAATTTAAATTCAATTTACTACAACCCGGAATGATCTTTGCCCATTCTATTGAAGAATCAGACTTTTCTGTAGTTCCTCCAGGGAAGACAATTACATTTGGTAAATATGATATTATTTCACTCCTTTTCATACAAAGCACTCTCAAAGGATCCCAACACATAGTTTTTACGTTAGTAATATTGGACGACTTTGTTAATAAAATTACACTAGAGGCTTCTCGCCAAAAACTCATGTTAATTAATTATTTTTTTTAATATTCAGGCTAATTAATACTTGGGTTCTTCACTATAAATATTTGTATTGAAAAAAAAATTAATCATTGATAAATTTCAATGTTTTTTGTTTTAAGTGATAAAAAGAAGGCCAGTGATTAATAATAAAAAAGCTATCCATAGATAATATAATCTATCATATAGGTTTAGCAATAATTAGTCTGTGCCCCGTGGTACGGAGATGAAGAATACCAGGTAAAAAATTACAGTAAATAAAATAAAATATATTATACGGTATACCTACATAATATATATTATATATCTCTATTTATACATACATTATAGTATATAATATTTCATTAAAATTTGAACCTTAGATGGAGTTTTGATTTTTAATAGAAAAATGAATTAATAAGGAAAGACCTGTTTATTTATATGGTGTAGGCAATATGTATAATAAAATTAACTTAGAATAATTTTATAAAGTTTTCCCAACCAATTTAAATGTTAGCAGTCAAAATCAGCTGTCTAATAAATATATTGTTGAATTTATCATAGTTGTTGGATACTTATTTGTTATTTTAACCACAGGATAAATTAATAATTAATCTATTCTGTGTTTATATCTGATAGAAATCTGTAATCAGTTTTTAATAAAATGTCCATGCTCAAAAACAATTTTAAATATGTCTAGGTTCACTGTGATATATTTTTTTTAAGTTCAAAATTCTTCAAATAGTGTTAAAAAGAACGTACAATTTACATCAAGACCTCATCAACTAAATTTTTGGGAAAGCTTTTTTTTATACTAGTTTATACTATATATGTCTTGAGTTTCGACCCCCTCTAATACAGTATGATTATGATGGTCACATATCAGGGTTTACCTATATATTTTGTCACTTATTATTTTATGCAACAGATTACAGAAACCACACTCTAATATCAACTTTATGTCCTACGTAAGTCTAAACGAAAAAACTAGCCATATAAATATCGTCAATAATAACAATACCGATATATTATAATATCAACATATAGGACAATTTGAAAATACTCTGAATAAAATATATAGGAGGATATAATAAGTATTCCGTATTGACATTTGACGAGTTATTTAAATATCAGTTTAAGTAATTCTTATTCTTGTAATATTGCAAAACCTTTATTGTTTATTGATTATTGAATTATGAATTCGGTTATGGTAGTAGTCAGAAGACTGTAGTTAATGGTTGGGTAGAAGAACAAAGGTCGAGGGGTTTTTAATTTTTTAACCAATAGAAATTAACCAAATATTTGATAGTAAAACTGTGTTGATAACAGACTACAAAGTGAACGTATAGGTATACAAACTACGATGTTTAGTACTTAATTTAATTTCAGATAGGCACTGTCAGTCTTAAAAGTTGAACTTGAAGTCGGCAAAATTAACTGCGTTGTTAAAAAATATAAGATAACTGTTTGTTTTGAGGTTTAAATAAAAATTAACATCACGGTAAGATTACTAGTGTAAGCAGAGTATATTTGGATTTGTTTCTCTAACATACTGTTAGTGTAGTGCAGAGGCATGTTATAATATATGTTTGTACTTAATTATTATTCTGTCGACAGGATTAAATTCAAATATGGATGTCGGTCTTACAGATCCATGGATTACACTTACTATTAAAGCACCCAATCAGCAAATTGATGATCAAACAGTGAAATGCAAACTAGATTGGTCAGTAGCAAAACTCAAAGTATATATTCACGAAATATACCCTAACAAACCAGTAAGTTTCATACTCCCATAATTCATGTATGTTGCCTTCATATAAATTGTTAAACATCAGCTCCTCTTTTCCTTTCTTTAGAAAATGGAGGACCAAAGACTAATATATTCAGGACAACTTCTAACCGATAGTGTTATTTTAAAAGATATCTTAAGGCCATACGATGACGATGGCCAGCTCAATCGTACTGTACATTTAGTATGTGCTTCATCATCTTGTTCAGTCCCGTTTAAAGGTATAATATAGATTTTTTATTTATGTTATAAAGTCACTTAATTAGTTTTTAATATATCATTAACGTCATATTTAAAAATGGTAGAAAAATCAAAAATAGAACTCAAAAGTGTGGAAGGAAAATCGACAGAGTCAAATAGTCAGGGTATTTGTAAAAAAAATGTATCGTCGGAAGTCAATAAAAAAAATTGTTCTTCTAATAATTTGCAAGAAGATTCAGTTAGACCAACAAACCAAACTCAATCAAATTTGAATAATAATCACAATAACATTCTGTTAACACCAGAACAAATAGCTGCTGACCAAATAATTTGGATGAATAAAATGTACGCTATTCAAATGGCACAGTACTGGAATTCGTAAGTTAAATTATTTAAATGAAAATAAAAAATTAACAGTAAAGAAATTATTTTATATATCATAGAGTGGCCTCTAGTTTTGGATCATCATTACCATTAAATATTCAAACCCCTGCTGACAATGAATTGCCAAATAATACTGGTAATTATTTAAAATAAGTTTTTCTGGTCAAGTTTAATTTAAATATATTACTTTCATATTAGTATTATAGGTAATGGCCTGTTGCCAAACCTAAAAAAAAAATATATATATATAAATATTTAAATATGCTACTATCCATTAATAATAATTTATAATGCTATTATATTTGTATAGATTTGTTGGAAAACAATAACCAACCAGTGGCTCAAAATGTAGTACCCAATGAAAACATCAATGAACCTCATCAAGATTGGCTCGATTGGTTATACATATCTTGTAGAATATTTGTATTCTTGAGTGTTATTTACTTCTACTCATCCCCAGGTCGTTTTATTGCCGTTGCTGGTTTTGCAGTTCTTCTTTACTTGTAAGTTTCTAAACATTTGTGATGTTTAGATCATTGGGTTAGAACCATGTATTGGCTAAAATATTTTTTCTCTCGTACTTGTTAATTCATTTTTTTTTGTAGAGTTTGGTGTAAAAACTAACTGCTCTTGGGTATCTTACCTGATTACTTGCTTTACCGACCCCAAATTCATGTGGTTCATGAAAAAAATGTGGGTACCATACATGTTAATGGTTAAACAGGCCTTGGTGTTTTGTCTTAACACCAAATTATTTTGTGAATTTGAAATAAAAACTTCTAAAATATATGACATTGGTTGAAGTACAATTTAAAAAAAAGGTTTGGTTGATAAGTTGTTTTGGATCCAAGCCGACAAAAATTTATATACTAGTAGTAAACTACTAAAAATCTTTCCATGTATTAATTGTTCATATAAACCACACCAAATACTTTTTTGCCAACCCGTTTTGATAATGAATGGAACAAACGTTATTAAAATATGAAAATAAATGTTTACTGATAGGAAGAAAAATATTATTAGCCTCTGGGAGAAAGTTCCCCTCTGTTTACTAGGATCTGATTATATGAAGCGATTAACGCATTAAAAATAAATACCATCATTTTGGTAAGATATTCCCTTCTGAACTATGTTTATATTGTTGAATCAAGATAAAATACTTAAACGAAGAGTGATTTAAGAATTTTTACCGTTTTTAAATGTTTCAAAACAATTTACTCATTTACAAATTTAAAAAAAATGTTTAATTGTTTATTAGATTTTGGTATTAAGTTGGTAAATTTGATATTGTTATTTTAGTTGTATTATTCACAGTAATGACTATCAGTACATTTTTATTGTTTTGATAGGTATAAAATTGGATTACTCAACATAGTTCAAGATTTAAATAGACGTAGAATTATACCAGCTCAGCAGGAACAAGTTGTCGACGATAATAGAAACTTAGCCAATGAAGTAAATGGTAATACTGATGATGCGACTACTAGACAAAATGAACGATTAATGACAACCTTATGGACTGTAATAAGCACATTTTTTACATCTTTAATACCACAGGCACCAGATGTTATTTAAAAAAAAATAAAACTATTAGTTATTCATAATAAAAAAGGAACATGAAATTTATTAGTTATTAGTGAGTTGTTGTTTTGATTTACAATTTTATTCTTTTTTGTTATACTTTGGTTCCATTATTATATTAAGTGTTTTTTTTTTTTTTTTTAATGTAATAAGTTTGAAATATGTATATGAAGAAGGCACTTATAAAATATATTTGTTTTAACTGTATAATATTGTATATAATATATACATCAGTCACATTAAGTATTATATTATCTCGAATAACATGAATGATTTTTGCCTTGCTACCAAATTTAGATTTATATCATTATAACAATATGAGTATTTCATTTTTAACTTTTTAGTTATTTGTTAAAATATTACTTCTATTTGAAAATATACACCAAAATTTAACAAGGTTATACATTATTTTGTACAAAATTAAATCTTACATAGTCATCTTAAATGGATCGTTATGTTGAAAGGGGACAATTTACACAGTAGAAGGAAAATACAGTTTAGTTTTAGTCTCCTTTTAATATTAAATGACACCTTACCTATCACCTATATTATTGTGAAAGCTAACAAAAGTTCACTAGATATAAGTGTCCTACCCCTCAATTATGTAAAGAGATTGTTTTTTTTTTTAGAAGATCTATATTTATAAATTGTTTTTCTCTTATTTGGCTCTAGGTCAAACCTATTTAAAGGAAGGCCATCTGTATCAGTCATATTTATCATGACACCCACATGTAAAAATGTACTTGTAATTATTTTATTAGTATAAGCACCACCTTAATAGTTTGAAATCTGAGAGTTAATTTAGCTAAAAGTACAATCACTCATTCTGCTCCTCAGTCATATAATAAATTAAGAGCCTTTAAAATTATTTAGGTGCAAATACAGCTTAACCAACAGTTTTTGCTGGATCAGCCTATTCTAGTCTTATCGATGGCTATTTAGTCTAACCTAGCCAAGCAGAAACGTTAAAATTAAAAAAAAATTTTTTTTAATTTAGCTACTCTCATAATGATAAGTTAAACAAATGGTTCAATATACAGTCTTAACATTCAAATTGTACATTAAATCTTATGGAAAAAAAAAGATGAATGTATTTTTAATTTTAGAAAAACTTTCAATGTTAGACTTTATCAAGCCTAACAACTACAAAACGTATACATCATATAACGAATAGATAAACTATAATATTATATTGTAAAATTAACATTAAAATACTTAGAATATTTAATCAAAAAATGAATTCCAACAAGTGTAAATATTTAGCCAACAATAATATAAAATCAATACAAATTTTCTTGTGTACTACATGATTTTTTTTTAGATAATACTTTGAACATTGTAAAGTTACATTTAAATGTTTCTTCAATAGACCCATAAAAAAAATGATAGAACTTATTGATGTTATACCTTACTTAAAGGAATCTATACTTTCAATATATTCCATCATATCCCTGTTGATTTTTCCTTCGGGATGACAAAAAAATGTATATTCTTGTACCTTCTTTTTTTTTTTAATTGATTCGATTTCTACTTCAACATTTGAAGTTGATTCGTCATCTTTTTGTTCTTCATTGGATATAATAGCATCCGGCTTCAATTCTGTTTTCTTGGCACCTCTTGTTTTTTTTCTTTTCAAATTTCTTTTACTTATTGTAGCATGATCTCTTAAAATCTGGCTTAAAGCTTGACTATCCATACTATCGTTTAGATTGGGTAATTTTAACAAATTATTTTCATTCAAACAAATATATTATGATTTCAAAAACCCCTGATATGCGTTTAGTATCAGCACAAAATCAAATGTCAGTTATATTCATAAACCTAGGTCTATAGTAATATTATGGAAAACTGAGGATACAACATATCAGTAGTTTATGTTATCAATTCTTATAAATTGGACTGATAAAACTCAGTCGTAGTCCTGTCAGCGTTACGTTTAAGAGAATTCCGAATTGCATGCAGTCGGTGTTTTTTTACGTTTTAGACCAAAAAGCCAAACAAAATTTCTAGTATTTAAATGGTCTGATTTCAATATTCTGTAAAGATATACGAGTTTTGTGACAACTTTACTAGATTATGTAGGAAACTGATTTTTAAGTAAAAATTCTGGATTCTAATATTGAACAATTGCAAATTAAATTTATTTAATTACAAGAAACTGAAATGTTTAAATGAAAATCGGTTTCCTACATAACGTAGTAAAGTAGCCAAAGAACTCGAATATCTTTACAGAATTGAAATTGGACCATCCTATGTAAAAGAAATTTTGTCTGGCTTTTTAGTCTAAAATAAACTAAAATGGCTTTTACTTCGAGAAAAAATGATTTAAATAAAAAATAATACCTTGAAACTTATACAAATTAACCGGTAAATGAATTGGTATGGTCGAAATTTATTAAAACTATTTTTTCTTAAATATGACCCATACAAAACTCCTTAAAAGCAGACCGAATGCAATCCCCTTAACTATATTGTTTTTCATCAGCGTTATCTTCAAATGTCATTTAATATAATATAGGTATGTGCAGTCGTTCGTCAATATACTTATTTCTAACTATATTTTCCTATTTTTAGACTGTACTTTATCTAATTTATTAGGGGAAGTTTAATATTAAAAACAAAGTTTGTTATTTTATTGACATTTGATACTTTTATCATAATTTTTCCAATTGGATTCAACAATACAAGTACATATTTTACATTTTTTTGCTTTTATAATTACTTCCTACTAGTGTATAATATTGGTTTTATAGTGTTATCATTTCTACAAGAATATTATACATTTTATTTCTCTACAACGGGTGTATGAATGAACTTACACAATTTTTCCAACCAGGGTAGTGACTGTTGCCACAGAATAAATTTAAATGCGTTATTAGCATAGATTAATAGACCCTTTAGGACCAATATTTGTCTTTCCCTATTCAGTTCTCAGGTGAGAAAACTTACTTTAGCCTACCTTAGAAAACTTTACTACTATGTACGTAAATAATATTAGATTGGTTTTAGGGAAATATAAGGTTTTTTGTAAAGAAATAAAATATTTAAATAAACCCTTAACCACAAAAATAATGTTCTATAGCGTATACATATTTCATCAGTAATGTTTCTGTCATCAGCACATACAACAGACTGAGACTCAGTCTGTTAAGTTAAATTAATAACAATTATTGAATGTCTTGCTATGGTGGTAAGTGCAAAGAACGATACCCTTTAAATGTTGAACTGTATTTAGTTATTAAGTATTGAACTGATTATGGATCAGGTCAATACTTAATATAATTTCAAATGTACAAAGGATACAACAATAAAAATAATAACACAAATGTTGAAGGATAGTAATTTACTTAAGTTTCATTTTTGAACGTAATTCTGCTAAAGTTATCAAAATAGCTTCTTCAGTTCTTATAGTCCTTGAACCTTGACCGGGACAAGTATTCAAGTAAACGTCAAACAATTTGGAAGGCTGTTCTTCATTGATTTCTGTATCAGTTTCTAAAGCTTGTTCAAGTCCATGAACACCTCCAAAACAAATGATTGCATGCTTGTATCGACTTAACTGTTTTTGATCAGACTGATCCACATTAACACCTTTATCAGATGTTCCAATTTTTAAATCGTAACCGCTATGATAAGGGCATTTGGTGAATACTTCATTTATTGAGTCAGCATTTCTAACAGTGTAACCCCAATATAGCCCGGCTTCATTTTTTGGAGTACTTGGCGATACAACAACACCTGTTTGGCGTTTAGATTCATCACTTTTCGGCAGTAGTTTTACTGTGACCCTTACATATGGTTGAATACATTTATCAACTAATACATGTTTTTTAAGACCGACATCGACATTACATCCTTTTCCTTTTTTAGGTGGAAGTGTAGATACAACACCTTCTCTGTGAATCACAAAAATACATAAACAATTTTAGATTAATATAAATTCTTTGTAATAGCTGTAGATTTTTAATATAAAAAAAAAAATTGAAATTTAGCTTTAAAATTAACAATTTGCAGGGAAATATTGTATATTAGGCAGCAATAGCATGGGGCATTGGCATAATGATAAAGCAACAGTATTGTTACGCTTTGTTGCTGATTAAGACACTCCTATAGATGTCAGTTTCCTCATCTAGACAGGGTACCAGATTAAAGAAAGAAGTAGTACTCATCCAATTCATATAAATTGGTCTCGAATTTGTTAGATCAGAATTAGATTGACAGCCAGCTGTAATCCCATCCTGTCAAATCAATTTCCTCCTAAAAACCTTTTCATCTTATAATAATGACCTTATTTTCTCTACTTATACTTTGCAAATTTCTCATTAAATCTTACTATACACAGGAAAATAAGTATGTTAGTTTGGTAAACATGTCAACTTACCGAAATGGTACATTATCTTCTTGTCGAAAATGATGCGGTGCATCAAGCGGGTTTAACACTCCAGTGTACTTCAAAAAATTGTGTATGGGAAATAAAACTCTCCTTAAATATTGAGGGCATTCCAAGTATTGTAAAATTACAGCCAATTGTTTACACGTTTTTGACCCACCTTCAGTTTTTTTATTCGATATCATAACATTTGTCTGTTCGCCAACATCGTCAAATATAACAATCTAAAAAACAAAATATAAATCATAATCATTGTAGTATAGAAATTGTATTAGGTACACTTGTGACTAGACAGTAGTAAGAAGATAAACAACTAACTTCATCAATTTTGTAAATACATGCAGCTCTTGCTATCTGGCCAGCCAAATAAGTTCTGAATTCTGGTGATTGTGCATTATCCAAGATGGATCCAGGTACAGCAATACTGACTGTTGGCAATTCTTTAACTTTTTTAGATTTTATTTGAACATTATTTTCCGAGCACTCAGATGTTCTAGAAACTTGCTCTTCCGTTTCGATTTCATCAGTACCCTTGGATTTCTTCTTTTTCTTTTTTACCTTTTCCTCAACATTTTCACTTTTACGTTTCTTATCCAAGTTTGTGTCTTCAGAGTATTCAGTTTCATTTGATGTCATGGTTAAACCTAAGAAATTATAAATCACCTCTTATTATTTCTGGATGTAAAACAGTTTTTCTCAAAAATATTTTCATGTAATAGTTTAAAAAAATGCATGTATGTATTAAACATTATGTTATAATAAAAATAATATTGAACACTACCAAGGCAAGAGTCATAGTCAGAGAAATGGTGAAATTTGTATTAAAATATTTGTTATTAAGGTAAATTAAACTAAATTATTTTTTGGCTTTCTAAGCAGATAGACATCGTCTAATTTTCTTTTATGAGACTGCCAAGGATATTAATGGTGTTAACTACTTTAAAAAATAGTAATTATCTTAACTATTAGAATCAATTATGTGAAAATTATTTATTAACAAATAGAACTTCAATGAGTTTAGTATACTTAATAAGGTCAAACTGCAATTTTTTTTGTTGGTGTAAATAATTGCAATATTTATTTTCGTTAATATTTCTTGTTATTTGGTAGTATTCTATTGGTTTTGCTTCTTCTGAGCTCTATAGTTATAGCTTTATGGTGTACCAATGTCCTTTAACAAAAATACTGAACATTGTGATTGTAATGATACAATTGAAACATTTTTATTTTTATGACATGAATGTTATGATATTATTATGTACATGGAAAATGAGGAATTCTTTTAAATCGCCAAATAGTTTAAAATTACAGTTAAACATTTTTTAAGTAAATCTCAATACTTACTAGAAATAAGTATTTTTTTTTTGTTTTTAATTAACCATTCGGAAAGGTATAGAATAATTTCCAGAATCCAGATCCAAATCACGTGTTTTTTTCGTAGGTTTCTTATCGAATTTCAAATATAATTGTTATCACCGAATAACCAGAAGAGACCGTCAATGAGAACTCGATATCGGTTGAGAGCATCAGTGTATCCAGAAATTAACTATTATTACAAATTATTCATTGCTGCCGAAATTGATTTCTCACATTTTTCGATTAGGAAATGATCAATGTCGCTTGAAGTAAGAGAAAAACGGTAATTATCTTCATTCCGCCTGCCCTGATTCTCCCACAGGTGTAACAAATCGCCACACCCCCATTATAACCCGTGTAATTCTTTAAAGTGCTTCTTCTGGTTATTTTGTGATTACTGATAGTATGCTCAGTGGCAGCCGGTCGGCCGTCGGCGGTCTTTACACATGCGCCAAAGCTTTGAAAACGACGAATGCAACTTTTTGTCAGTTGCTCGCTACCGGTAAACGTCAAGTGATAACAAAATAAATTTAACAAATTATAAATTCAAAATTGAACAATTGACATCAATTAATCAATAAATATAACCGGCATAAAAAAAAAAATTAACAACCGGCAACTCATTTTTGAGTGTTGACGTTTGTCAACGAGGGTAAACAACGTGGTCAACTTAGAATAAAGGCTAAGATTCAATCCAAAATTGAATGCTGGTATTATAGTGATAATATTATGCATAAAGTATGCATATACAATTCCATCCAAATAATTCACCTTTCCGTTTACTATTCGGATTTCGGATTATAAATTTTAAAGATAAGGGCACTGATGTAAACATACAAAATATAAAATAAACTATTATTATTAACCGGTAAAAAATTAAATGCTCCATAAGTCACAAGTGTTATATGATTTAACTATTAATTAGTAGTTAGTAATTAACGTAATCGGGCAACAGTAAAATACTTTATTCTCCAACTGTGCCACTGTTTACATGTACATTTAAAAGGGGTTATCGCAATTTTTTAATATTTGGCATTTTCTTGTTGATAAAATTGATATATTATACGAATATATTACGTTTCCTTTAAAATACGGACATTTAGATAGTGACTACAGGCTTTAGTAATGCAACTTGTTTTTGCTTGGCAGTAGGTAGTAGGAGTATTACATTGCGAAATCACGCGTAACACGTGGTTATACTTACTTGAAGACTGAAGAGTTTAGAGAATCTAGAAATCTTTAAATATTACCTAATTGTTGTAAAATGGTATCCAACGATAAAATAGGTAATTATTTAAAATCAACTTATAAGTTAAGTAAACGTTTTTTTTTTATTACCATTAGTACTTTTAAATTAGTTTAACATTAACCCTTTATAGTCTTCGGAACTTGCATACATATTTGCTCTTTAATGATATACCGGTTAAGTAAAATATATTGCGTAGCATGTAGCTGATGAATTAAACAGGCCAATGCAATTAGGTCCCACTCTACCATAGTGAGGTTGATTCTTGACAAGTTAGTTTTTGGGACAGATCCTCAGTCCACTGCAGCAGAGGGGTTTATAATTTATTTTTTGTATAGTATAATAGTGGTTTAAAAAAATAGTCATAAAAAATCGGACAATGATAGATTAATTAGTTATTATTTAATTTTATATTTTAGCTCTCATTAGCGTATCTGATAAAACTGCACTCCTCGATTTTGCTAAAAGCCTAGTAGATAATGGTTTTAAGTTATTAGCTAGTGGCGGAACCTCACTGTTTTTACAAAATGAAGCTAAACTGCCTGTTACTAGTATTTCTGACTTCACTGGGGCACCAGAAATGCTCGGAGGACGTGTAAAAACATTACATCCAGCAATACATGGAGGTAATATTAAGTTTTTGTTATACTAACTTTTGTCCCGTATAAAATTAATAATTTGTACTTTTGTTTTTTTTGTCACTAAAATCATTTCAGGCATTTTAGCTCGTTTAACTCTAGCAGATCAAAACGATTTGGAAAAACACAACTACAGTTTCATTAACATTGTTGTCTGTAACTTATATCCATTTGAAGACGTTATATCTAAATCTGATGTTATTATTGGCGATGCTATTGAAAATATTGATATTGGGGGTGTAACATTGTTGAGAGCTGCAGCAAAAAATTATGAACGGGTTACAGTTGTATGCGACACAAATGATTATTCAAAAGTGATCGAGGAGATATCTCAGAATAAGGACACTGTGTTGGAAACTCGTCAAAAGTTAGCTTTAAAAGCTTTTACTCGTACAGCTTCATATGACGATTGCATATCAAATTTCTTACGAAAAAAATTTGCAAAAACAGTTGGACAAATTGATTTGCGGTATGGAACAAATCCACATCAGTGCCCTGCACAGTTATTCACCACAGATTCCAAGTTACCTTTTCAAGGTAATCCATTGTTGAGTTGTATAAAAAAAAAGCTTGCTAATATGAATACAGTTTAAAACAGTTGTTTTAAAAATTGTGCCAAATAAGTTGAATTAAGTAAAAAATTATTTTCATGCCTATAAACTTTTTCATAATTCACCAAATAATCATGACTGAAAGTGATGAATTTCATTTTTATTCATTTTTTGTACAATACTACATTTCAGTAATAAATGGCTCACCGGGGTATATCAACTTATGCGATGCTTTCAACGGTTGGCAGTTGGTAAAAGAACTCGCAGCAGCATCTGGTCTTCCAGCAGCTACTTCTTTCAAACATGTTAGTCCAGCAGGAGCCGCTTTAGGTGTGCCATTGAATGTAATTGAAGTAAGTTACTTTTAAATCATAGGTAAGTTTACAACAAACTTAATTTTAACATATTTTTAGGCTCAACTATACATGGTCAGTGATCTACTCGAAATAATGACTCCTTTAAGCGCTGCGTATGCAAGAGCTAGAGGTGCTGACCGTGTGTCTTCTTATGGAGATTTTGTTGCTTTGTCACACACTTGTGATTTTGCTACAGCCAGAGTTATATCTAGAGAAGTAAATAAAATGTCCTAATAATATATTATATTTAAATTAGTTTGTATTACATTAAAATGTTATATTCAAGGTTTCTGATGGTATTATTGCGCCTGGATATGAAGAAGAAGCTTTAAATTTATTGAAAAAGAAGAAAAACGGTAACTATTGCATATTACAAATAGATGCAAAGTTTACTCCCAGTCCAGTCGAACGTAAAGTTCTATTTGGAATGACATTAGAACAAAAACGTAATGATGCACAAATTGACGGGGAACTGTTCAAAAATATTGTTACTAAAAGATGTGAAGTTCGTAGCAGAATAATTTTTTATACTTATACAATTAAATTGTTATTTAAACAACATAATTATGTTATTTATTTTTAGGTGAGTGATAATGTCATAAGAGATTTAATTGTTGCTACAATTACGTTGAAATATACTCAAAGCAATTCAGTATGCTATGCTTTAAATGGCCAAGCAATAGGAATTGGTGCTGGTCAACAATCAAGAATACATTGTACGAGATTGGCTGGTGATAAAGCTGATAATTGGTTAATATTTTAGATTGATGAACATAATATTCATTTGTAACTGTTACTAAAATAATATCTTGTTATTTTAGGTGGCTCCGACAACATCCTTACATATTGGGCATGAAATTTAAGAAATCAGTGAAAAGGGCTCAAATTGCTAACGCCATTGATGATTACATTAACGATACCATAGGTACCGGGTTATTGTCACGTTCCAGTTGGGAAGATTTATTTGAAGAAATTCCTAAAGAGCTAACAGCACAAAGAAAACGTGAATGGGCTACTCAATTAAAAGGGGTTGCGTTATCGTCCGATGCATTTTTTCCATTCAGCGACAACATTGAAAGAGCTATTAAGGTATATCAAATTTATATTTTAATCAGCGGTTTAAGTTTAAGGGTTGGTGTACCTTTTTACCACTTTTCTATGTATGAGTGAACTCGTAACTAAAATCACGTAACCATAAATAGAAAACATATGAGTTTTGTTATGCGCTTACCCTACGATTACAACGCTGATTTTAACTATCAGTTATAAATATAACTTTATTGATTGTCGTTTAATACATTTTTATATATTTTAGAGTGGTGTAGAATATGTAGCGTGTCCATCGGGATCGACAAATGATCAACAAGTGATTGACTTCTGCAATGAAGAAAACATAGTATTGGCTCATACTAATCTAAGACTGTTTCATCATTAAATGTTTAATAACTACAATGTTACCACAAATCATGATTTGGTGTAATCTTATCTTTAATCTCTATTATTCTTAAATAACACACAATACTATGTAGTGGTTTACCTTGAGATCTTATTTTTTAAATATATTTTTGTAAGTAAGAACTAATAAATCACTTCTTTAATGACTTTTAAAAGTGTACATGAACTATCAATTTAAACTGACGTTTCAGATACAATTCAGTGTCCATCTCTTTAGAACTGTTCCCTTTAGGCAGCAATCATTACTAAACTTATTCTAAAAACTCAACATGTCAGTTTTTAAATAAACGTGATGTGAAAATGAGCATTTATCAAGAACACAAGCAATAAAATACTTCTTGTAAGTTTTTTAATATATTGAATATGTGCTTTTAAAAGTTTCATTTGTGTTGGTTTAAATTCTAGAATTATTAAAAATAATATTGTTTTTTATTTTGTAATAATAATTAATTTACTGGTTAGCAATTTTCACAACATTTTTTTTGTGTGAAAAAAAGTATCAAAACATATTGTGTAGAAAAAAAATTAGAATGTATAAAAATAATATTCATTCAAATTAAGTATATAATAATATATTACAAATAATATAGTTTTTTTTTAAATTGTGTGATTCAATTGCTGTCAATGAGGTATTTATTTATATTAAACTTGACAGTCCTGAAAAAAATATTGTACAATAACATAGATTAATATGATGAACTAAATTAATACATAGTAATTACTAAATTGAATCATACTAGCTACTACATTGTCTTTTACCGATAGTACTAACTCACCGTGCTATATTATTTACACAGTCATAACTAACACTGCATTTATACTTAGGAGTGTCCAATTTCCCATCACCTAAACGTACAAGAAGTCCCAAGTCAGCTAGCGTGTTGACCTATTACAGATAAAATGTAAATTAGCGCTGCCTCAGTAATTAAACTAAAATTAAGATAAACTATTTTACCTGGGCCAATAGATTAGCTGTCATATTGGTGTTTTCATCAATGATGGCGTAAAATATTGCTAGTAATCTATCCAATGAAAATATTTTAGGTCCAACTAAATCACTAGTAGTATTTTCTGTTTTTTTTGAGTTCTTTGTGTTAAATCTCTTTTTACGTTTATCAGATCCTTTCACAAACAGTCTTCTGTCATACTTTGGCAAATTGAATGATGCAATATATGCAGCAATCAAAAAATATTTTGCATAATATGGTAAATCCAAAGCCAACATTTCGAACTTAGATTTTATATTACTCAAACTGTCCAAACTATCTATACTAAAAAAATGTCACATAAATTGTTGGAGAAATCAATAGATCTACTTCGAATTAAAATAAAATTTAATATTGGTTATTATACCTAGTGCCAAGGTAGACACTGTTTGATAAACACTGAATGGTTGGAATAATTTTTCGGTATAATAAATTCTGATTTGATTCAACACAGGATCCATCTTTAATTGGTTCAATATATTTTGAAAATACTATGTTTGCCTAAAATGAAAATAATACAAATTGTTAATAATAGTGAATAAGATAAATTATAATACAAATAAGTTTGTTAAATTTACTAAATGTTTTAATTCAATCAAATCTCGACAACTTCCACAAAAAGATCCGATGAAGACATTGAGAAAATTTTTATAAAAATCTGTATTCCAATCTGTAGGGCAGTCTAACAATAATATTTCTCCTAATTCAGCTAAAAAAAACAATTACATCAAATTAGTAAGTGTACATAGTTTTTGGTAAAACTTTTATAGGTAACTTACTACTGTTATACTGTTCAAAAACTACAGGTATGTAAGCAAAATCATCATTAAATTTGGCTGGTGAAACTTGACTGACAAGTATAACACAAAGCTGATAACTTTGTACTAATTCCTGTAGTTTGGCAAACACAGTTATTTGTTCACATTCTAACATCTCACACCTATCCAATACTATGACTGTTTGTTGATTTTGAATATTGGCATTTTTCAATGCATTTAAAAATTGCATAAAGTTTTCACAACGATATGATGAATCAATATTTTCGTTTCCTATGATAAAAAATGTATTAGGTACTTATTAGTTTACAATCATAATATCCAATATTTATAATAGTGTATTATTTCATAAACAAAAACTTGTATTAAGGGTACCAACAACTCTATTTATTATTATTTAGAGCATTAACATTTGAGCATACAGAAATTAAATTATGTACACAAAATCAGTGATAAATAAGTTCATGTAGATTTTCCTAATAGCTTACCTAATAGATCTTTTAATATTGGTTCAAATAAAAATCTAGGTGTGTAACAGCACACAGAATTTATGATAGATGATTTGACAGCTTTGTTCATGTGATGCAGAAGACGAGTGATTACACTGGTCTTACCAGTAGAAGCTAAGCCATGGATAAAAATACATGGAGGTAAAACACCATCATTCTAAAAAAGTTAAAATATAATATAATAAGCAGATATTCGTATATAATTAGTAAAACGTATTTACTTCTACAAGTAAGTTGCATAGTGTATCCACTTGAGCTTGTCTAAAAGGAAATTCAGAATTCAGAGTTTCTCTAATTGGTAGTTTATTTTTTTTAGACATAATTGTAAATAATAAAAATAAATAAATGATGAAAATTAAAAGGATAAAGCAAAAATTAACAGAAAAATAACAAACTACTGACTACAGAGTAAAATAAAATGAAACAAAATCATAAAATATATTCATTGATTATAATAATGAAATGGAGGGAAAATAAATTGTTATCAATGGCCATGATAAATGTAATTTTAGTGAAGGTCTATGGTAATTACCATGAAATAACGTGTTAATTATTTTTGCTACTAAAGAAACAGAAAAATTAATAATTATATTATTACATAACTATTACTACGCTATCTATTAACATAAAAATTCAAATTCATATTACAAATACAATTTATATTATTTTGTACATTTTTTGCATCATGAGATCTTGGTGAACTTTTAAATGAAATTAATAAAATTCATAGCATTTTTATGGGACATAGCACAGAAATATTGGAATAGTGTAGTTTTTGGGAGGGTGTCAACTGTCAATCAAAATGTACAAACCATACACCTATCTGGTTTATTTTACTCATTTCATCTCATGTTATTTCTTATACAAGATAACGGTTTGATTATTGGAATCCAACCGGCGCGGGAGCAGTCCGCCGACGCCACCGGTACTAGACTGAAGTTAGCAACGTATTTTTCTTCTTAAAAACGTTAACAATAACATTTAAAGTGTGATAAAAGGAAAAGAAACAATAAATAATAAATACTGAATACAGACTGCTCCGAGAATTTATTGTTGTTGAGTTTTGTACAATAATAGTGTCTTCTGTTGTTATTTGAACTGGAAGCAGAAAACTTCTGAGGGCTACTGACTACCGTGTCAGTAGTTTATATTGCCGGATTTACCTTTCAGTCGTGAGTATTTTATCGGTAAAACGATTTTCTCAAGGCAAGCGGGTGTGCCGCTACGCCGCCGTTGTTGTTAGGCATTGGTTTTCAAAATGGCGGACAATTGCGTTTTGTAGGCTCTTGTCGAATGTCCGAAAGTGCATTTTACGAACCGCGTACAACCACTCAAGGGTATCGCAAAATGTGGACCTTTGGGTAACGCATTGCCTGTCGATGTAGCCGCGTAGGTAATTGGTATTTTATACTTGAAACTTGAAAGCTCGACAAGCGTTCGAAAAGGTCAATCGCTTCTCGTTGGCTTGAGTTCCTGAATCTTGTAGCCAGTCAAATGCCAATAGGAAGCTATTAGGTGTTCCGAGAGTCTGAATTCTGTTAGATTTCCCCCCCCCCCCTAAGATACTATTAAATTCATTTGGCTAAACACAATAATAATTTTGAATAATAAAATAACATTTATAAATAAGGTATAATATTCAGGTATACAGTAATTTTGTAACGTTATACACTTATTCAAAATAAAATAGAATATGTTTAAAATTATTATTATTATGAGAAAGTTAAAATATTCAGAAATTATTTTTATAACTATAATTAAAAAAAAGAAATTCTAACAGTGTATTTAATAGGTATGAAATAAGAATGTAATATTTGTTCTTGAGATATGCAGCTGAACTAAAGTTAAACATAATATGTACAGTATATGTTATGTTCTCCTATTCTAATATTGTGATAGAATGATGATAAAATATGTAAAAGTATTTATAATATATATAATGTATTACAGTTAATTGAAGCCAAATCAATAAGGATATAATGGCTTCTGCTTTAGAAGAAAGAGAAGAACAAAGTTCAAAATGCTTTATATGTAATGTCAGAGTGACTTCACGGTCATCATACAATGTTTACAGTACATTTATGCCACAAAGAGACGTTTTGCTTGTGGATGTTATGGCAAAAATTCTCAAAAAAATATTGGATCCAGCTCATATGAGAAGCTCAGTACTATGCCGAAGGTACATATTTTGTCGCCTAAATGTTGTATTTAATTCTGTTTAAGCTTTGATGTGAAGTTGAAGAGGTATTGTTTTTACACTGATGTGTATTTAAGACACCCAAAAAATGTACATACTTTTCAACTTAAAATTACGGTGTGCTAACATTTTTTTAAAAATAGACTAATTCATTTTTTTTTACGCAATATTTTTGATTCTATGTTTAAGGTGCTTTACTCTGTTTGATGAGCTTGATCAGATATCGATACGCTTTAAGAAACTACAAACTGATATTATTAAACGTTACACGTCTACATGTATTGAATATAAGGATCCTGATTTTATAAACACAGTTAACGATATGAGTCCACAGATAAAAGGTGAATCGCCATCTGTTACACAAGAAGAAGCTAAAGATAAATTATTTATGAGTAATGACGATGTAAAATCTACAGAAAAAACACCTAAAGATATTGATGAAGTAATTTAAAAATTGCTGTACATTTATTGATGACATAGGGCATATTTAAGTAATAAGTGTATTTTATTTGAGAAATACCTTTTTATACATCATATACAAGTACTGAAATCCAGACAGAAATCTTAATTGCTCTTTTTATGAAAACTTCATTATAAAGTATTGATTATTATTATAGATCGATATTATATTGATTGATATAATATTATAAACTTCCAAATGTCGTTGCTATTAATTATAATAAATGTTCTTGTGACACCCTTGTGATATGCAATCAATGTGAAAATAATAATCATATAATTTGTTAACATTTAAATTTAAAAACACTTTTTACTTTTAATGCTTTAGTAGATTATTATAATACACAATAGGGTTGCTCATCATATCCACTCTTTCACCTATTTATGCCGATTTCATAGTAATCGATTATATTTTTGAAAACTTTTTTGTGAATAAAGATAGTTGAAACCATTATAAGTAACATTCAAGCTGAAGAAACTATGCACGAAGTTAAATTGTTCAATGCTTCAAATTCTTCAAGTCCTAAAAAGAAAAAGGTGTCTATTAATGAAAACATTACAGAATGTATTGTCGAAGATATCATAGAAGAAACAGCTATGCCTGACTTAATGGAACAATCACCATGTGAAACTAGTAAGAATTTAAAAATGTTTCATATTATTTATGTATATTGTATATATTGAAATTAATTTGTGTCTTTTACAATAGGATTACGAAAACGTAATGTTAGTATGATATTTAAATGTGAGCAATGTGATGAAACGTTTCGAAGACCGCTCGATTTGAAAAAGCATTGTTCTGCTGTTCACCAAACTCCTTCAAAGAGATTTATGTGCTCTCTTTGTGATAAAAGTTACTCCACTAAACAGTCACTGAATAGCCATTTATCTAAAGAACATAAATCTCCCGAGAAGAAATTTAATGAGCAGTCCAATATAGCCAGCCCAATTAAAAGTCAGTTTACTAATAAATCCATTATTATTATGATTTATATCCTAATTGCTTATGTTTGCATTGATGTTTAAGTGGAAAATGATAAGTCTCAATCTTCGATTGATTCTGCCCTTGAAGTAAATGCTGAGTATACAAATGGTTCTATTGAAGACATTATGGTAGATATTAAGCCAGATTATTCGATGGAGAACAATATATACTTGGAAGAAGTTGTGCAGGATGATAAAGAATACGATGATTTTGAATGGAAAGAAGTCGAGAAAGTGGACTATAATGAAGAAAATGTTGTTGATGACAGTTTAAGCGCACTCGATAGTTCCGTAAACACAAATTCTGGTTCAGACAGGTCAGGTAAAAGACAGATGAAAAAGGGTCGGAAAAAAAGAGGCAGCTCGCGTTCAGGCGAAAGAGCATGTTTACCTGCTATTCATGGTTGCGAGCTATGCGGAAAAAAATGGAGAACTGTTACTGAATTAAAATCTCATATACAATCTCACAGTACCATTAGACCTTACGTGTGCGAGGTAATTTAATGTCATGTAACTTATTAGCTTTGATGCTGAGCTAAAAAGGTATATAATTTGTTATATTTTTTATTTTATTTTAAAAAACCTCCAAAAAATTAAATGTCATGATTACTACTCATTTATTATCTATAAATTAATTTATATGCATTAGTTTTTACAATCTACAGTTTCGCATCAAAGCATTAATTTTAAAGTGATTTTAGTTTTGATAATTCTATTACCTCCTTGATCCCACTATGCCCCAATCGCACTGTACTTGTTCCTGCTATGCTTTGGTTTTTTTTAAACTTAATTATCTTATTTGAGTATATATGTTCAATAGGTATGTGGTCAAGCGTATAAAATGAAAAAAGCTTTAGACGTTCATGTTGGTATGCATAACGGCATACATCCTTTTACCTGCGAATATTGCCATAAGTCTTTTACTCAAAAAGTTGGTCTACAAAAACACATTCCTATTCACACTGGATATACAAGATTTCAATGTGATTTGTGTGGTAAAAGGTTTATTCATCAGAAAAGTTTTCATATACATACTATGACACATACTGGTGAAAAACACGTCAAATGCCCCGAATGTGGTCTTGCGGTCTTATCGCAATCTCACCTGAAACGTCATTTGAGAGTTCATACCGGAGAGCGTCCTTATGCTTGCCCTATATGTGGAAAACGTTTTGCGGAAAAATACAACATGAATGCACACGTACATATACATGACAACAATTCGGGAAACGGTCCAAGACGAAATAGAAATCACATGTAAGTTTATATTAATAACATGCTATTAAAATTGTTATAAATTAAATTAATTTATGTTTATAGATGTCAATTATGCGGCATGAGTTATGATCGAAAGCATAAGTTAGAATATCATTTGGCTTCTACGCATAACAAAATTGACAATAAGGTTTCTCAAGATCAACAACCCGAGCAGCAGCAACAATCTCAAAATGAATATTTTCAAGATGTAAGAAGTTTGACTTAAATTTTATCAATTATAATAAGGCATATGAATGGCCACTTTTGCACTAGTAGGTGAAAACAAATTATAATTGTAAATGAATAAATTTCTTTTTTAAACAGGGTTCACAGAGTCATCAAATCATCACAGTAGACAATAGTACAATCGAGCATAACAGTAGTACAGCTATGATAACTGTAAGTGGTGTTAAAGTTCCAATATCTTTGGACGGAACACCAATTATGGTTACTACGTTGCCTCAACAGTCGCAAAATACAAACTTGGTTCCTCTAACTATACCTGCTGGTTCTATACTTGCTTATACGCCTACAAATTCAAATGAAAATGACCAACCGATAGTTGACGGAACGCAAAACACCTACATGCAACAAACTCCAGTTACTATACAATTATCTTAAAAATAAAGATTAACAATTATTGACCATCAATTATTTTAAAGGTAGTAAAGAGTTTGATTAAATATTTTTAATTTTTTTTTATTATACTTTCATATTAAACATTTTACTTTTTCATTCATTTTATCCATTAACCCATTTCCGGCCAAGGGTGTATTTATTTCATGGTGCGTGTACGCACCATTGGCCAGAAATGGGTTAAATGGAAGTACACGTGTATGAATATTACTAAAAAATCATAGACACCAATTTATATTAATTTTCAGCAGGGCCATTGTGTGGGACATTATGTCTCATAGACAGCCCAATATTGTGTAATTGTATTTTATTTGGGCTGCCCACATATTTTTATGTGCATAACTCGAAAATATTCATAAAATCCTTGAAAATGTATATACAAGTAGGTATTGTAATGCATTTTCCTAAACTCGTTTCAATCAAAATTCTTCATTATTTTCGATTATAGTATTGTAACAAGGAATTTATGATAACATTGATTAAAATATTAAGAAAAAATCTGCCTTAGCATCAAAAGATTTTTTTTTAATCGTAAATTACTAGTACTTATTCTAGGATTCCTGGGTGATAAGAGAAATTGATTAATATTAATAAGCAATTCGATTTAAAAGTCCTTTTTTACATTATATAATTTAGGTATTTATACTTACTAGGTTTGTTGTCGTCAATTATAGGATTTAATGTTTTATATTTTAAATTTAGGGTACAAAACAAAAACTTTTAATGTAAAAATGCTTAGTTTATAAACAATATATTTATGTTGAAAAATACTGTGTTGTATAATTTCTTTGAATTCAGTCCAGTGACTAGTTTATAGTTTATGATGTTTTATGGTTTCAGTGACACTTTTAATTACTTAATCACGTTTGTGGTTATTTCTTTTATTTCACATATTGTTACTACTGCCTTATTGATATTTTATTAAACACTTAACAAACTAAATTTAAAATTGTTGCGAAAAACTTTGAAATACTGACCCTTTCATTATTTATATGTATTGCTGAATAATAAATATAATATACATAATTTATATATGTAAAATAAGTAAAATAAAGTGGTATTAAATTGTGTTGATTAAAAACGAATATTTTATTTAACTAAATTATTGTGTATCAGTTTAATTTTTTAATTGTACACTGACTGATACAGTTGCTGCATCACTTTTCTTTTTATAAACACATATTTCAAAAGGAATTAATAAGTTAAAAGTTGTTAATGCGTACTCTTAAAAAAAAATTTTTTTTTTAAAAGAATTGTTGTAAAATATTTATTTTATAATACCCGTTGTAATTTTTTTATCAAACTATTATATTTTATTAAACCAAAAGATATTTCAGGTTTTTATTTGATTTTAACTGCATATAATTTTCCTATTACATACTGTTATATTTTTACTTGCTTAATATATATTTTTTTACCACATTTCTAATAATTGTAGAAATGATCATTAATTGTATTTGTAAATTCAGAATTGTATTCATAGTTTATTTAAAACCTAATTTATTGACTAGTGTTTTTATTATCAAGAGTAATATTATTGTTAGTTTTATACTTATTTTTTTATTACGTATGTTTTTATAATGTTGGTACTTATTGGTAGGATTTTACAATTGTTTCATGCAAGTGCCATTATGTATTACATATGAAGTTATTACATGTGCATCACTATTATTTTTTTAAGATTTATTTTATGGTATTAATACCAATTAAAATATGTTAAGCCAGCGAGTTGTAACCAGATTGGCTTGCAACTTTTAGTTTAGCCTTCAGGCCAATAATAAATGTTGTATAATTTCAGTTTTTTTATATATTTCTAAATCAACAATATATATTTTAATATTTATTTGTAAAATTTAGTACCTTGAAATCTTAATATTCCTTTACTGTTGTCATGTATTTTTGTGATAGAAAAATGACCTGACGCAAAGAAAAGAAATTACATCAGTTTTTAATTATTTTGTTAGAATAGTGGTGGATAGTTTAGTTAAAATAATGTTGAATGTAAACAAATAGGGCAAATTTAAATACATTTTTTTATATTTCATGCAAAACAATTTGTTAAAAGCAGGCCACTTGTGTCATATACCTATCTTATAACAGCAAAAATATTGGCCTGTCACTAATTTTAACATACATTCAAACTATTAAACAATACAATCATTTAATTATGAATACTAAAATGAAAAAAATCATAGTTTATTGTTCTTACAAAACAAATTGCATAAAACTGAGATAATTGTACTATTATACTTACTATAATATGTTCCTACATTAAAAAGCTGTCAAGTGGATCATAGGTGTTATTAGCTTAACAGGAATTTTAGTTCTTTTAAAGAAGACGAGTTCCTCTTTATCTATTTTCACGTGGCTCACATTGTATGCGGAAAATTTTTTTAATGATCTAACTTAAAAATACATCTATGAGAATACAACATAAATAGTCTGAGATCTTGTGTCAAAATAATTTTATAATTCATATATTACATTTTTAATTATAAAGAATATTAATACTTAATTATAGTCAATATTAATTATAACGTATGGGAGCGGAAAGACAGCAGAGTGACTTTTATAACACTCATCCCTTACGGCGAGCCACTAAAGAGTTATATGGGAAAAATAACAATAATTTGTAGAAGAAAAAATTTTTTTTTTATAATAAGTGGTGATTTTATGATTCCAGTTGTTGAGATAACTTTTTGAGGTTATGACAAGAATTTATTCAGTGTAAAATGATTTCCTACTAACGATTTAATTATTTGATTCAACATTTTACAACGGTATTTATTAGAAGTGTACTGTTGTGACTTGATGACAACATGAACGTGCTAAAGCAACGTCTACCAAAATCGTACAACAATTTACAAACGCGGATGAAGTCTACAATTTATGCATTATCTTCAGGTAAAAAATGTTATATAGTTTGATAAGTACAAAAACGTTAATCAATCGTAACGAAAAACTAAACGTTTCAATCTATTAAATGTTGCTGAATGCGTATTTTGGGATATATAATGACCATTGTAATCCAATTTCAACAATAATGGTCCGAGGTCTGCACGACTACACCGGCTACATTCTACAATTTTGTTATCACTAGTCGTTATCTATTTGTAAAATAATAGTGATAACAAGAAAGAATAAAGTTTTAAAAAGCGGGTTTTTTTAAAAACAACTCATCGTCATTTAACATGTTATGTACATGTTTGGTAGCCAGGGTCAAAATAAGCAATAATTTATGGCTGACGTTGAAGGTCGCTTGTGTAGGAATCACATTGATTTACATGTATTCAGTTATAACGTAATTATTATTATTATTATTAATAATGAAATATATATTTATATAATATAAAGGTCTTGGATTGGATTGTTCATTTTACAATAAGTTGTTTGTGTATAAGATAATTAATGTTTAGGATTCGGTAAATGCGGGGTGGCTGTTGTACGAGTTTCTGGTCCTAGTGCTTCGCACGCCATACTCAAAATGACTAGACTACCGGCTTTGCCCGAACCCAGAAAAGCCTGTCTTAATAAGATAGTTGATCCTAGTACTAAAGAGCAATTAGATAACGGATTATTGTTGTGGTTTCCAAGTACGTCCATATAATATATATCCTATTTTACTAAATATTTGTTTAAATAAAATAATTATAATAAAACGTGTCGTTTTCCCCAGAACCTAATAGTTATACTGGCGAGGACAGTTGCGAATTTCAAGTGCACGGTGGCAGAGCAGTAGTCGCTTCAATACTTCATGGATTATCTAAATTACCTAATTTTCGACCGGCAGAACCAGGTAACTATTGTTTATAACGGCGTCGGATTGTCTCAAAAAGGCTTAACGCGCAGTTTGAATAATAGCCCGTTATAAAAAAAAAATAAATAAAATCCCGATTTCAGTCCTATCCCTAATTGTTGATTGTATTTTTAATTATAGGCGAATTCACTAAGAGATCGTTTTACAATAACAAAATGGATTTGACCGAAGTGGAAGGTGTGTCTGACCTCATTGATGCCGACACTGAACTACAGCGGAAACAAGCGTTGATGCAACTAGAAGGTTCTTTGAGACAACTTTACAGCTCTTGGAGACGAATTCTTTTAGAGGTAAGTTTATAGGTTTTCCGTTTCTGTTTGTATTAATAATCCTTTATTGAATAATAATAACTTTAGAACTTAGCGAACGTGGAAGCTTATATTGATTTTAGCGAAACCGATAATATCGAAGATAGTGTCATGGTCAACGTGAGATCAAGTCTACAAAAACTATCTACGGATATACAGGTGTTTTTTCTTTTAAACATTTTTCGCCGTTATTTAATGATGCTTACATTTTGTACATATAAAATGAATATCATAGCTTTTCGCAGGTACACTTATCGGATAACAGATCCGGAGAGCTTTTACGTGATGGCGTTAAGGTAGCTATAATCGGGGCACCGAACACTGGAAAAAGCAGCTTTTTGAATTTTATGAGTGATTATTTTACAATTCTACTTTTTTTGAAAATCAAACATTTCCCTATTTGTTCGCAGTTGGTTATTGGCCGTGATCTAATCTTTCAGGTAATAGAGAAGCAGCTATAGTGACAGACATGCCGGGTACCACAAGGGATCTGGTCCAAGTATCTTTGGACGTGTCTGGATATTCGGTTATATTAACCGACACTGCGGGAATTCGCACTGAAACGGTAGATGTGATCGAAGAGATTGGAATCAAAAAAGCTATAGACCAAGCACGGGTAGCCGATTTGGTGATATTAATAGCAGACGTACAGCACATACTCAGAGCAAACGATATAAACGTGTGGTTTCAAGAGTACAGTGCAAAAATGAACGTAGATCTCAACAAATGTTTAGTGTTTGTTAACAAGGTCGACACATTATCCATAGGCCAGGTCAACAAACTTAAAACTTTGTTGAAATCTTCTTCTTTGGAGTTATGTTTTGGTTCGTGTATAACGAACAAAGGACTGACCAAAGTGATGGCGGCATTCGAGAAGTCATTAATCGAATTGTGAGCTTATGTACCGTCTATTATCTTTACTAACTATCCACGAGTTACATTTTCTGCTTTGTTGATTATAATCATATGCATAATACTAATAACGTAGGTTTTGGAGTTGGGGGGAAAGGGCTAAAATTTGAGTAGCCCTTTGAAAAATGTAGTTTTATGTACTGCTACTTACTGATATAAACTTAGTATGAACATTGAGTTTTCACCCGTTTTTATGTAATATTGAGCGTAATATGATTTGAGGTTAAGTTTGACTACTTTTATGTAACCAGACGTCGTTTTTATTACAGGTGCGGAAAGCCTAATTTTGAACATCCTCGTTGTAGCCAAGCGAGGCACAGGTATTACCTTGAAATGGCGCTGGCAGACGTTAAAAAATATCTAGAGGACTCCAAACAAGACGTTAACGTTGACGTTGCAGCCGAGCATTTGCGCAGGGCTACGTTACAAGTGGGAAGAATTACCGGGCACGTGTCCACTGAAGAGATGCTCAATGTGATATTTTCTAAGTTTTGCATAGGAAAATAAAAAGTAATAATAATACGTAAAACATTACCTTTAAATTAAAAGCAGTACACTTTTTTCATTTGAAAATGAATCATCATGATTTTTGTTTGTTTTGTACATGTCTAATCGTAACTGATTGACAATAATTTATAGCTACTTGTCGTGGAAAAACTAACTAGTAATAAGTTACCTATCTATATTATAGGTTTAAGTGTTTATTTTGTATGTATATTGTTTCCCTCAAAATATGTTATTTATGTTCTATACCAAATATTGTGAGTACCTACAGACTTATTTCATTAGAGTTAATAAGACTCTGATTTTTTTTAGTGTAATTTAATTTTTAATGTTTCGCCACTTAATGTGATTATGAATATACAATTATTCTAACTAATCATTTTTAATAAAGGATTTGTTTGATGCCGAAACGTCAACGATCATCAACAAATGTACATTAACAAAAGTATTGGCATTCAACTCTTTTCTAACCTACTTCAGTTTTCTTCGTCCATCAGATTTAATTATCCATTAACATTTCTTTGTGTATTCAGTAATACGGTCGTGTCGACATTATATCAGAGAATAATTTTGAGGTGAGTATTCTACTCTAAACCCTTTTACTCACAAAGTATAAACAGAAATAATCTTGTTTTTAAAACCTTTACTACAGGGTTATCCACTTATCGTGAACCACTCATAGGGTTTAATAAGAAATTAATTTTTTTCTTTTCATATTGTTTTTATACAATGTGATCTCAATTTTTCAAAATTTGTTTGGTTTTTACCCCCCTCCCAACTTAGTTTTTTTGATAGCAACTTTTGAAACTTAAATGGTAACGTATATATTTTATTAATTTTTAAATTGAGAATAATGTACTAAAAGTGTTGACTGGTCGATAACCCGTTTCGGATAACTATTTTTAAAGTTATAAATGTTTTAAAGTTAGGATGGGAGGGGAAGTGCGGTTGGGAAATGCGCGCAGATAAAAATGGAGTGTAGTATTTCCACCTTTCCTCCTGCCCTAAACTTGAAACTTCAATAACTTCAAAAATAGTTATCCTAAACTGGTTATCGACCAGTCAACATTTTTAATACATTATTCTCAATTTAAAAAGTTAATAAAATATATACGTTACCATTCAAGTTACAAAAGTTGCTATCAAAAAAACTATGTTGAGACCCCCTCTCAACTTAGTTTTTTAGTTGTAAAAACAAACAAATTGTTAAGGCATTTTAGGGCATTTTAAAAGCAGAGAGAGAGAAAGAGAGAAATTAAATAGTAAAATAGACAAAAACATCATAGAGTAAACGCATTTAGAGTTAGATGTACAACAAAGAAAAATTAGACGGATGATATAATAAATAAAGTACATGGTATCGCATATTCGCATAAAGAAACTAAAGGTAAGTATCAGGAGACAGAAGTTGACAGGCTGATTTGCATGGGACACGGCGTCGTTTCATAAATATATTGATTTTTAATTTATGGTTAATAATAAGGGTATTTTTATTACTACAACTTAAATATAATTTAGTAGAAACAAACACATAAGTCATGATTGAATTTACAATTTTAATAATAATTATCAACCTGTATGGTATGCTCGAACAGAGCTTGCTCTACCCGTTTCTGTCTGTATTTTTTTGTAACAAACAACGCTTCAAGCCACACCTGAGGATTTGAATTGCCAATGAAATTCCTAAACCAAAGCACAAAGCCAATAATGTTGTAGTCTTCTGCTGAAAAAAAAAACACTCGATTCTGACTGTATGTTTCAATTGTTGCTAAAATAAGAAATTTTCATCGAAGTGTCATATTATGTAACACACCTCTTAATCTTGTTGTTTTTAATAATTCACAAAACTAAAGTCGATGGTACTTAAGTGGCATAAAACAACGCATTTAACGTTGAGTATTTTACGATTTTTTGGTCGATACTCGACATACAGTGTAAACAAAATCACTCGTATTAAAAGTCACGTATGACACTAGTCCATAAAATTCTATTGTTGTCGTCTTAAGTAGACAAAGACGCCTAGAACAAGGCGTTTAACTATGGACAATGTGAACATTTTCTTGAGGTCATCTTGTAATCTTATAAAAAAACGTAATTAATAATGGAATACAAATAAATACCTCGTGATTTTGATAGCGCTACGAAGCATCGAAAGTTTGGTGTATCCGTTTCGAATCCGTCTTTTCGAAAAGCTATAAACCACATAATATGAGTATTAAGATAAGAATGGATTATGGTATTTAAAAATAGAATTAAATAAACACAACAGCTTTATAATAGTTTTTTTTGTTTTGATACCCGACCACTTAAACACTTGTATGTATCGGATTGCACATCAACGTAGCTGGTGTTTTAGTGGTGTGGTGACTCAGTTTAAAAAGTGCAATGTTAAGATGGGTCTGGCGTATGCTTGGCATCCTTTTTTTTAAATATAGTACCCTAAAAATCGTTTTGCTAGTTCTATAACATAAGCTATATGTGGCCACGGGGATAGACTTTATAGTATCGTCAGTGATAACCCACATTTAAATTTAACATGGTTCATAAGTTATTCGTTGACATTTTATCTATTTGGTCATTTCGTATAAAGCCAACCATTAAATCAAATGTAGGCATTTTTTTATGCTAACAATTTTAAAAGCAGTGGCGCAAATAAACTGACGGGGCTGCAAGGTATGACTTCTGTTAATTGCACCACTGCCTGAAAACATAAAACAAATAAAATTAATAAATGCCTTACTTGTTTTATCAAATTGTCTGTTGCTAGGTATCCCATACTCTGAGTAGTACTCCTGAAAAAAATAAACTGTGATTTTAATATAAAGAAAGTCTGTACGCAGTACGAGTTATGCAATTGTCATCTCCTATATGTTACACAAAACTCAACAATTCAGTCAAATGTTCTTTTAACTGACTATGATTGAATATAGTAAAACAAAATTATTAGTTAATTTCCTAAGTCACATAGACATGTGCGTCCGGTACAGTAACTTAAAAGGTAAGTATACAATTTATTAAAATCTAATATTGAGTATAAAAAGATATAAACTTATGTATAATCAAAATATTATAAAATAAATTATAGTATTATTTATTCTATATAATAAATTATATAGAATAAATCTTAAGTCTTATTATTATAATGTATAATTTGTTAAAATTAAATAAAAAATATTTATATACGTTTTAAATAATTAGTTTTAAAATATTAATTAAAATTAATGAACCAGTTCATTCATTGTTTCGATAATACTATATTTATTATCGCAGAATAATATCTAAAATTAAAAAGAATTTGATTAATAATCTAAATTTAGTGAGACTTTGATTGTGTAACATGAGAATTAAACGTGAAAAATCTTATACATAAACATTTTTAACAGATATATTAATTAAACAAAATGCTGAATTAAATAATTAATAGTTCATTTATTAAGGTATATATATATATATATATATATAATAGGTATATGATACATTATCCGCCTGTAAGAATATAGATAAGCGCCCATACCTATGAATACAGTTTATCCGTGTAATATAAATTAAGTTTAACTTTTTAAAACTATTTTAATTTTAAACTATTGTTATTTTAAATATAAAATTAAGAATAAAAAAAAATGGATTTTAATTATTTATATACCTAATTTAAATGTGATATGTTATTCATGTATGTTATTTTATTTGAAAAGATTCAATGTACACATCTACACACTATTTTACGCCTGAGGTAAAAACCTTACATTCATATAAATCACGTGTGTTAAGATAGTTTGATTTAATAAATTTGTAACAAATGTTGATGAACTTTATAAAGTTATGTTCCTTCACATATAATTCAGTTTTTTGTGAATAGATGTCAAAGTCAAGTGACAAAAATGATAAAATGTCGACTTACCTGGATGAGAGTATATATTTTGTCGCAATGTTCGACAGTGGCCGGGCGGATTGTGTAATTGACTAGCGGGACACCTTCGATGAGGGATTCCATTGGTCTAAGCTGTTTGGCAATACTCATCCTTTTCGGTACGGCGGTTGCGGTCGCAGTGTGCAACGTTAACCGAATGCACTAAACTACTAACACTACAACACGTGATACGAGGCACTTAACTAAAAACTGTATCAAGAGTCTAAAGATTATAAGGTATGATTATGTTTCACGGCCAAACATGACCAATATTATACCAGATGGGATATTATAATATGTACAATTTTACCAGAAAACTCGCAACGTTCCTCGACAGTAATAAATCAGGGAATAAAGGGATTATTTTAAATCAATTTTAAAACTGCACAAATGAGTGTATTGTTGATTGGGATTAAAATATGGGTCTGGAACTATATTATAGTTCGACCTACTTATTAAATAAAAGCCAGACCTTCTCGGTTAGGTTATATTTAGAAACAATCAAATTCACGATCTCACATGACTCAAAAAAGCTCGAGAGATTGACTTTATGCTCTTTTTTAGAAAATTATTTAACATTTTTTATTTGTTTTTAAAAGTTAAAATAACTTTTGAAGATTATAAAATTTGTCTTATTTTGTATTTATTGTAACGAACAACTAAATCTTTATGTTGTATTTATCTGTATTGCGTAATGATAATTTACCGAAATAAAAACGCCAAATAACCTTCTAATCAATTAGAAGGTAAAAAAAAGACGTTCATATTATTATAACGACGTCGAATAGTCGTATTCAGGTGTGATTGTTTACAAATTTAAAACTTAACAGTAACGAAATGTCATTCGTAAGTTTGATAGATTATACATGTTTGCTATTTGATACACCTATATTATTTTGAATAACTGCAGTAGATTTTTAAATGTTTTTTTCTATAAATATGTTTTACATTTATATTTTTAGTTATAAACCAAAATAGGGTAGTACAGTGTTAAAAAAACTGTGTTTCAATAACATAAATAATTAAACGATAAATAACAAACATGTATAATACTGCTTTGTGAAACAAATTTATTGGACAAATTCGAAATGCTAGAAACGAGTTAATATTTTTAAGTTTCGAAAAAACTCCTTTTCAAGCGTATTCAACGACTAGTAAACTGTAAAGTCAAAAAGACCGTCTCCCTTCTCACTCTGTATAACTGGCTTCGTCTGGCTATCTTCCATTTTTTAAATATGAAAAACCAGATTTCATAATTTATTTTCACCTAACCTAAACTTATCATTTCATTATAATAAATAGCCATTATATAGCTATAAGTTACACTACTTCCAAATAAAAAAAAACTTGTTTTGTATTAACATACATAAGGTTGTCGGTTTTCAAAGGTTGAAAGTTAAAATAATTTTAGAAATCTTACATGTATAATATTTTGAGACGGGTTTACAACTGTTTACTCTTTGACCGCTACATTATAAACCTAATTAGAATAAAATAAGAAGATATACCTAATGTTTTGGATAAAATCATTCTAAAACATAATTTTGATAGCTTTAATGAAAGTAAATTAAAAAAGTGTAAAAGAACTATTCTCAATGATGCAAATGGCATGCAAATCCGTACTATAATATTTATACGGATAACGTAGTTTGCGGATACTATTTTACCTGTTACAAAAATAGTGTCATTATAGATCTATGAAATTGAATAACATGCTGATTATTTGCTAATGAAACGTTTTTACAACATTTAAATAACACCGTTAACAATAATATGTTACTTCAGAAAAAAAATCCACTACACGATGGTCTCAATCTATTGTTCAAGGATAAAATGTTTAAAGAATTCGAGTCGTGTACTATTCAATATTACAAAACCTAAAATTAAGTTTAATCTTTTCCAAAATTATAGCCAATTTGAACATTTGTTATGTAAATGATTTGAATAATACGAATAAAAAAATTGATTTTCAAAAATATAAATACTAAAGATGTTAGTTATCAAATGTTAGCATTAAGAAAAAATAATGGATTGGTGGTAGATGAAAATTAAAATTGTAGAATTACACAACTTGTTGTTATCAACTTTAAAATGTTAATTGATTAAATACAAGTAATAAATCAATTGCCTCATTCATACAATTAGACACATTTTTATACTCTGCTTGATTTCTGTATAATATAGTAGTTTTTTGTTCATGAAATATTTTATTATGGTAATTTATGTATATCTATAATCACATGAAAGTCTATATTATCATATTATCACATTCCATTTATAAAAGTATGTCTTAGCTAATATAAACCGAGGTACTAAAAATATTTAAATTAAATATTAAGATAGTCGATATTAAAAAATAAATAATAAAATTGTAAGGACATATAAAACTCTTTAATATTATATTTTACATCAATTGGAAACTATTAGGTCAGTGGATGGCAGCTTGGAGTATGATCCAAATCGGTCTGTATCGTTTTCAGGTTTCTTATCAACATTTTCGTTAGTTACTTTGACTAATCGGTTTACGAGTTTTTCTTTTTTGTGCGCCGTATAAATCCATCTAATGCAATAAATGCAATCAAAATTCATTGTTGTAAGTAAGAAAGGTTTAAAATTTCCCATTATAAATAATTGTCAGGCCAGCACAAAATAAAATCCAATTTTAATAAAAATAAGAATGAAGAATTGAAGTAAACATTTTTAATTATAAATAATGTCCTTGAAAAATTCCTTCTTATTTTTCATGAAGATTTTTTTTATTATCTTTTGTTAAAAAAGTTTTAATTAATTTACTCGATGATTATATTATTTTGTTTAATACAATCAACAATTATACTTTCTATTTCATTATAAAGTTGAATAAAATAAATGTCCATAATACGTACAAGAAAAAAAACATAGCCACCAAAAGTAATGATGATCCAACCAGGAAACACAAGCCCGGCATGGTGTTTAGAGTATTTCTATAGATAGCACTGTACATAGGATTATAGATCACTGGAACGAGTGTTTCACAAACACCAAACACAGCGGTGATTTGACCTGAAAAAGTACACAATTATAACAACTTTTTATGATCGCCATAGTATTTTTAGAATTGTAATCGAATATCGGTTACTCTTTTATATTATCAAATTTGCTAAAGAAATTTAGTTTTCACATTTGTATACTTATTTAATAATTTAATAGGAATAATGCACACTAATTTTTGGTTACTAACTGAAATCTGAATTGCGATAAAATGTTTAAGCGCAGATGTCAATAGTTTCCTATTTATATTTAGTAATTTTCGTTAACATCAGATAATCACCTAGTTCGGTAGGCAAAACCAGCTTTGTCACGATGGACCTTAAAGCCACGATACCCGTGGCACTCATCATTTCCATTATGGGTCCTGTAAGTTAAAAAAATGATTGATTTTTAAATTTGAAAGGGAAAGGGAAAGTTTTATAACGTCTAAAATATTGGACAGCGGTCCTAACCTAAATAAAACACCCAATCGGTCTTGGCAAACGTGTAAATCAGTCCACCTAATATTTTACTCATACACGCCATTGCCCCGACTACAGCATCGTCGATTTTCAAATATTGACAGAACAAACTAACTGATATAGTAGTGCCTAAAAAAAAAAGACATTTTACCAAAACATATTTTTAGTTTGCTAGTACAAATGTATCTTACCTACAACATTGGTTATCATTGAGTATGTAAGAAACCAACTAAATTGTTCCTCTTTCCAATTAAACTGGACACGGGTATACATATACATTATAGCCATTTCTCCTGTAATATAATTTACAAAATGATAACTTACGGTATAGACTACTTACCTAATATTATAAAAAAAAATATGAATTTTTAAAAATTCTCAAATACATTTGTCTTTTGCATTCGACATTTATTAAAATGTTTGTAAAGTTAATTGTTTTTGTTTATTTTATTTTAAGTTAAAGGGGCCCTCATTATTATGTAAATGTTTGTATGAGTAATTTGGCTCTTTGTTTTAACAGTTTTAAACAATTTTTAGCAAATTTTGTTAAAAGGAAATTCGTACCTTGTGTCGGGCCCATGACAAACATTGTCATTATCAGGAGCAAAATAATCCTTGTTCTCCTATGATACGGCCCCTCATTGAATGTCACCCGAATCGCATCTTTCATGTGCTGTACGTTAAAGAAATCCTTTACGCTATGGCCTAATGAATATTTTTTATAGTGTTTTGATTTGTCCGTTTCCACGGGTGAAGCGATATAGGGTTCCTTGATAAATTGTAATCCATATATGGCCGTTAATATCATTAATATAGATGAAGTTATTAATACACCTGGAATTCCAATTCTTGGCAACATATAACCAGCAAAAGATGCACCAATTGGCCCCCCCAGTGACGTGAACACATTTACCATACCAATCCTCAAAGTTCTAGTTTCAACCTGTGTTACGAAAACATATATTTTTATGAATTAATAAATTATAAAAAGAATCAGCCATTTGAGAAAAAACATAATCATGATTTTTGATAAAATGAGGCTATGGCAGATTCTGATTCTCTGAAAATAGAAACGTGCACGGGTATAAGTTACAAACTTTCTTTTACTAAGACACAGGTGAATGATATATCGTCGAAGCTGTCGTCCTCATAGCTGTGTACTTTGGGTCGCTTATCACGTTTTTACTTGTTATTACGATAGTTATGATATTCATAACATTTGTATGTCCTTTGATCTTTCTTAAATAACTGATACAACATTTTTTTTTTATACTTCAAAAGTTATAAGACTTATATTTATCAGTTGTATAAGTTATTTCGGTGCGTAGATACCGTTCATTTTATTTATATTAATAACCAGTTAAACCGGAATTTTATATTTTATTAATACCTATTAAATTGTTAATAAATTTACACATTTATATTATTATGCATTGTAAAATGATAGGTATAATGCTTTTAATAAAAAAAAGAAGATATTTTGTGATATACTTGTATAGTATAAAAAAGTATATATTCATGTCATTTTGAATACTTTGTTCACTAATTATTATAATTGAAGGAAAGCATTGGCGTAAATTTAGGAGAGGGACAAAAAGTTTTAAGTTTAAATTAGTATTGTTAAATTGGCCACATTTAACATTATTTAAAAAAAAATTGGAAACAGTTATTAAATTAAATCTATCAATATAGAAATTGTTAATACCACTAACTTGTTTTTGGGGTGTAAGTATACTTAGTCCCCCTTAAAAGAGCGCTGATGAAAAAGTTTGGTAACCTAAGAAGCATATTTACAGTTTTCTCATTATAAGATAACAATTTAACCTCCTCCTTTTCGAAAATTTGTCATATACTATAAAATCAACGGTTATGATAAAAAAAAATATTATAATCTACGACTATTGTTTGCATTCCCGACTATAGTGGAAACGGTGACACTGTAAAATGTACACGGTTTAATAATATTGTTTAGGCAGGACGTAGTTGGGTCTATACTTTTATAATTCGAGATTAATGATTATATAACGTATGTGGTGGTAACCTTATGAAACTTGATTTTTGATCACTTGGCACCAGTTCATAAATTTAACGTGTGCTCACCGTGGAGATGTCGCCAATATAGCTGAACACAGCCAAGGTTAACGTAATCGCGCCTCCCGTGAATGCGGTGAATATGGATTCAACGACACCGGTGACTTCCATGGGCAATTGATCGAAATAATAGTAACAGGCTAGAACGCCTACCGAGGCGAAAAACTGACCGACTATCGGCACTATCAAGCAGGGCTTCCGCCTGCGGTTCCGGTCACTCCACGACCCGATGTATATGACCAGCACGCATGGTATACAATTCTGTACGATGGATTTCCACACGAGCATGTCGGAAACAAGCTGTTGGGCTAGTATTTCGCCTTTGGACGTGCCGTTTGCTGCCGACGAACGGCTTTCCATTGCCGAGCAAGTGTCGTTGTCCAATTTTAAATTCACCCGACACGCTTTTTGAAGGTTCAAGTTTAGCGCGGAGAACGTTAAAAGAATCGTGGACACTATGTACAGGCCTAGCAACAGTTCCACAGTCGTTTTGCCGACCATATATTTGGCCCTGCACAACAAGCTCATGTCGTTCCATTCGGTTTGCTGTTTTTCGGACGACTCGGCATTGGCCATAGTATCCATGGGCTCTGGTCGTCTCCGGGATGACGAAAGCTGCTGAAATCAATGCAAGTGTTTACATGACAGTTATTCTGTTGAAAACTCCAATAGAAAAAAAAAAAATGACAACATTTAAACGTTATTTTTAAAAAGAGTTTCAAAATTCGAATTTTAGTATGAATAATTAAATTGCAATTTTCCGAAAGTTGGAAAATGTGACTTATCGACTTGCGCCATTCTACCGCAGATCTATTTACTGACAACCTGAAAATCTTGGGAAATTGATTTCAGCAATTTCATTTTGCGTTCTACAATTTTTTTTTCCAGTAATTGTTTTTTTCTTTTGTGTAAAGACTAATAGAATGTACATTTATACCTCATATATATAATAAATGAGGTGTTACCGGCTATTTTACATATATTGCTGTACATAAATTAGCATAAGTCCTTAATACGAAATTGTATACATATTTTTTCGAACAAACTAATACAGGTTTTAATAGAATCACGGAGGAAAAAATGTCAAGCTTATTATAAAATATGTCTATAAAACAGTTGAGGAATTTATTTTTCATAATTTAGGCAGTGTAGAAAAAATAATAAAATGGGGATTAGAGGTAAATTACTGCTCCCTTGTGAGTTATCTTTTGAAATAAATTAAAATTATGTTATTAGAATACAAACGAAAATTGCGTGTTGTCTGTTTTTAAGGAGTTTTGTATCAGCAATATTTAAGAAAAAAAGAGGTTTCAATCAATTTCGACCATGTCAATTGATTTACCAGTTAATTTGTATAAGCTTTCAGGAATTTTTTAAATTTAAATAATTTTTTATATGAGTGGAAGCCACTTGTATTTTAGACTATAAATCCAGACAAAATGTCGACTATATAGAATGTTTAAATTTTGAATTCTGCCAAAATAACAAGCCGATTTTCATTTTAAACATTTTAGTTTCTTGTAATTAAATAAATTAAAACTTGAAATTTTTTCAATATTTAAACACAATTTTGTCCATAAAAATCAAAGATCTGTTTCCTACATTACTTGTCAAAAAACGCGTATGTCTCAACAGAATTGAAATCAGCCCATCCTAAGTAGTCGACATTTTGCCTGGCTTTTTGGTCTAAAATTTCAAAAAAACCGACCTCATGTAATTGCCTTGATAAATGTGTAAAATTATATGTGTCAATGTGAAATATGAAATAGTTACCAAGTCGTCAATAAGTACTAACATCGTCTAATTTAGTTTTTGCCTAATATGAGTTATGGACCCTACCTAGTCTATTTTTTCGTTATCTGTCAAATGGTCGCCATGCCGTGATCATCAGAGCACTGAAAATGGGAGAAACACCAATACAAGATATTTTGCAATGAAATAAATCAGTTTTTTGTGCCTCCAGTAAAGTTAGGGAAATTAAGTTAGCTGCTGTTAGAACTCACGTCATAGCGAAGTACAAATTAAACTATTGAATTTAAAATTATTTTATCCTAAGAAAGCTTTTAATTATAATTAAATTAAATGAATTGTAATGTTGTCCTAATTGCTTGTATATTTTACTTACTTAAAAGTTTAAAGTAAAAATTGTTTTTTTAAAAAAATGGATCTTCTTTTCTGTGTTATTCTATGTATGTGGTATAAGGACTCTGGTGTTCAAAATAATTATAGTATGAGCTACAAAGACATTTCTTAGTTATTATGCATTGCTTATAAGACTTAAGAAACTATTTGCAACGTTATATATATATTATATTTTATGTTATTTTTTTTTTAATTTTTAAACTCTAGGCCAAGTTAGTTTTTTGTTAATTAGTTTTTAATTAAAATGAAAATAACTTACAAATTTTCATGAATTTCTCTTTTTTTCTAGTAGTACGTATAATTACAACATTTTTGCAAAACGAGCATTGTTGACATTTTTTTTCTCAAAACCGTTGTGTTCATTATCAAAAGTTAGTAGGTAACACTACGAGTTACTGCATTGAGACATCTGTGACTCTGATATCGAACTTCTCCTTTACATATTATGAAGAAGATTTGCGTTAAACTGGTTATACGATTTTGCAACATTATATCAAATTATCCGGTTTTATACATTTTCGTGAACTTATAAACTTCTTCGTACTATCTTAAGTGGGGATTACCCACCCTAATACTCTACTCTACGCTTCTCTCTGTATTAACATTTAATCCATACGGTTTTATGAATCCCTTAATAACATTAATATATTTGGGTCATTCCACGGGAAATCACTTAACGTGTGTGCGACTATAGTAAAAAAATATTTGAAAATTTTATCTTTTATTCTTTATAAATTCTTTTTTTTTTACCTAGTTGGTTTGATTTTAAAAAAATGATCCAGAAACACCTCATGTTCCCGACTCTGTAATTTAACCGTCGATATTAGTATTAATTCTAATTAAGTATTTTTTTAACTACATTTTGAAAAAAACAGTTTTTTCAAAAAAAAATTAACATTTTTTGGGAATTAAAATTTTTATAAGGCCAAAAAATTAAAAAAATGTATTTTGCCTATATATAATTCAAGTTATGTTCTTATGACTCATATTATCTCATATTATCATCTTTTAACCAATTGAGTTTTTTTCTGTTAATTTACGGTTTCAAAATGGGTGGTTTGCTGAAAACTGCCTACTTTAATGACCCACGACACGTATATGCCTGAGCCTGAACGAAAATGTATGTAATACTTGCAAATAATAAGTTAGTACAAAATCCGGTAAAAGTTTGGTAATGGAGAAATTATTATAACACTAGTAGTAAGGGTTTAAATTTTCTGATTTACATTTTTATTGGAAATATACACAATTAACTATTTAATTTATTCCTTAGTATATCTGTATCAAAACACAATATTATAAATTAGGTGCATTTAAGCTAATAGTGACAATAATTTGTACTATGCATGAGTTAATTTCAGAATATATTAATAAAAAGAAGGAAAAATGAAAAGAAATATTTTTTGCAGATTGGTCTTATAAACTAATCGTTTAACCGTACCACCAACACCGTCACATGGACTCTTTACAAACAAAATTCCACTCAGCCTCTGACCCAAAACCTGTTTTATGGTTACAAATACTGACCATATTTTTATAACTTTTATATTGACTTAGTAGTGCCATCGGAAAAGTAATGTATCTTTGTTACATTTGGCAAATTATTCAATTATTTCTGATACACAAAAATCGCATTTGAATTGTGTATCAAATAATCACTAAAAATACAAAAACTTTTTCTTTGTAAAATTCCATGTATTTATTTGATTTATCATATATTACATAAGGATGTAAAGTAGCCTGAGCGTTTACCCATAGTAGCTTTGAATTTCATCTGAAAGAGAATCTTTTTTTTTTACCTAAATATGAATACTTAAGCAATAAACTTAATATTTGTATACGTTGACTAGTAATAAGTTCGTAGTAATAAGACTAGTTTCGTTAAATTAAATTTTTCAGTTAGCTATTACATTTTCATACTCATCAGCAGCATTGTTAAATGTTGTAACGAGAGGTGTGATAATCCTAATTACAACAAGTGGATAATTACTGTGTACATGATTTCTTTCCGAGTAATGTATAAAATACAAACTTCAAAAATCATTTTTTGGCACAAGGAAAATTCTAAGTAAGTTTTGAAACTTAGAACTATTTCCGTTTGCATGGTTTAGTTTTTGTCGAGTGCATGACTTAATTGCTTAAGGTATTGAGTCAAATTTCTATTTAAAAAGGTTTGTGCATGTAAGGAATAGTTTGAGTGTATGTAATACAATTGAATATTAATGCGCAGTCTATTACCTCCTACCATCTTTACATAAAATAAATTGTCCATTTGGCCTAGTCCAAGTGTTGCCTCGTTTTAACTCGTTAGTTCAAGTTTTATAATATTGAGTTATATCATTTTTAAAGTATCATTTGCGACAGCAAATTCTATAATACCGAAACAGATATTATTTTTATTTTTCCTCAGCATCTTCGGCTATTGGCATAATACCAAAATTGTATTAATAATAAATCAATATTATTAATTGCAACTCATATGTGGCAAAGTATTATTTAGGTAAAATACCTTATAAGGTATTTTAATATCATTTTATTTTTTAAAACGATATCAGTAACTAGCAATTCAGTGAAATAATAAACCAAAAGTAAGCTTATTCTTGGATTTCCCAAGTTTAACGCCTTTAATCATTATGTTACAAACGTTAACATAAACGTACTTAAGGAATTATTTTAACTATTGAATATTTAATGAATCTAAATTTAGATACTACTAGCGCACCTAAAATACATTGGTATGTGTATGCAAATTGACCATTTATTTATGTTGCTATACTATATGATATTTTCCGTGGTCCTTTGTTTATGCGTTGTTGTCCGAAGACTTAATTTGGAAAAAAACTGGTTTACAGTACAAGTAAAAAGTTGTCAAAATTACATTTAGACAGCATCCCGAATTATTTTTGTATTTGTATGTCAGTGACTTTTTAGTTTTCGTCGGTCAGTTAATTTATCACTTCTATTGCCTTTATTGTTGCTTATGTTATACATTAATAACTAATGGAATAAATGTATAAAAAAAAATGCTTAATGTGTTAAAACTTTCATGGATTGAACTATTAGTTTGTTCATTTTCAGATGTATCCCTGTTGTCATCAGTTAGCTGACCTTTTGTCATGAACAATGAACAAGTTTATAGTTAATGATTAACATATGAATATTCTTCAATGGAATGTTAATGGTTATTATAATAAATTTAACGAAATCAAAATAATAATTAGCACACAAAATCCCATTATCGTTTGCTTACAAGAAACATGCAATTATCGCAATCAGTTTGAAGACAAAACTAGTAGATGACTTTTGAATCTGACGTCGAGATAAGCGTTTTACGTTTGGCGCCGTTGTTTTATTGTAAATTGAGATTTGTTGTTTATGGGTATATGGACTTTGTTTGAGGTTTTAGTACCAGATATACTTGGAGATTTAGGTGTGTTATTTACATATTTTGGACGATTAGTGTTAAGAAATTGTCCGTTCTTTTATTGACATTCATTTGGTTAATTTGAGTCGAAGTCAAAACACAATGGTTGTCATATATATTATATTGCCTGTTTATCTGTTGTCGGCGTAATTATTGGGGTGTTAATGTGCTATCGAAAGCTATAAAAGCCTACAAACGCTGAGTGTTCACACGTGATGAACTGTCGGCAATTTAGCACTTAATGCGATTTTGTAAATTCATTTGGACTATGACATTTAACAAGCAATACTAGGCAATTGCAGAAGTTGAGCACTACTAGCAGAACCAGACCAACGTCGCGGTAGTAATATTAGTTCGACTTGAACAAATTTAGTTTTGGTAAACTATTTTTGGTTATTTTACTTAAGCAAAATAGAAAAAAATAGCTATTAACGTTGTATTATGTAAAATGTTGTTTTAATATTGAAATGTAATTACTCCTTGACTTCACGTCGTAAAGTGCAATTAGATACGCCAATAGATTCAGTACTGTGCTGTGTGATGGGTTTACTTAGAAACAGCTAAGTGTTTTATGGCACCAAATGTATTGTAGAGCAGTGTACTTGTAGGTTTTTTAAAAATTGATATATTTTATATTACAATTTCATAGTATATAAACTATAAAGTATCACATTTTATAAATATATATATAATATATACATGTATAAAAACAGTCAAAAAATATATATACGATCTGCACACAATAAAGTATAATATTCTTATGATTTTTTAAATGAGCCGTATTTTGAACATCCTGGGGATTCGTCTTCGGGTTGAGGATCATCGTCGTAGTTGACGTTTTTTGTGAATTTTCTTCGGTTTCCATATAATTTCTCTTTATACAGCCATCTAAAACCAATGGAAATCCGATTAAACGTCCTTTACATTTTATTAACGTTAATTTATTAAAAATTACATGAATAACACGACTGAAAAAAATTTAAACACTACTCCAATGTAATAGTACGACCCGGGGTATGCATCCAACGAGGCTTCATACCATGCGCTGTACGAGATTCCAGATACCATATTAATGACTATTTCGGATATCGCAAAGACAGCTGATACTTGGCCTATAACATAAAAATGATTTTATAATTATAATTTTTTTTTTTATATAACACTCAACAGTGTTGAGTAAAGTCTTTCTTACTTAGCTCGTTGTTTTCTACTAGCTTTGTCATCAGTGATCGGTCAGCCGTAGATTCCCAGGTTATGATACAATTAAGCAAGCCGCCTACGCTTTCAATACAAACGGTTTAAGTAATTCAATATTCGTCAAACTCTTTACCATACTCACCTATATAAAACAGTAATTCTGTGGAAGCTGTAGCGAATATCAATCCGGAAACGATTTGGCTTAAACAGGATATTATACCGAGCAGCTCGTCTCCGATTTTGAAAATTCGATTTACAACAAAAGCGCAAAACACGAGACCTTGAAACAAAAATTAATGAAAAAAATTACACATTTATTCGAATTAAATAATATGATATAGCCGTGTATAACCTATTGTATCGAGTATTAGAGAATATGTGGCAAAAGCGCTGTATTTCACTTCATTCCAGTTGAATTTGACGCGAGTGTATAGATAAGTTATTGTTGAGGAACCTGTAAAATAAAAATTGGTTAATTTATCAAATTAATAATTAATAATTGTATAGAACAAGTGTTAACTAAATCGAATAATGCTAAAAAAGCCTTAGTCCATAACTTAAAATTTTCCAAAAAACAAAAAAAAATTTTTTTTATTCTAAAGCCAGTAATAATAAGCTAATATATATACAGGTTTCAATATTTATGTTTTTTTTTATTAGTTCTAGTAACGTGACTGAAGTCGTTTTAACATATATTGATTCAAGGCCCACCTTTCAAGCACGTCCCTAAATTTTTAACCCTCCAATAAATTCTACAGTCTATGGGTCATGTTTGTTGTAAATTATTTTTAGTAGACTGAATGTTTAGAGAGGGAACTGGTTGACTGTTGAAAAAAATCCTAGTGTTTACTAGAAAGGTTAGGACATTGTTTTAAAGAACCCTCGTGACACAAGTATTTTTTTTACAAAAATAAACATGCGGTTTATAACAAAATAATTTATTTGCATTTTTTTTTTTACATGGAATGAAATTGTGATGAATTAAACTTTCAGAATTGTTTATTTTTTTATTGTTTAATTGCATTACTTAATGGGGTATATGCTTGTCCTTCACTATACAGTATACACTTCCATCTAAAAAACTTAAAAACTGAATATCAGAAATTCCTCACAGTTAAAAAAAAACAAAAACAAATCGAGTGACCCCTTATTTTATAAGAGTATTTTTCGGAGTATTTCATTGTTAGATTTTTTTTTATTTTATTTTATTTTAGATTTGTTTTTAATTTAGATTTTACAACAAAAAAAAACCGGAAAAACTTTAAATTTTGTATGTAAAAAATAATATTCCAAACAATCTATTCTTAGGGTATCATATGTAGAACAATCCCATAGAGTGCGACATTTGTTTTTGGTACACTCTGTATAGCATCGATACACATAAATCTATAAAATGTAAAAACGTATAAGCAGTGCTGACCGTTGTTTGGAGCCGCCGCGAGTAAAGATATAATCAAGATAACAATAATCTTCGACTTATCGTTATTTGGCCTTTTTCGAAATGTCACCTTCAGTGCGCCAAATATCTGTCTTACGTCGAAGAAATCTTTGACTTTTGACCAAAACGATTGGCTGTCGACCAACTCGTTGACTTTCGGATTGACGTCTTTCACGAAGAACGAACCGTACAAGATTCCTAACACTATCAAACCGCTAGATACGCCGTATGCGCCGTAGAATCCAAGCTCGCTGTACACAATGCCCGATAACGATGTAGAAATCGACATTGCCACTGTCATCATCGCGTGCATTATGCAAAGCCTTGCAGTTCGATTTTCAGGCTAGAGTGAATACAGCACATCAATTATATTTTGACTTAATCAATTTTAATTATTTTTGTAAAAGTATGGTACGTATTATACACACCGTGGACACTTCGCTGATAAAGCTGCACGCCATCATAGTCATCAGTGTCTGTCCCCCGGTCAGAGCTACGGGTACGGTTTGAATGATACCTCCGATTTCCATTGAAAATTCGTAAAAATAGTAAACGCAAAGTATTTGTCCTAAATTGCTCAAAAGTTCACCGTAAAGCGGCAGAAGCATGCACACTACACGTTTCCCGTGTCTGTCGCTCCAGGAACCTATGAACAGCATCAGTATACAGGGGAAAAAGCTCTGCACACACGTTTGCCATATTAACATGGAGGCTACCAGCTCCTGGACGATGATCTCTTCTTCAGCGTATTCCGTTGTGTTTTTTTCAACTAACGAGACACATATCTCGTCGCTGTACTTCAAATTGACCTTGCACGCTTTTTGCATGTTCAAGTTTGACATGGTCAACGATATAAGCACGTACGACATGACGTAACAGGCGAATATAGGTTCAATAGTCACATTACTCAATATGGATCTGAGTTTACTTTTCGATTTGATTTCGGGCCGGGGCTTACGGAGTTTTGTTTTCTCGTTCGTGTTTATCTTACCCATGTTTTGGCTCAATCCGAACGATTTTTTATCACTACGTGTACCTTAAACATAGTGAGATAAGTTAGGTTTTTGAAATTGTTCTATAGTGCAATACACTACATAATATAACTCGATTTCATGTATTTTATATATATATATATATATATATATATTTACCTATATTAGAGGTTCTAAAAAATATCATAAATGGCTATAATATGGTAAAAGTTAAGTAATTACAGTCTATCAATTATTTGAATATGTATTTAAATTTAGAATTACATATTACATTATATAAAATTGAATGTACCAACTTTTCTTCCAAATAAATGGTTTAAGAATTTATAGCGCAAATAGAATTGTGTGTTTAAATTGTTTATCTTTGAATTGAGATTGAAAGTCATTTAAGTATTTTTAAACCACGTTTAAATTGAATAATTTTAGTTTGTATAGTTTTTATTATATAGCTCATGCAAACCGCAATTAATAGAGTAATAATTATATAAATCCAAACTCTAAAGTTGAATCATAACTTAATTTAGGAAAACACACTTAATACAATTAAGTTTGCTTATTAATTTATTTATATTAATAGCTTAAAATGGACAAATGAAACAGAGGATGTTGAATGTGTTTTTAATTAGTTCAAATTAACGTATTCGACTTACTTCTAAGGGAAGAAATTACTGCTACTAATAATAAACGTATTTTATACTATTTTGATTCGTCCGTGTAACCAAGTTTATCTTAGGATGCATAATTCAAAAGAACCCTTGGAATAATGACATCTACAAAATAAATAATATACGATTAAGTCCAGTCATAATAATTATAATATAACATATCTATGTTATTATACGTCTTTATTATCTGTGTTATATCATAACTTTATTGTCAAATAAATTATGTTAGTGCAGATTAAATAATGATTTATAAATAATAAAAAGATTCCAATACTTTCTAACCCAAGTATCATGTTTTACTATTTAACTGCGAGTATGATAACGCGTTGTTTTAAATAAAGTATTTTTAGAATAGGTCAATCAATAATGATTGGTCTACTTTGTTTTTAAAGTTTTTTAAAACATATAAAACAAATTTTGAAAAATTACGTATTTGGTTTCATTTCTAGTTCTGACGACATCGTTTTTATATTATTATTAATATTTATTACAGACTCCACTTTTTCCTATAACAATAATTCACCTCTATATTTCCCTTTATATTCCTCTTTTAAAACCCTTAATTATTTAATTTCCGTAGTGTAATATTTTCTAAAGTCTTTAATTTTTACCTGCTATACTAATATATAATTATCATAATCTCAGCTGATCAAATGGCACACAAAAACTTGTTGTATTATCTTTTGAATTATTGAAAATAAAAAAAATAATGTATACATACACGTGCTGACTAAAAAATTGTCTACTAAAAGTAATTCAAAAGATACCCGATGATAGCTGTTGTATGAGCTACAACAAATAATAATAAATTGTACACATGCAGTACCTTATGAAATTATACACATATAATATTTCGAAACGTATAAAATCAAATAAGAATTAAATATGTTGTTACCTAACAGGAAAAGTAGTCAGACATTAAATTTAAAATAGTATAATAATTTTGAATAATAAATATTAAAGGGGTTTTTAAAGTCAAGTAAATTTTTACCAATAATTTTAAACACAACATACATATATTTGTGCAAAAAAATGGTTATTTCTTTTAATAATATTCGAAAAAATGTTATGCATTGGGTAAAAATTAATAAAAATATAAAATTAAGTATACTGCAAAAGCAATGTAGTTGAGTTTGTTTAGTATAGTAAATATATATAAAATTGTTATTTTTTTTATTAGCTTACAGTTAACTTATAACTACAACTGACCGATAATAAGTGCTACTTACAGCCAATAAAAGGCATAGAAAAAATGGGAATGAAATCAACCAACAGAGACTTTTAAAACTCAGCGGTTTGTGTCGACTATACTCAAGAATAATTTAAAAATACTGAAACTATATTTGTTGGAGCAAACAAAATTAATTAATCAGGAGAATCCATCGAATACCCACGATAAAATAAAAAATTGTATCATAGATATTATAGTGATTTTGAACATTAAACAAATTAACAATTTTAGAGGCTTTTGACAGTGTCCATTGTGTGACCTACCTATTATAATAGCTTATATATATAATTGCATTTACCTAAAACTATCATCATACATTTTTGCTTTTTTAGAATGGTGGACCAAATGTTAAAAACGGCTTCACAATAAACATCCTGGCCCTTTTCTCTGTCATAATTTTTTATCAATTTTCAAGATTTTAAAGTTAGAGCTTTGAACTTTTTCAAAACATTAGAAATAGTTCTACCTTGAATTATAGAATTTTTTTTAAAATCTTCTAAATTATGACAAAAAAAATTATACGTTTTTTAAGAAAGTAATTTTGCTGTATGTTTTGTAGAAAAAAAAAAAAGAGTATAAATCGCTCATCAAAGATTAAACCCCAATCGGTAAATATTGTACACTTTTATACACTTTGGATAGTTTTTGTGGTTATTTTTTATTGTTATCATTATCATCAATAATTGCAATATTATAATTAAATGTATTCATATATATAACGTTATACGATTATCATTACTAGTATACCACTATCGTCTAAGTCCTATAGAAACTGTTTGATATAAATGTATGTGGAAGGTAGAACTGAGTTAAACAAAAGTAGAAAAAAAATATTTTTATACTCTTACTCGATTAAAGATAATATAAGCTTTTGTAAGATTATATTAAAACAAATATATTGTTTGATGACATTCAGCAGTAATTGTCCGTATAATAATAAATCGCATTTGGCAAGTATTCCAAACAGCTTATGAACTTGTTTCATTTATTCGAAAACCGGTTACGATGAATCCGGAGATATTTTTGTATAATTTATACATTACTTTGTCGAATAATATTCATGGACTTCGCAGTACTTGGTCATTGCAACGTTACAGCAATATTTTTAAAACGACTCTGGCCAAAAGCAGTAAGAAAAGATTAAAAGCAAACCTTCAAAAATTTAGAAAATATACAATTTTTAATATTTGTGACGGTTAGAATCAAAAAAACCTGCCAAAAGCGACCTCAATTATTAAAAAACCTGGCACGCTACAATATTCGTCAAAATGTAAGTGTAACATGATTCGTAAATATAGGGAAAAATGCTAAATAAAAAGTAATTTTTTTTTAAATTTATTTTTTCATTAAATATTTAAACATTTTTAAAATTGTTCAATACACAATTATGATTTGCTACAGTATAGTAAAAAAATACAATACAGTTACAGAGTATATACTTCAATAGCAAAATATAATAATAATAATATTTTTAATAAAATAATGTAAAAAGTTGTGAAAATATGTCTCAATATTAATTAATATTGTTTAACATTTAAAGTTTTTTATAATTATTAAAAATAATATGTTGGCTATCTGATATCGCAATACATTTGTAGATAGGACATAGTCATAACACTTGCTTATAACACTTTTTTGTGATTTTTTAAGTTCGTGCGATCTTATTAAACAATTAAATAATATCAAACTCAGGCGATGAAATCTAAAAATGAACCTTTTCAACTTTTTTGCGATAAATTATTGTATTAGATCAATAGTAAAAGAACAACCCATAAAATTAAATTTTGTGGATTTCAAAATGTTCGATCGAATTGTTATATTATAGTTATAGAATTTTATAATTTAATTATTAATGTCTTGATATGTACTAAAATCGAATATTATTACAAATAAAAATATTTACCGCATTTGTTAAGATGAGAGAACAGCAAAATATATAATGTGGAGACGATAATAACAGCTCAGTGCCGGTTCCTTCACTAGAAACGAAGAAGATAGCTAGTGGGAGACATTGGGTAAACTACACGACCTCATACAATCTAACCTGTTGTATACGGTAAAACGTTACAAGTAGGGAAAAAATTTAACGTACAAAAAAAGCAAAATCTGTATTATATAACAGTATAGTATGTGTCCTATACTTTAAAATCTATTAAAGTTATTTATAAATAAATAAAATATACAAAATTATTTATTATTTGAATTTAAATAACAATAGCTAAAAATTGCAAAAACACACTCAAAACTGTTCCATATTTTAACTTAATTTTTATAATAATTGTACATAATGTTTTTATATTCTAAATAGTTATCATGTTAACGTTTATATATTTTTTTAAAATAATATTTCAATTTTGTTTATAAAACTTAATAAATTATTTGTTAAAACATTAACTACTTGAACCAATGTCCGGTCAATTAAGTTTTCAGTAAATATTTCAAAAATTTGTAATCTATTAAAAGTATGAGTAAAAAAAAAAAGATGCTTAATACAGTTTTTGCATCAATATTAGTGTGATAAATTAACTAAACTTTGTTATATTTACAATTTACCCAAATTACGTTCTCCTTGTCTAAGAACTTTGTTGCTTGTAACTCGAGAAGTATTTTTTCGAAACTTTATTAAACTATTTTAAGTAAATCACATAATTTTTATAAAAGTTTCTATTATTAATATATCAATAACTAATACCTACATTTTAAATGTTTTTTTAAGTCGTATAAAATTATAAAAATCCAATAATTGTAATCAATATAGTATAAAAGAACTAAAAAATTAATTGGCATAAGATCATGTATTTATTTTCTATTTGAAGTGAGAAGTCTTCAAAGGATGTTTAAGCGTTATTTATTATTTTTTAGCAGTCAAGAATCATGAACACTAGCAATGTTATATTTTTTTCTCATAAAAATTGTGTTTGAAATTCACTAAAAATGTGCTACGTTATTATATTTATTTTATTTCTAAAGAGTATATACTTTTTACTATGTTTTCTTAAAAAAAAATGTATATTCCGAGGTTAAAAAAAAAATATATATGTATATATAATTAACGATTCTTTAATTTAAAATAAACCTATATTAAAATTATTATTAAACTAAATTATCAAATGTAATTTTTTATTTTAATATTTATAAGTTGAAAACATTTTTTTAAAGGATAATATTTTTAAATGCTTGCGACAATAACTGACAAAGTATTTGAATCGCTAATTGCAGAAAGGGTTATAAATCCACTTTTTTTTATCAATTTTCCTGTTATAAACTTTCTGATCCAAGCACTCGTAAATACGTCGTTTATTATAAAAAGAGGACAAATTCGATGATCTAATAAACTAATAAGAGTATACAGAAATTACCATTTACAACTAAAAGGTGACATGTTCATTGGCCATCATAATACATTATTTTTTATATATTTAAGAGACACAAAATTATTATATTTGTTTATAATTGATGACTAAAAAAAAGGTTAAAAATATGTTTTACTACAGAAAGGAAACATACCTTTTAGACTTTATTTAGTTTTACATCCACCCTGAAAAATTTGAAAAGTGGACTTGTCCACTGCAGTAAGCGTTTACATTTACTTATTAAACCTATAGGTATCCACTCAACACCAGTCATTATGCAATCAATATTCAAATAAGTAAATTTTTTATACGTATGTTACAATATGACTTTTAAAATGTACCCTCTAAAACTACCTTTCAAATAAACGTTTAAAACCTTTTACAGTCGTTTTGATTGTAATTGTTTCATTGGAATACATACTGGGCACTGGGCAGTGGGAAATGGATTGTTGAATGTATTTTAGACCTTATTTTATTTAAAAATTTGAAAATCCAGGTTATATCATGATTTGTTTTAACCTTATAGTCAACAAAAAACCACAAAAAAAGTCTACAAAAAAAGTACTACTATTCTATAATATGATTTTATTAAAATAAAATAATATATTTGGTTTCATGGAATAATTTATTATTTGAAAAACAATTAATAACGAAATTTTTTTACAATTGTATAATTATAAATGTTTAATTTTTATCTACCAATTATTAATGTTGTAGTCTGTTTTTATTCAAATGATAAATATATATTTATTATTTACATGTAAATATTATGAGCTAATTTTGTAAAATTATCAAGCATAACCAGTCTATATAAAAATACCTAATTTTGTATAGGGTCATAGCAATGAAGATTGTATCAATTTATTATATTAATCTCGTTTTATTTTGTTTCATTTCTGTTATACGTTTTCGTTGAATTAAATAATGTATGACTATATATTAATTGGATGTATAATGTAATTGGTAATTACATTCATATATAGTTTATGGCAATTTTTACAAGTTAACTTAAAAATAGTTCAAGAATACAATAATTACTATTTTTGAAACACAAATATACTTTATACAAATTTTAACATTAAATTATTTACAAATATCAGTATTATTTTTATCAAAATTATAGTTAATAAAATTAGTTTAAGCAGTTAAGTGCTTAATTTTGTTCTGTCTTGTCATATGTACATAAATAATACGAAATCGCATTATGACATAAGTACGCCGAGGTAATTTTCTGTACAACAACTATTATAACAAACGGTATAGTTGTACTTTGCGCGCTTTAATATACTCAGGAAAGATGAATATGACTAGTCGATATTGTAGTTCTTTGACTCCAAAATCATAAACCTTTTTAAAAACAATTCAAAATTACATAATATAATTATGGTATTTTTTAAACACTGACTATTTATTTATTTACTTTGCATTTCTTCGGCTTTATCCTCTTCGGTTTTAACAGCTGCATAATCCGATTTTTCAGCTTTTTTGCTTTGTCTGTACATCCATCTAATTAAACATATTATTTTTAATGATATATCAATAACAACATATACAGTTGGAATGTTATTTGTATTTTAATAGTTACGTTAGTAGAAAAGTGTTATAAACGGTAATATCTGTTTTTCTTTATAAATGTTATGTAATACTTTAAATGTGTTATATTTATTTAGGTACTTACAAAAATATTAAAGAACCCGGTATTGCTAAGGTCGATCCTATCAAGCTGTATGTACCAGGTAAAGTGTTTACTGTGGCTTTGTAAACTGCACTATACAAGGGTCCATATATAATTGGAACTAAAGTTTCGACAATTCCGTAAATAGAGGTGACTTGGCCTGTATGGGACAAACCAACAATATTAATATGCATAGTACATAATTATAATTAGTTACGGTAAACAAACCTAGTTCGTCCGGCTTTACCAATTTTGTCATTATTGATCTGGTTGTTATGAAAACTGCACCTCCCATAATATCAATAAGTGGTCCTAGAACCAAGTGGGAACAATAAAAAACTCATTATAGTATATGTATATAATACCAATTCTTTGGTCGGTCGACCAAATCAGCTCTCCTCGCATGTTCCTATCCATCGTCATTTCTGTATTCATATCACATATTCTATGTCTTTATTTATCACAATTATTTTTTTTTTTTGTGGTCTTCACCTCTAAAATCCACTATTCCAGTCTCTCGTCGCTCATTTCCCCTGCAATGCCTAAACTACTTATTATATACTTATTCCTATTCTAGTCTAATGTATAGTCACTTCACACACCTATCTCAACATTATCATTTTAGTTACTTCCATTTTCCTTTCATTCAGTGCTCAAAAATTTCCTTAAATTTGTATAAAGTAAAAAGCTTTTGTTCTAAAAAAAAGAATAACTCTTTTTCCGTCAACAAAAATCGCAATATTCCTGTTGTTCAACTCACCCTACCAAGACTACCATACTTTATTCCACTCTAGTCTCTAGAGTCTAGGGTAATATAATTTAATATTTATTATTATAAAAATGCAATAATTAAATTAAAACATACATAGCGGAGAGCTGTTTAATTAGAATATACTGTAATACACATACCAATGCAATAGACCCATTCGCTGGGCGCAAAAGCATAAATGACTCCGGAAACGAGTTTTCCTAAACAAGCCACAAACCCGATTAATCCGTCGTCTATTTTTAGTATGTGACTGAACAAGGCTATACAGAGAATCGTTCCTACAACGAACAAAACAAAAAATTCACATAATTAATTAAACACGTCCTTATGAGCAATCATACTCGTATTTGTTTAGTAATTTATAATTTTAATAATATAGTCCTCCGTACCTATAACGCTGGTCACTGTCGAGTACGTTAAAAACATACTGAAAGTTACTTCGTTCCAATTAAAGCGTACTCGAGTATTCAAATATTGCACCGTGACATCACCTAAATACATTTAAAAGGTATTTAGTAAGTATTAAAAAAAAAGGCTAGGTACGTAGTAGTATATCAAACAATATGCTTTTTCGTGCTAACCGTTTATGGGTCCCATGACCAAGAACACGATAACCATGAGCATGATGATCCTTAACTTTCGGTTGTGAGGTCCATCTTTAAACGTGATTTGGAACGCCGTTTCAATGTGTTTGGCATCGAAGAAATCTTTGACTAGGGCGATACCAGTTTTTTTAGGTGGTTCTGTGCCTTCAGGAACCTTGGCTGACACTTCTTTGAGGAACAATAAGCCGTAGACGAGGGCTATGATATAAAGCGCGGAAGATATGCCATACACGCCGTAGAAACCTAAGTCCCTGAACGTTATACCTGACAACGACGTTCCGATTGCCAAGCCAACAGTGGTTAATAAGGTGACCAACCCAATCCGGAAGGTTTTCAATTCTGCCTACAATCAAACAATTATTAGTATTGAAATGTATGATCAAAAATGTTTGTTAAAAAAAATATATCTAGTTTTTATTTCAGCGTCCGGTAATTAAACCAGAGTATAAAATTAAAAAACACAGGTAGCAGAATGATTTGAGAACATATTTTTGTGAATATTATGTGACTTATAAAAAGTTTGAACTATGTCTACGTTCACAGAAACTTATGAATTATATAAAGGAGTTTTATACTATAGGAATACAGATGCATACAGATGTGTCTTGTATGACTTATCCTTATAAATCATGTTTTTGTCTTACATTTTTGCAAATAACTAAATCTTATGATTAGAAATTTAAAACTAGATAACTACTTAGAATTTATACGCTTGTTATCTCTTTTGGTATCTAATCTCTATAAATAATGTAGGTAATTTTTCAGAGCTGCTAATTCTTGTTAATTTATTTTTAAGTGATTAACTTTATCCCCTCGGTCTAGTGTGTTTGAACTTTGAACTCTCATTAAATTATTACGCTTCCACTAAATAATTTAAATTTCGCGTGCGTAAATTCGGATAAACAATTTTGTTTACTTGGCAACGGTGTACAAATTTGATATCAATATATTGCCATTAAACATGGGCAGTTGTCTAGGGTGGCAATTTTTTTATGAGTTCCCCCACACTCTATTTATTAGTAATAAAACAAACGTGTGATGGTATAGTGTGGCACCTTGTCATTTGCCTATTAGCGGACCGTTTTTAAATACCTTAGTGACGTCACCGATGTAACTGTAAAGCGCGTTGAACATGACCATTTTGCCTCCGGTGATAGAGGTGGGAATCGCTTCCACCAAACCGACAATTTCCATTGGCAATTGAAAGAAATAGTAAACGCACAATAGTAACCCTATGTTTCGGACCAGTTCGCCGCATATGGGCATCAGCATGCAGGGTACACGTTTTCGATTCCTGTCGCTCCACGAGCCCACGAATATAGCAAAAATACACGGCACGCTGCTCTGGATGATCAGCTGCCATATAAACATTTCAGCCACCAGCTGTTGGGTCTTTACTTCATCGGCTTTGGTGGCATTATGACCCGTCGGGTTTTCAATTGCCAAACAACTCTCGTTGCTAAGTTTCAAGTTGACTTTGCACGCTTTTTGCAAACTCAGATTCTGCGTGGCCAGAATGAGCAGAACGCGGGATATTATGAAACAGATCACCAAAGGCTCCACGTGAATACTCCTCAACACTAACTTCGCCTTGCCGCACGGCCCCAGCGTCTGCCACTTTGATTTCTTCTCGGACACATGATTGTTTTCCACGTTATCGGCCATGCCGACAATGATATTATTATGTGCACTTTATACTTGGGCAAAATCAAATATTACCAAGTCCCACTCCTGTAACAGTGAAAGGGCAATTTATTTTATACATTCGATTTACCGGTTCCATATTAATATCCAAAAAAGTCTCGCTTTAGTCGAACATTTAAATATTTATAAGACCGTTTTGTAGTGAAAGTATTATGCTTAAGAGGGCGTCGCACCGCCCATTTTCAAGGAGTAAAGTATACGCAATTTTTAACAAAATCTTAATTTAAAAGTTGAACTGTGATGTGTAATTATTAGTTCAATAACTAGGACTCTAATTTGGTAGTTAATTTATTTTTTGGACTATCACAGCATCCTTGAAAGCGATTTAAAAAAGGTTTTTTCATCTCTACATGTTTAAGCAGACTGAAAATAACTCGCTTAATTTTGGTTTTAGAGTAAAAGCACCCATTATAAAATTAAAAGAAAACAATATTCCGGAGGGCAAGACGGTGCATTTTTTTTCATTATTCCAAGTATAACAATCAGTACATAGTTTAGAAATAACGACTATTTTAACATTTTTAAATGACTGTAACTTTTCAAAAAAATTTTTTTTTTAAAAACGCACCTTTTTGCCCTCCGGAATATAGTTTTCTTTCAATTTTATAATGGGTGCTTTTACTCTAAAACCAAAATTAAGCGAGTTATTTTCAGTTGGCGTAAACATGTTTTCACCACTGAAAATCGCCGGTGCGACGCCCTCTTAACTATCAAAGCAAGAATGGCGACGAAATAAAGTTCGAAATAAAAAAAGGTAAACAATAAATATAGGTTCAAATACATTAAGAAACCCCTACATTAATCATTACATTAAGCAAGTTTTTTATACGCTAATCTCGCTTTACCGCAAATCTGAACGACTATAATAAGTTTCTCGTCGTGTGGTCACGGTTTCTAAAGTGGCTTCACACCTATCACATGACAAGGCACACGATGAAAGGTGTTGAAGCCCCTTTTATTTTACGTTTGAAACACTATATTTCAATGAATTCCAGCACAAATGATATAAACAAATTCGACAAACGTTTATGTAATACTTTTGCCGTTCAATTGAATATCGGCGTATTAACATTTGTAAGCGACCAGTACTAAGTCTTAATGGTTTGAATAATAGTAAAAAATAATTTGTTGAGCTAATGCACGTCCATGCTTAATAATTGATATTATGTGTTTACTAAATGTTATCTAATATTGTAAAACAAAGCACTGTTATCTTTCTCTGTACTTGTATCAGAATAGTTTATGTTTATATAGTCAAACAGATTTATCTAGTCAATACTAGACAGTTTACCAAATAGAGTAACACGCATGTTTTACTTATAATATCAGTTATAATAACAATACTAATAGTGTTAGTGAAACCTTTAAATATAATTTCTTATTTACCTTTAAAACATTATTGCTTAAGTAAGATACTCATAAATCAAGTTAAATGTGTACAATCGACAAAAAAAACTTACTTAAATGGGACCAGTCAGGTTATACACTATAAGAATTATGATAACTAAAAATGATAAAATAACTTTAAAACATACACTTCGATATGAATCTGTAGATACTAGAAAAATATATTCTAAGACAGGACCATCTAATCACTGGCTATACAGTGGGTGATTTTTTTTAAAGTGACCCATTCAATATCTTACAGAGTTTATACTGTTATAAGTTATAACATTTTTTCCCCGTGTGTTTTATACAATAAGATAACAATTTTGCACAAACTTTCATACTCATCGTGATTTTTTAAGGTTGTGTGATCTTATAAAAAATTTAACAATATCAAACTCAGGCGATACAACCTAAAAAAGAACCTTTTCAACTTCTTAGCGATAAATTAGTGTATTAGATCAATATTGGAAATACAAACCGTGAAATTAAATGTTAAAGATTTAATGCTTGTTTATATTAACAATGTTTGCGCGAATTATTATATTGTAATTTTAGAGTTTTAAGTACTAAAATCGAATACTATTACAAATAAAAATATTTACCGCATTTGTTAAGATGAGAGATCAGCAAAATATTTAAAGTGTAGACGATACTAACAGCTCAGTGCCGATTCCTTCACTAGAAACGAAGAAGATAGCTAGTGGGAGACATTGGGTAAACTACACGACCTCATACAATTTAACCTGTCGTATACGGTAAAACGTTACAAGTAGGGAAAAAATTTAACGTATAAAAAAGCAAAATCCGTATTGTATAACAGTATAGTATATGTCCTATACTTTAAAATCTATAAAAGTTATTTATAAATAAATCAAATATACAAAATTATTTATTATTTGAATTTAAATAACAATAGCTAAAAATTTCAAAAACCAACTAAAACCTGTTCCAAATTTTAATTTGATTCGTATAATAATTTTACATAGTATTTTTATTATTCTGATAAGTATGATATAACTTATTCATATGTTAAGTTTTTTTTACATATTTATACTCTAAATAATTTTGATATTTAACGTTTTTTTACAAATAAAATAGAACGATTATGAAACTTAATTAGTTATTTAGTCCAAATATAAAATATTTAAAGCAATAACCATTCAATATGTTTACAAAGCTACTTTAGGCAAAGTTTAACGGCCATAAGCTATATTTACTCCTCGGAATTAGGATCACCATGTTGTGTAGGACATAATGCGTAACCAAAATTATCGGTATGTAGTGGAATTAAAAATAATTTTACTTTTGACCTTGTATCCAGTACAGTTAAATTGAAAATACTGGTTATTTTAGAGTTATTTAGATTAGCCTATTCATAAATAAATACAACATCTTAGGTATTCGGTTAATTATTAATGACAGAAGATCTAGTTTTACGTTTGACACGAAATTTAAACTGGATGTAATGTTTATTTAATTGATTTTGAATTTGCTGTTAGTCTAATTAAATTAAATGAATGTGAAATTAGGGTTAACAGGTGTTGAGATATTATCACTAGAGCCGTTGTAACCGGTGTGATATTTAAATATTATTTATTGTAGTGTTAGAAAACTGTCGTTCTTAAGCATTTATAGGTGTATGCGTGGTTTGGTTGCATAAACCGGTATTTCTGTAAATGATAAAAATGTAGCTGGTGTTGTGTTACGGGTAGAGATGTATTTTCTGGTATAATTGTTGGCAGTGTAACGTACCTACTGTCTGGTTAAGTGCAGTGGTCGTCGGTAAGGCTAAGGACGTGGATCCCTGCAAGGGAAACTATAAAATAAAACGGGAAAAATAAAATATAGAGTCGAATGAAAATTAGTGCCAATTTAATAATACCTACTTGGGGCCACCGGTTTGATTTGTCAATCGTATTCGATTTTTCCCGTTACCAATTTATTAGAGTTTACAGTTTCTTTAACATGGTGGAATAACAATAACAGAGATGATTACACAATTATTTTAAAATATTGTATAAATACACTAAAGATAGTCAAGACCATTATGTCGAAAAGTTTATGTATATTTAGATTTCATAGTATCAATGGGAACGTCATTGTGAAATCCTGAAAGGGAGCGTCAACGTATGATTATTTTCTATACAGGATGATCAATTTAACGTAAGACATTTTCTCGGAAAATAACTAATTATGTAGGTTTTCTTTTGAAAACATTTTTGTTTAAATACTATAACTATTTTGTAAATAATAATATTTAATATATATTTTACAATATTATAAAATTACTAAATACTTAACTTTTTAGTATTTTCCAGAGCTCTGTCAACTTTTGAAATACAAACGTATACGTAAACTAAAGTGTCTCCAAAAAGAAAAACTACAAAATTGCATTTATTCTAAGAGAAAATGAGTGTCTAACGTTAAATAATTAAAATAATTTATTGTTCATACTGTATTTTGTGTGTATTATTATCTAAGGTTATATCGATGTTTCTCGAATAGGTCCAATGTAATAATTAAAAAACAATCAATCGCATTGAAGAAATAATGTAAATAAAGCAAATTAACACTATTATTTGGAGTATTATGTAAGTAGGACTTTAAACTATATAATACGGATTCTTTACACGTCGTTGAATGACAAACTATATATGTATATATAATATTGTATTCGCCGTTAACGTTATGAGTGATTTTCTATGGCTAGAATAAAACAATTGCCAAAGGTTATTCACGAAAATATTTAATAATTTGGAGCCCACGTGAGCTATACATTTTTATTATCAGTAAATAGTTATGTGTGTATGTAAGTGTGATAAATTACTAACATATTTACTGTACATATTATAACTAATGGACATTGCGCGTGCCAGTTAAATATCTATTTTTATTTATTGATCATCAATTAAATGCATTTTTAATTGAAATTGGAAGGACAAGTTAACCGGAGGCGTTACATTATTGCAAATCGACGCATTCGGCATTATAGAATTATATTGATTGTTATATTTTTTCGACTTTATTTTTTAGAGAATATTGAGTATAATTAATTGATTGGCTCTACAATAAAGACACATTTACATAATAACAATGTAACTAATACTGTGTTTAAAAAAATATACGCTATACATAGCAATTTTGTATTATAGCAACATACTAATATTCGTGTACACATCACTGTAACTATTATAGATAATATTTATCACTACATTGATAAAAAAAATCAACTATTGTATGTTATGAGATGTGTGGCATTTATGTTATATTATTATTTATCAAGCGTGTTATAGAATGAAATACTTGTATGTGTTGTAATATAATTTTGTTAATCAAAATTAATTAAAAAATATATCCATTCAACGAATAAAGCATTCGGATTTGCCCTCTAACTATCTTTTTGCTTAAAATGTTATCACTTTACAATGACTAATGAGCATTATCTTCGATTCTCAAAAACATCTTTTCTCAACCCACTAAAGTATATTTTTTATGTGATATTAAATAGGAGACATGAAATTTAAACACTAACTCATTGGTATCAACTAAGGCGTTAGTTAAATGTCAAATTTAATTATTATGAAACAAACTATCAGCCTTTATTTAATTATTAGTATTTATTACTATAATATACTAATTTAGAGGTGTAAATTGATACATCCGTAAATTATAATATTCATTACAAATAACGGCAATATATAATACCAATTTTGATAATTGATCAATATAATGTAATCGTAACTCATTGATACAATTTCCCCATCTCTGGTTACTATAGTACTATAATATAACTGTTTTAAAATGTTAGTATGTTACTACACCATTATATTTATAAAAAAAAATACTTAATAAATGAGCTTTCAATTCCAAGGACGATTTAATTTATCGGTCTTTATAGTGATCGGAATGATTAAAACCTCTTTAGGAAAGCTATTGAAAATTAACGGTACTTTAACCGGTTTATTCAATATTAATAGGTTTTTGGAAAAAAAAATGTTAACGTAATATAATTTAAAGTTAAAAATATGTAACCGGGGACTGTTTGAATTATTACTTAAAACCATATTATTTATTTTAAAAATGATAAATATTCTTTATAAAAATGTAAAGTACTTAAGGCTATTACCTTATTAAATAGTTAACTATACATCTAGTTTTTATTGGCGTTTCGTGAAAAGACACCCTCTACACAGAGTACTCACAAATATACAATACTTTTGAATTGTAAGTGATGTATTTAACTCCACTCGGAGTAATATTTTCCGATTGAAGAAGAACTAAATTACTTGTACTTATTAAAATAATGTTCCATTAAAAAAAAAAAAAAGGTTATTAGGTGAAATAATAAATCGTTTTACGCAGTTTTGTTGTACAATCGTAGTTTAAATTTGTGTTTAATGGTAAAATAGAAAAATATTGTAGGCATGAGTGTATTTTACGAGTTCACTCCCAGGTCTCGTTGTCTAAGTACTATACTCCAGGCAGCTGCGGGATACGCAATATAGTAAAAGTGTAATTCAATAAAAATAAAAATATATAAAATAAATGCATATCATTATAATAACGCACCCATTAAATTAAGCCGGACAAGCAAGCTCGGTCATTCGATGGAGAACATTCGGTGGCCAATAACATGACAGTTGAAGGCTATCTCTGATTAATCGTTTGAAAAAAAGATTTAGGCGCGAAACATGAAAAATTAAAAAAAAAAATTAATAATAATATTAACCAAAAAGATACAATTGAAACTGGCGAGTGTAACGTTCACGTTGTAACTAGTGTTTGAATAAAACCAGTTCCACGGGTAAGCAAATTGAGCCCGAATGACCCCCACTATCAGGGTTCTTAACGTTCTTCATTTCAATGGCTATTATCCGTTGGTGTAGAATATTGAAATAGTGGAATAGGTATTATATTTTTATTATTATTATGCAAATACCACACAGACGATCATATCATCGCTTACTAATAAGAAAATATACAATATTATGCGATTTGAGCGGATGCTGATAATTTTTTTCAATATAGTCGTAACATGTATAGTATATTAAATCAGTTATGAGTAAACAAAAGACAACCAATGAATAACGGTTAATATAATTGATTATCTATAAATACAAATATTTTATGGTAATTAAAAGAAAAAAGGTTAGTTTAAGTTTTTTTTTATATAATAGCCTTTATTGGATAATATGATGGCTCGTTAGTTTAAGTTGCAACTTAAGACTTATCCGTACACGTTTAATATTCCAAACTAACTACAACAGTAGTATTTAATTGCGTCACTTAAATAAGGTGTTACCATAATCTATGGTAAATCCTAATTTGACATCATTATAACATCTCGGTATTAAACTACATAAATAAAAATAGTTTGTATTTGCCATACATAGAAACAAAGAAACGTTCTGCTAATTAAATATAATGTTTAAAATAATAAATATTTATTGATATATTAACTAAGTAAGTACTGATTTATATACAAGGCGCTAAGAACACAAAGGGTATCAGTGACATTTTTACAAAATCTGAATTAATTCCACAGCTAAACTACAAAATTATTGTCCATTTTATTTAGTGGTAAAGATATAAAAATGAATTATTCATCATTTGCTGCGGTCTGGTAGCAAATCACCTAACTCCAAAACGAAAATGTCATATTGATGTAAACTTTGAGCTTGATTTTCTCGAAATCAATAAAATGTTACTTATATAAATGTAATTGTAAATGTACTTACTTGTGTTCTAGGTGCCTCATACCCATAAAGGTTACCCGGAAAAAAACAAAGGTCGATTTTCTTTAAAATAGCGACTTTGTTATCATAAAATTCATAATGTCGAATCTACTGCATTTTTAAACGTCTTTTTTTCCTTGTATCCTTCATACTATAATTTATATCCCAGATGATTTCTTATATTAAACACACAAATCACTTTTATTTATTAAAGTTTCACATTGCTTTACACAGTACTAATCTAACTTAGATAACTAAAATAAATCGGCGTCTTAATATTTAAAAAAAATGGTCACGTTTAGTATATTTACAGTACCCGTTTTAAAATACACACATTCGACATCTTTAAAACATTAATATATTCTTTAGTTTTTTAATGAGAAATTTTGTACCACTTTTATGTTATAAATTATAAGTAATTTAGTACTTACAGTAATAACATAACACAAATTGGTCAAATATTTAGTATAAGCGTAATATATTTCATTACAAAACACATAAAATACGAATGACGGACTTTGTTAACATAATTGAAATACAGCTGGTCGAAATTCATCAGTCCTCTTCAAAAATAATTTGTTATTCGAAATGTTCGTTGTAACTTTGTTTGTATACACTTCAACACTAATTGTCGAACATTACGTCGTATTAGTAATTAGTATATAGACCCGATTCTGGTAATACTGATTGGCCATCAATCATAATATACTTACACGAATGCATGAGATACCCTGAAATTGATAATAACTACGATAAAAATGCAAAACAGCCTTGGGAATGTTCATAGTTTGATTCTACAGCCTACTCAGTTGTCAACATGAAGGATAACGCATAGGTCTAAATAGAAACTAACATTATTCCGGCGTGATGACGCAAAAAAAAAAAACACTAATTTCATGTTATGCAATTATATACTTTTTATTTTAGTTGTAATGTTAAAACACAACCATTTTTTTTTTATAAAATTCTTGTTTATTTAGTAACAAAGACAATATCAATTGTTTAATATTTATTTTATTCATGTCGTTTACTGTTAAAGTGAAAATTATGTAGTGTTTTAAATTGGTCTTACACAGTACATTTTGTATTCTAATCCTACCGAATGGGTTCAAATATCAGATAAGGTTCCGCCTTTGGTTTGCCTAGTTAAGACAACAGTCAGAATCGACCAAAAAAAAAAGAAGAAATTAAATATTGTGCTATTGACTTAAAACAATTTCTAGTTTATATACAAGATAACCTCTGTCATTTTTTCGTTTTACCATAATAATCGATTACATTCTGCTATTGACTATTATACATTTTTAAACAATAATTTATACACTAGTGACTACACTAAGAGTATTACAATAATCATCTTTTAATTTATTTGTACTAAATTAATTTTATCTTCCACATAAGGACTATTTTTTTTTATATAAAAGATTTAGTATTCATATGAAAAAAAAACGACTTAACTCTCAAAAATGCTTACGAAACTCGAATAAAATGTAGGTGTAAAAACGCTCTAATACTCATTCTATATGGAATCCTTTTTTTGGAATTTGAAAATTTTATTCCAGATAATAAAGTTTGCCTTAGTGTGCACTGAGGCGCACTTCCATTGCTAGACATATTATATTTTTATGTATATATACTTGTAATAGTGACTAGTGTAACTAAATAATAATATACAATTGCAAATCCATGTGTTTGGACTTTGCCCAGTATTTGATGCAATTATCGTTGGTACATTATTTAACTGGTTAGGTATAAATTCAGGTCTCGCAATACTGTAAGTGCAATTAATTATTCATATGATTAATTCATTAATCATCATATGATGATGATGATGATGATCGCAATACTGTAAGTGCAATTAATTATTAATCGATACATTTATTTTCGATTCTTAGAATTTCGTTATATTCGCAATAACTATTAATGTTTGAATCAGAGTTTTAAAAATAAAATAAATGGCATGATCAACAGTTATCAAATTTCCAGATTAAAAATTACATGAGTTCATTTTTGGGATGACTGAACGTTTATTAAGACCTCGAGTCATTTTAACCTTTAAGTGGTTCCTTAAACGTTAATTGGTGAAGTAAGGTAAGCCGGTAGATCTGTGTAACGGTGATGATCCGTAATTTTATTTTTGCAATTAGACATAAAAATTGTACTGTGTGTTAAATTAGACAGGTTAGAAAGGTGTAATATAGGTTCAAAAAATGAGATTTGTTACGTTTAAAGAAGTTCATCAGTGATCATAATCCCTTCTAAAAGCACATTTATTACTCAAAACAATATATTTTATTATAAATTAAAACAATAGTAAAACCAAGTACTGTGCAGTGTACATAATACATAAACTAAAACACGGGAAACTAAATTCCCCGAGATGTATATGGTTTTGCCTATGTTAAGGAGATTTAAAGCGGTCGGTTTTTAAAGGGGTTTTACACAGGCAATATTTAAGAAAAATATGGTTACATTTCGACCTTATCAATTTATTTTCAGGTTAATTTGTATAAGCTCCAGGGTATTAGTTTTAACGTATACAATTTTCTGAAGAGCAAAATAACCTGACAAAAATACGCCTACTTAGATTGATCTAATTTCAATTTTGTAAAAAAAATTGAGTTTACCAGCCTTTCTTTCAGGCTATTGTTGAAGTCGATTTTTCAATAACGGTTTCATTTACTTGAAAGAGACGGCGAATTTAATGCTAAACATTTGGGAAATTAAAATAGGATTTAAATATAATATTAATTGAAATATCAATAATCAATCCCACTATGACCTAGAAAAGAGGACGATAAACTCAAATATGTTTACAGAATTTAAATCGGACTATCCTAAGTAGGCGTAATTTTGTCAGCTTTATAGGTCTAAAACGTCAAAAAAACAGTCGGCTTTCAATCCCCTAAACCCCTAAGACTCGTCAGCTGCTATTAAATAAGCACTCCGTACGAAAGTCGTACAGGCAACGACATAAATATCTTAGAAAATCCAAAAGAGATTCGACTAAACCTAAAAAGAGTGCATATTTTACTAATAATGGATAATAGGAATACCGAATACTGTTTTACCATCACAAATAGTAAATTTTACAAATATATTTTACAATATACATTTAAAATGTTTGAAATAATTCAAATCACCGATTTTTTTTAAGTAATTGATAAATAAAAAGTGTAAAGTTAGATAGGATAAACGTGTACGTTTTCTATTGTAAAATTAATCGCTCTAATAATTTAAATTTAAACCATCGCGGAGATAAAATCCAATAAAGATTTAATAATAATAATATTTGATTGGAAAAATCAAAAAAACCTACTTATTGTATTTAATTACATATCAATAATATGTTTTTCTGAGTATCGACTTTCAAGGTTTTTATAGACACGCTAAATGCATTTTATTTTCTGTACAATTGCGTTTATATTATTTTTTTACAAGTTATATGTCAATGTTATACGAGTTATACGTTACTCGTTATATTTGTCTAGACTAATTTAGTTACTGATGGCAGATTTGTGTTAAATCAATACAATGTTCATTTCATATATAATTCTTTATGAACTTGTTATTTAAATAGCTCACTTAAAAACGTGTTAAGCTTATAGAATGTTAAAAACAAATATGTATATCAATAACGACGTCGTTTTAATAGGTTTGGACTTTTGATGTTTGGGAAAATGATAATAATAACCCAGACTTACTCTTTGGTCGTCGTATGAAGTATGCATTTGACAAATAACAATTTCAACGCAGCGGATTTTCTTAATTTTTCAACCACAAAAAACACTTTAAACACTATATATATTGAATATAGAATAATAGGTACGAAATCAAAAATAAATAAATAATTTAATTGTAAAACTATAACAATTACATTATACACACAATTTCCAACAAAATAAGGAAAAACATCGAAGCCAAAAAAGAAACAGAATTTCATCATAAAATAACAAATTCCAAATATAATCCAGTTTTTTAAGTTAATTAACTTACTGAATAGGAATTGGGTAAAACTGTATTTTAGATGTTATTACTTCCATAATCGACGACTTCGGTTTGGTTAGGGTTAAGCATCTGTGTACGTTCATCAGTCTTATCTTCTGTGTTAGTGTTCACTTTGGCGATATGCTTACATTCAAAATGTAAATACCTAAAATTATTAACAATAATGAATTAAGTACGTAAACTACTACTACTTCATCAAAACTTGTTTTTTATACAATATTATGATAACAAAATAATAGGTACACTTACAGATAGAATGCCATGCCGAACACGGCTAAAACCGCTCCTATGGCGAATATAGCTCCGGGCATTGTACTCACGGTGGCTTTGTAAACCTCACTATATAACGGTCCGTATATTAACGGCGTAACTGTCTCACAAATGCCGAAAAAAGATGATACTTGGCCTGCATGACACTAGTTATGTATATAAAATGTAAGCGATTAAGTTTAATAATACAGCGTTGTTTCATACCTAATTCGTCCGAAGCCACTAGTTTGGTAATCAAAGATCTCATCACTATAAAGCACATTGTGTTCATCATGTCCACAACCGGTCCTTTTAAAATTACAATTATTTAAGTAGTTAATTGTTACAAGTATATCGCAGGTAAACCGACTAACCCAAGTAGAAAATTGCATCACTGGTTGTAAACATATAGATTAATCTAGCAAGGATTTTTCCAGCGCAAGATATTAATCCCAACATTGGATCGCTGATACCAAATTTGTGACCCAATAGTCCTATGGCCAACAGTGTTCCTGAGGAAAGAATTATGAGGTTAGAATTATTTAGTTTAATGAAACAATTTCATTAGCTACACACATAATAGCAGTCCAGTGTGCGACCTAAACTTTGGACGTTGACTTAGGTGTGGTAGTTCAAGTAAATCAGTATTACTGTCGTGAACAACGTTCCGATGTGAATCGAATATATAGTAAGACACTGAATGAGAGGACACGTTTACTAGGCCAGTTTTGAATTTTAAGGTATTTTTAATCTTAGATCATTATTCCTAGGTAAGTCGCAAATTGGACTGGTGTGTCCAAAAATGTATTACTGATTGTATACTAACCCAACGCATTCATAATAATAGAATATGAAGAAAAGACACTGTACTGAGACTCGGTCCATCCGAAACGTACTCTTGTAAATAAATACAATACGGAACGTTCACCTGCGAAAATTAAAATATATGACATTTATATATACTGTATTTAAAAATAAAAGTGATTATTCTAAATTCTAAAAAATCAAAATAATTAGTAGTTGGACTCAATCAGTTCACAATTCAAGTAGCTACTAAAGACTAGTCAATTAACCATTTTACAATCTCTTGACACACTTACCTACTTTTGTTATTTGAACTGACAAACAAATAACAGTTATACAGTTTTACCAATCAACTTAATAAGTGTATTTATTAACTTCTTATAGGTTAACATACGCGTAAATCTTAATAATTTACAATGAAAATAATTGCATTATTTCATAGTTATTGTGTTTAATTGTCACGTTTAAAAAAAATAGTCTATTTTTAACCAAATAACATAATAATTTGTATTTATTTTATAGAAAACCAAGCATAACATGTATTATGATAGAAGAAGCTGTATCAACTGTAAATGGATCGAGATATTAAACTAACTATTGCAGTAGGTTACAAACATGTGTGCTACAAATACTTTATTGAAGTATTAATCGCTGTACAATCATGTTTTGTAATCGTGTCATAAACATAACTTGGAGTTAATTACTTTAACGTGAAAATCGCAATTAATATTCTTAAATGAGGTAACACAAAAAACATTAAAATGTATTTATAACCTAATGGGTCGGATGTTGTGTGACTCACCTTGGGTTGGTCCTACAACTGTAAAAATAACACCCATAAGTGCAATGATTTTAAATCTCTTGTTGTCTTTCCCGCTTTTAAATGTTGTTTCAAACGCTCCAACTATATGTTTAGTATCGAAAAAATCTGCAACTTGACTCAAAACGGTGGTTTTTCCTTCGATAAACTTCGATTTTGGTGCTTTATCTTTGATAAATATCAAGCCGTACAACAAACTTAACGCCAATAACACACCGCATGTGCTATAAATGGAAAAAAATCCAAATGTTTGGAATGTAGCTCCAGGCAGGTACGAACCGACGGCTATACTTAGAGTGGTTAAAGAATGGAGGATTCCAATTTGAACAGTTCTCATTTTTTCCTGAAAGAAAATTTTTAAATAGTTAATAAAACGAAGATATGTCCGAAATATGATCACCGACGAACAAACCAATAACGAAATGTTGCGAAAATGAGTGAACATAATAACTTCACTCAACCTATACCTAACTTGGATGGATGAATCGGGAAGGATAGGAATGTGCTAGGGCAGAAAAAATAATAGTAATAAAAAAATTGCAGCTGGAAAAATGTATTATGGCAAGTAACGCATGGTCAAAAACTCGGTTTTAAAAAAAAATGGTCAATAATTATACCCTTTTGGATGCATCCAAGGTCTATCATACTAACCGATGTCACGTCACCCATATAACTGAACACGGCCATAAACATGATCATCCAGCCACCGCCCAGGGACGCTGGAACTGATTCGGCTATACCTGCAACTTCCATTGGTAGCTGGTAGAAGTAATAGACGGAAAATAAAATGCCAATATTGCTGCACAGTTCGCCTATTACCGGCATGAGTATGAGGGGCTTGCGCCTTTGGTGACGGTCGCTCCACGAGCCGAGAAATATGACGAACAACATAGGTATCCCATTTTGAACGACTGTCTGCCATATCAGCATGTTAGCCACCAGTTGCTGGACGACCACTTCTTCAGCGGCATACTTGGTGGTGTTACTATTGGTTTTGAGAGCAGAGCACGTTTCGTTGCTATAATGCAAGTTAACGCTACAAGCTTTTTCCATGTTAAGATTTTGATTGATGAGCTGCGCCGCTACATTGGCCAAGATATATATCATCACCAGTGGTTCCACGGTGATGTGCCGCAAAACGTATTTGCATTTTGTTGCGAATTTCATGGACGACCATTCCGGCTGTAGTTGTTCGTCTGTTGCGCGGGTCTCTCCAATTGCCTTATTTTTCGGCATTCTGTTAGTTAAAACATAGATTTTAAAATAAATGAATCGGGATATTTGTATTTTATTTTTGTGCGCTTTTAGTATTTATTTATTTACTTAGCTTTATTAAAAAATATTTTTGGTACTTGAAAATAATAATAATATTAGTTAAAAATAGAAAACAAATTAATCGTCGCTCTCTAATGTTTCAACCGTTTGTCAAAATTAAAGCTCTAATAACTTTGTTGAAAAATTGATTTGATAAAAATAGTTTATTATTTTGTAATTTAGATTTTTCAAAAGTTTTTTCTTTAGATATTTTTTGAATTCAAAGAAATGAAAAAATTATGGAATAACTTGAAAAACGTAAATTATTTTCAGTAAAAAAATGGATTAATTTTAAATTGAAACGTTAAACGAGTTACACATATTTTTTTGAAACATTTTTTTATACACTCAATATTAATTAGTTGTTTTGGACATTTGTTCGTTATTTACTTTTCAAATAATTGTTGCCTCATATTTAATTAGGTTATTACTTATCATTTATTATTGTTTTGCTTATCAAAGTTTTGTAATCACAAATTCGTTTTTGAAAACTTGAAAAAATGGTTCACTTTATTACAATATTCATATTTTAGTAGGTATTATGTAATTATTTTTCTAATTAAAACTATGTTTTGTTGTAAATATGTTTAACACATAACATACTTGTATATTGAGTGTTGTTTTTGGAAAATTCGATTTGCACTTTATAACATTATTTCACGGCTTATTTTATTAATTTGAAAAACAATAGTAATTTATAAGAATATAAAATAAATATGTATTATATTAATGTTTAAAATGTAAATGAAACACGATGTTCAAACATCAAACTAACAACTGGCAAGTTATTAAGTAGAAACTGGGAAGTTTGTTATAAAATTCAATTTGTATGTTATCACAAAATATAATAAAAGGCGAATGAAAATTACGGTGGTGAGGGACGTCGCTAATTTATAGGTCTGCCTAACCATGACAAAATAGATGAAACGTATATTTTGTCATGGGTCTAACGGTCAACGATTGTTAATGGAGAAAAGTATACAGAGTGTTTCACTATAATCTGTTTACATATTTTGTGTAATTCTGTCAGATCATCGTGGAACAATTTATACGATAATAATGTATTGATTGATATTAGGTAGGTTTTTTTTATAAACACTAAAATATTGTGCAAGTTAAATATATTAAATTATGTTTTAAAAGCCAATTGAAGATTGAACTTCCTTTATTTCGTTCTACGTTTTTCGATTATTATGAAGTAAAATTAGGGAAACAAAAAATGAATAACAGAGTTTCATGGCAATTGAATTCAATCTAGATCCAAAAACTAATCAATAGTCAATTTTAGATTTTTTAGCTCATCTCATTATATGTCATCCACCCCGAAAAGAGATAAACCGCTCTAAAAGTCTTACCGCTAATATTTCAAAAGTCACGTATACAGAGCTTGTCAAATCAACCATTCATTTCTCCAGATAACTCAGTCACCAATGATGGTTTTATCATTGCCAATGTATCTAAGCGACTTCATTCTCTAGCTAATTCACCTAAAAATACCCAACACAAAAAGCATACACAAAAACGTTTCACTACATTTTTTTCACTATTTTCTACAATAAATTGATGTGGAGGAACCTGGACATCATTTTGACAACATGGTCACTGAAACAAAGAACACTGGGCCTTCCATCTCCCAATTTTTATCCGCGTAATAATTAAATAAAAATAGTAAACTTAACAATTATGTAAAAATGTATTCGGTTCTTATGTAAATTGAAGTAGTGTCACTGGACACCCACTAACGCACCTTCCAGTCACTGTATTTAAATTAAACAATTTACTTGTAGTTTTTAATTATTACAGTTTGTAATTTCTATATTTTTAAATAAAAAAATATATTAATCAAAATAATATTACCATTCATGTGGCAAACTAATAATGATATAAAGAGTACACGAAAAATTAAAAAAATATTTTTGGATCAAAATGCTTAACATGGTTAATTAACGTCGGAATTATTAATCCATTAGTTTAAGAATGAAAACCGCCCAAGTTCAAACAATGTCTATAATGAAATAGTGGTTTAAAATAATGAATAATGACAAAAAAGATACTTAATGAAACAAAAATTATGCAAAATAACTTATGAGTAATAACTATTAGCACGTATATATTTTACTTTGTGGTTTAATAATCAAAAGCACAATTAACAAGTATAAAGTAGATTCTATAAAATACACAAAAGATCTATTTTTTTTAGTATTTTTTACATTTATAAAAACTTAATCTATATCAAAGGTTATCCTAATACTAATATTTACATTTCATCGTAATTATAAGTTATTGTAAATAAATACGGTAATATTGTAAAAATAAATTGTATATGCAAAATCCCTTAAAAAAAAAAAAAAAACGATATAAAAATTGTTTTACACGTCAAAAAAACATTAAAACTTAAAATTTAGCCTTTAGCTGTTATCTAAAACCAGACGGGACGCAGGGGATTTTTAATCGTCATGTTTATAACCGTTATTTATCCTCTCTATAGCTTGAGTTTCTCGTTGTGATTTTCTATTCACTAGATACATCCATCTATAAATAAATAAAATATGAATTTAATTTATGTGTACGACAAGAAATAATAGTTGTCATGTAAAATAAAAGTTAAGAAAGATGATTAAACAAAAAGCATGTTTTTAATATTAAACTTGAGTTTTGAAATAAAGTGATATTGGTGTATTCTATTTCACTTACATATAGATAATAATAGCTGGAATGAGCATTATAGCACCGACAATGTAAAAAGTTCCTGGGAATACGTTCAATGTAGTATTATAGATGGCACTATATAATGGTTTGTAGACTACAGGCACTAATGTTTCTATGACTGCTATGATTGCGGACACTTGTCCTAAAGACAGCAAATATATATTTGTCAGTTAAAAAAAAAAAATCATAATTTGTAATCAGTTTTATGCCCACCAAGTTCATTTTGAGGAACGACTTTAGATAAAATAGACCGCACGACAATGTATGATGAACCAGCCATCATTTCAGTCAAACTTCCTATATTGATAAACAAGTAATGCATGTAATGTAAAACAGTAATGGTTTTGTTTTTCGTTTTTTTTTCTTCAAAATTGTATGTATTTCTAAAATACTACATTGAAGCTAATTTTAACTGACCTATATAAAACATGAGCTCTGTAGACGCAAATGCGTACACGAATCCTGATACCACTTTGCTAGTAACGGCAATAATTCCAATTAACGAATCGTCCATCTTGAACAGTTGGCTAAATATTCCCAGTGCAATTCCCACACCTAAAACATGATAATCAAACGTGTATTTACTAATAATAAATTGTTTTACATTTTTTTTTAAGTACCTGCTATGTTTGCCATGAATGAAAATGTAGAGAACACGCTGTAATCGACTTCGTTCCAATTAAATTTAATTCGGGTATACAAATATCCAACCGCTGTTTCTCCTGAAATTTTCCATAAAACATACAAACATTATTATGACATGTTTTTCACTAGAAAGGATGTAAAAACACCATATGTTGGTCTAATTTTTTCTAGTTATAGTCTTATAATGTCAATTTTTTTTTAAATACCAAAAAATGAGTTTTACTTTAACGGTTTCCTTTTACATACAAAACAGATTCAAACATTTTTTTAAGTGTTACAATTTTTTTTTTTACAACGCAGCTGCCAATCTACGTTGCGGTTTTTTTAAAACAAATTGGAATTCAAAATAAGGGTAAACCACTATCGGAGTATAACCGAGACGGCTATTTAAATTATAAATGCCTAAAGTCTATCGTCTATTACAATTTAGAGACCTCTGAACTATTTTCTGATCACTTAAAAAATTTTTACGCGATGTTTGGTAACGTCAGTAGTCGCGCGGGTTACAGATGTATCCCGCACTTATTTAAATAGTTATAAATCATTAAAATATACGTATAAAATAAATAACGTTGAGCAACCACATCTACGAGAGGTACACCGTACACGAAAGTTAGTTGGCAACCATTTGTGTTATAAAACTATACGTGTATAAGAAACTGAGGGTAACACGTACTCTCGCGCGACTAAAAGGGTATAAACACTAAATTTCCTATTTATACTTATTTAATTAATAGGTATTTCTATAAGCCATAAGGGGTAGTTTATACTTTGACTTTAAATCAATACGTAAAATATGCTAATAGAAAATTCCTTAGGGCACAATTGGACAAACAAGCATATCACGCTTAATAATTATTGAAGTGTATTTTGGGAAGCCATAGATCGAGTGTATGTATAAAATGTTTTACCTACCTTGCATAGGACCTTGAACCACCACGATAACAAACATCAACATCATAATTTTAAGCCATCTAATGTGAGGTTCTCTTTTAAACGTCACTTTAAACGCTTCACTGATATGGTTTATGTTGAAAAAGTCAGAAATGTGGTCCGTGCAACCCGTGAGTATTTGAACTGGTTCCGTTTCCGTTTTTCGTTTCGGGTTTTCCTTTATGCGGAAAATACCGTAAATCAAGCTAATCAGATATAGCGCCGTGGATATGTAGTATACGCCGTAAAACCCAAGTTGCTGGAATAGAATACCAGAAAGTGCTGCTCCGATTGGCCAAGCAGCTCCGAAAAATAAGTTCATCAAACCAACCCTGAGCGTTCTATTTTTCATCTAACACAAATATAATGAGTCAACACCGCACTTTCGATAATCAATACGATTATCTTTTATACTTACAGTGCTCACGTCTCCGACATAGGAGAACGCTGCTAAGTACAGAACAGTCATTCCTCCAGCAATGGCCGATGGTATCGATTCCACGAGACCCGCTACTTCTAACGGCAGCTGGTAGTAGTAGTAAACGCACAATAATAATCCAATATTTCTGACAAGCTCTCCTAGAATTGGTATTATCATACAGGGTTTGCGTTTTTGATGTCGGTCGCTCCACGACCCAATGAAAATTACCAAGACACACGGTATACTGCTCTGTATTATGGTTTGCCAAATCAACATGTCTGCTACCATATGTTGTACTTCCTCTTCTTCTCTTGGATAGGAAGACATATTTTTGTTCTCCAACCCGTAACATACATCATCACTAAGTTGCAAGTTCACTCGGCACGCTTTTGACAGGTTCAAGTTTTGTGTAGTTAAACTTGATAACACAGATGATACCTGAAAAAGCGCCATGAGTGGTTCCACTGTGATGTTCTTGAAAACATATTTTGTTTTGGATCCGAAACCCATTTTCTGCCATTCATCGTCATCTTCGTCATTAATTGAAGTGGTATTTTTGTCGTTTATTTCCTTATTCGGGTCCATGCTCTTTAACCTAAAATTACAAAATATTTTAATACTGTCTTTTTACATCAACTATAGAAACTTAAATGGTAACGCATAAATTGCATTAACTTTTTAATTTGTGATTAATGTACTAAGCATTTTGACGAGTCGATAATTAGTTTGAGAAACTAAGTTTTTGAAGTTTCAAGCTTAGGGCATGAGGAAAGGTGCAGTATAGTATTATTTTTATATGCGCGCACTTTCCAACGGCACTTCCTTTTCCGTCCTAACTTTTAAATTCTTAGAACTTTCAAAATAGTTGTTCAAAACTGGTTATCAACCAATCAATATTTTTAGTAAAATATTCTTAATTAAAAAAATTAATAAAATATATACGTTACAGTATCAGTTTCAAAAGTTGATGTACAAATAATTAGTTTTTTGGGGGTAAAAACAAAAAAAATTCAGTCTACATTATATAAAAACACTGAAATTTTTTTTAAAAATTTTTTTTTAAACCCTATGAGATATTGATTGGTTCACAACAAAATTATCACCCTGTATTTTGATTTCAGAAATTGGAATTACTTATTCGGAATTAAGAAATCCAGGTGTATCAAATTTGGATTAAACGAATTATCCATGTATTAAACTTATTTTTTTAAATGAAGATACGTGTCTTGTAACAGTAGTTTTATACTTTTATCATCTTACTTGAATTAAAAAACAATTGAATCAATTTGATAATTCGTTAAAAATATGTCTCAGTCGCAGTATTAGACATTCTACTGATAAATATTAAAAACTATAAATGTGTAAAAAGGGTAATTGACTAAAAAAGAAATGAGTAAAATCTTAATCTAAACAAACCCTACTACGACTAAATAATATGAAAGGCTGCGGGGAAAAAAGATCAATGTCAATTTTTTAAAATTTTGTGAAAATCATGTTTTTAATTTCAAAACGTAATACATTTTGCCTGTATGCCTAAACTTCCGGCAGTCGTTACTCTCGACTAATCTATTTTTTCCCTAGTTCGAGTGCATAAAAGATGCATCAATACAAATAACTTGATACCAAAATCTCATTTTCAAAAAAAATTGGCATTGATCTTTTTTCCCCACAGCCTTTCATATGCAAGCATTATTTTAAGCTAAAGTAATTGTATCTTTATAACAGAAACATAACGGACAACATTTTATCGCTTGCCCTGTTATCTAAGCTTAATCAAACATGACTAATATGTCAAATGGTAAATTATATTATAGATAACTTAATTAGTTGATTTTTAAGTTGCTTTCAAACTATTATTACCAATAATTGACTATTGAGCAATCAAATTAATTAAAGATAATTGAATCATACACTTAATATTTAATTAGAAATTTAATACTATGTTAATGGCTATTAAACCTTCAAGATTTCTAAACATGACTCGAAAGATCATTAGTTTGAAATGTTTAAAAAATATTTTAATTTTATTCAATAATTTATTAGTTATAATTGCCTGGTCAAGCGGACTCCTTAAATTGTATACATTATTAGTAAATTCCTCGACATTTACTAAAAATAAAAAAAATAAAAAAATATTTCCCCCCCTCTAATTTGTGCAACAAACTACAATTTTATTGTACTATAACATATTATATGTACATTCTAATGACGCATAATAATAAAATACGGTTGCTAACTGAATGTAGGTAAATATTATATAATAGTGTTTATAGAAAAAGTTAAATGATAAAAAAGTAAAAAAATCTTACTTTTTTTTATCTATTTGTAATCCTGAAATAGATTTGTTAATACTCCTCAAATGCACATTTATTCTTTCTTAAAGTACACTGTAAACACGACTTATTTGCTTAATGAAATTTATTAGTTTGAGCTATGAAATCGAAGAAGCCGTCTGCCGTCTGGTTTGAGTGGATGATGCCGACTATCGATGCTATGAAACTATTACAATATATCATCCATTTTTGCTTGTTATGAAATGGATCATTACCATTGCCATCGTGTTGTTATCTTTGTTGTTGATACGTACCTATTACAAAAATAACCTTTGAATAAATGAATTATTGTTCTCGTTCTAATAATCGATTAATTTTTATCGCGTGTTATCATTCATGACGACAAACTATAATTTAAAATAATTGCCGGGGTATATATTTTCGTCTTACACATATAAAATAATCATAATATTATTATTGTTGTTAAAACTATAGAAACCGTTTTTATCTAAAAGTTAAAACATAATTATTTTCCTAATTATCAAAAAAAGTATTATATTGTACCTGTAGGTATATTGGTAGGTAAGCCAAATTTGCAAAATAAAAATTTGTTGTGTCTGTTCGCCTATAAGAAATGCTTTATTTAAACGTGTTTGAAAATCAGTAATGGATTTACAGTTTACACACTTATATGTTTTGGAAAAATAAAAAAATGAATAAAACCACTAGACTTCTACTGTTAAAAATAAAATATACGCCGACAGTTAAAATTAAAAGTATTTGTTCATTTTTTTTTATAAATCTTTACACACACACAGTACTGGTTTCATTAAACTCAAGCAAATAAGCAAATAGCGAGTGAGTGTATGAAACATCATATTCCACTTTGCCATCTTATTTTTAACAATGTTATTTCCATTTTTTTTTTTTTTAATAATTGTATTTCACTTGTGTTATGTTGAATATTGAACTTATTAGCTATTTATATAACGTGTTGGGGTTTTGATTAGTTTTTATCAAAGCGTACCGACATCATTAGCTGTATCCTATAAAATGACTTTTGAACTTAAAACTTGGTTAGTTTAATATATTTATTAAGTTTTTTTTATTCGCTATTCATTAAAAATTACTTTTAGGTTTGACTTAGGCCTGAGTCTAACAGGATATCTATTATTAACACATTAAAACTGCGGTAGGATGGCACAAGTTGATTATTCAAAATTTAGGGAAAAAGCAAAAACTTTGATTCATAATAAAATTCTAAAATTGTTTCTTTATTTTTATAATTACAAGCTATTAAGCTATTAATATATTCCTTGTGATATCACCAATTTAAAACTGAACCAAAAATTGATTTTTAGTTTATATAAACTTTGAGAGAAGGAGGACAACTTATATAATTGTACCGAAAATTCAAGTCCGAAATTTAAGCCTACAAACTGTCGTTGAAAATACATGGTTATCGATTTATACTCGTATTTATTTTCTTTTTTAAGAAGTCATAATTAGACACAGCAATTAATTTCCAATGTTTATTCACTTTTTTATTTTTATACATTTGTACAACGCCAGAACCATATAATTAACATGTTCCGATCAATCACTGCATGCTACACTATTATGTAACATAATTCATAATTTTAATTGTTGCTCATGTTAAAACTACGATTACTTACTACTACCTGACGTTACTACTTACAAATTGTTTCCTTGATAATAATTCTGGGTTATGTTAATTTTTAAATTAGACACAAAAACTAAATCCGCTTTGTCACTACTCGAGGGAATTCATATATTTTGTATTGTTAAGCGTATCGAATTTCGAATTGTTATCTTAAAGATTTAGCCTTCGTAGCTGCATTATCACAATAAAATACTATAATACTAATATAGGATGATCCGGTATTCAATGTCGTTCTTCATTATAAGGAGAAGGGGGGTGCAAAAAATAAATTTATTGGAATTTGTTTATATAATAAATAAATAATTAATTATTAAGCAATATTTCCTACGAAATACTCATACAGTATTATAAGTTAATAAGTCACTTGACAGTAAGATTCCAACCTAACCTAATAAACAAATATGGGTTTTTCGTTACATTAACATGAAAATAAATTTTAGTTAATAAAAATGCAACGTTTTTTGAAAAAATCTAAATTTTGAGTGACATACATTTTCAGAAAACACCATGAAACTATTTTTTTAAATATTAATATTTTATAAAATATATTTACGGAAAAAATAAAATTGACCTCATAGTGGGTAATTTAATACCAGAACATGTTGTGCATGATGTATTTTTACAATTAGTAACATTCACTGTATTCAAAAGCAACGATCAACAATTTAAAAATGAATGCTTTATCTTTTGATTAGCTTGCAAGTTTGCAACACAAACAAAATCAAAATTACATATATCAACGAAAAACCTTTTATTGGTTTCCCTGAAAATAGCTAAGTGTCGCTTACTCATCCTTCGCCAATAAAGGCCTTTTAACCGTCATAAAATATGTATTTATGTTATATAGAATTCCTGGCGATTTCCGTCTTGGCGCTATTCAAGAACTTATATTAAGCGCATTTAATCAATTAAAATTAATCTCTTACATCCGCGACCCCGCTTAAACGATCTCTAGTATTTTGTCTCGAAACGATATAACACCAATTGCATTTCAGACTGTAATATAACAGCAAGTACATGTTTGAAGAGTAACTTTTTTTTAAACAAAAAATGTCTGATTGAAACTAAAATTAAAACATTATTGTTTAAAGCCCAATTATTTATATATATATACATACTGGCCGAATATCATAATGTTACGTAAACACTATTTTTTTTTATCAAACTTGCATCGTTAACCTTTAATTTCAATTAATTAGACTTAGGTAAAACTATTTTTGATAAATGCAACTGTTCAGTGGCGGCATACATACGTACATTACATAACGGCATATTACACCGTATTATCTTATCGTTGTATATAATATACAGTACTGTAATCGCCTTAATAACACAATAGACAACAAACCACGTACCGTTTTCAAATACAATACAAAAACAAGAAATACATTTACAGCTAGAAGTTGAATGCTAATACTTTTGAACAAACTAAACGTCGAATGAATATTGAAGTCAAGCGATTGCACGTTATTCAGAATAAACTGCTGATGTTGGTAAAACATGAATACTTACAATACTGTTTTGTGTATCCGAAATCAGTACCTATACTAAAATATAATTTATAGTTATCTGCATAGTTTACTGGTATTTTTTCTATCGGTAAAATAACACACACGTGTATATATTTTAAATATTAAGTTAAGAAAAATACACAATATATTTTGATAAATAGTATCTAGCCGGTTGCAGTGGCTATGACTGAACTCTAAAGCGTACTGTTGAACCACAAGGACACACATTTCCCCTACTTTATGGAGTTGTTCGTTAAACATGTAAATATACATATTTTAAAGAAATTTCTTATAATACCAGGTTTTAAAGAATAATCACGTTCTTCGTTGTAAGATTTAATTTCTCGGTCTGAATACTTAGCATTCCACTTAAGTTGAAGTATCAACTGTTAAAGAAAACATGATAAATTTATGATAGGGTGTCTATAAGTAGGTCTAAAAAAAAACAACCTCTGCGGAATTATCATTTTAGCCAATATTCTACTAAATAATGTCATCTAAAGCTTCAATTTTAGAATTTGCGAAACTAAAAAAATTTGTATTAAAAAATCAACAGGTAATTAATTTACGTAAATATTTTTTGATAAATTATGAACAGAACAATTGACAGATTTTGTTGACGTTGATAAAGTCTATAAAATTTGAAATCACATTCAGCTTTATTATTTTTAATATGAATTATTTATTTATAATATTTTAAGAACGAATTCAAAATAAAAAAAACACGGTAAATTAGGCCCTATGACTGTGACGAGGCACACCTCGTTAACTTGTTTTGTATTATGTATTACGTAATCGGATAGTATAACGGTTACTCCATTGTAAAAGTTAGATTGTGTAAATATCAGAGTAAAATTCACTAAAAAACAGAAATGTAAATTTTATAAATGTATAATATATATTGTACATTATTATCAATTCTGTATGTCTGCAGGCCAGTCATAATAATTATACACAACATGAAATATAGGAACATTAGTGGATTGTCTTTAAAGAAAATAATTAATCGTTGCCTAGTTCATTGATCCGTATTCTTTTTTCAACTCATTCTTTTTGTGCTCTCCTATACTCTCGTACGTATTGCAATTGTGTTTGTATAACCATCTGAAAATTATATATAAACTCTAAATAGACAGGTATCCTTTTATATATTGTACAGTTCTTTTTCATAAAAATTATTCGTAGCAATCAACTGCAAAATTTTTTTTAAACTGGAAATGATTGACTCGTGCTTACAGATAAATGAAAATTCCAGGAGCCGTTAGTACTGCTCCGAGTAGGAAAATAGTACCCGAGAAGACGTTTAGTGACATGACGTACACTAAACTATATAATGGGTTGTACGCTATTGGCACCAAGTTTTCACCAATGCTCGTTACGGCAGAAACTTGACCTTTGAAAAACATGCAACATTATATATATATATATATATATATAAAAAGTAAAACCAAAAAATACATTTTTTAAACACTTACCTAGTTCTTCTGACGGCACTATTCGGGTGACGGTCGATTTCATTGCAACGATAGCAGTGTTGTATATAAGGTTGGCAAGAGGCGCTGTAAAAAGCAAAAGTTGTACAATCGAATGTCACAATAAGTGCGCAACGGCCGATACGATGAAGTCACACTTAGTATTGTACTTACCCACGTAAAACTCGAAATCGTTTTTCGCGAAGGCATACAGTATTTCGGAAAATATTTTGCCCACTAAAGCTATTGCTCCGACCAAACACTCGTCTATACCCAGTTTGTTTATCAGCAAGTAGACGGCAAGACCTGTGCCTGTTTAACAGTTCTATTTGTGTAATGCATATGTATATTGTCAATAAAAAAAACCACAAAAATTTGTTTTGCACTAACCTACGAGATTGACAATCATAGAGTACGTAGAAAATATGCTGTAATCCACTTCATTCCAATTAAATTTATAACGTGTGTATAAATACATGATACTTCTTTCTCCTAAAAAAACAAAAAAGTGTAATATTTACTCAACAAGGCTATTAACTTTATGGTTAATCGTACAAATTGCCGCACTGTTTCATGTGAATTTTTCACCCAATGAATGGAACAATATAAACTTCTACAAAATACACTTGTCGGTTACCGTTGTATAATGAACTACACAAATATTTATTGGGCTCTTAAAAATCAAACGTACTAACTCGTGAAATGATCTATTAAATTGAATAGCGAACCGTTCCGGTGTATACATTATAAAATATTATAATTACATATTTTAATAGTTTACGAAAACATTTAGCGTTTTTAAATACATTATCAGAACTTTATAGACTTTGAACGTATACATATTTTTACTTGCAAACTGCGCAGTTGAGAAAAAGAAAAAAACAAACGTTAAACTAAATTTTTGTGATGTATCGCCATGAAATAAATTGGTTTACGCCACTCTAATGGTTGAAACTTGGTATGGTCGCCGCGGAATATTGCATGTTATTATTATTGTCATACTTACCGATCATTGGTCCTTTAATTATTATGATGACAGAGGACAACGCGATCAGACTGAACCTTCGGGTCGAATCTTCGTTCCAGAACGTCGTCTGAACGGCTTTTCTGAAGTGTTTTACATCGAAGAAATCGGCAATTGATACGGACCATGGTCGGCGATCCAACAGCACGTTAAAATTGTCTTCGTGAATGTATAATCCTGTCCATGCGATGGAGAATAAAAACAGTGCCGAAGAGATGCCGTACACGCCGTAAAAACCAAAATTCGCGTAAAGAATACCCGACAGAGCTGTACCCAGTGGAAAGCATAAAATTACTGTGCCGTTCACGATGCCCACTCGGATTGCTCTCATTTTACCCTGTGAAAAGATACATATTTAGCAACCCCAATACCGCCTAGAGTCCTACAGGATTTGATCCTAATTAGAAACAAGGAGTTTAGTCCAGGGAGTCCTTACCCTTAAAATTTTTAGCGGGACCGAATTTTGCCATGAGGTAAAAAAAAAAGAGCAATCTACTTTTCTCCTCTGGAAGAGACCTGGGTCATTAAGGGACGTTAGCTCGAGATCCGTGTATAGAGTATTACCTCGCTGGTGTCACCGATGTAACTGAAAACGGCCATGAACAGAACGATCCATCCGCCCGTCAACGCCACCGGTAGTGTCTGAGCAAGACCGGCTACGCTCAGGGGTAGTTCGTCGAAAAAGTAAACGCAAACCATTAGACACAAGTTGCGGACAAGTTCACCGACAATAGGCAACAGCAAAACGAACTTGCGCCTATGATATCTGTCGCTCCACGAACCTAGGAATACCGCCAAGATGCTAGTCGTGACGTTTTGCAACACCGTCTGCCATATAAGCATGTATGTGACAAGTAGTTGCGCGTCTATCTCGCTGTCCGAGCGTCCTCCCCTGTAGTCAAGTTCGGCACACTTGTCTGCGTCAGTTTGGAGATCTACCCTACAGGCTTTCTGAATGAACAGGTTCTGATTGGTCAATATGGTTAGTATGCTGGACACAAGGTACGAGAACAGCATAGGTTCGAACGTGACTTGCCATTTTGCCGGGTTTTCATGTTCTTCCGTCTTGAAGACGTTTGATGGGCTCATAGTACACCAAACATATAGTTAATCCTAAAACGTCAAATTGACACGTTACTATGAGTTCAAGTGTTACAAACAAAAACCATTAAACATTAATCTTATTCATAGTTTATGTAATAAATGATGGCATAATATTACGAAATTATATAAATAAAATATCAATCATTCGATTGTAAGGTTTTACGCAATGTACACTTTTTAAATTAGAACCGCATTGATAAAATAATATTTCATATTTGCAATTTAAATAACATACCAATTATTATAATCATTGAGGTTTGTGTGACAAGCAAACAAATAGAACACAACATTTAGCTATCGAAATCTATATTTAAGGTAAATTTGAGTAGTTCAAAAGAATCAACAAGTAATGAATATGAAATAGATCCTAATGTAATTATCTTGTATTTTACTAATAGAAGTATTTTCATTATTCTTTAAAAAATATTTAAAAACAATTTGCAACTGTAAAAGTGTTTATCATGTCAAATGTATAATTATACCGCAACTGTTCTTAATTATCTCTTAATTTTTTGTACGTAGAAAATGTTGTATATTATAGAATAATGATAATTGTTCTTCGTATGTCTCAAAAAAGTGTCGATTAACACATTTTAATTTATAGGCAAGCTAGTGTATTTTATTAAACAAATATAAATAAAGACCTTTATTCGTTTTTTATAGCATATTATGCTATAAATAATATATTAATATATTAATATTAATGTGTATACATTAATACATTTAATTTTAAATGTGTTAACAAATTATCTGTTACAGAGTATTTAAATAGTTTTATTTTGTTGTTCGATACAAGTGGATGTAAAAAAATTATAATTCAGCTATTATATTTTATGACTAATGAAGTATTGATAATAATTATTAATTAAAATAAACGTATAAGTCGACAAAATAGTAAGATAAACGAAAAAAATATTAAAAACATTTTAATATTACTAATGTTAACATAATGAAAAACTTACCTTATCAAATAATTATAATCCAGCGCGTATATTGGTTCTTGTTAGCTAACAAAATTGTACTAAAGAAATCCAAAAGGCAAGGAAAAATATTTGTGAATATTATAGTCGTGAAAAAATAATGTTTTGGCTAAATGACAATTTGAGTTTGTGTGAAACCGGTTATTACTTGTGTGACGAGTTAGACAATACAAAATAGCTGTTATAATATTCATATTATATAAATGGCGTATAATATGAATCTTCACAAGGAAAATAAAATGTATTTTTTCCTATTTAAACGTGGTAGTTGTCCTTGTCTGTGGCGCATGTAAGAGCATCGAGCTTTTGTCGAACTATTCATGTGACTATAGTCTTTTGACTCTTTTATCTTATAAAGATTCTTTAAACTATAGGATAACCCATGCACTAGATTGTTATCATTCATGGTCGTGGTTGCTTTAGAGCTGAGTGCATATCCACCACCTAGGATAATCTCTACTGAGCTTTTCTAATATTAAATACACATTTTATTTAAAATGTATAAATAATTATAACTTGTAAAATATATTATAATTATTTTTTCAATTACTCACTAGAAGTGTTATTATATTATAGTGACATAATTCCGACAAGTGTTTCTCGCTTAACCCTGACACGGAAAGATAATCTTAAGATAGATAATATTCTGAACTTTCTATGTTTGAAATCACAAGTATTTTCCATCTAAGTATGTTCATGCAAGACAGAAAAAAGTGATCAGAGTAATTTTAGAGATAAATTATTGTAAAAAAAAGGTAGGGCCAAGATTTCCTAGAAAACTTTGTATGCATTTTGCATTATCTACAATGTTTAGGTCAAATAACGAATGCAAAAATACATTTTTTTTAAAACTTTTTTTCTGAGTAATATTTTTAAAAACGTAAACGAGGTTCCCTTTGATATCTTTTTTGTTATATGTATTTTAAATCTAAAAACATTTTGAAAGGTACTTTTGGCTGTTTTGTGTAAACATGTTTTTACCATAAATGATAATAAGACGTCCTCTTAAAGGAAAAATTGAATTATTTACTTTTATATTTTAATAAATTCACTAATTTTTTACTAATTAAAAGTTAATAATAAAACAACTCATTATGTATAAATAAATATCAAAGTCTGTAAGTACAAACAAATTATAATATTTAACAATGATTAACACATTTTAATGACGTAGGAAATATTCTACAGTATTGACAGTTTCAAAAACAGGTTTTGTTTTTTTAAAACTATAATGTCTTCATGGTAATCATTTCACAGAAGAAAAGTATTATTGAAACAATTTCTCTTATAGTTATTTATAAATGTATTTGTTAAAATATACTTAAATCAAATTGTTATTATTATTCAAATTTAATTCGAGGATATAATTGTCTAGTTCTTCATAATAATACTTAGGTTTTATTTCCTGAAGTACTAATAATTTTAAATTTAAATTAAAAAATACAAATATATGTTATATATTATACGTAGTACATATTATATTGACACATTTGTTGACGTATAAACTTTTATATGCATTTTCTTTATTTAAAAAAAAAAAATAATAATAATAAATTAACAACAACTTATAGGTAATAAATAATAGTTACATTTAAATAAGTTAAAATTATAATGAAATAGAATGGCAGGGCGGTAGATAATGAGTATGCATGTTGGAAATTGGGCTTTGAAGTCATCTAAAAGAGGAACGATCCGGGCGTTAAGGGTTTAAAAATTCCTAATTGCGCCACTAAATGTTGCGATAAATAATAACTTAAAATAGATTTATATACAAAATAACAAAATGTATGTTTATATATTTATGTCATTTTCTTATATGTATAAGATTGATAATTAATCGGTTTTCAAATTTGGCTCATCATTTTGGAAAGTAGAGTTATCTATACCGTTTTTTTCAGACATCTCGATAGGATATTTTACAGAGTTGGTCGTTACGTCGGGATAGTCCAAACCGTTTTTCTGAACCTTTTCAGCGTTCTTCTCCTCTAGTTCTTGAGCTTCTTGCTTTTTGTTTTGTTTATACATCCACCTAGAACACAATATGTCGTTGTTTTGTTATCAAACAGTTAACGCAAACCCCTTCCCAAAATTACAAGGAACTTGCAATCATCGATTTCGAATCCTTACTGACCAGTTCGACGCCTTTACGCGATACGCCACGCTGGTCGAAAATGTTTGACAAAAAATATGTATATACTTACAAAAATATGAAGAACGCTGGTATCGTTAACCCTCCCCCGAGGAGGAAGAAGGCCCCCGGAAATGTTTTCATTGTGGCTTTGTAAAATGCACTGTACATTGGCGCGTATATCATAGGCACGAAAGCCTCACTGACACCCAGCACGGCACAAACTTGTCCTGGAAACACCACGGTAATACAGTTAGCAAAAACTAAGAAAACAAAATGATCATTTTTGACTTTTGATTTTGATTTTGAATTACCGAGTTCGTCCGGAGAGACCAGCTTTGTGAATATCGACCTGGTGGCAATCGATCCGGCGCCATGCATAATTTCGACAACCGGCCCTGAGTATTTTTCGGTGTTAAACTTGCAAGTTAAAAACGCGTTTCAATTTACTTACCCATAAAAAACATGAATTCGTTGTGCGCAAACGCAAACACTACGCTCCCGATGATTTTGCTAAAGCACGCCATGGCGGCTATTAGCGCGTCGTCCATTTGTAATTTGTGACTGAAAATCCACAAGGAAAGTGATGTGCCTGGAAATGATAAATATACATTTATAATCGATCTTATTACATACTGTTGTGGCGATAAGATATTGAAGGCATTATTACAAACCTATAAAACCGACAGCCATTGTGTACGTAGAAAATACGCTGTACTTAACCTCGTCCCAGTTGAACCTCATTCGAGTAGACAAGTACATAACAGACATTTCTCCTGTGTAAAATAATTATTGAAATTAAACGGCGATCGGTGGTCTATAAAAATTAAAACAGTTTCTAAATTTCTAATTTCTTGATTCTATATATTTTTAGCCACTATGTGGAGTAAAGTCATTTTTGGGTCTTACAATATTTGTTGTAAATAATTTACATTATCTCCAGAAATGCTGGATTTGCATAATACCTATTCTTTGTAAATAATACCAGCTATTATGATTAAAATGTGAAATTCTCATCCCCCCCCGTTAACAGTTGAACAAAGCTAACTCAGATTTTAGTTTTTACAACCAAAATTTTGCAAATGACTTCTTGAAATTTGGGTTCGGCGAATATTACAACAAACATTTTATAAGAATGTTTTTCACATCATACCTATGATAAATTAAACCTTTTTTATGTGTAACTTTTATACATTATTTACAAAATTGATTAAGGATTTTTATTATTTGTTAAAATTCAATGAAACCCGAATACACTAATCACGAATCACGAGTTACCGGTAGGTACATATCGAAGGGGCCACTGATATGTGCCGTATAAATGCAAATATGTACTACTCTCAATACAGACTTGTAGTCACGCCAACTATACTGAGCTAAATACGATGTTATTGTTTGAATAGAACACTCGACATTTTACCAACCTGACATGGGACCCATGATTATTATGAGCACCAGCATCATCATAATGACTCGGATTCTTCTGTTGTATTTTCCTTTTTTGAACGTCACGGCAATCGCGGCTTTAATGTGTTTGACATCAAAAAAATTTTGAACGTTTTTTATGAACGGCGTGCTTTTAGCATCGTCTTTGTTACTAGCTACGACAGCGTCTTTGGACTTCCTCGTGTCTTTAATGAACACGATGCCGTAGAATATGCCAAAAGCGTACAACGCCGAACAGATGCTGTAAATGCCGTAGAAGCCGAGTTGCCGGAACAAAACCCCGGACAGAATGATACCGAAAGGCAGTCCCAGCGTTACCGACAGATTCAGCACTCCTATCCTGAGGGTTCTCATTTTTACCTACAGAATAACAACCGTTAGCAATCAATAATAACAAATACGCCGAAACAACAATAGTTTTTCTTTCAACTGACCGTGGTCACGTCTGATATGTATGTGAATACGGCCATAAACATGATCATCCATCCTCCAGTCAGGGAAGAAGGGACGGACTCCACCAAGCCGGCTACTTCCATGGGCAGTTCATAGAAAAAGTAAACGCATACCAGCAGACCCAGAGTTCTGACCAGTTCGCCTATGACGGGCAGCAACAGAATTGGTTTTCTCTTTCGGCTTCTGTCGCTCCAAGAACCGACGAAAATGACAAAGATGCACGGGATGGTGTGCTGGATAATCGACTGCCACATCATCATGGTGGTTACCAGCTCTTGGACTTTGGCCTCTTCGTCGTGGATCAGGCCACTCGTGTTGCGTTTGTCGAGGGCAACACACACTTCATCGCTTAACTTTAAGTTGACCCTGCACGCCTTCTGCAGGTTCAAATTCTGCGTGGTCAAACCACCGAGTACACTGGATATGATGAATATGGCCAACAACGGTTCCACCGTAATGTTGTCCAATATATATCTAAACCTGGACAGTTTGTTCATTTTTTGCCATCTTTCGTGTTCTTCGTCGACATCGTCAGCCTTCACGGGCTTTTCAGCCTTTTCGGCTACGTCGGCCATATCGTTTGGAGGACTTGAGTGCTTAAACGACGTTAGGCCGTGAGTTATTCGACAGTTGACATTATTTACAATCTGTGGACAAAATAAGTACGTTATTGTAAAAAAATATGCCAACATAAGAATTTTTATTTTCACATCATATTATACACATCAATAATAACAAAGTTGTCTATCGAGTAGGTCACACAGATACGTTTTTTTTTCTCAAACTGTCCCATAGGCTTGACGTATACTATATATACTTATTAAAATTATGACCAAACCTATTAAAAATGTTCTAATTTTTCTGTGAACATTGTAGTCAGCGTATGATCAGACATTCTTTATTTGAAAATATATGTCTCAAAACTCACAAGTAATCTATGTATGAAACATGTTGTGTATAAAAAATACATTTAATTTAGTTCAAATTTTGAAGTCAACGACCTTGCACTGCGCCATAATCGTTGGATGTTTTAATTTTTGATTTTCGTATTTTTAACTCTGGTTGTTTTTTATGTTTAAATGCTATCACTTATCTTCAAACATTATATTTTACTGTATAATTTATTGTTTTTGTGGTTCGATTTAATGAAAACTAATGAGCTCATACAAATTTAGGTTTCTGTATTTCTAAGTATCAATGAAACATACATTTTAGGTATTAATTAACTAGTACTATAAATACTTAGATGAAATATTCAATATGAAATGCCGCTTTATAATCAGTTGTTATTAATAAAAAAAAATATCTATATTTTTTACATTTTTAAATGGTTTGATTGGTCTGATTAACTAAACAATGAACATTTTTCTGTAACAACTTTATTTATTTTATTTAAACTGTGAAAAAAGAAGAGTAAACTGCATCTAATCACCCGTTTTCAGAAACTTTTATATATTTTTTGTAGGTCTAAAATAACTCTAATGAAAAATGCAGGTTTTAGTTTTAATAAGTTTTGTTTTATTTATGTGAAATTCATCACGGTATAATACAAATTATTTTATATGTTTAATAGGGATGATTATAAGCGAATGGGACAAAATATGTAAATGCATTTTTTTTTTTTAGGAAAACCCAACAATGTTCACATTTGATTTAATTATGTAGTATACTAACATTTAATAATTGAAAGTATTGAGTTAAACATTTTAATCGAAAACTGTCGGTTACTTTATTCAAAAAATAGCATTTACATATCTTTGCTATCCATATTCCTCCAGAATTCACTCTGAAGTACTCCACTGTTAAATACTAACAAATAACCACCGCAAACCGGTAAAAGCGGCACTGTTCCTAGACAGCTCAATTTTAACATTATCACATAACGCACGTGCCCGTTGAGCAATTATTAGCAAATTGTCAGTCTTCAAGGCACAACCGGACCCCTGTTCGGGACAATTGTAACGGTTACAAGTTCAATTGAATAACAACTCTGTTCCCAATTGAATATGGCAGCAACAAACATTTTTTAAACGCAGTAAGCAGCTTGAAATTCCAGTCGATCGCACGGCGACGATATACCTTTGATCATTTGCGTCGGACTCAAATTAATTAACGTTGAAACAACGTTGGATAATGTTACACGGGGTCAAATATGAAAGGTTACAGATACAAATACACTCAATACGTGTATGTATAATACGCTTAATGAACTATGAGCTCAGACGTAAGCGTTTTTGTTTTTTCAAAGATCGTAGAAGAGCCGTTGATCGATAAGATCGGTATACAACAGAGACAAAGAGCCGCGTAATAATGAATTAATGTGTAACACTGGTGCAACGTGAAAGGACTCCGATAATCGTTATCCAGCCAACGCATTAAAATATATATTTATGTATACCATATTATTATTAAATACGGCCTACAACTGTTCATTGTTACTAAAATACAATATTACAACACGTGACTACGGTGGATATTGAGTTAACACGAATTTTTTTTTCTGCTTTCCGATTTCATAATAATACTCTTATCGAAACACAAAAATATCATATTATTATAGTTTTTTTATCTTTACCATTTCCGATTATTTCCCAAAGCGTATTATAACGAAATCATAGGTTATGCGTTTTTTTTTTAAAATTATGCTGTTGAGCAAAACCGTGTGTTTGGTAATTGGTCGGTACGAAAATGTGTATTATTGTTTTACCCGGATAAACTGTAACTATAACGATTTACAAGAAAGAAAAGTCAGCAACAGGATTGGTGAATACAGGCTTGCGCAGAGATTCTATCATGATAGACGATGCTTGGTAAATGTTAAGAAAAACTAAACAAATAGTCGCTTAAAAGGATTCCAAACATTAACATCTATTGTAAATTGAAGCTGAATACTCGTAGATGTTTATTTGTCGTAGAAGGATATTGCTAAACAAGTGCACGCCATTTACTTGTAAAGTTAAGTAGAGGTTTTTTCAAACGTTTAACTTTATTTAATTTTTTTTCTAGGAACGGATAGTTAAAATAATTTTTGTTGCGGGTAACTTAGTTAAAGCTGTACAACGGATTATCAGAAAAACCTGCCGTTTATTGTTTACTAAAAATTTGAAATACTTAATATTTTAACACTTTGACCGTCGAGTATTCCTTTTTGTAGCTGCTATTGCTTAATCGTCTGATCATGTAACTTCTAAGAACACAATAAACATTTATTTTCCAATGTTTATTCTTCAATTCACATGTTCGGGTTTTGCGCTGACTATTCAGACTAATGGCAGAGTCCATTATGAAAGGACCTTGTATAGTTTGGATTGTTAAGACCATGACCTTAAACTCTTTAAAAATGTTTTTAGCCCAAAACGTCAGTACAAAACTAAACACGTGGCTAAATTTGTAAAATATATTGAAAATCTTTTTAAATACTAAGCAAGCTTAATACATGAATTATAACGAATTAAACTTAATCTATGAAATATTCACTTTACTTTAAACTTTAAAATTATGGAGAGATTTCTTTGTGATTAATACTTACCTAATTATATTTAATAAATTTCTATAATGGTTTTTTTTACGAAAATCCGTTACTAACTAAAAATGTTTAAAACCATTTAAAAATATCTATTAATAATTAAAGTTTTTATCAATTTGACCGCGAACCCGAAATTTCAGTTTTGGTTTTAATAAGAGCTTCTGGATGAACTCTTTATACTAGTTAAATTAAATAGTTAGACAAACATAATTGTACTTAAAAATACAATTTTAGAAATGTGATAGTTGAATCATGATTATTTAACTAATAAGCGTATACAATTTTAAAAAGGCAAACCCATTAATTTTAATAAGATTGAAAAAAATATTCAATTACAATATCCTATCGCTACTATTATAAAATAGTGGCATAAAACAATTTATGTATTTTTAATGATCTTCATCTGTTTTTGACATGACTGTTGATGTAAATTTCATAAGGTAAAACTATATTTTACCTAATATTATTTTTAATAAGTCACTTACCTACACAATGCCTCCATTGGCGACTACTTAAAAATTATATGATAAACCATTTCACTTTATACATCAATAGTATACATAAAACAAATGTTTTTTTGGTATTTTAAAAAATGTTGAATAAAAGTCACTAAATTAGCTTTATAAACTTATGAGCTAAATCTCAATTAAAATAACACTGCTGAGGCACGACCTCTTCTGGCTCACTTCCGTTGTGTTGTGAGAATAATAACATATTATTGATAATTATAAAAGTGAGTTTATCAGTTTTACCGACATATTTATTTTAAATGTACTTTTTGATCGAAGATTAATTAATTTTCTTAGAGATAATATTTCATGTACAGTCATTAATGCACGGCAAGATGAAATATTACGTTATCTTTCGACATTTTATTTTATCTAGAGACCAGTGTAAACTTAATGGACGATTTTTCTTATATTATCTTTTACTTATAACTTATAAGCAATATAATTTTATATACTGCATTTGAGAGTTGTGAATGAATTGATATCGTAATAGTGCACAGCCTAATATTATAATAGTAGGTATACGCGAATTATTTATAATGCTTATTAAAAACTAATTTAATGTTTGTATAAACATAATAATTACATTATAGGTAACAATTATTTTATAAATTGATATATTTATAAATACTAAGTACGTAAGTCTAAAAAGTCAATGGTAACTTTTGGCAAAAAAGTGTTAGGTAGACCTCTAAATATGCGAATTAAAACACACTTTATTTTATAGTGTTAAAAAATGACACTCCTAATACAAAAATTTAAAACCCTAAACCCCCCATATTAAATTGGTTTCAAGTTGAAAATATTCTCAAATTTTGCGGTGTATTTTCGGGGTGAATATTTTAAAATTCATGATTTTGTATTCATTTTTAATGTATGATAAGGTACTGGTTTACAGCTTGTATAAATGAAAAAATCTAGTTGTTGGTTAAGGGTTTATTGTGGATCTAGACACAAAAAAAAAATTGTTAAGAAATTTATATCTACCTTCTCGGCTTCGATGCACAAAGACATTAGGTAACTGTTATAATATCACAATTACACCATGTTGTGTATGATAATACTCACTTGGCAACGGAATATATTATACGAGTTATATAATAAATAAATTACTTGTAATACAAATACCCAACCACGGATGTCGGTTGGACTCAGATTTTATTTCATGATACCCAGTTCTTAAAGAAAAACTATCTTATTTGCTATTTGTTGTGTGATATCTATTATATATTAAGTAAAATTTGTATTTTCCATCAAACAGAGTTTGTAAACTTTAAAGATGAGTAAAAAAGAAAAAGCGAGATTAAAAGCATTAAAACAGGAATCCGAATTTCAGACGGTACATTACAAAAGATCATAAATATTTCAGTATCTGCCAATTTTAAAGGTAAAATCATTAACATGTGTCTTAGGCGTGGTTGTCTAGAGAAATAGAGCTCTGCAATGATAGCAGAAAAATACTTGATAACCGATGGAATGATATTGTTTCCTCGTTCAAAGATACAACATTAAAAAATCAGATTATGGTAATTACTCGTTTACCTCAGTTCTTACTTCGAAAATAAATAAAAACTGTATAATTCTTTGTATATAAACTTACAATACATATATATATATATATATAATTTATTATCATGCGGAAATTTACACAAAGAGTTATAGGAATGTTGTAGCAATGGAATTAAGCATGGACTATGTTTCAGTTGAAATGTTACAACTAATGAAGCCATCAAAGATATCTATTGTTCTAATTTTCTCTAATTTTGTAACATCCCGGAATGATATAATTTCCTAACTCTCCTTGTCAGTCTGTCTCAATTAGGAAGGGGGTACTACCTTGGGACTACGTTTTAGCTTAGACTTTGGAAGTTATTGTGTAATAATGTCAGCTAGAAAACTTGTAACTTAAGTCGTGTCGTATGAAATAAAATTATGTTTCTCTGTATTAAAGTTACATCGTCGGGCTTTGTCCAGAAACGTTGACTTTAAGGATAAACTTATCGCCCGACTCTTGGACGAGTTGGATCAAGTGTCGTTGCAACGAAACAGGGCGTACCGGGACAACGCTGAGCTGATGGATAATGCCTTAAGTGAGTCCAACCTACCAGTGTACTACTTTTTTGTATTAACCCGTTCAATATTGCTTGAATATAATATAATGGTATTGGCATTGTCAACTTTCAGTGGCGATCAAAGGCGAAATGGAAAATGTGCACGCTCAGTATCAAGCCAGAGTTAAAGAAATATTGCCGGTTAATTTAGCTGAAATGGAAGTCAGAATGGCTGACAGTAATAACAGTTGGACTAGAATTAAGTACTTTGAATGGAAATTGAGACGAACCGCGAAAAAGAATAGCGATGCCGTCCGACAAGCACACATTGAAAAAATGAACTTGGAAAATGGAAGAGTATGATATTTGTAATAATAATCCGTATATACAAATAATAGCATTACTCAAGACATATCCGATAAATTAACTATGAATAATATTATAAAATTAGCGTTTTAACCTAACCTTAAACCGTTACTTAAACCGTTTGAACTCGAGGTAAGAAAAGCAGTTTTGTTAAAACACATGCATACCTCCGTTATACTAGAATATTAATTATTCACGAAACGTTTTATAATAATATAATATAGTTATGTAATAAAGTTGTTATGTAATATGCAGGGAAAAAGAAAAATGTTATGATTTTCTAGGTTTTACCATTAACCATTGTTTTATTGAACGGTTAAAAATTAAACTACTATTATCATTACTCTGAATGATAGACATTAAATCGCATATGAATACTTATCTCTATTTCTTTATTGATCTTGAACCTTATTTTATTATATAGAACTAATTAGTAATTACTGTCTATAATTATTCATACAAATGTCGTAAGCATCCGGATTTATCATCTAACAATCATGTTATTGTTTACGTTTTCTAATTAGATGCTTTAAAGTGTTAGTTTATTCAATACATAAATAACTATTTATGAAGTCGACCATTGAAATTGTATCTATCCACATTCACTCTACACACGCACCGCCGTGTCTTTGTTTTCAACATCTAACACTTTTTTGGTTTACCTCTAACTTTCTAACCCTCTCTATGACACTTATATACGTCAAATCGGCCGTGCTTAAAAGTCGTCTCCAATTTTCTTCAAATTTGGTGGGTCAACGGAGAATCTTAAATAATGGTCAAATCTAAAATGTTTGTACACTTCAATTTTAATGAACTTTTGTGGCTTTCAAGTCGCGGCCGATTTGGTGTACAAATTCGAAAATGCACATTAAAGGTAAAGTTTTTTTTTCGAGAAAATTCATAAAAACTGCAAAAAATCAATTAAAAAATAAACTTATTTTAATTTTTAAGTTTTTTGAATAAGTATAATTTGAAAAATAGTTAATTATGGGCTCTGTAAAAATGATGGTAATTTTTGGTTGTTCTTGAAAGGTTTTTGAATGTTACCAGTTACATCCAAAACAAGTTTTAAATATAAAAATGCTTATTTTTTTTGTATTTTGGCAGTACACGTTTTGTTTGCACCACTCCGAATAATTATTTTGAACTGTTTTTTTCCTAAAAAAATGTTGAGATTAGTATTTAAATACCACAGCTTAATACGGTTCTCGACAAGTTTCGTCGAAAACAAATGTTCCACTGTCGATCGTTGGTCGAGGAACATCATGCGTTGCTCACCGAGTACGAAGAAAAGACAAGCGAAATGAGAAATGACTATCAGGATTTGAGAGAAAAAGATGAAAACTCTTTCAACTCTATGCACAGATTAGATTCTAAGATAAATGACATTCAAGTAAGTCGTGTTCGACTTTTTAGGTTGAGTACTAACAATAAGTGCCTTCCTAATTTCAAACGGGGTATTCTTGGCTAACAGAACGAAATAAGTAATTTGAACAAAAAAATCAAAAAGTCTGCGTCCTATGCGGAAATGAACCAGCTACTTGTCGAAAAAGAAGTGTTTCAGAAAGGCTATAAACGTTTTTTTCAAAAAGTAATAGACATTTCCCAGCACGGATTCAATCAGCTCAGCGTACTTTGCCAATGTACTAGTGAAGTTTACAAAGTAAGCGCACATGTAATTCCACGTAAATGTCGAAAAGCAATTACACACATAACAATTTCTGTGTTCTTATTTAACATTTACTACTTATCCCAAAACGAAGGTGTTGAATGTGGCGCTGGACAAATGTGATACGTTTATGAAGGTTGCTAAACTTTGTCAGCAAATGAGATTACAGGAGGAAAAAATCGAAATGTCCACCAAAATTCTCACCAACGACGATATCGATTTGGTAATTAACTATGCTTTGTATAATTACTAGTGAGTGGACATTTTTTTATATTTTCTTGAATTTGTCAATCAACTGATTTGTTTAAAACTACCGTGTATTGTTATAATTTGTATAATTATATTTACCAATACATCTTAGTAATTCAAAATAATATACTAATAAAACTACAGTACCTCGTATATGAAAATTGCAATACATTTTGTCCGACATGGTAAAATGTAGTAAAGAGTTTTGAATGGGTTTGAATAACGTAAACGATTTTCTTTTTTCTTTAGTTTGTTCGCTTGCGTTTACAGGACACATTTAGTTTTAATAGTATATTATTTTGTTTACAAGGTTAAAACATAATATATTCCATCACTATTCTCACTACACAGTATAGTATATATACCTACATTCATCCTTGACATTATGAGATTCGTTTAGAAAACAATTAAAAATGTCATTAAACAATAATGAAGAGCTATTATTTTTAAATAATAATTTTTTTTTTTGTACAAATATTTTACTTTATTTTTTAAAATTTTGAGTATTCGTTCAGTAAAAAGTAGGTACTAATATAGTAAAAACGATAAGTGGCGATAGGATATTACTTTTATAAGTATTCAGTTAAATATTACTAAAAACAATCGTTAGATCATTGATAATATTAGTAAAACTGGATTGCTGGAACTGTGTTCCGGTTGACGTCTTAATGATGTCTGGGCACGATTAAATATATAATCAATTAGACTATATACATTTCAGGTATATAGTGTTTACAGAAGAATAGATAAATTTTATCTCTAAATATGACAGATACTAAACTAATTAGTATTTGTTTGGATGTGTTTGATACTATGTACAACTAGAATCAAAGAATTGAAACTAAAATCGAATAACTTTTCCAGCCCGTGTGCAATGCGGCTTTAGAAAATCTACAACAGTTTTGGAACCGTGTTTCTAATGTGAAGATTAACACAGCACTGTTGTGCGAAGAAACCGAAAAGTTAAAAAAAGAGAACATTGAATTGAAAAATAAAATTCGAAAACTAGTTTTGCAAAATGTCTAATTGTCAACTGTCGAATAATTGGAGTAAATTCGAATAAACTTCTTTGTATTGAACACGTCAACTTTTTCTCGAATAAAAAGAAAAATTGTAATATATGTTAAGAACAATATTATGCTACAAATAAATATATTTATTTGTAGAAATCAAAAAACACATTTTTTTTATTCGAGCACAAAAATATAATATTTCTACGGCCATTAGGTAGCAGAAATTATCATAGTAATTTAAATATTTATATGTAGTGTAAGGTTTAAAGACCTTGCAAATAAGATCCCAACACAACATTATAATTTTTTATTATTTATAAATAAATAAGAATAATCATTACCTACTACTGATTAAATCATCGGCATATGAGAATAAAGAAAAATGTACGGACAAAAAGAAACTTATAAACACGATGATGTATTTGAAAAGTATGGGTTTTTTTAACAAAGAAATCAAATTAACTCATCAACGGTATAGGATATATTGGTAGCACAAAGACCAAAGTTTATAATTATCATTACTATCCTGTTAAATATGAAATAAGCTAACAATTTATATATATAAATAATTATTAAGTAACAATGACATGTTTAACTGTAGTGTAATTTGACTTATAATTCGAGGCATTTTATGCTGTAATTTCCCAATCACTAACTAACAATTTGATACAACAGAGATCATTTTTTATCATGTTTATTGCGATAATTATAATTTTATGTAGCTGTGCATAAATTTACGTGTTTATTTCTTTAGAAACGGAATTTTTCTTGAGTCTGACAAATTTTTAAAGCGAAGTGGTTCGTTTTTTCTATTGAATAAATTACACAAAGCTGATTTGTCGTTTAATAATATTGAAATTTAATAATGATTATTATTGTAATTATTTTTATAATTAACTATAAATTATTATTGTTATTGGAACTTATTATTATTATTGGTATTAGGTGCAATTTAATTTAATTTTTAAATATAGGGAAAATTAATTATAATACCATTTAATAATTATTAGTAAAATTAAATATGGTTTGTATATTTCTTATTATTACTTATAATACAAATGTATAATATACATTGAGATTCGATTTATAATGAAGCTATAACATATATTTTTTATGATTGAAAATTTTGTACTAGGGTTGAGTGAATATACTTGTACATATTTTACTTTTATTAATGGAACAATTATGATATGATTTTGGTTATAAGTATGTAGGTATTAAGATACTTCAGTGGTTTTGAATTTAAAAAAAAAAATGTGGTTAAAGAATTTTATAATTAGTTTGGCAGTTGTTCAAAGGTTGACCATATTATTATCATGTACAAGATTTTTCGGTTGAACCCACGACCCTGAGATAACAGTCTTGTGGTCGTACGACAAACCGGGGTTTAAGTTGTATATTTATATTTAGTAATAATTTATAAGTATAACTTAACTGCATAGTGCTGAGTGCATACTTAAGATATACGACGGTTTGTAGCGTAAGTATATCTGAATTTTGATCATAACAATTAATCTATAAATGAAAACTATCCGCATGCATTATATACAATATTTAATTTATCCGTCACAAAACAAATATGCCGAAACAAAATATTATGATAGTATTATATAAATAATAATAGAAGTTGTAGTGTTTTTGATGTGTGATATATAGTGTATACATGTATAATGATTCATTACATGTGAAATAATACAATATACCTACTTATCCGATAGATAACAACAATTTATGTCAACAAATATTTAAATATGTAAACAATTAAATAATGCATAAAAATAAGATTAGTACTAAAAATAAACATTGATAAATTATTATAATATTTTAATCATGGCAGATTTAAATCAATCGGATAGCCGGAAAGTTAGGTTAAACCTGACCGGAGAACTATTATTATTCTGAAGCAATAAAAAAAAAACAAATGTGTTGGTTCCTTTCGAAATATTAAATTTAAAAAGCTATGTCATAAATATTTATCACTGACCTATTTTACGGCCCTTAAAATCACTTAAAAAAAAAACTTAATCGTCCATTCAACGAAAAAATTCCGTGTTAACTTTAGGTCTTAAAATATTTGTTGAACTGTAACCACTGAGATATAAAAAGGATAATATTTTTGTTGAATAGTATGTGCTTGATTAAATAAATTACCAAACTAATCCTCCGTTTTATCGCATGTTATTTCTTTAATCTATTAAATAATAGAGTTTAGAACCACTTACTACGAGTAGGTACCTAACGTAACTTATTGTTATTCATTGAGATTTAACGATTTAGGACTAAACGAATTAACGATATAAGTTTTTTTTTTGGAGCCAAATATTTTTTTATTAATAAAGGCTATTAAAAAAAAAGAAAGTTTTTTAATTTTTAAGCTCGCATGTTTGAACTGTCGATGATAATACTTAAAAAAAACCATCGTCATTTGCATACTTTCGCAACGCCGTTCACAGATAATACACAACGGTTATGATAATACATCTTTAAGGTTACCCATAATATGTTAGAATACTTTTCTCCTTACCCCTTACTGCCGTATAACGTATCCTAGTGTAGACCTAGTCACTTTTCATTATTTTTTTCTTACCTAAAGGTACATTGAAATTTGAAACAGTAAAAAATGCAAGATATCAGTAATGGGCAAAACGAGTATACTTAATAATTATAGTTTATCAACTCAAGTGTATTTTATTTGATGTATTTGTACTTCACAACAAATTGGATATCATATCGGTAATATAAACAGCAATTTCTTTAAAAATACAATATAGAAACTATACCTAATAAATTCAAACGTTAACTTTTTTTTTTTGTAACTTTTTAATACAGCAGAAATAGTTAGTATTTATTTTGGTTCAGATATAAGACATAAGGTGGATAATACGCGTTGTGAATACTAATAGACTTAATTTGAAATTTTCAGTGTAAGTATGTAAGCATCGAGTGGCGAGTTGTATAAATTAAAAACTGCCGTTATTTGGTAGCGATTTTATACTATCCTAACGGGTTCTCAATGAAAGCAAGTTAATCATTATCATAACCGTTGAACAATTATTTATTGATCAATTTAAAAGTACTTTGAGTGCACGCGGCGACTTGTTTTTGAAAGTTTGAATGCAACCTAGTGTCGAGTAAGCCGTAAGGTGTTGGCGGATCCTTAAATACAATATCCTGTTGTATATAATACATGACCTCGATGAGACGCGTGTAATCAAAATTATCTATTGTTAATTCTAAAAAAAAAATGCACGCGAGCCGGTATATACAATTATACAGCAAATAATTATATACAATGCATAAAACGACTGCGTAATATATTTTTTTTCACTAAAAATACAATTAAAAAAACACTATAAAGTAGTGAAGTAAAAAAAAAACAACATCGAAGTTAAACTACAATATTCCTGCGCTTTGAAAAACTTAATAACTTAAATTAAAATAATAAATACACACATTTCTATCTAGGTACTGAAAACCGATATCGTATTGAAACACAATATTCCAAGATTATTATAGTTCATACACTATTGCTGTATTACCGTTAACTCGAAAGGCGATTTGAACACTTCTGGCTGGTTTAAAATTAACGAAAACAAGTCTAGACCACTCCAACAAGTATTTCTTGTCTATTGTGTGTACTGCCTTTGGGTTGATATCGGAAACGTGAATTGTATTACACCACTCAATGTAAAATATTAGAGGACTCGACGGATTTAGTTATAATATTATTATGTAGGTAAATAATAAAATGTATATTACCCAGGTATGGAAAAACGGTTTGCGGCACACAAGTAAATTTTGAAAAACACATCAAAGTAAAAAAAAGTGTTTGAAAAACCGATTTTTGAAAATAATATCTTTACGTTTTATTGTTTATACTTTATTCTACTATTATCGCTCTTGGTTTGTCGAATGACTTATTAATTTAAACTTAACAAGACACATGTGTTTTAACATGTAAATAATATATCATTATTACAATATTTATTTATCAAACCGAGTATTAAAAAAATACAATAATTATAATATTTGTACATATTTTAGATAAGAAAACTGACGTTTGAATTTTAATTGAATAGGCATGATAATAACAATAAAATTATAGCACTATCGCGTTTCTTAAAAAATAGAAGAAAAAAAATGTCTGCGTTACCTTATACTGTTAACGGAGAAGATTTGATCAGGCTATTGCGCAGTTGCCCGTGTACTCTGCAACTGGAACCGACAGTGACATTCGCATGGATATAATACAATGTTATAATTTGTGTGTACCGCTTGCAAAATATCAAAAGCCTTGTGTTAAGTCTACAGTGTTTGCGCTTTATAATTATCGGCTAATGTGTGTCTTAATAACTACGTTTTTCTGATCGGTCACGACACTTCCCTGAGAAAACAATTAATATTTAAAAAACTTTTAATCGCATTACAAGTGTACAATTTTTCAATGTCGCGATAACATCACGTGGACTCATATAGGCGTGAGATCTCCTGTCTACACATAACGGTATAAAAAAACTCTTTGAGATCTCTCCACAGCGTAGTTCTTCGATTCTTGAGCGACCGAGTACTATTTGAAACATGCACGGTACAGCAGCAACAGCAGCAAAGAGACAAACCCATTTAGTTTAACGACCTTCACCTGAACCTGCCATATGAGTCAATAATATATTTCCCCCCACATACGCGCACAAACAGCACCAGTTATAAAGCCAGTAACGTGTGTTGCGTTCCTCGGTGTTCCTTGGTAGGTTTAGAGCTTTCAACTACTCGATTTTTTGCCGTAACACTTAACAGCAATCGGCATACATAATTTCAATAAAAAAAAAATAACAAATATAAATTATCTTGGGGGCTAGATATTATGATAACAGCATTTGAAAAAAGTTAAATCATAGTTTAATTATCACCATACTGGTGGAAGTGTACCCTCCAAGTCCGCCTTTTTCTTCTAGTCACATCCCTGGCACCCTCTTAGATGATGTACTCTAATCGGTGCATGACTAGTGATCAAATTAAACTCATATTTCTCACGGTCATTAAATACCACAACATATCGATGTTATGACTAAAGATTATAATAGCACACATATTTTTCTCAAGCTATTAAGATAAAAAACTTATTAATAAATACTGTTTGATTATCAATTATAGTTGTGCCTGCTTAGGTAAGGTGTTTTTACCTACTAGCTAATTAAAACTATTCCTATTATATTCACAACGAAATATTTTTATCAAAACTTAATTTATTAAAACATAATTTTATTAAAAATACAAAAACGTTGCTGAATGACTTCATTGTAGTTAACGAAACAAATAATCTTTTCTAATTTTAATTTTATTAATTATAAATCACAATAAACCATTGTTCATTAGTTAACTACTAAACTACTTGTTTATTACAGTTTAACAACAACAAGTAAGTCAATAAACAAACATCATCACCATAACCTACATTGTGCTATCGCAATATCAGAAGCAGTAATACATACTGAATAGTAAAAATATTTGTAATACCTATAATATTTGTAAATATTTTGAAAAAATTGTTTTTTTACTTGCTAATAAATTATAGGCCGGCAATCTGTAAGCTATTCAATTAAAATGTAATAAAAATGATCCTTTCGAATAACTTTTGTAATGCCTTTATTTTATAAGTAACACTATACAGCATAATGTGTCCTCATTTTGCATCAGATACCAAAATACACCAATTGTTTTAATTTTTTTCGCTGAATCCGAATTTGGCCTTGAATATTTGTAGCATTTCAATTTATTTTTTAAATAGCTTCTAACGTTTTTTGGTGTTTCTAGAGTGTTATGAATGATTGACCAATTTTTTAAAATGCCTGCCAATTGGGTCTCTAATTATTTTTTTAACCGCAGACAAGACAGTCCAATTACGCTCATATTTACGTGACACTTGAAGCTTATTTTTTATCTTTACTGTAATCAAAATGTCTCGGAGTTAATGTAGGATCTTTATTTTTTTTTTAAACACACAATATTGTAATTTTTTTAAAAGTATGTATTATTATATAAAAGAAAGATCTATTTTATATATTTTTTTTTTTAATTTTTAAGCGACAGTACACAAATTACTATAGTTGGTTAGCCGATCTTATTAAAATATGAAAGTTAAATATTTTGTGTTTAATAATTGTTATCGCAATTTGTTTTCATAAACTCGTTAATCTATTTTAGTAAATCTAATTTAGTACAAACAACATAAATATACACCTATGACCTAACCTATTAATTATGTAGAGTAAAATGTATATAATATCAACAACAACTCAGTAAAATGATAGTTGTAATAATTTGCAGCTTTCTTTTAATTGGTCGTTAATGTTATGCTTTCTTAGTTTTCAATCATTTCAATGTAATAATAATTTTGAGTTATAAATAGTTTAAATAAGACAGCAAATATCGCTTAAGCCTTATTATGACGTACTAACTAGAATGTGCCAATATCGTTCCCATTATTACATTAATTCATCGTGGTATTTTGTTTATGTTATTTTATTTAAAAATAATATGTGTTTTTATGTAATATTTTGAGCGATAATAAATCACTTTTAGCGCTTCCTCTATTAAAACTCTTCTGGAAAAGGCGGAATTGGCATCTTATCGTTAACTCTTGGTTGACTAACAGTATAATGTCGCAACGCAGCTATGATATGAACCATTATCAGTTCGGAATCTACATAATTATTATTGTCTTAGATTAGTGCAAAATATTTGCCTGTTTTATTTGATGTCCTAATCGACATTGACAGCTGTGCGTTGTGTGTACCGTATAATCAAACTACTTATCTTTACGTTGCATTTTGCGGACAATAGTTTTATACATTTAAGTACATAAAATAATCAGTAGTGGCGTGGTGAATTTTGTATCGTGTAACGTTCATCAATAATAATATTCACACATATTGATTCAATTATGGTTGAATTATTGGTGCTAAAATACATAGGTGTATTATTTTTTACTTAAAACAGATATTATTGATACGTTAGGACGATGCAGTATATTTTGTTTTTTCATCATCGACGAATTAATTAATGCAAATTGCAGTTGTTATTTTTAGCTATATTTGCAAGTTTAGCAGATTAAATTTAATTCCAATGTATTAACGCCGACCGACCTTTACAGAATGTACATAGGTTATGGTCAATATTAATACAAATATAAGCCGTAGTGTTATAATGTTTAGAATAACAAGCTGTAGTTTTTTGTAACTGCTAAATCAACATATTTTATACTACTATTCTTACTATATTATATATAAAATATTATGGCGTAATAACCACGAATCTAAACAAAACTACATAGCAAAGTACACCATACTTATTAGAGTACGTATAGATACTAAATTAAAACTGTATAATATATAAATGTTTTTCGTTAAGAATATAGTGCAAAACCGATTGGCACAATAATCATTATAATTACAAAATATATTCAGGTTTTACTAGTGAGTCATAAGTGAAGATGTAACCACAATTACATACATCATTATAATAATTAGACAATCTTACATATTATAATAAAAAAAAAAAATTGTTTTAAAATAGTGTGCTACGCAATCAACTAAATTTATCACAATTTTTTTTATTGACTATGGAAGCTTTGTAAATGGTATATGTAGGGTAAAATTGAATGAGGTGGTAATTTGATGTGAGAAACAGTTCCATTCGCCAAAAAGATATTGAAAAAAATAACAAAAAGGGAGGGTAAAATATAGGCAATATTTCAACAGCCGCAGTAAAAAGTTAAAATAGCGATAATTGAAGCATCCAATCTTATTTTGGAATCCAATATTAAGCGTTGCATTAAATACTCAGTTTAGAAAGATATGATATTCTTTTTTAGGAACAATTTTGAGAATATAATACCGATATAGTCAAATATGAGCAGAGTTACCTATGGCATCAAAGAATTTAAGTAGTCTTTTAGGCGTTATATCTAAATTTATAGAGGTAGAATTGTTTGTATTACCTCGCTAATTTCATGATCCCATTCGCTGGAGGAGTTTTTTTCGGTTTCGTCTTGTGTTTTAAGAGAGGCATGTCTATTTTTTGTTCTTGGAGATAGAGCCATGTTAACAGAGCGCTTTTGAGCTGAATTTTGGGCAATGGCGGTTTATTCGTGGGCTTCATGTGCAGTTAAACTTTATTTTGAGCGCAGCACTATTGTTATCAAGTGACAATAGACAACCGGTTGCAATGAACGATGTCAACATATTATAATATTACAATAATACAATAATATTACAGCTATCAAAGTATAAAGAAAACATTTAAATATATTTTAATATATAACAAACTTATTCACTGTTAAAATAATAAATAAATTGAATGCAAAAAAGAGCGTTGGTGCATTTAAATGAATTATGTTGTCCAAAAGCATTGCACGCCCATTCTCAACGTTGATATCAATATAACTTACTTATATGGTTAACCAATAATATGTTTTTGAAAAACATTTCGATAACGTTTTTTAATTACAAAACAATTATCTAAAAAATGTTTTGACACACAGTTTTATCACAATGTAATAAATTGACAAATTGCTTTATTCTGATACAGTAATAATTGTTGAAGTACTAATCTTTAGTAGCATTACTATGTAGGTTATAATTACTGTTATTACTATAATATTGTTGTTTTATTATTATTAATAACTGAAAACAAATTGAATCATAAAAAATAGTGGGTAATAATTATTATTCATTATAAATAATTGTAACCTGCATAATTTATGGTTTGTAGTGTATCAAATATATAAATATAACAGCATTTTTTTAAAATTTTACATTATTTTCTTTTAAATTTTATATGTAATTCTTCAGTTTTTAATCGCCTATTTCGGAACTAATATTTGCTATTATATTACCTTTGAAAATTTAAAAGTACATATGTCCTAAAAATATTGATTGTTATTTAATCGAAATCTCATTCCGACACGTTAGGTGATTAGTTTCTCAAAGATTTAAACAAAGAAAGTACGCATTTTAACGATTAAAATATATAAATGGTTCATAAGTTATAAACTTATAATTCATTCTGACGGATGGAAATAAAATAACTTAATTTAAAAAAAAAATAATACACAGGAAATATATAATATGAAACAAATACCTAATTTCACACCTATTATACACTCTAGTCGTGCGAATAAATTATCATAGTATCTGCACGGGTAACTTAAAGGCATAAGTCATAACACAACTTTGATTTGGGAAAAACTATTAAGTATAGTAACATTAGAAACAATTAAAATATAAATACATAATGCATTTGTGTGCCGTATTGATTCAATTTAGTGGGTACGCTAAAACTGAAGTACAGACACAACTCGTATGAATACTATTACCAATTAATACAATTATTATATTACGCGAACGCAATCTCAGATACATTAGGAATAAAAACCACCTGTATTGGTGAGTGAAAAAACCCATAAATTACTTTGCCCTACTCGCTTCCTCTTCGATTTGGAAAGCCATGTTGTCCAAACCGAAACTAGCGAACTGAGCAGAACCCCTGTGACTTTGTGTCCGTCTGTCTAGTATTGTCTTCAAGTCGAAATCGTGAGACGCCAACCTGAAGTCCAAACTGTTTTTCTTTTGTAACACTCCGGTTTTCTTTTCTTCTTCCTTGGCTGCCGCTTCGTTCGCCTTTCGTTCTTTTACGTGTTCGCTGTACATCCATCTGAAATATGGAAACCAACGAATAATTATTCAAAATCACATCCTCTGATTTCGATGCATGTAAAACGCCCGTCAACGATGACCGTCAATCTAGATTACTTTCCCAATAGGTACATTTAGTTGTGAACCGTTCTTGAAATTTAATTGTTGGTTTTCTACAATTTCGTGAACAAACCAACTTTTTAGACGATCACATGCAGCACTACCATCTCTAAAGGAGTCATACTATACGCTTCAAAATCACATACTATCTAATATCTTCGGAAAAATCTACTTATTTTCATTGCGATTTGGATTAAGGGGATTGTAAGCGGTCGGTCTGTTTTTAAGGAGTTTTGTAAAAGCCATTTTGGTTAATTTTAGACCAAAAAGCCAGACAAAATTTAGACTACCTGGTTCAACTTAAAATCTGCAAAAATTGTCGAGTTCTTTGGCTACTTTACTATGCTATGTAGAAATCTAATTTTCATTTAAAAATTTCAATTTCTTGTAGTTAAATTAATTAATTTTGCAATTTTTTCAATATTAAAAGCCAATTTTTTTACATAAAAAAAACCAAAAAAATTAAAAATCTGTTTCCCATATAGCCCAATAAAGTTGCTCAACATCACGTATGTCTCAACAGAGTTGAAATCGAACCGTCGTAAGTAGTCGAATTTTGTCTGGACCAAAACGGTCTAAAACGGCAAAAAAATAGACCGCATGTAATCGCCTTAATCGGACGAACTTGATATTATTATAAAAACAGACTGTAATCGAATATTGTACGTTATCCGAACCTAAAGAAGAAAAAGTTAAAAGGACTTTTGGCAAGAGCTTCACACCTAAAAGGGGGTTATGGACGACATCCGTAATTGACTTACAAGAAAATAAGCGCCGCTGGAGCAGTTAAGGCACCTCCCAGCAGGAAGAATGCGCCGGGCACCGTCTTCAGTGTAGCCTTGTAAACAGCACTGTACATCGGACCGTATATCAACGGCACCATTGCTTCGCAAACTCCGTACAGAGAGTTTACTTTGCCTGTGAAGAGTTGTTTGATATGAGTATTCATATATTTTATCACTGACAATCATGCCGACGATATTACATACCTAGTTCGTCTGGCGGCACGAGTTTAGAAATGATTGAACGCATTGCGATGAACGATGTGCCGTTAACGATATCCACTAACGGACCTGTATTGGTAAATTCGCAGTTTTTTTTTTAAAAATAATTTACTTGGGAAAACGTACTAGATACACACACATGACGTGCAATAGCGGTCGACTACTAACCCAAGTAAAATACGAAATCCGTAGTGGCGAACGCGTAGACGAATCCAGCCAAGATTTTGCTCATGCACGACATGAATCCGATCAAGGCATCGTCGATTTGTAGCATGTGACTGAACACACCGACAGAAAACATTGTGCCTAAAAACAAATCAACAAGTCAGTGCAGGAAAGTTACTTGTCTTAATTTTTTTTTTTTTTTTTCATTTTGTCAAACTACAAAACCGCTACTACTGACCTATCAGGTTGGTGATCATCGAGTACGTGGAAAACAAACTGTAGTCCACTTCATCCCAGTTGAATCGTACGCGAGTGAAAAGATACATGACTGACATTTCACCTGCAACGTTTACCGGCAAATACAAATTATTGCGACGCACTTATTTGGCTTGCGAGGAAGTGCTATTGTCATTTGCGTTTGGATTTTAACGTACGGGTCAAAACATATTAAATTTACCCGTTATTGCTATCCTACAGTTTAACGACAATATTATGGAGAAAAATTTTAGGCGTTGACATATATTTCAAAAAGCAACCCGAGGTGAACGCCTGCTGGATTTTCAAGGATGCACATGTGCAAGTTATAACAACGATGATAAAAATGTAATTAGCATAGACACACTATTGTTTTCAAACAAAAGAGTCGATGAAAATTGAAATGTATTCTTCTTTTGATATTAAATTTGACAATTAATAATATTAAATAAAATATTGATAATTCGCCGAACGTTGTTATTTTTTATTTTGAAAACGTTTCGTAATAGAGAAAAAGCTTAGCTTTGATTTCAATATTTATAAATACCGGAAACTGTTGAGTTATTATAATTAGTATTGTATAATGCTATACTATTCAAGGCCGTCGTTATTGTAATAATTAGGAACATACTATGGTTATTTGGATACTTTTTTTTTATTCTTTTCACGTGAATAAATACATTTCCGTTTAACTCGAAACTATAAAATATATTGATAACAACTACTGCAAATAGTTCTCTATTCACGACCGATAGTAGGTATACGAGTATAGTAACTTTATAGCTTATGTAGTAGCAACAAATTTTACATTCTGTTTAATTTTCCTTAAATATTTCTTCTACGACATTAACCGTTTTGGTAAGTTTTCGTTTTGTAATGCTTTAATGTAGGTAATAGTTATACTCAACTAAATTTATTAAATTGAAATTGTAACTATTTGTTATAAATTTAAAATTCAATCGATACCTATAACTTAAGGGCTAAGACCTAAGCTGTTTATTCGGTCGCTTTTAGTCTTTTCAACCCTAGTCGAGCATTATATTCAGCACATTTCGGAATAAAAATCATTAGAGTCGTTACTTTTATGTATGTATTAAATTATTAGTCGCTTTTTGTAATATAAGGTTAACGAGACAAGTATGTTTTGTACGCATTTCTAAAATAAATCACGTCTAGTATACAAACCGTGCAACGGTCCCATGACTACCATGACGACGACCATTAGCGAAATAATCCGCAATCGCCTGTTGTGTTTGCCTTCTTTGAACGCCACGTGAACGGCCTCCTTGATGTGGCTCAGACTGAAAAAGTCTTTTACCAAGTACACGCAGGACGTGTCCAAAGGCGGTTGTTTGGTTTCGGTTTTCACGTCCGGATGTTCTTCTTTGATAAACACCATACCATAAACAAAGCTGAACACGTACAGCACTGTGGCTATGGCATACACCCCGTAGAATCCGATTTCCCTATACAGAATGCCGGACAGAGCCGTACCTATGGGCACTCCCACGGAACAGAAGACGTTCACCACTCCTATCCTGAGCGTGCGCATTTTCACCTGGAATCGGCATGTAACAATACTGATGATTACTACAGTAATTATATGGGCCGTTCATTGTAAAAGTGGTGTAACTCCAAATTTTTCAAAAATATACATACATACTTTTACTTAATGGAGTCACATTTAGTCTTATTTTTCATTATAAAAGAGCTGTAGCAATTCCAATAAATGAAAAATTAGAAAACACTGATTGAATACTTGTATTATTTTGCCCCTACATTCAACTACAAGGAGATAATTCGCTTTTACAATGAACGACACATAATATGATGATATTATGGTGCGATAACAACAGCTGTTGTCGATTACTCGGACCATCCGACCCAGCCCGTACTACTCACCGTGGTCACGTCGCCAACGTAGCTGAACACGGCCATGAACATGGTCATCCAACCGCCGGTCATTGCGGGCGGGATGGACTCGACCAGACCGGCGATTTCCATGGGCAGCTCGTAAAAATAATAAGTACAAGCCAACAGGCCGATGGAAGTGACGAACTCGCCGACGATGGGCATCAGCATGCAGGGCTTGCGCTTGTGATTGCGGTCGCTCCACGTGCCTATGAATATGATCAAAACCGACGGTATACTGCTCTGCACGAACGTCTTCCAGATTATCATGTCGGCCACCAGCTCTTGGATCATCACTTCTTCTTTGGCGTAGCTCGCCGTGTCCCGGTTTTCCAGCGCGTAGCATATGGTGTCGTTCAGTCTTAGATTAACTCTGCACGCTTTCTGCAAGTTCAAATTTTGCGTGGCCAACGACGCCAGCACGCTGGACACTATGTAGCAGCCTATCATCGGCTCTACCGTGCAGTGTTTGAACATGAACTGAGCCTTGGACATCAGGCTCATGGCTTTCCATGTCTCGTGGTTGTCGTCCGACACGGTTGCTTTCTCGCATTTCACCGCGCCGTTGTCGTACGACATTTTCTCGCAGGTCTGTCCGAGATCGACGGCCCACTCAAATCAATCGCAGTTCATTTTTGTAACTTTAGCATCGACATTGCCGTGGTCCGCGATTTCTGAAAGCATAATAAAGATTAAACGCATGCACCGTTTGTCTAGCTTAACCCTTACCCCGTTTAAGGGGACCTATTGAATGGCTTTTTGACGTGTTCGTAAATTATGACTAATGAAATACAATTTAAAAATGTAAGTAATACGATTACGCCTAAATTATTGTTCGTCTAGACTCCAGACCATTAGTGTTAAAATAGATTATTATTATTAAAACGATCTAGCCTTCGTCGACACACAAAAGATGTATAGAATCGACTGACATACAACTTGAACGTCGAACCTTTTGACCGCAAAAATTGTATTTATTTTCAATTTTTCACTATCCGAAGAAAGAATCAGAATATTAAGCGTGTACTTAATATTACTCAAACTCAATTAAACCCGAACAGATAATATTATAATGTTAACGGTTCAATATTAACTGTAATTTTATAAACGTGAATATTTAGTTTGTATTATATTTAAGTAGGATGTGGTAAGTAACCAAATTCATAACAATCGGTTACTTTGTTTGCAGTGCATTAGCCGACGACTGATTCGTGCCAAGACCACGAATAAATTTTAAAATATATTTTATAAGTATTAATATTTATGTACTGAGGAAGAATCATGAATACGACATTGAAGTGAAACTCCACTTATCTATATTATGCAGAATCAACATTGTCAATGAAAATAATAAACATGTTAAAAAAATATATACTCATAACGATTCAATAGACTTGCAGCAACATAAAATTATAATCAATTAATAAGGTACAGGTTAGTGGTCCACAGCACTAGCTCATGTACAGTGACCTTATGACACACTTCTTCATATAACGTACAGGTGACAAATCATTTCTTGCCTATAATAATAAGTAATAAAAATAATAACAGAATTATTATAGTAGGTATTTCTCACGTTCTCTTTTGAATCTTCCTTATGCTTTTCCATAAGTAATCGTATAGGTATGTTTTCTATATCACACTGTTAAGGTATTTTTAAAGGCGTATAAACGTTTAACCTACAACCAGTTACGGCCCACTGTGGCAAATAACAAATATAAAAAAAAAAAATGCAGAGGCTTATTATAACAGCCGGCTTGCAATATTTTCTGTTAACCGGGACGAGTACCTACCATTTCTTATTTATCATGTAGTATTAGTGCACGAGAGTACAGAAGTGTTAGTAGTTCATTTACAGCAACGGAATTGCAGACAATGAATTGGTCTAAAATAGAGAACAAAAGATTTGAAGTTTAGTAATGAGGTAATGTGTTACGGTTGAAGAGCAAATGACACAAAAAGTAGAGAAATTAAAGTATTTGGGACCGGGCTTGCAAAAAAAAATTAAAAATCCACGCAAAGTAAAAGGTTAGGTATTTTTTTTTTCAATCAACTTAAACCACAGCTAAATATTATCGGGTTACCCGTGTCACGGGTTGAAACGTTCACACTGAACATTTAAAAGAGATTAGAATTACTTAAAATCGTATACATGTGTTATTACACTCTATATAAGGTAAATACAATTTGTTTTTTATTAGTCATTGTTACAATATAGAGTAGCGCGAAAAATAACTCACTGCAATGCGTTAGAAAAACATTAAAAATATTTTTTGTGCTGTGACGTTTGTTAACAGCCATCGTCCGTCGATTAATACAGGTGTACACTGTCAGATAATATAGTTTATTATGCCATGCAAACTACGCGTTTGGCCAGTCCTTAAATTAATATTCGTGTTTTAAAATATATTTACCTAGGTTAATATTATCAACTTAGGTGTTCCAGTTTTTTCCAACATAGTACATCATTTCAAGTACTTTTGCATAATTTTTTTTTCAACGTATAAACCATTATCGACAAACCGAGTAGCTTAGCAGATCTGAAAATAGTGCGGCCAAGTTAATCGTCAAAATACATCATCAATATTTCAGAACACAGACATCAACGGATACGATATTATAATGGACTATGCTTAAATGGTCACTACATTGTTTATGATTACAAATGTATTAAAATTTACTAATTATTAAATTGCTTTAATGTGCATTTAATTTTTTATATTATATAAAATATCCGACGAGTTCCAATAGTATTATTTTATTCAACATTATATATTTTACATCCTAATGTTGTGTATTCAAGTGACGATCACTAGTTTTTTTAGTAAAGCGTTTGTAAAAATTTAACTCAAGGTCTAATAATATTATTTTATTTCACTCAATTTAATACACAAAAGGTACACTAAAATCACAAGCATGAATGAATTAGGATGGACTATGAAATAGAAATATGATTGAATACCATATATGTTTTATGTAAATATATATGAATGAATGAATCAAATGTTTGGTTGTATAATGGCTTTTAATAAACATATATATATATATATATATATATATATCAATAAGTACAGATTATTTCATAAATTATTCTACAGTTTAATCAAATTGATATTTGATAGTTTAAAAATCGATTAATATTTTTTAAATATTCAAGACATTTTTATTTTAAAATAGTAGATGGCATTTTCTTCTCGAATACAAACAAAAATCGACTTCATAGTTCATAGTGTTACGAAATTCAAAAATATTTAACTATAGCTGAATATTGTGTTCAAGAATACACCTTTAACTTGTAAAAATAAATTTTCTGACTAAAAGTTATGCTGATTTCAACGTGTTTTATTTATTGACAAAACAGTCTTAATCGGGTTCGCCTAACACACCTAGGAAAATCTGAGACTGGTACAGAGTTTTTACATCTAAAAAGCATTAATTTTCTTATCTACTATTTAATTTGAGTTTTTCGAGCGCCAAGTAAATAAAATGAGATATATTTTCTCGGTAAAAACAAACTGGGAGTTGTCGTTATTATATTATTGAAAATAAGCGAAAACCCTTAATTTAAATGTTAATAAAATTGTGATGTTTATTGAATACCAATAGCGTTTTTGGTGTGTTTGCGGCTGTGTACAATTGTATAGAAGTGGCGGCCTGTGATAATAGCTTGTGATTGTAGTACTAATTCTAAATTCACTAATCACCATTATTTCGTAATTATGAATTATTTATAGTGTTCGACTTTCGCTTCTTCGGTTTGTGTCGCCCATGAGAGCCGACCTCGTACCATCATTGATAATAGCATAATATGTAATATAATATAGTGTCCGTGTGTGGATACTATATAGGTATCCACTAGGTACGGTACGTGCACATTATACTGATTTGTTTTTGCCGTTAATTAATCATTTCACATGTGCGATTATCAATAACACACAGCTGTAATCAATACTAATTAGTAGTTACTATACCTAATATAAAACTATTGTCGTTTGACGGTTCCGAAAGCGACAGAAAAATTATCAATAATTCCTCCCTGTGCCCGGACCTAGGTCACTTAAAGTGGACTTAACTTTAAGTCATAGGCCATTTTATTCCCTTTAGTTGCCAGGGTAGAAATACGCTTTACTTTTCGTTTTGTTTGTTATGCCCTATTTTCCGTCAGCAAATTTCTTATTTCTTCAATACATAATAAAATTGTAGGATTATATGATATTTTAAAATGTATTAAACAAATACATCTTCTCCCCTCTGCCCTTTATCGAAAACCTGAAACATCGCCCTTGCTTTGGATTGTTATAGAATATAATTCAGCACAATGAACAGCAGTGTGTCATCCGAGCAAAATAATATGTACTTCCTTTTGGGATCTGCTGAGCTTGGGTATCGCGGCGTGTGTCGTTCATTCGAATTAAGGCGCCTCGTGGTATGCACGTCAGCCTCAAGGATTTCTTTTAGGTATCAATGAATGTAAATAATATTAAAGCTACGCGTGAGCAGTATCTTTTGTTGTTATTATTATTATTATGATCAATCACGGTTGGTCGACCAACGGTCACCAACGACAAAACGCGCTTTACTCCAAGGTCGATCAGTGCACGTATAGTTAATGCCGAATTACGAATTTCGCACAAGCTCAAAATATATCTTCTATAGCGTTTAAGTACAAACACGAACAATTATTGCAGTACAATGTACCTACAGTTGCTAATATTAATAGCCTTAAACCATCAATATAATATTATTACTGTTCTAAGATCTTAAAAATCATAAAAATCTCAAAAAAATACCTCACCCAGCATTATTATATTATTATTTATTATGTGAACCCCGACACCGTTTTTTTTTTCAAGCGAAGAAGTTCGTTAACATTATAAGCGTTTCATCATCCTTGTCCCAAATACAATATAACAGTATTTTAAAATAATAGTTTTATCCACTGGTTGTTCACTGATAGAAATCAAACATTTACGAAATCATTCTACCTTATAGTATACATATATACCTATGAGTATGTACAAGTGTCGAAACAATACAGATGTACTTCTAAAAAAAAAATGTTAAGTAGTAAAAATTATGAAGAGTTAGATAGTGCTCGTAAATAAACCATCATAATAGATGTAAACTTTTCTTGTCAAATCCGAATCTAGTTCGATTTTGTGGAAAATGCTATTTATTTTGTGTAAAACGCTTTTTGAGTTATAAAAAAACTAGGTTTTATACTATTTTCAAAATGTTGTGTTTTGTAAAGAGGACTAAAATTCGGATTTAAAATTTTTTTGATCATTTAATTTAAGTTAAATAATAAATCTACCAATATATACGTCACAAAACGTAAATACCTACACTGTCATTTATCAAAACAATAATAATTTTATTTCTAACTTGTAAAAAAATTAAAATTTGGATAATCCATCAAATTTCAATTTGATAAATCCGGATATTCCCATTACTCGATAATATGTGTGTTACACAAAAATCTAAGGCCAGATTGTTCAGCGACAAATTCGGGTTGTAAAAATCTTGTAGCAACACAGTTTATAATTTTGTAGTGTTTTGACCAAAACAAATTTTTTTTTTATTCTGTCTGTGAATACAATTAGGTAACGTCGATTCATTATATTGAAATGAAAATCATAATACATCAATTGAGTAAACGAGAAATGTTAAAAACAATTAAAGATTGTCAACAATTTAAGTTGTTGTGAATTCTGGAAAATAATTCAAGAATTAACACAACTTCCTTAAAGTTCAAGTTTTCTTAAAAGTTATACCTTATGGAAATGTGTAATTAAATAATTATGATTTATTGTATTTGAACTTGAAAATATCTACACCTTCGAATTATATGACTTGCAAATCAAAATACAGAAGTCCTCTTCCGGTGCATAATGTATAGTTACTATCAAAATAATAATTAGACTTAGAGTTGGGCACACCTACCTCCGCCGGAACTTACTATTATACAAAAAAAAATCTCTTTGCTAAACAAGTGAAACCTCAAACAAATCTGTCCTGGTTAACAAATATAAGCAAATTTACTGACTGTTTGAAAAAAAAAATCAACTAACTGCTATTATCAGTAATACAATATTATAACAATGGTGTTTGTATCTTTGGGACGAATGAAAGGGGGAGGAGGTTATACATATAAATAATTACAACACTAGTTTGTTCAATTTAGACTATGTATGTAAGCATTAAGTATGTCCCAGATAATGAGTATTATAACGTTTATATTAGTATTAATGTTTTGTTTAAAACTATTATTTTTTTGAACTAATGAACTTATTAAAAATAAATGGTTTATTAAAATTTTTAAAGTTTTTAACGAGAGTGAAAAAATATATTATTACTGATTATATTTTGTTATTGAACACACGGACAATGAAGGGATTCTGGAAAATGTACACTATAATAATATGGTATACATATTCACAATACTGTTGTAGTTAAATGTTTAACCGAGCAGAGTCCATTCGTCGACAGATTATGGTCGTTAAAGATATCAGACTTGACAGCGAGTTGTCTTTTTTGCCAAATGCCTGACGACCTTGATGGCCCATGTCCCTTCTTCAATTAAATTAACAGCAATATCTGTAAACATAATATATGCTTATCCTACTGGCTATAATGGCGAAGTGTCCTAAACCTTTGTGCTTTGACTTTTGCTCATTAAAACAAATCCGATTTGATTCGAGGAAAAACGGCCGACCGATTTCCTAATATTAACGATTGTCTGTCCGTATTTACGTTTCACTGATAAAAAAAAATGTTTGTTTTTTTACTAATTTGTGAACTAGTTTTTTTACAATTAACCGGCAACGTTAGTCTATAGATCTTTTATATAGGTCTACAGACATTGCAAGACATACATTTTTTCCTATGTATAAGAAAGTCTCACTGTCGATCAATATGCTTGGCGCGTTGCAGAAACAATACCATTTTTACAATAATGATAATGATAATGATAATGATAATGATAAATAATAATAATATTAATAACAAAAATACTAGACCGTTAGACAGATCTAAAGTGGATGAAATAATTGAAAAACGCGTGGCTCCGGCAACGATAGTCACGGATGCTGTTTTCTGACCACTTAACGATGAAACGTGTTATATTATTATTATTGCCTCTAGGAGGTATTATATTAAGTGTACATTCAACCGATTATACAATATACATATGCCACATCCACATAACTGTATTACTAGTATTCCTTGCACGTGCAACAGTCATTATGACCGAATGCACCGTAAGTAGTATTGAATTAATAAATCAAGTTTTTTACTTAAATATTTTGACCCAAAACAACTTGTGTCAATGCACATGTTTATGGGTTTTTAATACTCAGCTTTTTCATTGATAAGATAATGTTTTTGAACCGTACGAGAAGAGTAACTTAAACTCAAAGGCCTTGACCATTTACACAAATAATAACGGGGTCAACGTCTGAAATCACTGACCCACTCGTGCATTTTTTTTTTTACTAATTTTAACTTTTTTTTAATTTGTTGCGTATTTTACTGCGCGATATCTAATTTAAGGGTCTTGTGTCACAACAGTAGGACACAAAAAATATAATAATAATGTTAATTTGCAACCAACAAAACCATATGAGACGTAAAATACAATAGTTGTATTAAAAACCTAATGTACAGATTATTTGTAGATAGAGTTTTCAAAAATATCCTTCGGCAGCACGAACGAATTTTGAAGGGTCTAAACGCTCCTTAATTCTGAAGAACTAGTGTTTTTTTTAAGTACCAATTCTGTATAAGAAAAGATAATTAAAAAAAATTTTTCAATAATACAGAACCTATCCTAATATAACTACAAACGCCAAAAATAATAGAACTCAAGTTTAGTTCAAATATCTAATGAAGTTTGACAATTTGTCAACATTAATTTTCAAAGCTAGTTTCATTTAGTATTTCTTTATGTTATCTTGCTCATTTATGCACCAAATTTATTATCAACCAACTCGGATTTTCCAATGTATTATTTCAATTGGTACATTTTTAATTGCAATGACGTAAGAACACGGTGATTGAGCTATAACCGAGAAATCAGTTAAGACAATTACCTAAGGCCTTTTTTGCGTTATCGCAAATAATCACATATTATTTTTATACAGAAAAATAAAACGCCTTCTAGATAAAAATTATTAATTTCACAAAGCGTTTCTTGTAAATTTTCAAACGTTTTGATATTGTTTCACGTTTATTTTATCGAACGTTGCCATTTCGATAAATGTATACCTAAATTCAATCATTCAGTTTCCAAGATAGGAAAACATTAGTAAAACATTATTATTATCTAAAAAGTGCCGATTATAAAACACTTTTGTTAGAAAAAGTCTATTAAAATATTTCTAAAAAAAAAAAATCGAGGCAACGTTAAATTTCTTTAGTCGTCCGCATACGAATATATTTAAATATGAAAGAAAAAATTCTACATAATACGTGCGGTTATTCATAAACAAAAAATAGGTAGGTACAACCTTTCATTAGAAAAATTTGAATAATAATTAGTATTTATTACACTAGGTATTTCATGTCGGTAACCTATTGAAAATGTCAGTCATTCGGCAAAAAATTTCAAGGATTTTTTAGGCGCAATTATCGTTCTTCCCAAAATAATTATTATTGTAACGCTTAAAATCTATGTAAACCTTTTATATTAATAGACCTGACTAATTTCGGTAAACTCGTCTTTTTTCGTGACAATATACAGTCAACGGAACGCTTTTTTTCACCGACAATTTAGCATAATATTAAAACAATGAGAAGTGAAAGTGTTTTGCGCGATTACATCCTTCTGCAAGCACCATTGATTATTAATTATTATTATTATTGTTTGATAAAATGACATACTCATACCGTTCTCGAAATAATTATTATATTTTTTTTTTCACAGCGACTTTTCGGCTAAAACGCTTAGCCATAAGGCCGACGATCGAGTTCTTTCCGAAGCGTTAACAATACTTTAGAAATAAAACCTACAATCTGGTCTTAAAAGGAGGTTAGGTTAGGTTAGGTTACGGATTAAACCGTGATATTAGTTTGAGGCATCTGTTGGATCTCCGACCTGCGTTATTGCCGACACGTTGATCTCGTACAACGGATTTGGTTTATTATGTTGTTGTATGATCGATATATACATATGTAATATCGTTATTCATAGCGGATCCTGTCCCAATTTGACACTCGCATCGTTTTGCGGTTACATAATCGGGTACGGTTATCTCGCTCGAATAACAGTTAATTATTAATTGTACCTCACAACATAAACGCGATCACTCGACTTAACTCGGTATATCACAGTATTACAAATAAACGCGTTTAATAAGGACTAAACATAAAATATATAGACAAATTCGGTGTCATGATTTTTTTCAGGTTGTCAAAAACATTGTGCTAAATCCGTCGACCAAATTCCAGAAGCCACTGACGGTAGATAAACAATAAGTTCTACACCGGCCGAAAAAAAAGCAGCGTCGCGTCCTTTTAAATACATTTGAACAACCTAATTTATGCGGGCAAGTCTCATCGAAAACCTGTTTATGGCGAACTTCAGTACAGCTAATTGTTAATAGACCACAATAAATTTAATCAATAAAAACTTACTTTGTATTCAGTTAAAGTGTCCGGATGGTAGAGAACATTTTGCAACCGTTAGCGACAAACCCGGTGGATTTTCGATAACTTTAACTGAGCAATAAAACTGATCAAAAACAAAATGGAAATTTTTTTTGAAAAAAAAAAACCAGTCGAATTCGAAGGAATTAATTAAGTATAATGGAAACACGCTGATCACGCTGGCTAGATTTGTGTAAATCTATTAAAATATTTTACAATGATACAAATATATATACATATATTTATGGAATAAGTTTATTTATAATAAAAAATATGTTAAAAAGTAATAAAATATTGCACAGCCGATCAACGTTCGACTTTATGGCTGTTGTGTTACTGCTATGAAAATGATGATTGTACCCACGACCTGCGGAAGGCTGTTAATTTGTTGCTATTATACCCAACAGTAGTCATGCCCTATGCGTATTATGCCCCACCTCGACCAGGCGCTTTTCCATTTAAACAGTTGTGTTTTCAAGCTCGCCACATTATTCGCTATCCAAACAAAAAGTTCACACTCCTTGAGTGTTCAGTTTTTTTTTTTGTTGTTGTTTCAATCCACCGAATGCCGACAACCTTCTGTGTGCAGTATCAAAATCGTTGCAATTTGTTCGCTGTAGAAATGCGCACATTACATACAATCATTCGAGATTGTCCGATAATAATTGAAAATTCAAGTTCTGTTTCCGATACAATAATGTCATCCAGAGTAGGATCCAGAACTTCTCCAGGGGCAGGGGAATTGCATTTATAACTATAGGCTATGCAAGCTGTAACCTTAGGGCTCCGAGCCTTTTGATGCGCATTAAATACAAATTCGGTCAACATGTCTAAAATAATAATTATTTTGGAGTACTTGAACTATGAGGTTATTAGTGTCATATTAATACAAGTAAAACCACAACAACTTACAAAACAATCTTGTTTTTTTACAATAATAAAATAACGTAATTATTTTACAATTATTGTACAGCAAGTATTATTAAAATATCACAAACCGAAATAGACAGAATGGACAAAAACCTATTTCAAACGGTTTGGTTAGGTTACCAACCAAATTTGAAATATCTATCTCAGTATTAATAAATATCGCGAGCCCTATTAAATAATCACACCATCGAAAAAAAAAATATTGCATAGTATAACCGTTAGTATTCAAACAAATAGCATTTTCAGTCAATTTTATAGAATTGACAAACACAAATGTTAGCACAGGGTTAGAACTACGCGGAACCCGTTAAAAGGTAATTTAAGGTAATTCGTTTATTTTTAAAAGTTAATATAGCACTAACTAGGTAATTAAAAACGGAACTGAAATCCGGATATCTAAAGTGTCCGGTTAGGTACTTACCTCCTACCTGACTAATAGGAACTAATAAATCCCATTAGTGATGAGAATATTTGGATATTCCAATCCGGATTGGAATTTATTTTTGTTTTCGATCCTGTTAAATTAATAAAACTACTGTTACAAACTATTATAAAAAGTTTTTAGAATTTTTTTAAAACAATCATATTATTATTTTAAAAAAATAATCAATTCAAGATAATCCACCAACCAATAGTTGAAAATTTTTTTTCCCCACTCTAATCTATCGCATTTCAAGTATTACAAAGTAGTTTTTCCAGTGACTATAATTCATATTGGCTTCTGTTTGTGCCTTTTCATGTTCTTTATTTCTTTGTTTAGCAGTTTCTCTATCAAGTAAATTTTCTTTGCTCATCTCCACTCTCCAGAACGATTCTGTTTCGGTTCCGTGTAACAGTTTAACATATATTATGTACCAACGATATTTATATTCCTATTTTCACTTTTAAATTTTCTTACAGCAATAATGGTTAATATTTTTTACAACAGTTTTGAGCAATTTAATTCCAATAAACTCAAATGTTGATGTTTGATACAGTAATGTTATTAGAGATAATTTACAGTAATTCGACAAAAGAATGTGCAGTAAAATCTACTAACTTTCTTCGGGGACGCCTTAAAAGCTGCGCCATTGCACGCAAGTTCTAGCGATTGAAAAGAAAGTGGGTTAGCTGAAACAAAGTCCAAAGACCTAATTTATGTTAAGCCGCTGGCGAAATTAATATGTTAAAAGCGTATTGAGGATGGGTCTAATTGTGATTGGACAATTTGTTTACCAGCTTCTAAATTTGCTCAACTGATGCCTAATGGTATATTATATGGGATTTTCGGTTTAAATTATTATGTTTTAATTTTATGTCATAAAATTATAAAACATTATTTTAATTGAAAAATGTTTTGTCCTACTTTTCCCCCAATTATCGCGTAAAATAGCGTTGTAATGAGCATCAATAAATTTTCTAAGTTGGCCCTGACTCACTTGAAAAGAAGCAATTTCGGATATAAAGGCGACCAACGAGATAATGATGATAATTTACTTAATATTTGCTATCTATATATTGAATGAAAAACAATAGACCGCATAAAATTAATTGAAAACTTAGTCCACGCTTTTGAAATATAATATAATTATTGTTTATTACCTACTACGAATCTAAGGGAAAATTGCACTTGTCCTTGCGGTTAGACCCTCGTTAAAAAATACTTACAAACTCCCGGATATAATCAAATTTTAATAATTATACAGTATGTTGTAGTTCCAACATGAAATATTTGTAAAGTAAAACAATACAAACGACCGCGCATAACAATAATTATAATAACTATAATAATTAAAAAAAAAACAATAAAATAATAACGATTCCGTGGCCCTTACATATTATGGCGACTACATGTTTTTTGTTGTGTACACAATGTACATTATGTGTACTGTGAATGGACATAATTGACATCATAATAGAAACTGAACAGAGCACGTTTAGAGTACCTACCTAAACAGTTTAGGCTTCAATAGAGACGTTAATTCGGTAAAAAGACATAATTTAAGCGATATCATTCTTCAGACCATTTGAAAAAAATGTATATACATTTCTGTAAGCATTTGATTCCGTATTGTTTTATAGGCAATTAATTGTATGCAATATTATGTGTTCTAAGGGTTTAATATTAAAAACCTGGCCAAAACATCACGAACGCATTTTGATCATGTATATGCGATAGTGTAAATGAATACTTCCGTTGAGGCCAATGTCATGATGTATGAAATAGCGTTTTGAAAATTTGCATTTTTTTTGCAATTACCTAATAACAAATGTGTATTTATTGTGTTTGTCCTTATTTTTCAAAATGAAATTATAAAACGTTAAACAGACAGTGGATAAGTATGAGTTTTTATAGCGCATATAGACTGTAGTAGCTGAGGATACCAAGGCCAAATATACTATAAAATGTACCGAATTTATTAATAAATTTAAGAGGCCGACTAGTTTCTAACTCATTCACTATCTTAAGGTTAGGCGATAGTGAATGATTTAGAAACTGTTATATAGTTAAGTATAAATATGTGTATAGATATTCTTTTAAAATAATTCAAAAAGACAATTTTTGCAGCACTTATAGTATAATATATAGCTTTTTTCAATTAAGCTGTATTCTTAAGATACATTACATTCACAAAAATATTAAAAATAGAATGGGTTAAAAGTACATAATAAATATTTTTTTTATCTTCTACAAATTATGAACGGTTCGTCGTTTTAATTTAGGAGACCTCTTTATACCTAATACTTGAAACGATTTTTGATGGGCATAATATGAATTCTTTAACCTAAAATAACAGGATCAGTAAAGTTTGATTTTAAACACTTTGTTTACGAGTACCTTTTTGGTTGTTGTTGTCTATAGGTTATGACTTGTAAGAATTATAAGGCTAACAAATTTTTAAAAACTTTAACCATTTTTTAAGAACTGGCCGTTCTCGCCAATTTATTTTAACACTTATATTAGTTTATCCTGTATATTTACTATTGTTAAACTATACTTAATTTTGGTAATTTTTAAGCTTAATTGATGAGAATGCTACATACTTACTAGTAAATCAAATATTTTATTTTATTATTATTTATGATTTATTTTTAAGTTACCTATTTGTTAAAGTATTATTTATCTTTGAGCACATTTATGCTTTGAACATATTATTATTTATTATTTGTTTAAAAGATTTTGTATTACATAATAGATAATAAATAAATACTAAAAATTAACTAAAATTTTTTTTTAACTAGGTACTTTATTTAATTTGTAAAAAAAAAATGTATTTTATACTTTTACTGATTGTTTTCACAATAATAACACAAATTGTTTCTTTAAATAAATTGAGAGTCGATTGTTTTTTCAACACGCATAATTATATTATCAATAAAAGAAAGTCCTGGAAAATACCACACCAAAACAGATGAGCTATAGAAAACTTTATTAAAAATACCTAGACAGAATAATATAAAAGTGATAGAAGGATTCATTCCCTAAATGGTTATATTAATAAATAGGATGATTTTTTTATCATGGGCCACTCAAAATCTCACATGGTTTTATTAATAATTTAATTATTCTTGATCATAGTTTTTTTTATAAAATGTGATCTCAATTTTCCACAAACTAGTTTTTTTTTATAACGACTTTTGAAACTTAAATGGTAACGTGCATACATTTTTTTTAATTAAGAATATTTCACTAAAAATGTTGACCGGTTGATAACGAGTTTTTGGACAACATCTTTGGAGTTTAAAAGTTAGGATTGGAAGGGAAGTGCGGTTGAAAAATGCACGCAGATAAAAATAAAATTACACCCCACCTTTCCTCGTGCTCTAAACTTGAACGTTATCGACTTTATAAGAAAGTACGGCTTTCTCCGTTTTTCGAGGACTTGCAATTAACACGTCCAGTCCAAGCCCATTCAACACTTTTTTTTAGACAACTCGTGTAAACAATATAGCATAAGTACTCGGTACGTTATTCGATACGTAAGCAATTACATTTGAGTAATAATATTTGTGTCACTTGAAATGCTGCCAGCCTGACTCGTTGCGTTGAAACCTTAATAATAATAATAATAATAATAACAACAATAATAATATAATATGATACATCGTCGCTGTCCTACACAATGTCTAGAAAATTACCTACTCACTCTCTACAATAGTATGAAAACTTGTTACGCGACAAAGAATAACACAATCACACGGTGACGCGCTGTCGTTTGCAATATTATTTAATAGGTATATTTTAACGTGGGTATATAACTTGTAGTATTGTTTGACTTTAGTATTATCTCGGATAATATTGAAACAACGCAAACGCTGTGGGGCTAACTTAGGTCAAGTCAAGCCCGTCAGGACCGTGTCTTCATTAGTAGAGCACATTTTCCCCCCACAGCAAAAATGTGTTTTAAAAACATATTTTGTCAGGAAATCAAATAAGAACAGTAAAAAAAACATTTCCTAAATATTAAAATGTTTTAAATTGTTAAGGGGATTGCACGCGATCTGTTTTTTTTTTGACGACGTTTTAGGCCGAAAAATACTTACCAGAAAATGATGCTAAAGTATTGCCTACACACAACCCCTTAAAAACATGTCATTCTTATAAAATGCTCATAAAGATGGAAAAATCGTCGCAAAAAACGTGTATTCTCAATACACATAAATCTATATGACATAATCATTAGCTAACCTCAACTTAAAGACACTTTTCACCACAATGAAATTAAAAAAAAATTAATATTTATTTATACGTAAAATTATAAAAGCCGGTATACATAATATATATATATATATATATATAAAAAATAAATAATTAGACACTATATAAATACATTAAATCTAGTTGTTGGTAAAATATAAGTAGATAACATCAAATTTTAACGTAAAACTATTTTTTAAAAATCAAAACTAAAAAAAAAAATAATAATGACATTTTGCCTACCGAATTTAACATACGATAATATGATTAATGATTGCACCCATTATTGATTGACAAAGACGAAAATTGTAAAAAAATAATGGCAATATACAGTGCAATTTAATAGTCTAAAAATAAACAAAATTAACTAGTTACTTCAATAATAAATTATAAGTTATTGATCAAGGAAAGGTTAAAAGAAATGTATCACACTATAAATGTATATTAACTTTGCCTTAATACTGTTTACACATGGCCTTAAAAATAATTTAGTTTTTCACGCACAAATAATCATTTTTAATATTAGTCCAAGTTAAAAGCAAGAGCATGTTAAATAGATATTATCTGCTTTTCTGACAGAACTAAAAAATTATGAAAAAGCATTTATAATTAATAGTTTATACTAAAAGGTATATTAGTTATTATTAAATAAATTCATAATAGAGTCACAAAGAAAGATATAAGAAGTTAATTACAGTTTGCATAATTCAATCATATATTATGATAAACATAAACCTTTTTACATTCATAACTCCTAATTCGTTTATTACATATCTTTAAAAATACACAGAGACAAGCAATGGTAATTCTCGGATTACACAATTAATAATTATAATCATTTTATTGATTTGATTCAGTCATGCATGATTTACATTTAAAAAAATTAACTTACTTCACAACTATAAAAAAAAATAAACAAAATATTATAAGGAATAAATAAAAAAACAAAATAGAACTAAACTATAGGGCTATAATTAAGATATACCAACATAATATACAAATAATTGAGTAAAATAATCTTTTGTCTAAAAATTAATGTATACATTTACATAATTGATAATATAGAACTACTTTAAGACATATGCCACTTAGTACCTCTTATTAAGGGGTTAGGATATGTCATTTTTTAAATTATATTTCAATGTTTTTAGCTTCTTTAAAAATAGAGCGCATAACTGTGTGTTTTGGAGTTTTAAAATTCAAGTAACTGTTTGAATTTCAAGAAGTAATTTTTTTCAATTTTTTAAACCAAAAAATAGTTATGAAATTTAAGAAAACAACGTCAAGAATTTGATATATCATTTTTGTATTATACATATATTCAGAATGCAAACTTTTTTTTTTTTCACGAAAAATCTACATGTGTGGCATTGCTTTAAGAATAACTGAATAGCCCGATACTTATTTTTTTGAAAAGCAAAACTTAAAATATTATGTGCTCCTAGACAACTTGAATCTTTTACAATAAAGGAGGGTGAATAAAATAAAAATATCTTTCATTGGGGTGTATACATTTAGTAGATAAATATATTTCATAATATGTATTATATTTATTTTATTATGTTTTTTCCAAAATGTGTTCTATGTCACCATATAATAAACTAATATAATATTTTATTATGAGTATAATACAATTTTTTTACATGCCAATAAATTATAAATTGATTATAATCATTTAATAGTTTACATAATATAAATTAATCATTTGTTTAACAAAATATCATTGATGCTTATACATAATTTACTTTTTAGGTTTTTTCCTCGTCGTCTCTTGTAAGTTGGCCGCCGTTTTAGCTATCGATCTTCTGGAGTATTCGTTATCCAATAATATACTGTTGCTAAAAATAAACCAGATATATAAGTAACATTTTACAGACAATTTTATTTAGCACGATCATACCTCGTTTCGGTAGGTGTTGCAGTCCTAAAATCTTCGAGTTTACTGAGTATAATACGTGGTTCAATGGTCAAATGCCGTTTCCTCTCCTTAAGCTTGCTGATAGTGTAAAAGTTAGAAATTTTATATACGGCTTTCTGTTCATCAGTTAAATCGTTGTTTTCAACAATGTTTTGTTCTTGGACTAAAGGTTTTGGCTTATTCAATTGTACTTTATCCATGTATCTGTATTTATTACTGTATTTACGCCTGAGTTCTTCTTTTTCTTTATATCTTATTTTGGCTTCTAATGCGTCTTGAAGGATCGGTCTTAGATTTGAGTTATTGTTGACACTGTTGATATCGACACTAGTACTAGTGTTGCCAACAATACTTGTTCCATTGCTAATTGTGTCAACAATACTTGTTCCATTACTAATTGTGTCAACACTAATTGTATCGTTACTGGTTGTATCGTTATCGATTCCGTTAGTGTTGTCGTTTGTGTTATTACATGGAGTCTGGGGATTCTTTAAATTGGGCGCATCAGTGACGTCGGCACAATGTTCAGTATTATTATTATGTTGGGAAACTGGTATAGGCGAAATATGTGGTGCTTGAGCGTGTGATGTAGCCAATGGAATGTCGATAGGGTCCATAGGACAACACGGTTTTCTAGGATTAAACATGGACATCATCATTTTATACATTTCCATCATAAAATTTTGTTGATGACTGCAAGAGCAACCATTTTCACTTCGCTGAGGTTGGTGCAAATGCATTGGATTCATGTCCAAATCAAAAACATCACCCGATTTAACAGTTTTAAGGTTGGCTTCTGCTTCTGTCAGTATGTCAACTAGTTTTGTGCGAGATATATTTAAAGAACCCTGAAATGAAGAATTAATTTATAATTAATTTAAAAAATGACGGGTATCACAATATTTTTGTTTTAAAATTATATTTAAAATATATCTGTATAAATTATACATACATTTAATAATTAACAGATGCCCTACTGGACATTGAAATATTAGAATTTTGGTATTATTAGCTATAAATATGTGTTATAACATTTTAATCAGTGTTGGTCACGAAAATACTTAAATATCCAAAAAATATTGGATTATTGTGTATCAGGAAAAAATGTATGGGCCTTGCCTAATAATTATATGTAATTTTTTATTTTTTTTTTGCATATGGCTTTAATGTCTGGGAGTAGGCCCGAATGCCTATTTGAGAATGGGCTGGTCAACGTAGGAGGGATGGCCGCCTCTCTCCCTAGATAGTTGCATGCCCAGAGAGAGATGCCACCGTGACTGGGTTCGAACGGTGCACATTGGAACCACTGTCTAAGTCCATTTGGCCACTCCGTCCTACATTATTTGTAATTAATTATATTTTGTGAAAAAATACATACTGAATAGTGTGTATTTAATAATCTAAGTGCTCAATGAAGAAAATATTTACTTAGATTATCAGTGTTCGTTAGGTACACGATTTCTGGGAATAATATTTAATAATCGTATTAACAATTATGTTGTCAACATAACATATTAAGAAGAAAGATACTTACTGCTAAAAGTCTAATAGAAACGTTCACGGAGTTGGAATTTTTTCGAATCATTTCCTTCATTACGTGCGAGTCACATTGAAGCGATTGAATATCGTTTTGCATTTGTGACAAAATCATCATGACGTTTTCCATTTTTTATTTTACTGTTGTATTACTATTATAATGTTAAACGAACAGATACGACACAAAAGACACGAACCGAGCGTTAGCCGCGTATAAAATCAATTACAGAGCGTGAGCTATTGATCGAGGGCTAAGAACGGTGGTGGAAGGACAAACGACAAACCCAATATTATAACGGTAACAAGATTATTATTTAACATCAAAATAATCACAGTAAACGATTTAGGCGGACATCAAAATGCGCTGCGCGAATATAATAAATAATAATATGTAAATGAAAATGATGATAAAGAGTAAGTGTGATTGTATTGTAAAAGTGAGAACTGTAAATACAAAACAATACCTACAGTGTAACCATTAACGTCATATTATATTTTAGCAATCCAAATAATATATAATAAACGACAGTTGGCGGCACTGAATCTTTTAAGGTTATCTGTGCAATTAGATTGTTATCTCTTATCGTATCGTCGGTCCGCGGTCGTGCGGTGAAAACTTCAGATTCACAAAATATTATAAAATTAAAAATAATCTTTATTCTATTGATCTATGTCCTGTGTATAAAGGCTTTCTTTACAGGTCTATGGAATAGACTGTTCGCGAATTTAAGAAACGATTCAGGAATAATATTTTTCTCTAAAAAACTGTGCTTACATTCCAATTTAGGTTATATACAGTAATTAATAAAAAAATGTTTGCTAGACCTGGACCAGCAGTGAAGCCAAAACCTAGAACCACATTAGAAATGGTGAAACTCATTTACCAAGACGAAGACATTTGGTAAGTTACCAAACAACAAAAATATTGCAGTCTAATATAATTTTGTATTATTATTCATGTAAATCTAGGAATGTGGTAAAGAGCGTTGCATTTTTCATTACCGCTGTCAAGTTTACCAGAGGATTCCAGGGGGTTGACCTGGTACGATGATACGTTTTTCTCCTCCTTTACACATTGAGTAATAAGTTTGAATGAATTTAATGTAATATACTACTTTTCATGTGCATATAAATAAAATGATGTCACATAGTTTGACAATATATACAATGTACTATTCATTTATACCTGAACCTTACATTACAGAAAATATTACCATTCATGTAGTAATCATATTAACAAAAATACTTTTTATTTTAAGACATGTATACTTACACAATACTTGTTAATTAGAAATTATTCATCTTTTCGTTAAGAAAATGCAAGGGTGAACAAAGTAAGCTTTGTAGAATTTCAATGCATTTTTATCGTAACATTTTCTTATGACTATACCATTTGTTATAACTTATAATAAAGACAAAAGAGGACATTGTAACCAATTCGAACAAGTGTATCTATGTATATACACCTTGTCATTGTGGTAATAAGCTTTAGATTGATGAAATCACATTTTTACAATTAACATGGTTTAATCTAAAGTGTAATGTTAAGTACCAAAGTACCACTAGTTAAAATCAGATAGAAAAACTACTCGTTTTTCATTTATATTTTACTCTATTATAGTTCGCCGTAACCCTTCTTACCATACATAATTTACTTAACACTTTCAAGCAAAGTAATAGATCCTGAAAATTTTTCTTTTGACATTTGATAAAATCACATTATAATTTTAAACTATTAAAATTAGTTTATTAACAACAACTTTTTTAAAATACAATTATTTATAAACAAATAGTTTTGGCGGACCTAAATCCAATAATTATTAAAGTCTAAGTAATTTGACTAAATAATTTTTTTTATACATAAAAGGATTTTTTCATTTTAAATTAAACAATAAATAATTAATAATAAACAGTACAAATAAAAAGTCGTATCTCTTTATCTGCTGTAAAATTATTTGGACGCAGCAATTTGTTTCATGCGATTCAATGCACTTCCAGCTTTGAACCATTCAATTTGTTGTTCATTGAACGTATGGTTAAGCAATATTTCATCTTTTTTACCATCAGCATGATTTAAAACACATTTTAAAGGCTGCAAAACAAATCATTTTGTTATAATAAAATATCAAGCTATTAATTTTCTTATAGGATTTTATGCTAGTATAATAAATAATACTCTAACACAAATACCATATTTTGGCTTACATTTCATACATAATCATTTAATTTAATAATAATAATAGATTAATTTGATTTAAAATTAAATAAGTTACCTTTCCAGGTGCAAATTCTGTTAGTCCAATTAGAGACACTTTATCGGTTGGCTGAACTTTATCATAGTCCTTAGGGTCGGCAAATGTCAAAGCCAATACTCCTTGTTTCTTCAAGTTAGTCTCGTGGATGCGAGCAAATGATTTTACAATGATGGCACGTCCACCTAAATGACGAGGTTCCAAAGCAGCGTGCTCCCTGCTACTTCCTTCACCGTAGTTTTCATCGCCGAATACAACCCATTGTACGCCTTTAGCTTTATAAGCTCTAGCAGTGTCTGGTACTCCACCCCATTCACCGGTCACTTGGTTTTTAACCTTGTTCATTTCATTGTTATCAGCGTTAGTTGCACTAAGGGCAACAATAGATGATACATTATTAAAAATACATAACATCATTAAGTAGGGACTGATGGGTAACTTACGTTAAGAACATATTATTGGAAATGTTGTCCAAGTGACCACGATATTTTAACCAAGGACCCGCGGCAGAGATGTGATCAGTTGTACATTTTCCTTTCACCTAATAACAGATAAGGTATTTATTATTATTGATACTTGTACCTATTTATTAGATATCAACAATACATCATATTATGAGTTTGTTCCGTAAATATGAAGTCAATTACCTATCTATCATTTATGCGACTTAGCAATATTTTTTTTATATGATAGATACATAACTGTATTAATTATAATACACAAATGTGAAGATTGAGTCATATTACAGGCAGAGTCTGAACAGGTCTAACTTTTACGGGTGGGTCGTCCTTGGTAGAGAAATGTTTTTTAATTTATTTTAGTTACCTACCCGGTTTTTCAAACTAAGTTATGACTTTCCGATTAAAAAGATAAGATGAGACAATTGTGATAACTTGATAATTTGTAATGCAGTTATGTATATATCATAGTAAAAGATAAACACTTAGTCTGATAAATAATAGATAATTGATGTCATATTGTGATAAGATTCTGACAGGTCAAGAAAATTACATACTTTAATGAGAATAGTAAGTCCCTCCAAGTCTTTGCCTTCCCAAACCTTAAATGGTTCTAAAAGTTGAAGTCGTTTAGATGACGGACTGACGTCGACATTGATTGCACTGCCATCAGCTGGAGGTGCTTGATAAGTATCTTGACCAGGGTCAAATCCTTGAGCAGGTAATTCAGCTCCAAATGGATTGCTCAACTTAAATTCTTTGCCTATATAAATAAAATACAATAACTATACATTGGAATCGAGTGGTTTTAGAAATAATTATACTGACCATCGGCTCCTTTGATTGTCTGATTAGTAGGATCAAAGTCCAGACGGGCTTCAATGGCTAAAGCAGTGACCAATTCAGGAGAAGTGACAAAAGCATGAGTGGCTGCGTTGGCGTCATTACGGCCAGTAAAGTTTCGATTGTAAGAGCTGACAATAGTGTTCTTTTCACCTTTCTTGACGTCTTTACGATCCCATTGTCCAATACACGGACCACATGCATTAGCCAACACGGTACCACCAAAATCCCTAAGTACTTGAGCCTAATTTTATTAAAATTGGAATTAGTAATCAAACATAAACATTTAGTTAAAAGTGAAGTTGTACAATTCCGTCTCTCTCGATTGTAGCTCTAATTTGTTCGGATCCAGGTGTGACGTTAAATGGGATTTTGGATTTGCGACCATGTGCTAATGCTTCTTTAGCTATACTAGCACATCTAGACATATCTTCGTAACTCGAATTGGTACAGCTACCGATTAAACCTAAAATTACAGCGAAAAAAAAATTAGATCCTTTAACTGTAAACATGTAATAGTAATAAACTAATATCAATACAGACCGACTTTAATTTCAAGCGGCCAATCCTTTTCTTTAGCATTGTTGCCAAGTTTCGTAATGGGATGGGCGAGATCAGGAGTGAATGGACCATTTACATGAGGCTCTAATGTGTTCAAATCAATTTCAATGAGCTAAAATAAAAATACTTAACCTTAACAATACTGTTGTACAATGTAGACACAAAATAGATGTTTACTTCATCATAATTGCTACCCTGGTCAGGAGTTAATAATGATTTACTATATTTGGCAGCCTCCTCTGCAATATTTTCGCGAGAGGTAGCCTTTAAATAGCTGGCCATACGATGATTGAAAGGGAAAATCGAAGTAGTCGCACCTATTTCAGCTCCCATGTTGCAAATAGTACCCATTCCTTAACAAATCAAACTCAAATTACCATATGTTCAGAAATGTAGACATAAATTAATAATAATAATCATATATTCTATGATTTTGCATACCTGTACATGAAATGTTGTCTACACCGGGTCCGTGATACTCAATAATAGCTCCTGTGCCTCCTTTCACAGTCAATATGTCAGCTACTTTCAAGATGACATCTTTTGGCGTGGTCCAGCCTTTCATTTCACCACTGAGATGAACACCGATAACCTATATCAAAATCACCATAATTGATACTTACATTTATGATAAAATGGGGTATAATATACACCATTAAAAAATAAATAATTGTTATACTTTTGGGCATTTGAGTTCCCACGGAATGTCAGCCATAACGTCAACGGCATCAGCACCACCGACTCCAATACACAAACCGCCCAAACCACCACCATTGGGTGTATGTGAGTCCGTACCGATCATTAATAATCCTGGGAAAGCATAATTTTCGAGAATAATCTATTCAAAATAAACATAAATTGATTAAAATACATAATACTTATTATGACATCCATACAGTTAAAATTATGTTTTACCTGATGAATGATACCAGAACCGGGATGCCAAAATCCAACTCCGTACTTTGCACCGGCCGTTTTCAAAAAGTTATATACTTCTTCGTTCATCTCTTTAGCGCGTTTTAGATCTTCCACACCACCGACCTTTATTTACGACGTTTTCAATAGTACATGACGAAAAACCAATAGATAATTACTTACTTGAGCTTCAATCAAGTGATCGCAGTGGATTGTGGACGGAACAGCGACTGTTGGCAAACCAGACGATATGAATTGTAACATGGCCATTTGTGCGGTGGCATCTTGCATTGCTACACGATCAGGTCGCAACTTCAGGTAAGTTACACCACGCTCAATTTCCTGATTGACGGGATCATCCAAATGAGAATAAAGTACTTTTTCAGCCAAAGACAATGGTTTTCCCAACCTAAATGTTAACGTAACAGCTGTTATTAATAATTTTGTACTTTTTGCAAAAAACTAATGAACTATGAAATAAATTTTGTTTTAAACTATTTTTATAATTAGAAAAACAATATCTTTTTAGTTCATAGTAAATTATCTTGAGTTCTAAATATAAAAAAAACAGAAAATTGCTCTCTAAAATAATAATAATAGGTATATTAATAGAACTAATTTTTGATTAATAAAAAAATGTAATTAATGTACACACAGAATGAAATTTGTAAATTATTATAAATTTGAAAGTGTTCTGTTTCACTCGCCACACTATTTTTAACACACACTCCGTTTAACATAAAATTAATGAATAAATAATACTACTAGTTGTAGATAATATGTTTGATGTGGATCTGAGAAGCTGTTGATTTTGCCATGATATACTTTTTAATTTTTGTTAATTGTATCAAAATAAATAGCTTTTATTTTTGTATTTTTTTAACACTAAAAAAACTAAATTGCAGTTGTGTTACAATAATTTATAACATATATTGATGTTAGATTTTCATCCATCTAAATTATCTTACATAGATAACTGCAATTAGTACTTAGGTGATAAAACATTTTTTTTTTTTTATTATCTACTTCAATAATTTTTTAGATACAGCTTGACAATGCAAAAACGAGTGGTACTAATAAAACACACAAACGAGAACCATTTAATTAAGATAAAAGTACCTTATAAATTATAAAATGAATTGTCATATTATATTCAATTGCAAATTCTTACGGATATCTTAATATTAGAACCATGGCCTACAATTTAGATAGGTCATTGGAATGGAAATATAAATTTGGCACGCAACCAGGTATCTTACAAAAATAGCCCCAATAGTCTGGGTTGGCTCGATTGTATTAAACATTTTTTTTTGTGACTTATTTTTTAAAAAGGTTTTAAGAATTAACTAGATTTCATTACAATGTAACATATATTTAATATGTATAAAACAAAATTAATATTATATAACACACAATACGTGTGTTACACAATTCATTTAACTTTTAATATAATAATTTATTAATTTAATTAACTCTTTACCGATTAACATAAGTGTGTAATATGTGTAATATGTTATCTAATCAGTAAACTTTAGTACGCTATACTATAGCAATACTCTTGCCCGGAAATGTCTGCATAGCATTGCATAATACCTAATGGAAAAATTTAGGTAGTTAAAAAAAACACGTACAAAGTTCAATGTTAATACACATAATAAACAACGTTTCCTTGATCTACTATAACGGTTTACTATTTAAATGGCCTTATTAAACATTCCGACAAAACATGAGAACTATATAATTTACAACACATTGAATTTCATTTAGAAACTGTTCAATTTTGCAATAGTTTTATAATCAAGTATAATTCCTATTATTTTCATTTTTGAGCAAGCTATCTTGGTATTTCTCATTCAAATTCTACTTAACCATATCGTTAGTGCCCGGTCAGGTACGTTTATATTGTTATGATTCTTTACATAATTTACACGGCTCTATGCTCGTTAAACGCCGAGCTCAGACTAATACCCGTACTAATTCAATTTGGTTAAATTATAACAAAAAAAAAACACCTATGGTGAGTGCGTAACTTGTCCATAATTAGCAAATGCAATTAGTACTTAGTGTTTTCCGGAACGGACAATATACACAATTGGTTGTTGGCTCGTCGCATTTATCATACCTGTCAGAAACGATTTTAATTCGTTTCTCCAACGTCTCGTAAGGCAATGGCTTGGTGTCGAGCTTGCTCATAGCCACCTTGCAAGCGCTGAAAGCTGCCGGCGACGAGTGGAAGCATCGCTGCTGGATTTCGCCGGACACCAACTTCGTCCACTGCACCTGAGTAATCAATAATATTTGATTATTATTAACGCGTTGTTGAAAAACTACCGACTTGCTAACTGCTACTAAAAGCGGCGAGTTTTACGTGCAATTTACTTACCTGATTTTTAAACGTTCTGCAGTAGGCCATGACAACGGTTTGGGTGATAAAAAAAAACTATTAATAAAACAAATTAATAATTGCGCGCGATTCTCGATGAAAACGGGAAGTTAACGTGAACGCATTGAAATGAATAAAAATAAAAAAATAGGGATGACGGTTTGAACAATATTATAAACGGTTTAAAACAGACAGGCTGGGCGCGATCAACGTTGAACGGGCGTACGGATACTACGTAGCAACCCGGTTGTTGAGAAAGTTGAGTGGTAAAAAAAAAGTACAAACGTTGAGCTAGTCGCGGGCGGCCGATGCTAAATTATATTATTATGTCAGAACTCGGCCGCCGCCGCAGTCGGCCGTGTTAAGCGGACAGGGCGGCCAACATTCCGGCGGTAGTTTTGGCCAATGTAACACCGTTGCGAATATTACCGCCTTTCTAAGCAAAACAAACACTTAACAGAAATTTAAAAATAATTTATTATCCGGCATTCACTTAATGTCAAACCGTTATCTCGATTATGATTTATTACTTTGGCGACTACCTCTGTGTGTAATAACTAACGGTATAATATTATTATACCGAATCAATAAGTATATTTTACACATCCGTTAAATGGTTAATCATTACGGTGCACCGTTGCATTGTGCAGACAACATACAACACTAATTTCGCCGCGTTGAAAATTGCACTAACTATAGTGGAATTACGAATTAAAAACTACTATAGTTAAACTGTAAACAAGTTTTACGGAAAATCTTAACTGAAAAAAAAATAATATGTTAAATAATATGTTTCTTCCTCAAAACATTACTCGATCTTGTTTCTAAAGTTGTTTGCCGTTTTGGAGATAGTAAGTTTTATAAGTCATTTAGCAACGGGTGACCGATACATATAACTAATATGTCCATTAAAGTGTAATAAAAATAATTACTGGCCGATAACCAGTTTTATTATAAATAAACACTTCATGAGTTATTGGTATTCTAATGTATGAGCAGGAACAGTTGCGAGGTTGAATATTAATTGATCTGCCTGTTATAATAGCGTAATATAATTATGTTTTCAAAACTGCCAGTTTTAAACTGGTTATATCAACGAACCATTATCGTATCAATAAAGTAACAGTTTTTTATTTGTGTTATTATTTTTTTTTTTAATTAGATATAAACAATCTATACATAAATCAATACAGTAAGATTATATGATAAGATAATAAAATTGACAAACAAGCTTGTTAAGAAGTCACCCATCAACAACACTTATAATTTGATTACTTTAATTATTTTCTCGTTTTTATTTTTTTTTAATGTGCGTTAAAAAGATCGCGACACCACTTTCTTTTTAGTCTGCGATAAGGAATGAGAATTTCCTGGGAGCGTGCAGATGGATAGATCTTTTATTGGAGGATTGGGACGATAAATGATTTAGTAGTCGGTTATGAGCGTGAATAATAAATGTATGCTTTTTCCTTAATAGTTTTTATAGCAAAGTAACAGTTAAATAGTATATTCCTTACACGTAGGACGTGGGTGTATTAATCCAAATACATAACACATTTATTAAATAATTGTCGTTGATGCCGTTAAAGCTAAATAATTTACAACATTTACGCATACTTAACGTACCTAATACTTATTATTTAACTTACATTTTTTTCCAGTGTGTTTATTTATCTATCAATTGATTAGCATTGAAAATACCGATTTTGAAAGTCACATCCATTGTATACTGTACAAACACCAAATATATTTAATTAAAAAACGACTTGAATATATTCTACTTCTAAGAAGCATTTTTGCTATTTTCGGTGCCTGTAGATAGGTACAAGATACTTGACCAATGGTCAATAAGTATCAAAATGTGTTGTTAATTGTTGCCGGCTTCAATTATAGTACATAATGACCATTGTTATTGTGTTTTTGTAATTGTTTATTAAACGATACCTGTCGAAAGGGAACTAACGTGAAAACATTAATTCTTCCAAAAAAAAGGCACTAAAAAATCAAAAGGGTAACGGACATACGTCCGGACGGAGGTTTGTGTAAAAAGTACAAAGAAAAAGAAAATAAAGGCGGGCGTATATAGCTGATGCTAGCACACCATATCATAATAATTATCACTTATACAGCTTATAGAAGTTTATTTATTAGCTGGGGCAACTGATAACCAAATACACATACCTACTATACAGTAATTTTAAAAGTGTTTTTTTTATCTACGGTATTAAGAACTACGTTTATATGCATTCGCTAACGCGCACTAACTTAATACGCATTAATTAACTTAAGTTAACGCGCATTTGTGTACGAAGTAGGGACAGCTACATAATACCTTTTAATTTAAATATACTATCATTTATACCCGTATTGGTATGTACAATACGATTATCCTAGATTTTGCAATATCAATGCAATGCTTATAATATATACAAGGTATAATTAAAAAGATATGATTTTCCACGTATTACTGTTTTAAAACTTTCGTTGTACGACAATCAATGATCATAACTCGTATCAAGAGGTTTGTCGCTGTCTGAAGCGGTTTTAATAATTGTTTCAATAATAATTGGGGCCTTCACTCGCATTTATTAAGGCGCATTGAAAAGGTAATTATTCACTAAAACTTATAAAAAAGCTAACATTTTTAAACATATAATATCTTAACACAAAAAAGAGAGATATATTTTGATACTTTTTTTTCAAATTCTATAGCGCACACAAGGTCTAGTTTCGTACAAAAATATATGATTCATCTTCGAACAGAACCTTCTTAAAAATAATCCCAAAAAGTTTTGAAAACATTTTGGTTTCCTCAAAATATTTACAAGGTATATATCGTGGCACAATTAAAAAATGATTTGTTTGATTATTTGTTAAAAAATGTTGGCCACTTCATATGTTCAAAGACCAATTTAAAAACCGAAATGACATCTCTCCCTTTATACAAAAAAATAGTTGGTATTGTACAGTAAAAAACTAAGAAAATAATAAAATAAGTTAATTTTTTTAGCAATATAATTTCGAATAGGTACATTCGACATTAGTCGCATATCACATTAAACTTTAAATACAACTAAATATTAGAGTGAATAAAATATAAAACATGATATTAAATATATTTTCGATTTATTTTTACACAACATTTATATTTACAAAATGTACATTGGTCATAATAATAATAATAATAAATATAAAAATAATTATTTCGTTTATATAAAAGTAGTAAAAATACCTTTTTAATAATTATAATCACGATATGTTTTTTTTATGATTTTATCAATAAATACATTATAATTTTAATGTAAATACAAAAATATTTATTTATATTTTTGATAATATTTAAAAAATGTTTCAAAAATTTGTACACCTTGATACGGAAATTCACAGCTAGTATGGCACATTCATTATTTTAAGCTTAGTATTTTAACATGCTTAAATATACTTTCTATTTAGCCTATAAACACATTATTAAACTAGAATGAGTTTCCGTTAGCAATTATTAAACTTGAATTTAATTTTTAGTTATTCAAGTTTACTAATTGTGGTTTTAGTTAATTTTTGAAACATTTTTCAAAACATGTAAATCTTATTACTACTAAGTAAAAAAAAAAATATATATTAAAATAATATTTTTGAGCTGAAAATTAATTTTCAAAAACTAATTTATTAAATTTAATTTGTTTCTAGTAATGGCGCTAGACTGGTCTTCCAATTAATTTTCGGGCCTGGCTTGTTACACATGGGTATTTTACGGTTTTTCTCGCATTTTTTAGAATTTTCCCAAAAGCTTTGTCCTTCGGGGCATTGGTACAGTTGTCCTAAAAATTACGCGTTAATAATAAAAATTGTCATTTGAAAAACATTTAAAATATATTACATACCATTTAGAAGACCTTTAGCAGTTCTCGTGCATTTTACAAACGATTGACAGTCGTTTGGAGATCCGAATGTACCCTCAGATGGACATAACTTGTGGTATGGTTCAATTTGAACCTAAACAAGTATATACAATTATTTATTTATTAGTTAATATTTGAGACTTGGTAATTAATATCTTACAGTTTGTGGTAACTCTTCGAATTCGGAACGAACATGTGGCAAGACTGAGTCAGAAGGACAAGATTCAGCTTCGTCAGGCGGTAAACATTGAATCTTTCTTTGGTCGTAGTATGTTCCATTTGTGCAGGCCAATACTAAAACTTTAATGTCATTGTTTGATGATATAGTACATTGGTAGAATAGATTGCAATTTTTGGGGTGTCTTCTAAATCCTGTTGGACACACTAGTGCAACTTGATCTGGTTCTAATTCGGGACATTTGTTTGACGTTTCTGGCAATTCTGTTGTAACCGGTGACTCTGTTGTGGGATTAGTTTGAGGTTGAGTGGTTTCTGTAGGATTGGTTGATGGTGGATTTGTTTCCGATGTCTCAGTCGTGGGTGGGTTAGTTTCTGTTGGATTTGTAGTTGGTGGATTTGTTTCTGTTGGATTGGTTGTTGGTGGATTTGTTTCTGTTGGATTTGTAGTAGGTGGATTTGTTTCTGTTGGATTGGTTGTTGGAGGATTTGTTTCTGTTGGATTGGTTGTTGGTGGAATTGTTTCCGTGGGGTTAGTTGTAGGGGGATTGGTTTCCGTTGGATTTGTAGTCGGAGGATTAGTTTCTGTTGGGTTGGTAGTTGGCGGGTTTGTTTCAGTGGGATTATTAGTTGTCGGTGGATTTGTTTCTGGTTGGCCGGTTGTAGTAGATTCCGTTTCTGATATAGGCGTCGTCGAGTTTTTCTCGGGTTCAATAGTTTCTGAAGGACCAGTAGTTTCAGTCGGACCTTCTGTTGTTACAGTAGGGTTAGTTTCAGAATTAGTATTTGTTTCTGTAGTTAATGCTGGAAGATCCGTCGTTGATGGATCTGTAGTTGCTGGATCTGTTACGGATGGATCTGTAGTCGCTGGATCCGTCGTTGCTGGATCTGTCGTTGATGGATCTGTCGTACCACTTGTTGAGTTTGTTGGTGGACTACTTGACCCAGAGCAATCTCTTGGAGGATATACTGAAGCTTCGTGATTACATACATCTAAGCTTGGATCAAAAATCGTTCCAGGCGGACAATCGAAGTGGTAGACGGAAAAGCGTTCTCCTTTATCACCGTCCCAGTCAACGCATCTATAGAATTTTTTACAATCGTCTGGATGGGGGTAAAATCCGCTTCCATTACAAACAATTTTACTTGGCGGTTTTGGTGTCGTATTACAAGGCGTGGTTGAGTTATTTGAGGAGCTTGAATTTACAGGGACTCTATTAGTGGTTGTTGATATTTGTTGATTTGATTCAGTAGTAGTTGAAGTTGTTGAAGTAGTAGTTTGCGTTATTTGATTACTGGCTGTTGTTTGAGAAGAAGGTTGACTAGACGATGACGTAGTTACTGTTGGTTTACTAGTTTGATTTGTAGTTAAATTCTCTGAATCGGGAGTTAATGTAGATCCCGTAGATTCACTTTCAGAAGTAGAAGGTGAAGGCGAAGGCGAATTAGAACAATCTCTATCTACGGCCCATGGATGATTACATACATTATTTGCTGGATCCCATACTGTACCTGCACCGCAGTTAAAGCTGTATTTGGTGTATCCATTTCCATTTCCAACACACCTGTAGAATTTGCTACAGTCTTTAGTATCTGGGAAAAATCCTTCGGAAGTACAAACGCCCGGTGTAGAAGATTCGGTAGGTTTATTTGTTTCAGGGTTAACAGTTGTTGTAGAAGGTGGCAACACGCTTGCATTTGTAGGTTTTGTTGTTGGTTTTGACGTTGTTGACGCAACTGGTTTTTTCGTAGAACTACTCGTTGTTGGTTTAACTGTGGTTGGCTTGGACGGATCAGGTTTATTACTAGAACTAATACCTGGTGTTGGTTTGGTAGTTGCTTGAGTTGTTGGCCTGGAAGGATTTTTATTATTAGTGGTTGTTATCTTCTGTGTTGTGGTGCTAGTTGGTTTTGTCGTGGTTGGCTTAACTGTCGAAGGCTTTGATGATGCTGGTTTTGAGGTCGTTGGCTTTAGTGTTGTAGGCTTTGGTGTTGTTGGTTTTGACGTTGTTGGTTTTGACGTTGTTGGTTTTGGAGTTGTTGGTTTTGACGTTGTTGGTGTTTGTGTTGTTGGTTTTGACGTTGTAGGTTTTAGTGTTGTTGGCTTTGGTGTTGTTGGTTTTGGTGTTGTTGGTTTTGACGTTGTTGAAGTTTGTGTTGTTGGTTTTACTGACGTAGGCTTTTGTGTTGTTGGTTTTACTGACGTAGGCTTTTGTGTTGTTGGTGTTGATGGTTTTAACGTTGTTGGTTTTGTAATTGAAGGCGATGTAGTTGTAGGTTTGGAAGTCGAAGGTTTAGAAGTTGTTGGTTTAGAAGTTGATGGTTTTATAGTTGAAGTTGTTGGAGATGGTGAAGATGGTTTAGAAGTTGTTGGTTTTGGGCTAGGCTTCTTTGTGGTTGTCATAGGTGTGGTGGGCCTGAATGTCGAAGACATTGGTTTCGTAGGTCTATTGCCTGCACTTGTTGTTTGTTGGTTTGTTCCTGCTCCTGTTGTTTGTTGGTTTGAGCCTGCACTTGTTGTTTGTTGGTTTGATCCTGCTCCTGTTGTTTGTTGGTTTGATCCTGAACTTGTTGTTTGTTGGTTTGATCCTGCTGCTGTTGTTTGTTGGTTTGATCCTGCTGCTGTTGTTTGTTGGTTTGATCCTGCTGCTGTTGTTTGTTGGTTTGATCCTGAACTTGTTGTTTGTTGGTTTGATCCTGAACTTGTTGTTTGTTGGTTTGAGCCTGCACTTGTTGTTTGTTGGTTTGAGCCCGCTCCAGTCGTTTGTTGGTTTGAGCCTGCACTTGTTGTTTGTTGATTAAGGCCAGATGTTGTTGTTTGACTAGAACCAGAAGTTGAAGTTTGTTGGTTGGAATTTGAATTTTCCGACTGGCCCGAGGCTTGATTCATGGATGCTGTTGTAGCAGTATTTTGATTAGACGAAGAAATTCCTTGAGAAGTTGATTGTTGGTTATTCCCACTAGTTGTTTGTCCACTAACCAAAGTAGTGGATGACGACTGATTACTTGAAGAACTACTAGAACTTGAACTAGAACTAGATGTTGACATTGAGGATGAACTAGAAGACGATGCAGTAGACCATTGACTTGAAGTAGTTACTTGTTGTGCCACAGTAGAATCAGATTGTATGGTTGATGGGGTAGCTGAAGTGGTCGAGCCACATTCAACTTGATTTGCGTAATTGCATGTATTTTGACTACTATCCCACACCGTCCCATCGCCACATTCAAATTCATATTTTATCAAAGTACCGTCGCCTTTATCTACACATCTTATAAACTTTCTACTGCATCCCTCACTATATGGATGGAATCCTTCAGAGTTACATTCAGGTCCATTTCCAGTGCTAGGACTACTAACTTCCGATTCATTTGGTACTTCATTATCAATTTCATTGCTTGGACTTTCTGTAGATGAAGTCTGATTATCTTCCGGTGATGTAGGTTCTGGATCGCTTGAACCGTTATCTACTTCTGGTTTGCAATCAGTTCTTCCCGCAGCACTTGCGTGATTACATGTATTTGAAGTGTAGTCCCAAACTGTACCAGGACCACAAGTAAATTCGTACTTGGTGAAAGATCCTTTACCATCATCTACACATCTATAGAATTTTTTACACTCACCTTTTACAGGGAAAAAACCTTCCGATGTACAGTCGGTAGTATCAGGTATACTTTCAACTGGTTTAAAAGTTGATTGATCGGCTGTTTGAGGTTTATTATCACTACCTTCTGGTGACTGGTGACTGGAGACTGGTGGCTGATTTGAATTTGATCCACCATCTGGCCCAACAATAGGAGCAGATGTGGTAATATTCTGAGTAACGCTAGGTTGTGTAGATGGTTTGTAATTAGGTTTTGAAGTTGATGATACTTGAGAAGGTCCATAGTTTGGTTGCTGTGATTCATTATTTGATTGGGGTGGTTTATAGGATGACTGGGATGGTTGATAATTTGATTGGGATGAACCATAATTTGACTGTGGTGGTTGATAGCTTTGTTGAGGTGGTCCATAGTTTGATTGTGATGGTTGGTAATTCGACTGGGATGACCCGTAGTTAGATTGTGGTGGTTGGTTGTAGCTTGGTTTTTGTTGAGATTGAGATGATGGTTGTATGTAACCAGATTGAGGAGGCTGATTATAATTAAGCTGTGGATTTCCGTAGTCAGGTTGTTGTGGAGGATAATAGTTTGGCGGTGAACTCGGTTGGTATTGTTGATAGAATAGTGGTTGGTAATAGCCAGTTTTTGAAGGTGGTTGACCGGTTTGAGGACGTCCATAGTCAAAATTTGAGGAAGGTTGAGCAGAATATTCGGGTGAAATTGAACCATATCCTACAGAGTTTGGTGCATTAGAACTAGGTTGGCTAGAAGCCGAGTCGGATGGTGAGTTCCATGAATTTTCTGAGTCATCAGGACTAGGTTCAGGTTCTGGGTTATTGAATTGAATATTTTTGCATTCTTCTCTATTAGACAACGAAGGATGAACACAAACCGAATTTTCAGGATCATAAACTGTTCCTGGAGAACACTGAAATTGAAATTTCGTAAGCGATGATCCAGATCCAAAGTTCACACATCTGTAAAATGTTGTACAATTTGAAGGATCTGCTTGGAAACCTTCTTTTTCACATTTGAATGTTCCTTCAGTGGAGCTTGCACTAGTTCTTGCTTCTCTGTTACTTACAGCTAAAATACGTATTAAGTTAGACAAAAATAAAACAACTTGTAATCATTTCAGTGCGATAATTAATAACTTACCAAAGCTTAGATGGTAGCTTAAAAATATAATGCCGATGATTCGGCTTACTGGACCCGCCATGTGTATTGTTAAATCGTTATTTTATTATTATACAACGATTTATAGTACACCTGAAAAAAAAAGGATGATTAATTTTTTAAGTATAGTAGATTTATTAGTGAATATGTAATGTTGAAAGTTAAAATTGTCTAAAATTATCATTTTAATTATTTTGCGATTAATAATCACATATATTTTAAAATTGTAATTTAGGCTTATATTATGTAGTATATCCCACATTTAACGAAATAACTATAATGCAATCCAAACCGTAGATTTGCCTAACAAAGGTCAACGTATAATATGTAAAGAATGTGAGAACTTGCGAAAAAATAAAATTTCAACTTATTAGTTATAAAGCACTATAATATATACCTAATTTTAGTGTTGACTGTTGTTATATTTATATAAGATTTTTAATCTCTTTATTAAAGATATTTAGTAGTCTTAACATAGTGTAACTCATTTACTCATAAGTAATACAATTAAAATAATTTTGAATTGTACAATTTCAAATGTATTTACAGTAATAATTTGGCGTTTTTCTTGAAATTAACTTTGCCGACAAGTGGTGCTTATTCGCTTTCCACATCACAGATGCATATTAATAATTGGTCGAATAAACAAAAATAGAATTGTATTCCTAAGATTCAAATTCGAAACGTACAATTTTGCCGGCTTAACTACAAGGGCGCAAATCGTAAAACGTTTGTATTGTAGTATAAATTATATTTACGTTCGCTCCGTTTGTTTACGAATTATTCTACTTAATTAATATTTACATCATATTGTAGCTATTGGTTGAATTGTTATTTTAATAAGTTTGTCTACATAGCTTCATTTCCATAGACATTGATACGAGCTAGGTGGTTTTGTGGTTGTCGTTTCTTACGCGTGTTTGACGGATAACCAAGTAGAGAGAAATGTCGTAGAAAATAATGTATTAATCCACTTGCGAGATCGTAAACAGATACTTATAAACGACACGGAAATACCAGTAAGTGGGAGGCGTGTGTGATATTTTTTTATAACCAGATCGTGTTTTACGAGGCCGGCCGGAGGAGGTCATGGTTGGCCGTTGACCGAAATGACTATGCAAATCGGACGTAGCGCCACCGGGTGCCGTCAAAGCGACCCCGTCTTTGCCGCTACAAGATAAAACAAAAATATTGTTGGCTCGCAAGTCGGTTTGTTCGACAACATTGTTTTTTTTTTTTTAATATAATCGAGATTTCGAAATGTCATACGACCCCTTTATTATTTAGTACGTCTGATGTGTGGCATCCGAAATCGCCTCGGGTCCGGCAAGACGAACCGGCGCGCAGATACACTATACCATGTTTTATTCTTCCTGATACGATATTATTGTGTGAGAACATTCTTCTTCTTTTTAAATAAAAAACACACAAACACAAAACTATAAGTCGGTCACATGTGCGGAACTGTAGTCGTATCAACGACATCGTTGCTTTGCGTTCAGAATTCGGAAAACACCTCGCAGAAGTTTCAGTGCTCCGATTGAAGTCACGTCCAACGTGTACAACGTACGTGCTTACTATTTGGCGTCCCTCGTTTGTGTGTCAACACCATAACAGCTCGTGAACGGCATGCGGCTCCTCGATGATGTCATGAACCACGTTTGTCCAACCGGTGTGAATAAGACAAAAAAAAAAAACGGTGACGTGATGACATTGGCCGGCCCAACGGTATACGGACGGTGATCCAGGTTCAAGGATTGGACACGGTGCTTACCAAGGTCTAGTGCATCTCCCAGGCTTTTGTACAGTAGTTTAACACGATCTCAGCGCAATGCGCACGCAGCCAGAGGAAGTATAGTAAATAATTAACTTAATTACGCATACACCGCCGCAGTGGAATTCCTCATTTCCTGGGTGTCGGAATTTGACAGCGGTTTTTACCGGGAAATGGGAAATTATACCGGGCCACGCGGTATATTTGATGTCACCGGCACACAACGAACCTTGACGGACCAATCGATTATTAAACGTCAAACGACCATACACGGTGGTCGACAAAATAATAACAAGTCAATAGGTACTTGTGGAATTGACCACATTGGTCTAAGGGTTTTGCATATGAACTTTGGTCGGTAGAGGATATGCTACTCGAGGAAATTGGTTTTCACGATAAATATATTTATTGTGTTTACGCTGTACAGACACCGGACTTTGTACATTAAAACTCAATCGAACATAAGGTGTATCGCAATTTATTATTGGTAATATATTTAAATGGTGATACAAGGGGTCGGGTTTAGCCATTAGTAGGATTTGTAATATGCATTTTAAAAGATATCAAGGTAAAAATTCAAGCACCCCCCCCCCCCCACCAAAATCAGTGGAGGCTTTAGTGGAGATAAACCCTACACATACTAATACATACCATCTATAGGAAAGGAATGGGGGATAATACGCCGAGAATCTAAGATGTGATATTCGAAAAATGGGAAATAAATGATAAATCGCCAAGACCCTTTACCATAAAGCCCAAAATGTACTATTGGTTTTGTAGTTCGACAGTTTTAAATTGTATATTTGTGTAAGAACATTGAATTTCATTATCGAACTTCAGTACTGAAAGTTTTTGATCGTGTGGGTTTAGTTACCATCGTTAGTCGTAAGCCATGTGTTTTCCTGTATACCCTTAGTACTATGTCTGTAAGTTAAAGCAGTTGTGGTTATACATCCTAAATAGGAGTATATACATAATCTAGTTATCATATGTTTTAGTTTTTTTTTTAATTTTATTAATATTTTTTTTTTAATCACACAGTAGCCGGTAGTGTTAATAAAAAACAAGCTATTTGAATAGAAGTATTTTATTTTAATGTACACTTTGCCTGTGGGGCGTCGTTAAAATAATTATATAATAATTAAAAATAACCTTACATTTAAACAAGTATTGAGTCAACATTTTTTTATTGTAAATAGTGCCGAGCATTACGTTTTTAATGAGACATTCATTCATAAAATTAGTTATAATTTTTAAGTCTAAAAACTTAATATAAGTTAATTATCTAAAACAAACACACTATACACGTTATATACAATTTATAATCCAGTTTTTTTTATGAACCTTTGAAAATATGCTAAATAATTTAATTTTAATTAAACCAGTTTATTCGTAATATATTTATAGTATTTAAATATTACGCTTATTAGCAACGCTTAAACGAAAATTTAAATGAATCAATAAGCGCTTTGTATTTTATTGTACAATGTACAAACTTAATGTAATTATGGCTAACAAATGGTATGTTTTAAATTCAATTTATCGACTTTTAATTACTGTAAATGTATGCTAAAACGATACAATGACTGTGGAGTACACGTATAATTGAATTAACGGAATCATTATTAGAACACCGCGCACGTGACAAAATATGTTTTTCTACTGAGACTTGAGAGATAACAGCAGAGGCAGACTTGAGTACCGTTTGGCTATAGAAGAATTAAAAATATATCGCTCCTCTATTAGTTTATTGATTCATACAATACATAATTTGTATAATGTGTATATATATTTATATTATGGAATTAATTTCCACATAAAGTATACATATTAATTGTTACATTGATATATTCTTATCTTATTATACGTCTTCCTAACTCTCTTAGCTATCCCGCCTCCGGATGACAGATATATTATACTATCTAAAAATTAATTATATACTATTTATAGTTAATTTATACACTTAAAAAAGTTGTTAACAAGATTAGCCGGTCGTTCGTTGATTTGTATTTACCTAATACCTAATCGAGTCTTTAATTGAGTTGTGTAACTACCAAAAAACCAGTTTATGTAGAAATTATACAGGCGGCATGTTAAATTATTATATGTATAAATTTATTCGAAATTAATTACCTATTAACTTTTTAATTAATAACATTTTTGCTTAATAGTTTGATATTGATGTGTATGAGTTTGTTTAGTCACCCCTTAAGCTCTAAGGTTTTATTATAACACTCATCACCGAGTATCAAATAAGTACTACACTTATTTACATTAATACGTATTAATATAAATGAAGGGTTGTTGTCAATAGCCCCATCTCATGTAATCCTTCAGCTAGAATTTAAATTTCAGGGGCTTATAAGAACATGATATTTTTTAGCTATATAGCTAAAACAGATTATATACAAATTAGAACTTTGTAAAGAAAACTTTTTTGATTTATTAAAAATCCACTAACGTACAGTCCTTATTACTATATTCTTTGAATTCTGGTAACGAATGTTTTTGCTCTAAAACCATCGAACAAAGCGGATTCTTCGTAGCTAGGTTCAGGGTGTACCGTCGTCTCGACTAGTTTTTTTAAAACCGATAGTGTACGAAAACCATACGGTCCTTAGGTCTAGATCTCGGTAGTCAACTCGAATACAGTCTATAGCACACCCACAACAACGGAGGCATCCGCGGACACGGTTAATCGATTATTATTATGGCACACACGCACCGGTAACATTACATTATATTCTGGTTTAAGCGCGCGTGTGACATGTGTGTGTGTGTTTATGAAAATAAAATACGTGTGCCTATTAGGTGATAGTAAAAAAGTTATAATAATAATAATAATAGTAAGAATAATAAATAATAAAAAATACTCGTAAGAATAATTCGCACTTGCACGCGTATTACAAACAACAGCCCCTGTCGAATCGCCGGGGGGTGGGGGGGGGTACAGCCAGTATGATTATTTGATTTACCGGACAGCGACTTTGCCTCCGGGATCGTTATCTCATGTCGTTTTATTGTCCGTCTAACGTGCCATAACGTGGAGGATCTACTGTCTGGTCGGTGGTGACACTGACAAAGACCACACGTCGCCTTGTGTGTAGTGTGTATCTTAGACTGCGTAGGTACATCTAATATCTTTATTATGCAGGTACCGTAAAATGTGCGTCCACTATAATAATTATTATAATGTGCTTATTATGCCACTTTTGACACATGCAAATACAATTAACGGCCGGTCGGCCAACTACGGTTAATGACTTTGTTTTTTTTTTTGGTGGGGGGGGGGTAATAGTGGACTTGAAAATATATAATA